AGAAACTTTTTCCAGAAAGCAAAGCGAGAAGATATGCTGTCTGCCTGTTGACACGGCAAAGGTGTCGAATATCACTGTCGTTGCAACGAACAAAGTATATGATATTTGATTAGTAGTGAGCAAGAGCTGGGTGGAGAGATCTCCCTATGTACGGGTGCGAGCTGAGCGGGAAGCTTGGTCCAACTAGTGGTCCAAGCTTCCAACCCGAAAAAGCTCGCTATCTAAAATACATCCACGCCGGGCTGGCTGTACGCGCATGTCCCAATACTGCCTTTTTCCATTTTAGTAAAGGATAGCGACGGGAGTATGGTAATAGGGAAAAGGAAGAGGAAGAGAAAGAAGAGATTTTATACCCCAGGAGCTAAGGAATGTGTCACGGTAATCACCCTGATTCCCTGACACCTGAACGGCCATAGACACTAGGTGCTCCTGTAAGCACCCGGCATCTGTTGATTAGCTAAGAGCAGCTGAGACCCCGCGCTAAGCGCACAGGCCCCGCTTATATCTGCTCACCGCAACTTGAACCTGTTCTGTTTCCTTACGCAACGTCTTGTATCTACACTAGATAGTAACTACGATCAATAAAGAACTGTAAAGACTATCTTCTGTCTGTGTTCGACTGCGACGTAGTCTCTCGTGACAGAATGCAACCGCATGGACTGTCGGTCAACGGTGATTCTTTAACCACCAGTTCTTTCAGACACATAGGCAGTTTGGAGGAGTTTCCAGACTTGAACGCAGACACGCTACGTCGGACATGTTGGTAACAAGACATACTTTTAGGAAAGCTCGCGGAAGAACATGAATCTGGGACTGAGTCTATTTAGTAGACAAAGAACGAGGAGGTAAGATAATAAAGAAAAAAACACAGGAGAGGAGAGTTTTATACCCCCCGTCCCTAGAGCTCCCACCGTTTCATCTACTCTCGATTTTTTGATCTAGTTCCTCGACTACCATCTCACACATTCAAGTCTTTCAAGATACTTTAGAACCAAGCACACGAACAAAAGCCCAAACATATCCCGTAGTCGTGGAATTCTCAGAAATGCCGACAGGAAGAATATAGAATTTCACTTTATAGATTTTAGATAGGCAAGCTCAGAACACAAGGTATTTTAGAAACCCCGTTGCTTTTCTAGAGGGAAGCATACAGAAAAGCCGTAGCTCTCCCTCGCGCTCTTTTCCAGAAGAGTTACGCTAGAGCACACCAACTTCTTGGTAATATATTTTGCCAAAACAAGAATAAAAACAAAAGAACATTTGTCCCAACGTGTTCTTATTTCGAAAACAACAAGGCCTGCGGAAACTCATCTTGGCCAGTAGCAAAAAAGGAAAGGAGGGGGCGGAAGGGAGTTTTATGTATAGGTGACTTGTAGATTTGTAAAGGAAGCGTAGAACTTCTCATAGATCCTCTAGAAAAGTGTTAGTAAAAAAAAGGAGATGAGAAAATGTAGCAGCTACTAGACCCTAGAATTTATAAGGTGTACCATGTTGCAATTTTCATATTGGTGCATATGTGGGAATTTCGATGTTGGCAACGGGTCACGTAGAGCTGGAATAGTGTTTTTGAGACTAGAAAGAGGAAGAAGCACATGAGGAATACATCCAGATGTTTGAATTACATGACAGAGATTTTTATATGTGAGGGAAAGAGAGACAGAGATAGCGAGGAGGAGGGGTTTTTACATACCCCCAGACTACAAATTCAGATGTTGATAAATCAAGTGTCATGTGATGCTTATGCTCGATCCAAATCATACATTCCAAAAGTCCCCCTCTGAGAGGTCATGTCATGCTAGTACCCACCCTATGCCGCTATTTCCGTCGTCTCAACCTTCCTCTTCTTCTTGCCATGATGTCCCCTAGCTTCTACTCGGCCCTCAATCGGCAGCACCCTCGTAGCTGTGAAGATATACCCCTCGGCCCCACCTTTACTCGTCATCATCGGATGCGTCCGTCCGGGAAGCACCTGCCACTGTCTCGCCCTCGCCGTTTGAAGCGACGGCGCAAGCAGCAACGTCGGATTTAGTGGGAAGTCCTCTTCATCGTTATCACCTTCGCTAGCGCTATCGCCGTCATCGTCTTGGTCATGCTTCTTTCCATTCGCCTGCTGCTGCTTTTGTGATGGACCGAACTCGCGGGCTATATACGCAGCGCGACGTTCTTTGGAGTAATAGTCGCAGAGTTCGACCAATGGCTCGACGTTGTGGTTATAGACGACTACCCTCCCTCCACCCCGTACAAGGGGCACTAGTTCTCGTAAGACAGTCTTTGCGTCCATGGCGGTTGCGACAATTAGGCCGTCGAACCCTCCTCTACGCGTCTCGTCTACCACGTTCTTGACGCGCTCCCAACGTCGTCGCTTCTTGTAGTATGTACCGCGCTTTGTGGATTTAAGCGTCATTAGGACGTCTTCTGGGATGGTTTCGGGTTCGTCGTACGTGGGGTCGTCTTCGGGGTGGAGGAGTGACAACCAGGATAGCGACTTGAGGTGCTTGTAAAGAGGGTGTGAGACGGTGGGCGCGCCATAATCGTAGCCAAAGTATTTGAGATAGGAGAGATTGGGTTGGTTATTCGGATGTAGGACGGTGAGAGTGTTGGTTTTGGCTGACATCTGGGGAATGTGCGGCCGCGGTGGCTTTCGTGGTCTTGGAGGAGGATCTGAGGGGGCGCCATTCGTTGATGAGGGGTCGGTTGCGTTTGGCGCTTCGGAAGTCATGGTAGTGTCTGCGTCTGCGTCTACCATGGTGGTATCGGTATCTCTTGTCTCTGGCGTTATGGACGTGCCGTTTGTTTTTGTAGCTTCTGCAGCGTCTGGTTCTTCGTCCGATTCGTCCTCCTCATCTTCAGGGTACAATATACCCATTTTCTCTGCAAGCGCTGCCGTGACAAGACCTCCAGTATCATCCACCACAAGCCATCGCCCTCCACCTATCTGACTGACTCCATCTTCTCCTAAAAGTACCCGGTTTGTCTCTCCAGAGTGTACGTTGGCCCAGGCGTTGATTAAACCCAATAAGTCTTCTCTCAGTTCCATAATCTTGTACGCCTCTTTCTCCAAGACATATTCTGTGAGCAGGCCAACATCCATGGGCAGCGCCGTGAAGCGCTTCAGGTACTTTTTCGACTTGCGTAGAGTATATTTGGCTAACGAGAAACTCGTCTTCTCGTCAATGGCGTTATGTGAAGCCATAATCTTGGCGATAATCTCCTTGCCCGACCCGGCGCCAGCCTTCTTCAGCTCCTCGATCTCGGCCATGGACAGCGCCTGTCGCGATGCATCATCAATTGTCAGGCGGTTGTTGCGCATTATGACCTGCCCATCTTCGCCTACGATATCGAAGCCCGCATTTCCCTCGGCATTTTCGTCGCTCGCGTCAGCAACCGGCACTTGTTCGCTTCCCAAAGTTTCGGCATGTAGTTCAGAGGCAGGTACGACGCGCAGCTCCGTCTTGGACTTGCCGTCGTCTTTGTCGAGAAGCTCGTACGTCAGATAGTAGGGGCGGCCAATGAGAAGGTTCGAATTGAAGGTGCCAAACTTCCCAAGATAGATATTACTGGATAAATTAGTAAGGACTTCACATATCATCTACTCTGAGGGCTCACTCCAGCTATGCGACGTACGTATTTGGTGTGATCTCAATTATCTTGTAGAGACCAGAGGGCAGCCGCAGCGCCACGTGGGTATTAGGGCGAATGTAGGAATGCATGTCGGAATCTGGGCCTTCCGATGCTTCACGTCACTATCCCATGTGCAAGACTATAGTTTTTGAGACGGGCGCATGGGAAGAGCGAAAGTTGCCGGCCCAGTGAATTTGTTGCAGGGATTCCAAGCTTCCCCACGCTCAAGCCACACGCACAGCCACATGGTCGCCACAACTTGCTCCGCCACACTTCACGTCATCGCCTTCGCGAAGTCCGCGACACCCATCATTCAGGCCGCGTGTGCAACTCGGGGCCGATACACCGCTGCCTAGATTGACGCTTACTCTGCGCGTCTCATTCACAAACTTTATCATTGTTCTCCTTCGACACCTCGACAACAACTGCCAAGGCCGCTTGCGCAACACCGAGAACTTGACCGTGTCTCACCACCAAGCTCTGCCCTTTACATCGCCCAGCATGGTACTTCGGAAACCTGACGACCATGATCCTCTTGTACCCGCGCCGCTGTCTAAAGCAAACCCCCCATATCCCACCTCGCCTACCGAAGAGCATCCGCCCGTGCTTCCCTTGACACCAGGCAACGTAGGAAACGCGCCCAGCCCGAACAAGTCGCCAGCTTTCAATATCAAGACACCAGAAACTACACCGCTTCCCAATGACAACAATGATATCGACTCTGACTTGAGCGACGACGAGTGGAATCAGATCGACGACGATTTCGAAGAGGTCGACCCTCACGATGTACCTGCTGCGCTGAAACCTGCTGGAGGGAAGATGCCACCGGTGCCCAAGAATGGTGGTCTCCCCGACGCCCTGAGAGCAGGCCCCGCCAACGGAGTGCCCATAAAGAAGCCAACTGGCCACATATCGCCCATGCCCACTGGAGCCAGTTCCGCATCTTACGGCGCTGCGAGCACCGTGTCTGAGCAGTCGAATGGTTCCATTCCACTCCAGACGAACAATCCATACCTAAAGATGCAAACAACTGGCCAGAATAGCTGGGACGGGGAGAGCAGTCAGGCCATCTGGGGCGATGCGCCAGGCCAAGCCCACAAGTACGAGTCCAGGTACGAAGCGCCCGTGGAGCTGCCGGCATACCAGACGCCAAGCACACCTTCCCATGAAATGCGGAATCTGGGATTGGGCGACCATTCACACGAGCAAACCCCCGCACCACCATATGAACCGCCTCTTATCGAGGTAAACTCACCCACTCCACGGTCTGAAAACGCAAATGTCTCTCTGGACGCAAATCCGTGGGAGCCTGCAGAACGACGCCCCAACAATGCATGGCAACCAGCGTATACAAATACCCCCAGCCCAGTAGCGGATCAGCCTGTTCCATACAATACCCATGCTCTAGAGACGGCCCCTGTGGTTCCTCAGACGCAAACACAGCAGACTTCAGCGTCTCTCGAGGAACAACCGCCTGCGCTGCCTCCAAGAAGATCGACTGAGGACATGGCATCTAGTATGTCTCCAAGGCCTATTGATACTGGAGCGGGCTCTGCGGTTGCACCTGGTCTAGAGTCTCCCAACACTAGGATGAACAGACAGAGGAAAGAACACTATCAAATCAAGCACATCCGATGGTTGGATCACAATATTGAGGACATGCGCGTCTCACCAATCTTGACGCAAAACCTAAACGGACCATGCCCTTTGCTTGCTCTAGTCAATGCCCTCGTACTCTCAACCCCTGCAAGGCTTGAGACTGCATTGGTTGAGACGCTTCGCACGCGCGAGACTGTTAGCTTAGGCTTGCTACTAGATGCTGTCTTTGAAGAGCTAATGTCTGGTCGACGAGGCGATGCTGCGCAAGAACTACCTGATGTCAGCGAACTCTACAAATTTCTCCTTGCTCTGCACACTGGCCTAAATGTCAACCCAATGTTTGTTCCGGATACCAATCCGGGAAGTGGTCATGCTGCGCTTACGAATCGCGCAGGCGCTTTCGAAAACACACAGGACATGAAGCTGTACCGAACTTTCAACATTCCGTTAATGCACGGATGGCTTCCAGAGGCCGGAACTCCTGCGTTTGCCGCCTTCAACCGCATAGCGCCTTCTTATGAAACATCACAATTCGTTCAATTTCAGGAAGAGGAGCTCAACACAAAGTTGGCTTCGGGCGATTCTCTGAACGAAGAAGAGCAGCAGATGTTCACAGACATTCATGCCATCAAGGAGTTTTTGTTGACCTGGCCAACACAGTTGAGTGACTATGGTTTGAAGGTGATTCGAGATAATCTCCAGCTCGGCCAGGTTGCCATCTTGTTCAGGAACGACCACTTTTCCACATTGTGCAAGAATCCTCGCAATGGACAGCTCGTCACTCTCGTCACCGATCAAGGCTACTCAAGCCACGACGAGATTGTTTGGGAGTCTCTCACAGATGTCAATGGTCAAGGCAGTCAACTCTTCTCGGGAGATTTCCGCTCAGTTGATAACAGCGACATGTCTGCGGTACCACAAGGGCAACCACAGTCCCAACCTGAAATCGATAACGGCCAAGGCTGGACTACTGTGCAAGGCCGTCGTGGACAACAGCAGTCAGATGCTGCACAAGCTGTAGAAATTACCTCTCCCAGCGAACTCAGTAGAGCCGAGCAAGAGGACCATGACCTGGCACTAGCACTACAACTCCAGGAGGAAGAAGAAGACCGCCAAAGACGCGAAACTGAGCAACGAGAACGAGACAATCGACTCACTGCGAACCCAGCATCGCAAAACCCTCCACCCCCAACATCGCCCAACCGCCGCCCTGAGCAGACCCCGGCTATCCCACCTCGTCGCAACAACATCACAACCCACCGCCCAAACAACGAGCCCGCGCCCCCGCCACTCTACGAAGAAGCAATCACAACACCCCAATACAACCCTCCCGCCGGCCACCCCGCAAACCCCCAAGCGCCAATGTCCCATGGAGGCGCATACCAAGCTACTAGTGGTGGCTTGCCTCCACCCCCTGGTTCTGGAGGTCGCCGTCCAAACATGATGCCCGGTCGACCTGGTAGACGGCAGAGTGGTGCTGGACCGGATGGTGCGGTACCGCCGAACGGCAGCGAGGAAAGGGATAAGTGCGTTGTCATGTAGACACGCAATTTATTCGTTTCCGATGGTTCAACAATATGCTAATTTCGATGCTTTGGTGTTAGGGATACCGTTGCGTTGGGCTGCGATTGTTGTTGTATCGTCGCTTAGGCATTTGTTTGAGTTTGGGCGTTTAGGGAGAGTATGTATACCCGGATCTTATCTTTAGTCTACAGTCTGAAAGTTGGGGTTGTAGTGCGAGGTAAGGTGGACATTATATGGAGATTATAAGGGTCAGAGAGAAGAGGACATGGTGCTTATTCATTTGCTTTATATGATGTAGAGTAGGTAGATGTGCAGTTGTCTCATGATTGAACGAACTATTATTTACTAAGAAACAGCAACGTAATGCATATTCCTTGCTTTCGAGAAAAAAATCATTTCGTACATACATTGACCGGAATGTGAATCTTCTGTCAAGATAATCGTGGTCTCCGAGGAAGAAGGACACAAAAGGCTTTCCCGATACATTCATGTTCGTAATCATCACATCCCATCGCAATACCACCCTTTTCCCTCGCAATCCCATTCACCCTCGCAGTCCTACAAACTCCCCTTCCGTCTACCCGAAACTCCCCAACTGCCTCAACCGCTCCATGTCGGCCAACCGCGTCAACTCCTCCTCCCAAGCATCTATTTCACACATGTTAGCCCGTAATCCAACATCACATAGCGCACCACCACATCACTGGAAAACTTACTTATCGTCCTAGGCGTACTAGGATTACTCATCGGTTGGGGCGAGGCAAAGAGGTCACTCTTGGGTGATGTGACGGTGGTCAACTTGGATGCCGACAATGGTGATTTCAATTTTGTTTTTGATTTCGAGGTGAAGGGGAAACGGCGTTCGTGCGAGGTAGCTGCGTGGCGGTTGTAGGGGCGGGGAAAGCGGGGGTGGGGTGTGGGTGAGGATTCCCGGGAGGATTCTGGGGGAGGAGAGGGGGAGGGGGAGAATGTGAGGGGGGGGAAAAGGAGGCGATATTCGTTTGGTAGGGTGGGCGTGGTAGGGAGGGTTTTTAGTGCTTCATCTTCATCGTTACCGCCCTTGTTTTGTTCCATTTTCCAGTCTTTGAGGGCGCGGGCATCTCGTTCGATTGCTTTGGCGGTTGTGCAGACCCAGCTGTCGGTACTGCTGCTGTTGTTGGCGTCGTAATCTTCGTTTTCAGCTTCGTCGTCATGGTGATTAAAGTGCCAGAAGCGGAATGCAGGATGCGAAATCCCGCCAACGGCGGCAGATTCGCCAAAACTACCTCCAAACCGCTTATTTTGTCGACGAAATGCATCGTCAGCTGCGTTCCACTTTCCCGCCAACTTCATTTCTGTGCGCTTCCGCTCCATGAGCTTGATTTCGTTGGCCCAGGAAGATAGATCCTCGATGCTGGGAGCCGTGTGGCGAACAAACCGGTCTCGAGGAGAAACTACGTCCTGTTCGATTTGGGTTGCCAGAGTGCTAGTGGTGTTGATGCTGAGGTGGTCTGGACGGGACTTGATCGCGTGACTGCGTGAAAGCGAGCCTGAGGATGACTTTGGATGGCGAAGCATGGGACGTGAATAGTTGGAGAAAGTGGCTTGTCGGGAGCGTAGGCTGAGAGGGAAGGTGCCGGGGGTGGGTTTGATGGGACTGCTGGCTGAGCGTTGAGCGGTCCTAGTTCGTGTGTTGTTGTCTCGGTCTTCTTTAGCAGACGTCGTCTCGTTTTTCAAGCTTCTCATGATGTTACCGTATTCATAGCCCTCGTCTTCGTCACTGTCTTCGTCCTTGAGGTTCTCTTTGTCATTCAGTATTTTGACAGCCCATGCTAGTCGGACAGCCTGCTCATCAAGGGCCACCTCCCTCTCTTTCCGTCGACGTCGATTCATACGTAGTGCATCACGCTGTCCATCTAGAATTGTAGACACGATATCGATATCGTCTTCGAACCACATCCAATAATCTAGATCTCGCAGTTGCTCCATGGTCCCTATGTTGTGCTCGAGCAGTATTTCTGTCTGTTCCTCTGCAAAGCAATGCAGTTTCTCGACGACTGGTGTAGAACTCGAATCAGGCAGCAGGTACTGGAGAGTAGACAAGATGGTCTCTGCGGCAAGACGCAAGTCCCGTGGTTTGACAAGTGACGGGTGCACGCTTTTATTTTTGATGGTGGAGGAGGTGCGGATGGCGGAACGGTTGGCGCAGAGTCGGAAGGCCATGGCGGTTACGTCTTGATTGACAGAGTCGTAGGCGGCTCGCGATTCGGGATCAACGAGAAGAGAGGGGGTACGTCGGATGGGCATGGCAGTTATGGGCGTTACGGGTATAGACTCACTCGTCACCGATGATGTCTTGGGTGTGAGAGAGGCCCAGAAGCCGCCTTCTGCGAAGGCATTCCGGCTAGGACCTGCAGTGGCGGATAGCGGAGTGACGGGACCTGGCACTACCACATCCCAACGTGGTCGCGGTGTAGTTGGTGACCCAGTATCGATGCGTGGGAGATGCGCGGGACGCAGTGGGTGAGCACCCGTTGGCGCGGTGAAAGACGAAAAGCTACGGAGAGAAAGTCGCTGGCTTCCGGGTATGTCGACACGGAAGGGATGATTATCCTTTGGCGCGGTGACAGACGAGAAACTACGGAGAGGTGGTTGACGGCTTCCGGGTATGTCAATACGTAGTGGGTGAGTATCCCTTGGCGCGGTGATAGACGAGAAACTGCGGAGAGATGGTTGACAGCCTCCAGGTATGGGGTCAGAACGTCCAGGCGGTGGAGGCGAAGGTGAAGGCCATCCAAACTCAACGAGGTTATGCTCCTGCGTCAACTGATCTATCCGACGCAACACCTGCTTCCATTTGGGGTCTGAAAACTGCTCCTCATTCCAGTATGTGACCTCTTCCCAAAACTGATCTTCTTGCTCTTCCCTCAGAAATTTTAGTCCAGACTTTTCGTGTTTCTTCAGCGGCTTGCCCGTCGCAGGCGAAATTTTCTCACTGTGCATTGCTGCGTCAGCTTGTTCCGCCATGGCGAAGCAGCTGTCGCAGCGTGGCTAGTAGGCGGGAGTTCGAGGTACGCGGATGCGGAGTGCGGATGCTCAAGCAGTGGGCCTAAAAGTATTCATCAATCATCGGCAGTGTTCTATTGTCGTTGACGGGGTTGCCTATCGTCGGGTGTGGAGTGAAGAGTCGAGGGCGCGCAGCTGGTGTTCTTGTATTTGCGTCACTACAGTCACGCGCAAGTATCCTTACCACAGCAAACGCGCAACTCGGCGTGAAACAGTTTTCATGGGGCAGACAATTGAGAAAGAGAGATGCAAGAGTGAGACAGCAGAATGACAATAGATTTATCATGGAGAATTTTGTCTAAGTGGTATCCAACTCCACCTGATGCAGATGGACTCCTAGTCCAAGAAAGTAAAAAGGTTTGTATGTACAACATTGAGAGCGCGGTCAGCTTCGCGCTCTTCAATTACGCAGGATATGTTAATCTCGCTGGCGCCTGCGATGGATTAGCAAATTGTCACGTCACCAAACATTTTCACGTACCTTGCGATATCATCTCGATATTAATGTTGTTCTTGCCCAAGACGCTGAAGAACTTGCCGGAGATACCAATCATGTTCTTCAGCTGCTTACCCACTAGGCTTACAATGGCCATGTCGGGAACAATGTCAATGGCACCGAGCTGACCGAGGTCATTGACGGCGCCCTGAAGATCCTTGTCCTGAATTCTGTATTCGTCCTCACCACCGCCGCTGAGGAGGGCGGATTCCGAGTGCAAAGCCATGGACACATGCACCTCGGACGACGAGATGAGGTCGACAGAAAGGTGCCATTTATCCAGGATGCTGAAGATGTTCATGAGGAAGCCATGAGCACGGGTGCGCTTGTTGCTGTGCACGTTGAGCACGACAATGTTGTGCTTGATGGTCACAGCAGTAGGGCGCTTGGGGCCTTCCAGCTGAGTAAGCAAGCTTGCTGAACGCGTGCGAAAGAGAGTCGTGTCTTTCAGAGGCGCACGATCGTCAATATTGTGCAGATTGTCTGGGAAGATGATGGTGCCAGCATTGCGTGGGTTCATGACGTTCTTGATACGGATGGGGATGCGGGCGCGAATGACCTGTTCCATAGTGAAGGGATGAATGACTTCGGAGCCGTAGAAAGTCAATTCGGCGGCCTCGGCAGGCGTCACAGTGGGAAGTAACGCAGCAGTGGCGACCTTGCGGGGGTCAGCGGTGAAGATGCCATCCACCTCCTTCCAGACCTGAAGCTCCTTCGCCTTGGTGCCAACAGCAACCAGCGCAGCACATAGGTCCGTGTATCCACGTCCGATGGAGTTGAGCAGGCCTCCTGGCACGTTCCCAAAGTAGCCTGTGATAACTGGGACCTTGTTTCCGCAGGCTGCCACCTCCTTGCCCAGTTCTTCAGCGAGATCCTTGTAGAACTTGTCGTTGAGTCCGCCCTTGACAGGCGCATTGAACTTGACGACGTCGCTAAGGTCGACGAACTGCGCGGGTGTTCCGCGATCATTCAACAGCGCGGCCATATACCGACAGCTCAGCTTCTCACCTTTGCTAATGATCTTGTCCTCGGCACGGCAAGTGACTTCCTCCAAGTGTTGCGCCGACTCAAGAATCTTAATCAGACTCTCGCACTCGGCATTCACCTCTTCGGTGTAGGAAGCCAAGATTTCGGGACTCTTCAGGATATCCTTCCCGGCTTGGATGTGGTCGACGCGAATGGCTTCCACAATCTCGTCATAGCCACGGTTATTTGGTTTCTCGGCAGCGCGGGCGGTGCGAAGAAGGCGGTTGGTGGTTCCTTCCAGCTTTGTGTTGCTGCTGCGCGCGGAGCACACGATAGCGGCGCGGTTCGTCTGAAGACCAGCTCTATGCCCTGTCAGCACTTTCCTTCCTTATGACGTGTCGCACTTTTGCGCCTACTTGACAATGCCCGCTATGTTCTCCGCGAATTTGCCCACACTCGTACCCCCAAACTTGAGAACAACCCAGCCTCCTGGCAAATGCTTCTCTTCCGTGTGAGCTATCTGCTCCGACTCGTGCGTGTGCCCATTTGTGACTGCCGACATGTTTGTACAAGTTTTTTCGGTCTCCAATTCAATTTCTTCAGCAAGATTTCTCCGTGTTTGAAAAGGCTCTTATAGAACTGTAATAGCAGCTGCTAGTCGACGGCGTGTTTCGTGAGAAGTTTGGTGTGGTGAAGTGTGAGGGAATTCTGGGTGAGACTTTAGTGGGGTCTGAGTCAAAATAACAATGTCTCCGCCCGTAATCGGCTGCACATGCTGCTGACGGTGGCGCCATTGAACCCCTCCGACTTCATGTCGCATACAACTTCGCCTAGCCATCAACGCAGCTCCATCCATGGACGCTGTACCTTCGTCCACTGTCCTACAGCCCATCTCTCAAAGACACGTCTGCCGCCGTCTTTCACGCTTGACAGCTCATTGTTGCGCCTTGGCGCTCAACAGAATGGCTATTGAAATGCGCTTTCGGCTTTGATTACCAGTGATGACTTTCTGGCCAATTGCGATGGTCCTGGCTGCTTATCCGTCCCGGTCGTTGCACGTCTAGTCGTCGTGTTCGGCGTACAGCCTTCGGCAAATGTGCGTTCGTCGCAAGGCCATCTGGCAAGAGCTATGGAATATAGTGTGTCTGCATGTGATGAGTGTAGAGGCACGCGGTTGACCAAAAAAAGCCGACTCACCGATGCCCCACAACATCACGATTAGTACTGCAACACCACCAAAACAACATGTAATCTCACATATTTGGGCTCAAATCGAAGCTTGAAGCTATTCAAATGTATAGAAAAGCTATGTATCTAAGTTTTCTTGGGTTTGTAGCTCAAAAGGAGCGTTCAGGAGTTGTTTTCACCCATTTTTCTTTAGTACCCAGTCATTCTACCGTCCATATCGATGCAAGTTTGCAGTCTTTCGGGCATCTGATTAATCCGATCATTAATGAAACCTTGTAAGACGTTTCCCCAGCCTTCACATGCTAATTCTCTCGTCTCAAACTCGTCCCAATAGGGAAACTTTTTGAGGTGTTGCTTCATTACTTGCCAACAGTTTTCTATGGGTGAAAAATCAGGGGTGTTAGATGAGTTCAAGTAGTAATCAAGGTTGTTGTCCCGTTTCCAACGAGCTACAATGTTCCCTTGACTACCTCCGCCATGGCCGCTGTCGTTGTCTTCTTCCAGGATAAAGGGGGGGTCGTTTTGGAGCTATTTCTTTACCACAGGCTCAAGGATTTGGTCCCTGTAAGCACTTAAGGAGAGCTTGCCATTACGGTTACCAAAGACCTTGTAAAAGGTGAGGTTTAACTTAAAGTTATAGCCACAAGCGCCCTAAATGTGGCAGGTTTCCCAATCTTTCTCTTCATCCTAATTGAGTTGTTCCTGAATACAATCACCACAATAACGCTCCCCAGGCTTCCGAATAATGCGAAGCTTGCCTTGGGGACCTACACGGCAGTGTACTTCATCTGAAAAGCGTACGTCATGCCAGTCTTGAGGTTCAGGCTTAAGTGCAAGAAGCGTTTCGGCATGCTTTACCCGTACCTTTGCACATCTTTGAGAGACCCACCCCTTTGTACAAGCAATACATTTGTGATACTCAAGAGAGCCAAGAGCACGTTGTAGTGTCCGTCCGGAGACTCCAAAGTCGAGTTCTTAAGCTAATTGTGGCCAAGAAAGTACCCTTGCATCCCATCCGACATCTTGGAGGAATCTGTCAGCTTCCCGGAGCTGCGTAGGGCTCAAAAGAGCTTTCCTGCCTCTTCTTTCTAGTGAAGTTTGACGATTGTGATGCCTACGGCTGCTCTCATCGTCTTTGTCGTTTAATATTGCCCATCCCTGGTGCTTGTTGACGCCATAGAAGCTGAACAAATCGCTGTGAAAGTATGTGATGCCCTTTGCGTCCATGAACTCCGCAGCACCCTTGATCTTCGCCTTTTTTGGTGTCTCAATACGGTGATTTGTGCTTCTGGGCATGGCGAAAAGATGCGCGCAAAAAGAAAAGGGTTCTGTCGGGTGGTGGCTGAGATATTGAGTTGGGATGGAAGCTTGTTGGCATTTGGCGCTGTTGTTGTGGGGTGGGCGGCTCGGTGAGTCGGCTTTTTTTTTGTCAACCGCGTGAGAGGCAATCACTTGCGCAACCGTCGCGCATGGTGCGACAACGACACTTATCTACGGGTAGCTGCATCGCTCGTCCTGAACCATCACCTAGTTCTCCGGGGTTTAAGCATCTGCGTGGCCATCAGCCTGTTTTTCCGGTACCTGCTTGGAGCTCGCCACTTCTACTTACCACTGAGACAATCACGAGGTTTGCTGAGATTGTTTGACACGGCCGGCATGTTCATCTAGCCGCTATGTTGCTGCGGCCGACAAGGTCACTTCCCTAGTCACACGTCACGCCATACATGGGGCCAAAACATGGCGGCTGTACTGAATCGCACAGCCAGAGACCAACACAGCCACCAGGATAGGAAGCCTCAATGAGCGACACATCGCCGCAATCCATCACTCCTTTGTCTTTACACCAGAAATATGCGTCGTTGCTGCCTCGCAGTACTTTCGCTTCCGTGACTCAGTATAGACATTACACCAAGGAGGGGCTGTTACGATAGAGTCTGGCATGATTTTAGCAATATGCACTCCACAGACTGTTGTCTGCCTCGTGAGCCTGTCAATCTCTCCTAGATTAGGAGAAGCTCAAGATAAAACTGCAGGATGGTGGTTGCGGCACAGTCTACCATCCAATGGCTGGTGAATCCACGGCCACATACTGGATTCTTGTCGATGCAAATTTGCGGCGTAGTCACATGTACAAATCAAACGAAGCCACCATGCATGAAGCACTAACATGCCATGCCATGTATCGGCAGCCTGGATAACGGAAATAGAGACTGCTGCCACTCGCATGGTTTACTTGAAAGTACTGCCATCATTCAACGCATTCCAGTCTTTATCAATTCCTTCTGCTCTATTGAACATGGCGGCAGTAGCACAAGCCGGCCTTACAATCACAACACTGTCGTCAGGAAGTGGCCTTCCAATAGACAGTAACTGGCCGCCACTTACAACACCTTTCACGCCACCAGCTGGCTGCACTGATCATTGGATAGCGATTGGCAGAGAAGGAGACAATTCTGTATCGATGTTACAACCCTCCACCTGCACACCAGACGCTACGAGTATCCACAGCCCAGGCACATGTATGGACGGGTACTACGTTGCAAGAATAGTAGAATACAGAACTGCGGGATATAAACCAGGCGATGATCGATTATGGGGAGCCAATTGCTGCAGAAAGTAAGTTGAGATCCCCTCCCCCCAAGAAAAAAAAAGCATGTACGCATAAATTGTGTCCACTCGATCTGACAAGAATGTCACAGTGATATGACTTCATCTGGTGAATTCGCTATTTGCACCTCATATTACAATACCCCCATCACCGCGTACAAGAGGCGGACTTACGTCTATACCAACGATGTCATTAGCACTTCAGTCTATACCGCCGCATACGACAACACGACAGTATATTCTGTTGGGAATATGTACATGCCTCCATTTGTTGTCCTTTGGCAAGCGTCCGATCTTTCCAAATTCGACGTGGACTACGCATCATCACTCGCAGCACATTTAACTCTTGACTTTACGCCGACGCCAACGGCTGGCGTTACACCTGCAACGGCATCGCCCCCAAGTCGAAGCGCACCTCCATCAGCAACGGGGTCTGTCCTTTTTGATCCTAGCCTGACCAACTCGGGCCTTAGCACTGGAGCCAAAGCAGGAATAGGCGTAGGTGCTGCGATCGGTGCACTATTCTTATCTCTCCTTGTATTCTTATTGTACAAGCAAAGACTGCAACAGAAATCAAAACTAGACAGGAATTCAGCTATTCAAAATGAACAGCCAGAGCTCAGGCAGACAAACGCAGCATAGCTATCATCCTCAGTGCATACAGAGATGGGAGAAGCGATATGCGGAAGGGGTGATATTTGTACTGGAGGGGATACATGGATGAGCAAGAGGAGGGTATAATGGGCTGTGTGCGGAATAAAGCAGGAAAGGAAATGAGGTAGGAGATAAAACAGCATTAGTTACCATAAAGTCTTATCCCAAGAGGACCAACGTCTCGTCAAAGCCGCCAGCATTCACCCACGAGAGAACACAGAGAAGCATGTCAATCCCATTATTTGCGGCTAATCTTCGTATTGTAGATCTTTCTTTGTCTACCGCCATTTCAGCATCAAACAGTCATATTTCTCGGGGGAGGATAGCTGGTGTATATGTATATAGCGGGGGTCAAGCTGTTTAAGCTTGGCCTGGGTGAAGGCCGAAAGTCGAGACTATGGAGATATATCTAGACAATGGCATATAAGCGACGGAAGCGATATCACCCGCATAATCTTAATTACTATAGCCGCCGAGCAGAACCGTCCGTCGGTGTCGCGTGGCTTGCCGTCTGTACAAGACCGTTGCATGCGCTAACCTCTCACAATGCATCGTGCATGTTATCATTGGCTATCCACACGAATTTAAGCTCTGCGTTCCTTGCAGCGAAGAGGATCTGTACTATCGCATGTCTTGTCGTCGCTGTGATTGTGCAAGTGCTTACTATAAACCCCGATGGTGATGTCATTATGCAGGATGCCTAAACTACATTGGGCGCAGTTTGCCCGCATACAGCACACTACGGAACCCCGACTGCAACGGCAGCCCGACCTCGGGAACAACAAAAGCCATTAAACCCACGATAGCTTCAGGTACCAAAGAATTGATAACCTAGAATTTTTTTTTACCCCGGAAATTGTTCTTTCGTATCTTCGAGCTTTCCCCCACTCTGCAAAGCAGCTGAGACAATTGAACTAGCGCAAGATGAACTTCATTTCAAGTACACGCATTATCATCCCATAGGCAGCCATCCGATCACTTTACTAACTACCCCAGGTCTCGTCAACTCTGACGCAGTCGTTAATCCACTACTCGACAATGGATACCTGCCGCACCCTATCATACGTGTGGGTATTCGCCGCCAATTAGCGGAGCGTCTGCAATCCATAGCTACCACATCGCTGGAAGCCGGCTATGAATCCAAGATGAACTACGTAAAGCTGCTCAGGGAACGTCCCATTGCGATTGAGACGGCAGCAGCGAATGAGCAGCACTACGAGGTTGGCACGAGCGTGCTGAAGGGTATGCTGGGTCCGAGGATGAAGTACTCATCCTGCTTGTATGAAAAGGGCGGGGAAACTCTTGCCCAGGCAGAAGTTGCAATGATGAGGTCCTATGTTGAGAAGGCAGAATTGAAGGATGGGATGAGTATCTTGGATCTTGGGTGAGCTCCGTTTCCTATTCTTGACTCCAAATCACTATCACGTGTGCCGAGTCGGAATGAGCGTCTCAAGATAGCTACTAACAACCTGTAGATGCGGCTGGGGCTCAGCATCTCTCTATTTTGCCGAAGTCTTTCCCAACTCCAAAATCACTGGCTTCTCCAACTCCAGGACACAAAAGGAATACATTGACAGCGTCGCTCAAGCCAAGGGATTTAAGAACCTCCAGATCATCACCGGTGATGTCGTTGAATACGAGTTTGAGCCATCTCAGTACGACCGCGTAGTCTCAATTGAACTTTTCGAGCACATGAAGAACTACCAGCTTCTCCTTCGCAAGGTCAGCACCGCCTTGAAGCCCGGAGGCAAGCTCTTTGTTCACATTTTTGCCCACCGCACTACGCCCTATGACTTTGACGGCGGATGGATGACGGAGCATTTCTTCACCGGAGGGACCATGCCTTCTGCAGATCTTTTGTTGTACTTCCAAGATGACTTGAGGGTCAAGAAGCAGTGGTGGGTGTCGGGCCTGAATTACAGCAAGACATGTGAGGACTGGCTTCTTTGCATGTACAAGAACAAGGACAGTATTTGGAAGGGACTGGTGGAGACATACGGAGAGGCAGGTGCACTGATATGGTGGAACAGGTGGCAAGTCTTCCATCTGGCTTGCAGCGAGTTGTTCAAGTGGGATGGAGGTGACACGTGGGGTGTGACCCATTATCTGTTTGAAAAGCCAGAGTAATATGGGGCATGCACTCGGTGAATGCTCGTAGATCCAAATAGACCAATGTTGGAGAATACCCATAATGAGGATTAACCGTTGTGTGACTTGACGAGTGCTCACAAATCAAGATCCATGGCGATGAGTAATGTGTGGAATTCTTTCATTTAGGTCTCTTGGCGCTCTGCGCGCGGGATATCGCAGCTTTCTGCCCTTTCGCTCTCAGCTCCCCCATGGTGTTTGACCTGCGATCTGACTATCTTTGCACACTGTACATATCTACGTTCCGTCCTCTCGAATTGCTCAATGGTCCCATGGGTGCTTCCAGCCCAATAGTGCTGGGCCGTCCTTCTTCGCGCGGTACATCAACTGCCACTATTAGCGTCCTTTCGCACCCATACAGATGCCACGACATACGAAGAACCACATTGAAGCGCCGAGGCCGGTTGCCATAAATCGGTACAGCGGTCGGACAGGGTGGACGTGGATGGGGTGGTTTGGGTGAGGCGCATATTTGGGCGGCCCCATGCGGGCTCGTGTGGGTTGCATGATGTGTGTAGAGCCTAGAAGATGGTGAGAAGCCGTGACGACATACGGCAGCGCGAGTCGGGTCATACCTGCGATATCCGGAGTGCAATGGCTCGTTGACGTCTTTGGTGAGTGAGGTGTGGTTAAGGTCGATCGGAGGTTGCGCTAGTGTTGTGGCGCCAAGGATGTGGCATCATCCGTTAATCGCGTTCCTTGCTCCTTCACTCGCGACAATACAAACGCCTATTTTCATGTTTGCACAATAGCCCTCGCTCCGAGCACTCCGGTGCACACCAGCGCCTACCTTCGCGACCCGATATTTCTCGCCGCATCAATCCACCATACTCGATAGCTTGTTGCGCAACTCCTCCCTGCGGACAAGTCCTCCGCGGACCATTTAGGACCAACAAGCACACCTTTGTTCCTTCCATCACCGAATCCAGCCAGCATCGTCACCGAAATGGCAAACTCGGCGAGTGCGACGCCCTCTCGTACACTGCAGCGCCGCTTCAAGGGATGCAGCAAAATCGGTGGTTACGAGATGATGCAGAAGCTTGGAGAGGGCACTTTTGGTGAAGTCCACAAGGCGCGCCAACTCTCTTCTGGCCACGTCTTCGCCCTTAAGAAGATTTTGATGCACAACGAAAAGGATGGCTTTCCCATCACGGCACTGCGAGAAATCAAGCTGCTCAAGATGCTCTCGCACGAGAACGTGTTGAAGCTAGAAGAGATGGCTGTAGAGCGACCGAAGACTGAAGGCAGGAAACGCGCCATTCTCTACATGGTCACACCGTACATGGACCACGATCTCTCGGGTCTTCTCGACAATCCTGAAGTCAGGTTTCAAGAAGCGCAGATTAAGTGCTACATGCTGCAACTTTTCAAGGGCCTGCGATACCTCCATGACAACCACATCCTACACCGAGACATGAAGGCCGCCAACCTGCTTATCAACAATCGCGGAAGATTGCAAATAGCGGATTTTGGGTTGGCGAGACATTATGACGAGGCGGTACCACAACGAGGCAGGGGCAATGGCGAAGCCAAGCGCGAGTACACAACCCTGGTCGTAACAAGATGGTACCGGCCGCCGGAACTACTCCTACAGCTCCGCAAGTACACACCAGCCATTGACATGTGGGGAGCTGGCTGTGTCTTTGGTGAGATGTTCAAGCGCAAGCCCATCCTCGCCGGCCAGAGCGATATACATCAGGCGCAAATAATATTTGAGCTGGTGGGTTCGCCAAATGACCAGAGCATGCCCGGATGGAATGAGCTTCCAGGAGCTGAGCCTGTCCGCTCTTTCCCACCCCATACCGGCAACATCGCCCAACGGTTCCGCGAACTATCGCCCATTGGACTATCGCTTATAAAAGACCTCATGAGGCTGGACTGGCGGAAACGAATCAACGCCATTGACGCCATCGACCATCCATATTTCCGAGAATCTCCATTACCCATGCGAGAGGAAGACATACCGCACTTTGCAGACTCGCACGAACTGGATCGACGGAACGCCAGGGGTCAGAAACAAGCACTGCCTCCAGCACCCCAAGGTGGCACTGTGGGTGGAGGTCCCAACGGAGAATGGATGGGCCAAGGTCCGCCACCACAAGGATGGCAAAATGGTGATCGTCGATACGGCGGCCCACAAGACCGAGGGCCTCCTGGTGTTGATAGAGGTCACAGAGGCGGCTACGACAGACGCCCGTATGACCAGCGACCTCCCCCACCACCACCAGGCGAGCGAAGACCAAATTGGGGCAACGGTGGAGATCGTGGACATGGCCTGCCTGCACCACCTGCAGATGGCCGACACCCGCTCCCACCTGTACCTCGTTACGGCCCTGATGGTGGCGACCGCCGCAGACATCCACATCCTGCCGCAGCTCCAGCTGGCGACACCTACATACCCAGCTACGGTGCAGAAGGTCCTCGTCGCTCTCGCGAACCAGACGATAGCCGAGCACGTCGCGGGTCCCGTGACTCTGGCAACTCTCGTGAAGGCTTTACCGAAGACCGTCCCGACCGTAGCCGCGCATATCGCGACCGCGCGCCCAACTTTGGAAGAGACAGGCGGGATGGCCGGACACGATCGCGTAGCCCGGACCGTAGGGGGGACCGCGGACGAGATGGTAGGGAGAGGGACACGGATATTTACCGGAGGAGATAGGACACTTCTCAGTCAAGTTTGGGGTCAACGGCAAGGTCACGTTCAATCCTTCATACCAGTCGTACAGACCCAGGAACGAAAACTCACAATACAGTTCACCCACACGCGGACACACTCGTTACAGCCCGTCTAGATACGGACACCCACGTGAGCATCAAGTCCACCCGCCGCCTTAGGCTTGTAGGACATCTCCAACATGTACTTTTACAGTGGCAGCGGTGGTATCAGCAAGGCGTCTTTTGAATCATTTTCCTCGCGATCCGGCGAACGTTTCTTCCATTCTTCCATTTTTTGACACATAAGCGACTGGATTGGAGGGATACACACACAAACGGTTTTCTGCTTTATTCCTGTCTATGTGGTCACGGCATGGCGCTTCGATACGGAGGACTCGTTTGGAAGCACATTATTCAGCCTGGAGACTACTTGGCGGTCGCGCGCGCTGTCTCTTGAGGGCTTTTTTTCTGACACTTGATAGACCGATGATGGATGGGTGGCATGGCATGGCATCCAGTTTGATAGATACCACGTAGTAGTACAACAGGGAGACAAGCAAAATAGTACACTGTAACAAGAATACGAATACGAATATGGAATATTGCAGTTTTTTGGCTGTTGGGATCGATTGGGTGGGTGCTCCTAGGCAACCGGACCCTGAAAACCTGCTCGTGACAGGCATGCTCACTCACCTTCACCTTTCCTCGCTCACACAGTCTATCCTCCTCCCCCGCACCTTGTCTAGGCAGACAAGGCTTCAGCCTCGCAACTTTTCCCTCGACTTCACCGTTCTTCAACCGCTCCTCCGTTCAGCCACCCCACCTTCGTCTTCCATCTGTAAGTGTAGCTCATCTCGTATTATTCCAGAAAACAACATCGTTAACGCCGCTAGTCAAGCAAACCAGCATCGCAGTCGCCATCATGGTTAACAAGTGGACCCCAGAGCTGGATTCGATCGTATGTATACGCCTGGCATACGCGAGAAGAACCAGAACTGTACTAACAACGATTCTGTTGCAGCTCGTGCGGTGTGTCTTCGAGGAGTGCAACGTCTCTTTCAGCAAGGGACTATGCGCAAAGATCGCGGAGCGCGTCACGGCCGCTGGCATGGGTAAGTATTCCCACTCTGCCTCTGTCCATCTTCCTGAGTTCTTTTCCTGGCCCTCATCCCACCTCCCTCTCTTCTTTCTAACCTCTCCGCTAAACGCACACCGGCAGAGTGCACTCCCAAGGCCATTGAGAACCGCCTCTACTCTTGGAAGAGGAAGGCCACCTCCAGCGGCTCTGGTATCAACTCCTCTGCTTCCACGCCCGTCAAGAAGCCAGCCGCCGCCCCCGCTACTTCCAAGGCAGCTGCTTCGCGCACCAAGGGCAAGGGCAAGAAGGTCAATGACGGTGATAGCCCTGAGGGTCTCGTCGACGATGAGGAAGCCATGCGTCAAGCTCGCGACGTCACCTCCTCCGCACCCACTTCTGCCGCCGCTGCCAAGAAGGGCAAGGCTAAAGCTGTCGCAAAGCCCAAGCCCAAGGGCAAGCGCGCCGCCAAGAGGGAACCAGAGTACGAAGACGAGTCTTCTTCTGCTGATGAGGAGGCTACTGTCCACGTGAGCAAGAAGGTCAAGAAGGAGGAAGACGTCTTTGACGAAGATCACTTCCCCCAGTACGAAATAGAGGACGACGATGGAGAGTTTGATTCGGAATGAGTTTTCGACCACTGTTTTTCCAATCACCTTGCTCCCTTCTTTTCTTCCTTCTTTCAGCGTTCCTGAATGGCTTTGGGGATATTTAGGGGTCTGGGTTTTGGAGAATTGGCTAGGTGCGTGCGTGGGGAGTGGGTCGTGCAGGTCCTAATTTTCTCGGGATATGGTAAGAAAAGTCGATGGTGTTTGTGTGGCTTGAGCATGATATCAAGGAGACTTTCGATTGAAAGATGTGCTGCAGCACGAGAGGATGCGTAAGCGAAGCATACATAGCTCAGTACTATAGTTTATCGTAGCCTCCAGCATGCATTTTCCCCTATTAAACGATAGCATATGATGTCCTAATGATAGTTTTGGTGATGTGATTGACCTGATTGGCTCTTGTGATATCTTTATGGCCGTGGCTGCAATTTCTTCTGTATCACACACTCGCTCTTTATATCTACCTTCGCTTGCATAACGACCACTACTTACCGACATTAGTGGAAATCACGGAGCGTCTCGATCAAAAAAGGCTAAGGAAGAGACTCTAGGCATTATAATGGATAACTAGACACGGACTAAGAACACAGCCTAGTGACTCAAACCGTTGCAGTTTAGACGATGCATCAAACAATTGACCCTGATCGTCCTCCAAAGCATCTCAAGTACCAATGTTAAGCGACAGAGCATTCCTAATCCTCGTTGTCCTCGTCTTCCGCGTCGGTAATGTGTGCTCGGTTGTACTCATCGTCGTCATCGTCTGAGGTATATCCTTGGCCGTCCTGCTTGTCGTTCTCGTCAATGCCATGTCTCTGGCTGTCTTCGTCGTCCTTTGGCTCTTCCGCATCTGCGTCCTGCGTACCATCCACGCCAAGGCCTGTATCCCGTGACCCTACTGGCTGTCGCTTCCGCTCATGCCACGCCTTCCAAGAGTTCAGTACGTTCTTTTTATTACAGCTCTTCTGAACATAAATGTCCAATTCCCTAGGAATGGGATGTAGCTTATCCCTGAAATCCTGCTTTGCAAGATCTTCCTCAGACATGGACTTGCGCTGCTCCAGGACTTCAGCTTCGCGCACAAAGTACTTGGCCCAGCAAATCTCATACTTAAAGACGTCTTCGCGCCGCCATGGTTGGCGCTGCTTGGTCCTATACTCGCTGCCGACCGGGGAATCTTCAGCTTCGATTTTGAGATCTTGGAGAATCCACTTGCAAATTTCGACGAGAGGAACATTGTTTGCGTCTTGGACGGCGCGTTGGAGCCAGATTTTGCGAAGGCGACGGACTACATTCTCGTAGGCGACTTGGGGTTGTAGGCCACAAGGTGGAAGCCGGTCGTCCAAGAGGGCGGGCACTACGTGGTTAGCTTACCGTCTTGGTGGGTTCGTGACGCACTAATCATGTACGTGCGGCTAAGGTTGAAGACGTACTGTAAGGCAGTAGTGCACGCTCCTGCTCGAGAGAAACCCGGTTGCCGTCGCGCGGCCTGCCATTTTTGTCAGAGCTGGGAACGAAATCTTCAGACTCGGAGGTGTCGGACCAGTCTGGATCATCTACGCTATGGCATCAGCTTTTGTAGGCTAGAAAAAATCGGATAAACCCAACTTACCCTGTGCTGTAAACGGCGAGCCATCAGATGCGGTCCTGTTACGACCGAGCATCTGTGAAAGCCAGGCCATAGTAAACGATAGTCCGGAATATTTGAATAATACTGTGGCGGGTTTAAGATATTGAAGAGTGGGGGGACTAGAGGGCACCGTGTTGCAAGAGGGGTCGGGGCAGAACAGCAGATGATTAGACCAGTGGGTTGGGTTGGCGCTTGCACCTGCCTGACCAAACGCGCAAACCTTAGGCAGGTGACGTCAGTGCATATCAGGGAAGGGGGCTAGCATAGGAAAATGATTTGTTTCAGACACGGTGGAGACTGCGTGGGAGAAGGCTAGAGAACTGGAATTAAGTTGCGTGACCAGCCACTAGCTCAATCAGTATGCTTAGGACTAGCGGATTGAGTATATGTTATTATCTTGAATCTGTCCGCAGTAAGGATTTGCAATCATTTACAAGGCCTTGCCCATGAACTTCCTCTTGGTGTAGCTTAGCCACCATTTGCTGGGTGTGTTTGTCTCGTCAGCATAGACACGGTTGAGTAACCGTGTGGCCAATTCCTGTCGCATCTGCATAATGTACTGTCGCATCACTTCTGCCGAGTTCCTGTCGGCCGGTGCCTCGAAAGCCTGGTTCAGCGGGAATCCAGCATCGCCTGGGATCGCAAAGTTGGTGTCAAGCGCAATATTCATGACAGCCTATTGTATGCAGTCAGCTTTTGATACTCTCTTGTCCCCACAAACTCCCTCAGGCAGCTACATACCTTCTCGGCTTCTCTCCTTGACATGGCCGGCTTGATCTTGCCCAGCACCTCGCTCACGTATAGGATGCCATAGATGAGCACGCGATCCGCTGGTCCCTTGATTTCGAAGTTGCGGAAAAACGTGTTTGCGCGGAAGAGGGCGAGAATCTCGTCTAAGGGGTCGTATGATTCGTGTGAGGCATCGATGGTGAGCTCGGTGACATCGGCGGGTAGAGCAGGCAGTTGAATGGCAGGGCCGCGGGTTCTTGTGCGTAAGGGAAGGAGGGCAAAGTTGCCTGCTAGGAATCAGTCACACTTTGCATATTCCGAGCTTCATATGTGCAGCCGTACCAATCAATTGCTGGTTGGGCTCATCGAGGAAGACGGAGTGGTAGGCCTAGCGGGGTGTAAGCTACACATGTTCCATAGACCCATGTATTGTATTTGACAGCTCCAGTATGTCCGGCATGTCATGCACTTACAGGCATCTTGACGTCTGCTTGCCTGGTATGCGGTGTCGTGTTCTCGAAGCTCGTCGGAGGTGACGGCGCAGCTCCGCTTGACGAGCGAGGTTCCTCGTACTGTAGGGCTGATCAGGCGGGGGTGACTAAGCCAGCCGCCAATTAACGCGTCTCGCGGCGCGTCTACCACAACTTTCTTGGTAGCAAAACGCATCTGGCACTCTCCCGTCCCTAATTGCTGCTTGTCGGCACTCAAAACTTTCCCAGTAATCTGTACCACTTACAAGCTCATCACCATGTCCGACTTTGAAGATGAAATGGACGTTGATGCGCCTACTGTGGACAACTCAATAAGCTTCGGCGGAGACCAAAAAAAGGGCAAACGGAGTGCTGCAAATCTGCCTGTAGAAGCTGAAGACTCACTACCATGGTAACCCTCACAATATACAACTCTCCTGCCAACTACTGACATGGCCTAGGGTCGAAAAGTACAGACCAAACTCGCTAGACGATGTAGAAGGTCACAAGGACATAATAGCAACCATTAACAAGTTTGTCGACTCAAACGTATGTCCTTGGTCCCTCCTCGAGAATAGTCGCTAATTGTCTTAGCGACTTCCCCATCTCCTGCTCTATGGCCCACCAGGAACTGGAAAAACCTCAACTGTCCTCGCACTTGCACGACGCATATACGGGAACAAGAACATGCGACAGATGGTGCTGGAGCTGAACGCTTCAGATGATAGAGGTATCGACGTCGTAAGAGAGCAGATCAAGACGTTTAGTAGCACCAAGCAAATCTTTGCTGCGGCACCCAGGGCTGGAGATTCGTCGCTCGCAACCTTCAAGCTCATCATCCTTGATGAGGCAGATGCCATGACTGCGACGGCCCAAATGGCACTGCGACGTATTATGGAGAAGTATACAGCAAACACACGCTTCTGTATCATTGCAAACTACACACACAAGCTCTCACCAGCACTACTCTCGCGGTGTACGAGGTTCCGATTCTCTCCTCTTAAAGACCAGGACATTAGGAACTTGGTCGACAAGGTCATTGAAGACGAAAAGGTCAACATCACACAGGACGCTACAGGCTCACTTGTCACGTTGAGTAAAGGAGATATGAGGCGAGCACTTAATGTGTTGCAGGCTTGTCACGCTTCGAGCACGCCGCTTCAGCCACCGGGAAGGCCAGCAGTAGACCCAAACACCATCGTGCGTGATCAGATCACTCAGACGACCATCTACGACTGTATAGCAGCCCCGCATCCCTCCGACATCAAGTACATTCTCGAAACGCTACTCTCAAAGAACGACATGACCGAATGTTTACGGACGGTTAATAACTTGAAGATAATGAAGGGACTGGCACTGGCAGATATTCTCACAGCGGTCAGCGAAGAGCTCGTCACCAACGATGTCCCTCCGCAGGTCATGGTCACATGGATGTCAGGCCTAGCAGACATCGAGTATAGGCTAAGTGGGGGTGGTAGTGAAACCATACAGACGGGCGCAGCAATTGGTGTTGTGAGGACAGGTGTAGAGCTACTAGAAAATGGAAAGAGGTGATCCGTCGCATCACTGCGCCGCGTCCAGCACTCACTCGCGACGGAAATTCATACCAATTTATTTACTCTCAAGCGGCGCGACCGTACCATCGTCATTCCGCGATAATCACAGGTGTGAACGGACCATGATGTGGGGAACTGTGTATCAAAACACCGAGGATCACCGCGGTGATAGGATCAGAGTCGTGTTTTGCGCTAACCGCGCTAGTCAGCATTCACGCGACTCGGACGCGCCTTCCGACTAAGTACCCCGGGTACTTCCACTTGACCGTCAACAATCGATAACAACACTCAACTCACAAGGCCCAAACATTTTGCGATAAGCGGTCGACACGCGCATACTGACGTTCGCATTCGTAAACATTGGGACATTCGCCACCACGTGCCCCGCCATCCGTCCACTATATAATACCCCACACGCTCCAACCCAAACAACTCCCCCACAATGCCAGTAAAAGTAAATCTACCTTTCAAAGATATTCGAAACAAGGCTAAGGTTGAAGAGAGAGCAGACAGTACATCGAACCGACGACTCAGCCTGCGTCGCAGTTTCGACTCATTACCCATGGCTAAAGCACAGGAGTCTCCAAGTCTACCAAGTCGCCAAGACACAGGCCGAATTAAGAAACGACCCTCCAGGTGGCGAGGACCGGTAAGCTCCAAAATCACTGAACAGTCGTGTGGCAAACGTGACTAATGCGTGTAGCAGAAGAACGCTGATACTCCAGCAAGGCCAACGGCAAACATAGCAGCCGTTGCTCAGTCAAACACATCCAGAATGCGCGAAGTAAAGCAGACCGGAGGCAGTCAACAGCCAAAGACGCCCAATGTCGAGCTAAGATTCTCGTTCTCAGCAGATGCAGATGAAAGCCCGGAGCAAGAAGAGCGAAACGCCACCGTTGCCGCAGACCTCTCTCAACTTTCCGTGGCTATCCCGTCAAACAATTCCGTCTCGGATGCAGAAAAGAAGGCATCTCCAGTGCAGGCGGTTGGACCACAGCCCACTATGTCTCAAGTACCTCGATTATCAAAGCCGAAACCAAAACGAGAGGGATACGGGTTCAGCTATTCAGAGTCTTTCATGTATGATTCGGACGAGTATCCAGACACCGAATGCGAATGGGAGCCAGAGAAGGAATCGACGGAGAGCCCTCAACGCCCGGCGCCTTACAACCCTTACCTCAACTGGGATGGTACTCCGTATACTGGCCGTCCCAATTCGAGAGACTCAGCGACTACCATCGAAAACCAATCTTTTGAAGATATGGTCGTGCTCCGCGACGTCGGCTCTTTCTATCTTGCCAGGCCTCAACGGCCACTACCATGTACCCGCGCCACACGCGAGGACACTGTCCGTCTAAAGCGCCAGGCGAAAACGTTGATTGCGAAGTTTGAAGAATCAGCCGAAGTGCAAGCTCAGCTTTTGACACGGATTGAGCGCATGCTTTACACTGGGCAGCAAAGGACAGGGACTCTTACAGCATCCAATCCGATGCTTCACTGTGCGCTGAAGCTGCGCGACTTTTTATTGAAATCCAAAGAGGAGCGCATCGAAACTGGGGAGCATCGTACCAGTGTAGAGCATGAGATTGAGTGGATCAAGTGGTTGGTAGATGCGAGCCGCACAGGAGTGATGCACATCAAGACGGAAGGGTGCACGTGCCGTCCGGATTGGGATTCTTAGAAGGAAGAATCAAGGCCATTGTCACTACTATCGCGACAACTGAATTGGATTTGGGCATTCCAAATACTATACAAAAGAGATGGCTTAACAGACAAACAAGAAATCTAGACCTTTCTAGACCACTTCCCAATGCTTGCTCTCTAGATCGGATCTTTCTGAGACGATTTGGGAGGCGGCTGAAAGCCTATCACTCTGAAGACTACCACCGTTATGGCCTAGCCCCGGTTGCCCCGCTATTTCCAACCTGCCTTTATTCAAGGCAAGCCTCTCCCGCTACACAGCTCTTGGCAAATGACGCATCCACCGTCATGTCGATGCAAAGCCACTATGTGATACAATGTGCCTGATATCGTAAACTCAAGGTCTAGCGGCAATAATTCGCAACAGCATATAAAAAGAGCCACTGTGATGGGTCTTTCCTGTCGTACTTCTGATACAAAAGGCAGTATCATATCTGATTCAACAGTAAGCGCGAATGATTCTTGAAATCAAGCATAGCTGTAAAGAGAACTCTAGATATCTGGAAGTCCAATAAACAATATAACAACATAGCTTCCTCACATGATCTCACCAACGAGCATGGCCTCCGCAATTGCCTCGAAACGAAACAACCAGGAATAGCCAACGTCCAGCTTTTATCAGGAGGCACAGCAAACTACGTCTACCGCGTCACAAAACATGATGGGTCAAAAAGCATCTTCAAACACGCCGCGCCCTACCTCCACATGAACAAATCCTTCGCACTCGACCCGACGCGTATGAACTACGAAGCCCATGTCTTGGAGAAGTTTTCATCCTCAGCGAGTCCCTTCCCGGCGGCTCTAGAAAGCTCAAACGTACATGCAGTATGGCTGTTTAGCTACGACAAGGAACCTAAGCTGCTCGAGATTGAAGATAATGGTAGCCGGAACTTCAAAGACGCCTACACAGACAAGACGTTAGAAATCCCCCTCATTGGGAAGGACCTGGCGGCATGGCTTGCCGCACTACACACGTGTTCTCAAGAAATGTCACTCAAGCTACCAGGTCATATCCCGGATACAAACAACAACCCAATCGCCGTCGACATCTATAGACACTCTTACAGGAACCTGCATACACCACTCTCACTGTTTGGCCACGATCCCCAACTCGCTCACCGAATCGATGACGAGTTCGGGATACTCTTAGCGACAGAGAACGAATGTATCTGCCACGGGAATTTCTGGCCCGGTAACGTTCTCGTACACATCACGGAGAACAAAACAGCTAAGATGACAATCGTGGATTGGGAGATCGTTCGGCGAGGCACTAGTGCAACCGATGTAGGGCAGTTTGCGGCTGAGGCTTTCCTTCTCGACCGCTTCAGAGGTGGCAGGGGCTTGCTTCCCTGCTTTCTTGCGTTCGTATATCACTGCTAGGGAAGATTCCGGTGTACTTAGGAAAACTTGGTTGCGCAGAATGGTGGTGCATTGGGCGGTTCATGTAGCGTTTTGGCCTACCAGAGTTGAGTGGGCGGATCGGGAGGGTACGAAGGAGCTTGTTGATATTGTTGTGGGGGTTCTGTAGGATGTTATAAGCGATGACTGGGAAAAGGTGCTGAGTTCGCTGCTGTTGGAAGAAGTGAAGGATGTGTATGCGACTCTTTTGGTTGAACCTTGAGTATTGCAGTATAGTCCGATACACCAAATCCCCCTCATGTGCACTGGAGAAGCCTTTCGAAGAAATTCCGAGACGAGAAGACTCGCATGTAGAACCACATCCGCTTCTTCCCGAAACGTTGCTACGTCTAGTACCGCCCCTATTCCCATCTCTCTATTGTCTTCTCAACATCATGTAAGCAAACTACATGCCAATATATAGCCCCGTACTCCACTTTCTCATATCATCTCTCACTAGACTAAACACTCGCACACACACAAAGTTAATCGTACCCAACAATAAAGTAGATGGGACAACGCTCAGCGACACGATGTTCACAGAGGAGCAAGAAAGAATGGTCCACCAATTAGCTGCTGAGTACATGCGTAGTCTAAGTATCGTTGTCAACGCAAATAGTACGCGCGACAACAATGTAGCGCCTCCTCCTGCGAATGTTATGGCTCAGGCAGAGGCAGTTCCTTAGATAGTCGGACAACAGCGGAGTTCTCAATTAATAACGCAACAAAGCTCGCTCGTTCCGCGAACGATGCGACAAAGCCGACGCACGCCAATGATGTAGCTCCTTTATCGGACAACAGGCACAGCAGGTGAAACGGGGTGTTGGTGATGGAGGGTGAGATAAGGGGAAAGAGTAGAAATGACGGAAAGGGAGGGGGTGAGGGAGCGTGGAGGGGGTAGTGGGGGTTAAGAAGATGGTTCTTAATGATGACTGCTAGAGGGAGACTTAAGCTTCTCTGTAGCGGCTACATATGTATGTTTCCTTTTTAATCATGCTTATGTGTACATGTGCAGCATACTATTATAACGAAGTACTCCCCAAGAAACTGTCGTAGTAAAATGCATGTTCACACGAGGTTGTTTAAGTTGCATAAGTGTTTGTAATTCAAATGTCTGTATGAGAATGCATGTCATGTGACCTTGTATTGCAAGTCTTCAATGTTGTGGAGACTGGGTGAGGATCGTACTGGGTTAAGGGTACAGGGCTAGAGCTCCTGAGAAAGACTCACCGTTCCCACTTTAGTATCCTATCGAACATGCGTACCGCATCGTCTAAATTCTGTAAGCAAACACACGCTCTCTACATACATACATATATACACCTAAGCTTTCTGCCTCCCTTCTTACTAAGCTCACTGCAAAATGGCCGCTACCACCATTACGACCAGCCTATCTGAATGCCTCACCAGGTCCATCGCTTCCTTCTTCGCTTGCTTCCTATTTCCCCTCTTCCACACAAAGATGCGACGCTTACCCCCAGAGGTTCTTGACGAGGCGCTCGTGGAACGGGATCGACGTGATAACTTTACTCCGGAAGGAGAGGGCGTCAACGGATCCTTTTCTTCCTGCCGTTCTGGATCCCCCGGCTACTTCTGTGGCAATAGTACGAAGGCCGAGGGATATATAGGAAACCGAGAGAGGTCTGATGAGCCGGTTCGCGGGAGGAGTAGTACGGTTAGGAGATGTACAGGGGCTAGAAAAGGACGAGAGTATGGCAATGAAAATGGGGATCCTGCATGCTGAAGCTAGCGAAGAGAGATGCTACTCCGTATTTTCTTCCCAACGCCGGGGTCGAGCGGATGGGTATGGGTAGTAACGTTTCTGGTATCAGTCGATATTCATGGTTCACTATAATAGGAACGTTGGTTCTCAATACGCTATCAAGTTCGTATCTGCAATGATGAGTTCGGTAGGCGTGATTCCGACCATGGCCGGCCCCACATGACTAGGTAGTGGCGATGGCAGATGACAAGCCTGGATCTTCTAGTGTCGCATCTACGATACTGATGCTATATTAGTGTTGCTTTACGGGCAGCGACGTCAATATGGGCTACCGGTCTGGTGACTGGGGTCGTGTCTAACACCGGAACTATGACAAGGAGGGGTCCTCTAGCGATAGATGCGTGAGATCAGCCCAGGAATACACAAACGATACAGAGACACATCGGATCCACGAGAGTTGACACGAGCCCCGCGAAGCTTTCTGAAAAATGACTGTACTGCGCAAGACCTCGTCCGAGAACAAGAAAATGCGAGAAGCAACGACACTCGTGTTGCGACATTTCCCCGGCGCTAGTACCAATTCGGTATAGCCGCCGACATTTGATTGCGAGGTGGACACCACCTACGATCTTCATCCTAGTGCTTCTATTTCCATCTCCACCCAGGGCAAATTGGGTAATCTTGCCATGCTGCCATACGAGGTAATGCATGAATATCGATATCAGACCATGGCTTCAGAGAGAACCGCGTGCCACTACTGCGTTGGTCTCCGTACATATAACATGAAAGACTCCATGGCCGCAATTGCGCTCACGCATCTTCCCCTTTGTCGACATTCCTAAAGATGGGAAAAGTCTCTCGCGCCATTGCGGCCCTTCTCCTGGGTACGCAGGTCGCCATCTCCACACCGCTTCATCCCCGGCTCAACACAAATGAACTTGCACAGCGCAACACATCAGCGACCGCAGGCGACAACGTCATCAGTGTGTTTATTGTTGAATTCGCGAACGAGAATGAGACTCTATCGTCCTTTTACGCGTCTCTCGAGGCCAACGGCGTGCACGCCAAACACCGGATGGACCTGAGCTTCCGTTTGTTCAAAGGCTGTTCGTTCCAAGTCACCGGTTCCAGCGCAAATTCAACCGTTTCTGATAGCAGGAGCTTCTTAAGCAAACTTCAGGCCGTGCCACAGATCGGGAAAGTATGGCCTTCCGAAATCATAAGGCGTTCACCACGTCCAGAGGATGTTACAGCATCTACTCAGAATACACGCGTCAAGCGACAAACACAACAAGAGGATACCTTCTCTCCGCATGTCATGACACAGGTTGACAAGCTTCATAACGAAGGTATAACAGGGAAGGGATTTCGCATCTCCGTTGTTGACAGCGGCGTCGACTGGACACACGAAGCACTTGGTGGCTGCTTTGGCCCAGGCTGTCTCATTGAAGCTGGCTACGACTTCATAGGCGACAACTACGTGCCTGGTTCAACACTGCCGCAGCCTGACAGCGATCCAATGGACAATTGCGTAGGACATGGGACTCACGTCGCAGGTATTATTGTGGCTCAGTCTAAGGGCAACAAGTACGGCTTTACCGGTTCTGCTCCTGGTGCAAAGCTTGGCATGTATCGCATGTGGGGATGCCCAGGGCAGTCCACGAACGAGATTGAGTTTGCGGCATTTGCTCGTGCTGTTGAGGAAGGTGCGGATATCATTTCATACTCTAATGGCGAGGAGTCTGGATGGTCGCAGAATTTCCGCGCCATCCTCGTCAGTCGCATTGTCGACTCTGGTATTCCAGTTGTGGTCTCCGAAGGCAACGCAGGTGGCAAGGGACTCTTTTATGCCAGCACGCCAGCGACTGCTGTCAGCGCTACAGGGGCTGGAGCGGTGACGAATTCCATGTTCCCTACATTTCTCCAGCAGGGCTCCTACAAGGTCGGCGCCAATTCCACGGACAATAGCATGACTGATTTCGGCTTGTTGATGGGCACTCCTCCGTTCGCAGCTGAAACCACTCTCCCACTGTGGTATGCTAGCAACGCCTGCAGCCCGTTGCCAGACGATACACCGGATCTGAAAAATCGTATCGTGCTTGTGGAGTTTTTGGATGCAAAAGCAACAGGATGCTACCCGCAAGATCAGGGTACCAACATTGCGGCAAAGGGCGGACGCTTCATGGTCTACTATGAAAAGACCAACTCGACGATGCGTGACGACCCGTTTGTCTATTCAGACGGTATCGAAGGAGTAGCCAGGGTTGTCCCGTATCACGCTGAACGTTGGATTTCTCTACTTTCGCAAGACACTACCGTCACGGTAACGATGCCCGCCAACGGATCTGCTACTCACCTCGAGCAGCTGGAGAACAATGATAACGGCGGATATGTCTCAGGCTTGTTGAGCACTTGGGGCCCAAGTTGGGAGCTCAACATGACACCTCAGCTCGTGGCACCCGGAGAAAACATTCTGGGCACATGGCCAACAGCTATGGGTAGCTACCGCGTCTTGACTGGCACGAGTATGTCGTCGCCACTGATTGCAGGTGTCTACGCACTGCTTGGTCAAGTGTATGGCAAAATCGATGAGAAGCGTTTCCGCAGGATGCTTACGCATACCGCCAAGCCACTCGCCTGGCAAGACGGCAAGACGGTACACCCTGACATCCTCGCCCCAGTTCCGCAACAAGGCGCTGGAATCGTACAAGCATGGAACGCCGCTCATACTACCATCGAGCTCGATGTCGATAGTCTCATGCTTAACGATACGGAGCACTTTGTCGGCACTCACACCTTCAGCATCTCCAACACCGGCTCCACTGACGAAGTGTTAAAGATGGGCCACAGAAAGGCCGTCACCATGTACACCATGAGACCTAATACTGATAATTTGAACCTCGGTGGCTTCCCCAACGCTATCGTCGATTCGTACGCTAGCATTGCCTTCTCGTCCGACAGCATCACGATTCCCGCAGGCAAGTCCGCCGAAGTTACCGTAACGATCACGCCACCCACCGGCGTCAATGCTACCTTGCTGGCTGTATACAGTGGATTCATTGGTTTGGGTGACAAACTTACACTTCCATACATGGGCGTTGTCGGCAACATGCGTGACGTGCCCGTCATCAGATCCGATAATACCTTCCTCGCACAAGGCTACGGTCCCGTAGCTGCAAACACCACTTACACGATTCCACGACCAGACCCAGCGAACCCGCCTGCTACTGACAGCGGCAGCGAACAGAACGATCCAAACGTATACATCAGTCCGATAGTTGGAATGAGCTTGGTACACATTGACGTTTTGCAAGGGAATGTGGTATTGGGAGAGTTGGCGGGATGGCCACGAATGCATCTGGGCAGAGATGAGGCCCGTGGTTGGTTCAATGGTTTGTTGGCCGATGGAACAGTGTTGGACGCGGGGGTGTATAAGATGAGAGTCAGGGCGTTGAGGATTTTTGGAGATGAGAAGCGCAAGGAAGATTGGGATGTGATCGAGACTGTCGAGTTTGGGATCAAATATTAATTTAGCCGATGATGCTGTGGCTCTTCAAAATTCAATATAATGTATAGTCATCGCTTGCACTCATGCTCAACATTCACGTGATGCGCCTCGCTGGAATCACACCTTTGGGAATTCTCTATGGTATGTAAAAGGTGCTATGAAACCGAATACTGGCGCGTCGGATCAGCTTCCATGACAAAAACTCGCATTGATTATCGCTGCAAAGGCTCGCGCAACATCAAAGGCTGCTGGTGGATAGGTCCACCCCAAGGCGTGAAGTTGACTGTGAGGAATTCCACGTCTTTGAAGCCACGGTTCTGGTAGAAGCGATGGCCGGCAGCACTAGATTCCAGATAAATGGGAAGGCCCAGCTCATCTGATCGCTTGATACCCCAGTCTAGAAGGAGGCTTCCTGCACCGCGGCCTTGATGATCGGGGTCGGTGTGTAGTAGATGAAGGTCTAATATTACGTCAGTATTGAGCATTACGCCGCAAAGAGACGGTCTTACACATGTGCGGCCTGTTTCCTAAGATCTCCCTTTTTTTCTCCGCCAAACCACCAGCGTACATCAGAGTCGCTTCCACGTTTCTGCCAGGCCCGATGTGCGGTGGATCTGTAGGGGTAGCTACGTCATCCGGATTCTGAACGATAACATACTTCGTAAAAGCCACCATCTTCCCCGTAGCCTCATCGCGACACTGCTGGTAGTGAACGGTGGAGTCTTTTTCCCTCAATTCTGTCAGTTCCCGTGCTCTTTGTTGCACGGCATCTGGGGGAAGTGGGCCAGATAGGAGTATGGGTGCAAGAGGGCTGTCCTTGTAGGCAACAAACTCGATCTCGCACGCTCGGAGGATGTCTTTGTCAGACACGTCGCAAACTGTAAGTGTCATTGCGATGAGTGTGTTTGCTGATAAATATGGCAGCCTGGAAATTCGCGAGTACTTATCTCTGGCGTATCGGACTTGGCGCCTGTATGCAGTTTGGTGTCCTTACGCCCTTTTCGTTGGCTTCAGGCAACAGCGTGGTATGCTGATATCTGATTCGCAGATCGAATATATAATCATGTTTTTGTTTTCTAGTATTCTGCGATGATGTTTTTTCAAACGAACTACAAAAAAAAGTCGACAAAGAAATAAGCTTCCGCCAGCTTAAAGGATTCTACAAACGACGTTGACAGTTGGCACACAAAAAGCCGATCGGCTAGCATCGGCGGCACTCAGCACAGACCCGGGGCATTGCTGAGAGGCAACTCCAACATTCTAGTTGCGTGACGGCACTCTGTAGGCATCTCCAATGAGCTGAATATACAATCATACAAAGTCTTTTTGGTAAATATCTTGCCAAAAGTGGAGGAGTTTTGCCCTCATGGTGTATGTTCCGGCCAGACGAAGGTCTTGAAGCACGTCCTTGGAGTTTTCCACTTTCGATGGACCACGCTAAGCTGTTTCAAGAAGACGGTCTCGAAAAGTAACTTGACACGGATTTCTATGCTCTGGCGCTTAATCAAGCCACCGGCTACATACAGCAACCATAAGATATGCTTGGAGAGGATGCGCAGCGTGGGACATGCACTGCGTCCACAAGGCGATGAGTGCGTAGTCCCGGAATGAAGCAGCTATTCCAAATGTCGACGACAGTTTGTACTTATGTGCAGAGATATGCTGCAAAGATACAAGCTATAGATATGTGATTCTGGGATCCCTCGGAGATTTGTAAATTGTAAAGTTAATCGACTAGTCGAGATGTCAAGTCTGCTTGGGAGCTGTCGAGTGCGGGTGCCTTACCCGAATTCGCAGCACATTTTTCAACTTTTGCGCAAATCAGATCTGGGTCTTGAAGAACAAAAGCGTGTTCTCTGTGGAGGTGCTAGCAGCTCTATCATAGGGGGCACTCAAACACAATGTTGTGTATGTCCGAGCCATCAGACTCCGCAACAATCAATCGATTGACATGATTGATTCCTATATAGGTTAAAGAATTACTTCATTAGGCAGCCTTTAACCTAGATAGGAATCAATCATGCCGATCCGATTGATTGTTGCGGAGTCTGCGAGCCATGCTGTTTACTTGCAACAATACGTCATATAGGAGCCGGCTGGACAACACAACACGCGTCACCTATAAAATACAATAAAATTCTCTCAGTACGTCTTACTCACTTCAAACTCCCATCGCGACCATGAATCTCTACTGTGGGTTACTTCACTTTTACCTTTTACCCGAGCCTATATACACTGAGAGAAGTGCCAGGCTCTCAAATCATTTCAACATTAAAGGCGAGACAACGATGTCCTCGCCCACGGTGCAATTTACACCTGTCTACGACGGATCACCTAAGCGTGGGTACCAAGTAGAGTCCGCAACAATCAAGCGATAGGCAGATTGATTACCGGATTAGGCCTCGAAAGATCACTATCTGGTCCGTGACAGACCTAATCAGGTAATCAATCTGCCTATCGCTTGATTGTTGCGGACTCTGGTATCAAGGTCTGGACCAACTCAGACTAAGAGACTCGGCTTAGAATGAAGACTACAAGAGTGAAATTACCCGACCTCCGCAATTCGAGACCGGGAAAGATCAGTCCAGGGCCCAGGCCAAGTTATCGCGAAGACCAGCAGATAGGAAGTGCATCCATGAGATTTGCGCCGATTGGAGTCTACAAGGCTCCTGCCCTATTAACCAATACAGCCCCAGCAGCCAACTGATTACGAGATATACGACGCGAAACATATAACATGTTTTATAAGCGAGCCGCCAGTACAAGCGAGCCGCCACCTAACCAACTTTCTACACCTCTCCTATCTTAACATACAATGGCTCTACGCAGCGCGCCTCAATTAGCTTCAAATGAAGCAGATATACAGCTTGCTATCTCTTCTATTAATGCGCATCAAATTAATAGTGCTTCTACTGCTGCAGCTATATATAATGTCCCACGTACGACACCACGTAACCGACGCGCTGGTATACCTGCACGACGCGATTGCCAGCCCAACTCAAGGAAGCTTACCCAGAGAGAAGAGGAGGTGATTATCAGCCATATCCTTCACCTAGATCTACGTGGATTTGGGCCTACCTACGTTGATGTACGAGATATGGCTGATAAGCTGATAGCTGCACGCGGCGCTAGCCTAGTTGGCATCCACTGGCCGCGCAACTTTGTCAAGCGTACAGATAGCCTTCGGACGTGTTTCAACCGAGCGTACGATAGGCAGAGAGCTCTCTGTGAGAATCCAGCCCTTATCCAACGCTGGTTTAAGCTAGTAGAAGAGACAAAGACTGAGCTTAGTATCTGCGATGAGGACACATACAACTTTGATGAAGCTGGCTTTATAATGGGCAAGATTACAACGCAGCTGGTCCTAACAGGATTAGAGAGAAGAGGCAGGCCAAAGAGTATTCAGCTAGGCAATCGCGAGTGGGTAACGCTAATCGCTGCCATCAGCGCTGGTGGCTGGTCAGTGCCACTATTCCTTATCTTCGCTGGCTAGTACCACCTATCAGCCTGGTATGAGGAGGATATCCTACGCGACTGGGCGATCGCAGTCAGCGACAATGGCTGGACGAATAATGAGCTTGGAGTTGAGTGGCTAAAGCACTTCAACGCTCACACGCAGGCTCGTACTATAGGCGCGCGTCGCCTGCTTATTATTGATGGCCATAGGAGCCACTAGTCTCTAGAGTTCTAGGAGCTCTGCAAAGAGAACAATATCTATACGCTCTGTATGCCTCCTCACTTATCTCACCTACTCTAGCCACTTGATGTTAGCTGCCTCTCGCCATTGAAGCGCGCGTACAGCCGTGAGGTGGAGAGCCTCATGCGCAACCACATCAACTACATCACTAAGCTAGAGTTTCTGCCAGCGTTTAAGGCTGCGTTTGATCGAGCGTTCACGCCAGCCAACATCTGCTCAGCCTTCCGCGGCGCAGGCCTTGTTCCTCTACAACTAGAGGCTGTTCTATCAAAGGTAGATGTACAGCTGCGTACACTTACTCCTCCAGCAGCTGCTCTACCAGAGGCTCCCTGGGTAGCTCAAACACCAAGCAACGCGCGTGAGCTTGAGGCTCAGTCAAGCCTTATATGTTAGCGCGTGCGCCAGCATAAGAGCTTATCACCAGCTTCGATCATTAAGGCGATTGACCAGCTAAAGAAGGGCGCTGAGGTGATAATGCTCTCTGCTAAGCTGATGCGCGATCGGATCTCTAGTCTTGAGAAGGCCAACAGCGCAGCCTCAGCGCGTAGGCAGCGCTCTAAAAGGCGTATACAGAAGCATGGAGTACTCACAAAGGGAGCTGGAGAGGATATACTGGCTCAAAATGAGGCTGACCAGCAGATTGCTCATGAAGAGCGTTAAGGAGGAGCGCGATCAGGCGTCAGCTAGCGGGCTCAAAGGCGCTGCACCAGGTGCAAGGAGACTGGGCACAACTCACGCACATGCAACACTAATACTATCAATATAGAGTAATCTACTGTATCAATATCTAGCAATAGTATTATCGCGTTGTTGAGATGCGTCGCTTTGAAGTTGCAAAAGTTTGGTTAGGTGGCGGCTCGCTTGTACTGGCGGCTCGCTTATAAAACATGTTATCACTAGAGATGATCAAGCCCTGTCTTGACATACTGCCTTGGAGCCAAGAGAAGAGAGTCCGACTCCGAGGTGCCAATAGCAGAACAGTTCTGTAAGAGTGAGTGATACTACTACGTACACTGTATCTGCAAACACCAACTGACTCGCTGCGATACCTTTTAAAGAGTTGTGGAACCCCCTGCCAGGCATCTTTCACCCTATCCGCTCTAATAACAAGCGTGATAGGGATATGAGGAAGTACCGCGAAGAGACGGAGCAGCTGGGATATAAAATCGTACGTCGAGATATCAGCTCCAAGAAACCCGTAGCATGTAGCCGCATCAAAAGTTAATACAATCTGCGCCTTCGCGGGTTGAGTTGTGGTTATGAGCAGGACACAAGAGCGGCTGCGTGTTGGCTCATTGGGAGCGAACTTGAAATGCATTACTAAAGCACGTATAACTACATACTTGACAGGTAATGTGTTATTACTTTCCCTTGATGTCCAAAATTGTGGCATGTTTGTCTACTATCAAGCTTGCGAAGACAGGCATTACCATCTAACACATAGTCATAACAGCCATCACCATACTACCACATCATGCGGAGCATCTCTGTAACCTCCATGTTAGTAGATGACTCTAGGATATTCTATTGCCTTACTTACGTGCACTTGTAACGCCCATTGTACTTCCCGATGTCGATACAACAGGTCTTATCAAGGGGGTGTCCATAATACTTTGCCGGGCAACGACAACGCTCGGTGACGCCGTCATAGCGGTACACACCAGCAGCGCAGCGATTTTCGGTACCGGAATATGTGCATTGGCAACGGAATCCCACTGTGCAGTCTTGGACGGTTGTGCGACTGCAATCTTCATCTCCTAGTACTGGAAGCACAAGCAGTGCAAATTGAAGGAGGGTGGTTGCCTTCATCGTGAGTCTATAGATCAGAGTCAGCATGATAGAAAAAAATCGCAAGGTCTGATACGCACTGTATGGATGGATTGTTCTACGGTGCGAAGCTTTCGTTAAATAACGTAATCGATGGTTCTTCAGACTGGTACACCCAGAATGGGTAACGTGTGGACTCTTGTAGAGAACAAAGAGAGATGCTTTCCAAAAGACGCAGAGAAGAATGACCCTTTTTATTTTGCAATGCTAGTACATATATCTGACTAGAGTTGTGCACAGTCCTGGGCTTAATGCGCTTATCTTTGAAGGGCTACCCTTGGCCCAATCGGTGAGTTCCTCGATGACTTCTCTGTGGAGAGCGGCATGTCACAGATGATGAAGGTGGTATGCATGCTCAATTTGAGATTATTTCAGCTTGGCAGAATACCTAGGTACGTAAAGCTGTTCGGTGGCTCATGGACACGTGCTCTCTTGAGACAGTTCGCAGACTATGTAGCACGGAGACTAGCAGAACCAAAGTGCTTACCGCGTACGTTGAACCTGAGCTATAGCACGGTGGCGACATGGGGCGGCAACCGGTAACTAGATAATCACATTTAGTTGAAAACGTCGCACCGTTTTATTGCCGCACGAAAAGCATAAGCTGACTATTATCAATGCTAAGGCCCGTATTTCTCCCCGTTACTACGTAATTATGGGTACGCTTGCGAGAGATGATCATGTTTTCGGCGCTTCTGTCGGGAGTTTTGGTAATTACAATAAGCTACCGGTAGATATCGTGCCAAAAAGCAGCAATTACCAATCCGCGCGCAAAAGCAAACGCAAACGTTTCTCAAAATTCGCATAGAAACTTGAAGTAAAGAATATTCATTTACATATCTGTCAAAAAAGGCGACCGTGTACTTTGTTTTATCATTCCAAGAGGATAGGGAATCATTACTCTAAGCGCTTCTAATACGCCTTTGGACGCCGAATGCCTCCGGAACAGAAAGTAACGCGTGCGCGTTAGCTCCTCCGTATGTTAAGCTCGTCACACCTACTCTATCATCATGCGCCAACTTTAGTTGACTAAGCAGTGGCCGTAGTCTTCCCTCAAAGTTGCACATCGGGTTTGGCGCCCCCAGCTTTCCCATTGGCGGCACGAAACCGTTCGAAACGGCAATTGCCATCTTAATCAGACTCAGCATCCCGCTCGCTGCCTCAGTATTGCACCCGATGGCACAGTGAAGCCAACCTTGTCGACTGAGCCATCGGACCCTATTGCACAGCCCTCAATAATAGCATACACTGCTTCGTTTTCGCGCCGCGCCGCACTCAATGTCTTGATGACCACGGCAGCTACTGTATCGGCTGGTACTGATCCATCGGCGGCGGCATCAAGCGGACGATAGTAGCCAGAAGGACTGAAGACCTGGCCCGGCGCTGTCACGTAACCGCCCAACTTTGGACAATGGACAGTGACTCCACCAACAAGGGCGGCGGTACAAGTCTTTGCACGCAAAGCAGAGAGTGCTTGCTGTAGAGCAACCAACGAACTCGAGCATGCAGTGTTGAGCGTCGCATTGGGCCCCGTCAGGTTGAGCTTGTACGCCGTGAACGTTGAGATGGGCAGGCCGAGCAGTGTGCGATGGCGCGCCTGGAAGCTATCCGCAGGTGAAGGTGTGCCGGGTGCATCTTTGTGTGTGTTGTATGCCGCGCCGATGAAGACGCCGGTGGGGTTTGGTACGCTCTTGGTGATGGAGATGTTGGCGTCTGCAAGCGCTTGAGATGCAACAGAGAGGAACAGGAGTTTCCGGATTTCCTTAGTAACGAACAATCTTTCGACGGGGCGATAATTTTACCTGCGGATCTGTGAGGTTTGCCTCATCTGGCTTCATGTTTCATGCTTCAGCTTTGATCAGTGGCAGTTCGGGCAGTGAGCCGTAACGAGGTACAAAAATCTCATCTTCTGTCATGTCACCGGGCGGCAACGCCTCTTTGTGAGTCACAACTGCCGACCGGCTCTCCATAACAATCTTCCAGAAGCTATCGATATCGACGGCACCAGGAAAGTAGCCGGCAAGACCGACGATAGCGAACTTGTTGTGGTCGAGGTTCGAAGAATTGCAAAGAGACGTAGCAGCTGTGTGAATGTCTGAGTCGCTATCACTGTCGGAACTACTGTCAGAAAGAACATATATCTGCTTTGGCGTTCCTAGCTTGCTTGACAGAAATTCAGCTTGTTTAGTAATGGTAGGCGCCTCGGAGATGTCCAGTAAGCTCACTTTGCAGTTCGGGAAGTGATTTACGATACGCTTGTGAGGTTCTGTCAGAGTGATGCTGTGTCCCCCAACCTCAAAGAAGGACGTGTCAAAGTTTGGTGGACTGTTCAGCTGTAGAGTCTGCATCCACGAATTCCTGAGGACTGCCGAGACACCCGACTGGTCTTTCTTTGGGGGCATGCTGAATTGCCTATAGCGCACTGTATTGGTCTCAGGGGAGGATGTAAGTAGAACCCGTAGCTGTCTAACAACCGCTGCACGGTCTATCTTGCCGTTGGCGTTCATCGGCAGTGCCTGGACAGCAGAGTCCGCAACAATCAATCAGATCGGCATGATTGACTCCTACCTAGGTTAGTGATTACTTGATTAGGAAAGTGCTATACTTAGATAGGAATCAATCATGCCGATCTAATTGATTGTTGCGGACTCTGCTGGACAGCAAAAAAGCGAGCGGGAAGAGAGTAAGATGGCATGTCCAGAGCCAGTCTGCTACGAATGACTTCTCATGGAGCCGTCTCTGGTACAATGAAATCTACCAGCGAGTCTCCATGTACTAGTTTGCACTTCCGGGCTATGATCCAGAATGCTCTTCTCAATCTCTTGCAAGTCCATACGATAACCCTGTGGCTTGATCTCGCGGTTCTTCATGCGCCCGCCAATGTGCAATCTTTCATGCTCGTCCAAGAAACCCTTGTCGCTGATTCGATACATGGCAGTATCGTGACCATCCAGCTGGATTGTACGAAAACGACTCTCGGTGAGCTCGGGCTGCCCCTTGTAACCGCAAGAAACCTGTGGGCCAACGATACAATTCTCTCCATGCTTCCCAATTGGAAGTGAATCGTCGCTATCTTCGGAACAGACTCGGAGGTCGAGTTTGGGAAAGGTTTGCCGATCGTAGATGGTAACGGAAGCCGAGGATCGCTGCGCTGATCTTCCGCGATAACTTCCACTGTCACAATAACGCTGGAATCATTAGCCAAATTAAAGAGCAATAAGATGGTTTGGGAGCATACGTTGTCTCTGTCGGACCGAAAGCGTGTAGGAACTGAGCTTTCTGTCTCCATCTGCCGAGCAGCCCAGCGGAAGAAGGCTCGCCTCCAACAGATATCATCCTCAATGAATCCAAGCTCCGTTCAACAGGAATCTTGGAAAGTACCGAGAGCGTTGTGTGAAAGAAATTAATCTTGTTCTTTTCGATGATAGTGGCGAGGTATTCCTCTGGGTGATCGACGAAGCAAAGGGTTGCGCCATACGAGAGCGTCACTACCCACTCCAGGACGGATGCATCGAATGCGAAAGTCGCAAATTGAAGAACTCGACTGCCTGGTCCAAGTTTCACAATGCTACGCGCAGTGCTCACATAAAGGCTTAAATTGGAGTGCTGTACCATGACCCCTTTTGGCTGCCCGGTTGAGCCGGATGTGAAGATGACTTTCGATCGTTAGCATCATCATATTGATTTTGATACATTTGAAGTTAATGTGGGCGAGATCGTCGTCTCTTTGAGCTATCTTCAGCAAAGTGACCGATTGTGTCGACAGCTCTCGCTCAACGGTGTCGAGGCTTACTACTGTGATGTCCAGGTTGGATAGAGTCTGCTGAATCTTGAAATCGTCGGTCACCAGAAATCGTGCTTCAGATATAGAGGCAATAGCAGCTTTGCGTCTGTCTGGTAGCTTCTTATCGAGCACAACGTAATATGCGCCCGCTTCGAGGATTCCAAGAAGCCATATAACTGTGTTGAACACCAGAGATATGCAGCAATACTCCGTCGCCAGACGCAACCTTGTTTGCTGCGAGATAATTTGCAACCTGACTACTTCTGTTGGCTAGTTCGCGATATGTCATGGCCTCAGTGCGCTCTGCAGAAGACAAGGCAATGGCGTTGGGCTGTGCGGCTGCACGCTGCTTGATCCAAGTATGTACCCGGGAACTGCTGATGGCTTCGACGTCCTGTAGAGATAGGCCATCGAAAATGCTGGCTACTTCGCGTTCCCCCAAAAATGGCAGATCGTGCAGTTTGAACTAACTGTTCTGTTGTGAAGACTTCATGGCGCTGAGAAATTCGCCCTGCAGTTTCGCCATAGTTTCGTCACCGAATACGTCCGGGTTCGCAATGACCTAGATATGTTAATCGGCAAAAACAGCGACAAGGGGCATCGTAAGCTTACACTGAGAGAAACTCCATCTTCATGCTCTGGGAAGCAGAAGAAAGATCCCAAACCCCCTCAACCGGGTAGATCGAGCATGTTTGTTAGCTAGCTTTGGTGAGAACGTCACAGCCAGCTTGGACTTGAGCTGAGACTCATTCATCTGTTTCCGGGCCTCTTCAATCAAGCTGAGGAAAGGGTACATCTCATGTTTTTTGACATTGGAGAGGTTCTTTCCAAATGCCTTTCCAGCCTCGGCAAAGGTGGCATTGTTCTGCAGCAGGTGCGCAAGCGGGATCTTCACTGGCATCCATTGCTATGTCAGCTCCTATAACTTTGAGTATTTTTGTTATACGACCTACTGTATTGGCCATGTGAGAAACACATTTCTGGAATTCCTTGAGGCGTGCGCCAAATGCCACGAAAAGAGCCCGATCATGATGCGGCATAGGTTCCGCGTTACCGTCTGTGACCAAGGCGACTATGGTCGAGGCAACCTGAAACCAGGACGTCTTATAAAGTCCACTCCACTTCTGTAGCCCCTAGTTGGAGAAAAATGCCCAGGTGTGCATACGGCGGTAATCACCGTTATACTTTGCAGGAGGGGTAACGGACCACTAGAAAAGACTCGTGTACGCGATCTGCGATAGCCAATACTCTCTGGAGGCTTGCCCGCTTGTGCTTCTCAAGTAGGCATCCTAAAGGAGCTCTGTCAATGCGGTCATGATAGATTGAATAGTGCTCTGTACCTATTTCTGGACGTATTCACCGTATGAGAGGCCCAGTTCCTCAGTGGCTAGCTGCTCCGTGGGAGGCTCGAGAATACTGAGGATCTCCTTGGACAAAACACTCAAGCTGAAACCATCAGCTGCAATGTGGTGGCCAACGGCGAACAGCCCGAATGTACCTAGGTAGTATCGCAGTAGACAAGACGTCAACAACTGCATATGAGAACTGCGTCGATTGTCCTACGGAGTAGATACACAAGGTTATATACATAAGATATACGTAAGCACATAACGGCAAAGGAGTGAAAGTGAAGGTTGTAGAACATCCGGCCAAGAAGCATCGGGCCGATTCCAAGAAGGGTAGTCCTGAATGGCAACAGGTAGTACGGAGCTTTCCTGCCTCAAATCTGACGTTGTGCAATATGACCTAGCGGACCGGAAATTCCGAGGAGAGGTCGAAGCTGCGACGCAAAGAAGACGAGAGTTTGTCTTGTGAGTGAACTGCCATGAATGGTCTATTCGCAAGATCATTCCCGTCAAGGTGGAACGTCGTTCTTAGCATCGGGTGGGTTTTTCCCATGGTTTGAACGACTGCGGAGGGTGAAGCTGTTAGCTCAATTCTGCATTGACGATATCGTAGAACTTACCTTCCAGAAGGCGCTCTAGCGTCGGACTCAAGGAAGTTAGGTCGACTTCGAGCCTCAGGTAGTAGTGACAGGCATATGGTCTGACCAAGTAATCCAGCCAGAGCGCTTGCTGTACTTTTGGGAGGGAAATCACAGAGACGATATCGCTTGGTGAATCATGGCGACCATGGAGTTCTGAGCTGCTTGGGACACGACCGCTCAGGAAAGGCATAGGCTTGAGTGACATGATGAAGGAGTCGTGCTGCGAAGGATCTGCTTGCTGGTGTTGCTCGGGATGGCGACCCTCCTCTTATACCTTTTAAACACTGTTTTTGAGACAGTATTGTTTCTCGGCGAACATGTTCCTTTAGGATTGGTCCTTCGGGGTTATAGATTAATGGCCTAGAAACATTGACTAGTACATACCCATCCAGCAGCTTTCCATATCCAATGCAAAATAATTGGGATCTGCGGTTGTATTCATCCATTCTTTTCGATATCAACAACTCATTGATCCTAGATGGATGGCTTGATCTCCAAATGAGGTAAAAGCTGTAAAAGGTATCATATATGCCTGTATCTTACACATCTTACGTATCTCCTCAATCCTAAGGGTCCTTCACCGGGCGAACAGGATTAGATTGTTACTGTGCCGCCCGGTATATCTCAGATTGGCAATTTAGCAAGAAAGTCTTGAAGCAAGGACGTTGCATGCTGATGGGACTACTGAAAATTTCTTTTTCCATAGCCTGTGAAAGCCAGGAAGAAGCTCAGCAGACAACACTAAAAGCTGACGTTCACTTTAGTAAATGTCTATCATGTTGATGATTCCTCCAGCAGATCGAGTGGCGCGAGGTGGTTTGAGTGGACGCGTTTTTGTCAATGTCCTCTTCTGGCAGAGTAGATTATGTAGTGATTGATGTCGTGGTCCCGACCCTTGACATTGTCAGAAACAACAGCTGGTGGACTTTTCGGTCCATCGACATCCATTTTCTCGGGAAGTACTAAGTACGGTACCCGCATGATAATGAATCGCAATGGCACACGTTTAGTCCAGGATATTCTCGCGGGTCGATCTTGACCAGAGCTGCATAGGTATGAAGACTAGCACTCGTAATCAAGGAGAACCGCTGTACCACCTCTTACCGGTAATGGTAGGTTTAAGAACGCACCTGCCAGCTCAGTGCAGGGTTCATGTGATCAGGATAACCGTCGGAAATCAAAAAAGTGACAAGACTTCAACCTTGAATGTTCACATGCATGCACGTTGCGCTTTCTCGACGCATCAAGATCTCTTTGTGGAAAAGCAAAGGCACGTGGTCGAAGGAGTCGCCAAAAAGCTCACAGTCAGACGGTGTTTGTGTGCCGTGTGTTGGGGAGGTGTAGCCGGGAATAAAGTCATATGTCGACCCCTGCGCACTAACCCCGTTCACGGGCTATGGGACGGCCCTTCTTCGAACCGCTGCGGATATGTACGTAGCAGCGCCCGCCTAAACTCTTGAATCAGTCAAGCATTTTTCGCTCAGCATGTTTGTTCGAAACGAGTCTGCATGACAGCGGTCCGCCCAATAGTGACCGGCACTGTCTTCCAAGGATTTGCCGCCGTCCGTAGAGTGCAGTTGCACAGCCAGGGGTGCCCTTCACGCACAGCAAAAGGGCGCAGTGTTCCTCGGGGAAGTGCGAGTGCACCCAGCTGCGAAGTTTAGCAGGGCCACTTTTTCATTAAAGGGCGTAGTGCTCGTTAGTGAAAAGCGTCTGCAGTTGCTCGCTCTCAGCCTCCATTCCAAGCTCAGGGTCCTTTGACTGTGTGTACCATCCATACCTTGCCATAGATTGCAGTCTGCGACCATCCAATATGCTTCTCCGGAAGCTACAGGCTCTGCCAGACCGCACGGCTGGGGGCAGCCCCTACTACATTCTAGCCGTTGTGTACGTATCAGTATCAAGTGCTTTGGCGTTTCACTAACACATGTTTTGCAGGTGCTCTGCCATGTTTCTTGATCTTGCAAACTTGAGCGCTATCACAATTGCACTTCCCACAATCCAGAAAGACTTCGGCATCAACGTCAGCGACCTTCAATGAATCATCTCCGCTTATGCTCTCACGTTCGGTGGGTTCCTTCTGCTAGGTGGTCGCGGAGGTGACGTATTTGGGTAAGACTTTATCAGAATTCCCGCTTTTCGCAAACTCAGCTAACGTGCATTCAAGACATCGTCGTGTTTTGCTGTTTGGCACGGTCTTCTTCGCCCTGTTCAACTTGGTTTGCGCTTTGTCCTCGACCTTCATAGGACTCGTTGTCGCCAAAGCGTTCCAGGGTATTGGGGCAGCGTTCACCATACCTTCAGCGCAGGCGCATATTGCCCTACACTTCACCGACCCAGCCAGGAAGGCGAAAGCCCTTGGAATCTGGAGCGCCGCAGGATCACTGGGGTTCATCATTGGACTCATCCTTGGCGGTGTCCTAACCGCATTCCTCGGCTGGCGATTCATATTCTATGTGGGCGTACAACAGAAAGGAGAGAACTGGTTGATTATTCTACTGAGTAGAGATGTGTGCTTATATACATAAGATATGCATGAGTACATGACGTAGATAGTAGAGTGGTGAAGGTTGTAGAAGATGCTAGAAGATCTGATAAGAGTATCGGGCTGACGCACGGACACCCAACTGTGTTGGCTGACATTCTACGTATCTGTGATTATCTCCGGCATCGTTATTCCCGCGGCGTATGTTCTTCTTCCACGAGTACGGTCACCTCGCGCTGCTACTCCGCCTCCTGTGGACGGGAGTAACACTAGCGAAAGCGCAGCGGCACCGAAGAAAGCGCTTCTTCAGTCCGTTCGCGAGCGCCTAGTTCGATTCGACGCCCTAGGCATCTCTCTTGGTATTCCTAGTATTCTCCTTCTTATCTATGCCCTTGCGTCTGATCCAAGAATCTCACTGACGATATCGTGTTTTGTTCAATAGTTCATCGTCGGCTGGGCCCTTTCTATCCCCGGCATTCTCCTCTTCAGCTTCATTACTGAGCACAGTTCTTACTGGCGTTACAACTTCCCGGGCATGATCCTATACATTGCCGGTATTGGCGCTGTTTACATAACCGCCAACTTTGTCGTGGTCTCATCCGCGTTCAGGTCGGATCACGGCGCAGCTGCTGGTGTATTTAACGTCGCGCTTCAGGTCGGTGGTAGTGTGCTGGGCTTAGCCGTACTTATGGCAGTGGCGGAAGGCATCGAGAAGAAGTACGGCGACGCGAACCTTCCCCAGGGCGAGCTTAGTGGTATCGGGTATAAGAGCGTATACTACAGTTGTGTGATCTTGAGTGGTATTGGGCTCTTTCTTAGCGTCTTCGCTATCCAGGTACCAGACAGCATGCGCGGGTCGCTTTGGAAGAAGCCTGAAGCAAGTGCCCCTACCGAAACCTCCTCGTCCTATGAGCTGCATCCGACCCAGTCACGACAGAGCTAGACTTGGTCCATTACACAACTGGTTGACGCTACTCCATCGCAGAGCTTCCTCTGCAGGGGTAACGGAAGCTTCAAGTTGGAGTCAAGAAGAAGCAGAAGAAGTGATAGTATGTGTATAATGTAATATGAGATGGATTTTTCGAATGGGAACCCAATCCCCAGTAGGATCAAACGCACCGTGGTCACGATTGCTGCAGAGACAAACGTAACACAGGTAAGACCTGCTACCATGGCAGTGTGCGAAAGCATCAGGAGGCGAAATGCGTTGAGTACTGTCGAGTGAGCACTAGGGCGGTAAGTCCGGATTACCCAGCGATCACTGTTGTGAATATCTTTGCCACATTGGCACGGGGATATAAGAAACTTGACACAGTGCTGAGATCTACCTGGACTTTCGACATCGTGCTGAAATCTACCCGAAATCTCGCGCTAGTGCCTGCTTCACGGTGCCCAGTTAAGTTTTTAATGATACCCCCGTGCTGGCACTAACTTAGCGCAGACGTGGGTCTTCGATCCTCCAGGGCTGACCATTGAATCCTTCCGTCACTGTGACATCACACAAGCGAAACTTCATGTTGCGATCACCATCGCACATTCAAGTATTAGTTTCAATCAACTCAACGGCTTCAGGACGGCACCGAAATGTACAAATACCCGGATTCAGGCTTCACCGCACGACAATGCAGGGGTGCTGGAAGCTTAGGCGCTTACTCAGCCCTGGATGTACCTCCGTGTGGACATCAGACAGCCATGTCACAGTAGACTATGGCGCTAGACACAGTGTCAGAGTGGCACGATGCGACCTATTAGCCAGATCTTTGCCAGAAAAGAACTTGGGAGTGAATCAACCGGTCGGCAGGGATAGACCGGGAGCACAGCAGCACCTACAATACGTCCCGCATCCACAAGATTATGACGGTTTCGTTGAGAACTTCGAGAGATCGCACCAATCTCGATTTTTTTCCATGTTTGCTCGCGAAGAGTGCCCTATGTTCAATTGCCGCTCTAAAAGGGCATCGGTAACTACCTGCTGTATCTTAGCGTGTGCGGACCTTGGCGAGAACGGTGGCGTACCGAGCTTGGCATAAGAGACACCAAGAAGCTATAGCCAAGAGAGTTTAAGCATGAGAGGTTGATCAAGCTCGTAAAAATAACAGTCTAGGGAACAGAGTACAAGGTATCCAAGAAGCGTTGTTACTTAGTAAGTCATTCGGGGTCCGTCTGGAAGGCCAGGATGAGCGAAGCAGCGCCGTCTGCTTGCGGCGGGGTATGCAGAAGTTGCATAAGCAGCAACGATAATCCCATACTGATACAAAATACTGACAAGGTAGATCGAATTTGCTGTGCAGTGCCTTCTCAAGAATGTGCGCTCGAAGGTAAGCTTGAAAAGGTCGAGATTGCTGGCGTGTCTTTCATGGCTGTGGCCCGTGCGTTTGCTTATGGACAGGTCCAATCACTCGTATGGCATACGCGTACGCCTACGTTTGAAGCGGCGGTAAAGAGCCCAACCCCTCATCCTGACTGCCCACCTTCATAACTGCCAGCAAAATCCAGTTTGTGGATTCAAGAGTCCAAATCCAAGCTCTCCTACTTGCATCCATACATTCTTATCCCGAGCACCAACAATGCCATTCGACTTCGAAAAATATGATGAAAAATGCTCTCAGATGTCACCAGAACAACTACAACTCGAATGGGAGCACTACACACGTCTCATCAGTGGCGCGGCCGCTTCAGCCACTCTCGGTGGATCGGCACTGGTTTTCACTGCGGGCGTCAGTATAATTGGAGTTGCCATTGGGTCTGCAGGCTTCCATAACGCTCGAAAGAAGCGTCAAATCATCAAAAGACACCTCGCTCGTTACAGAGAGGCGCCTACAACGCGTAGGCGGGATGTGATGGGGTCGGCGGCTTTTAACGGCGCTGTGGGCATAACGACGCTCGGTTTGGGAACTCTGGGTGCTGAGAAAGTGTTGGAGTTAGGCATAGAACATGGAGTATTTGGCGGCGCGGCTGAGACGGGGGTGGCAGTCGCGACTGGAGTGGTAGTCAATGGAGTTAATACGGCTGCCGATGACACATACCATAAAGGCCTGAAGAAGAGAGCAGAGAAACGTGCGGGTCTAGCTATCGAGGAAAAACATAGTGACGGAAAGAAGACGAACAACGGAAAACGCAGGAAGGCTCGGAAGAAGCCACACGGGAGCTCAGTGAGCAGCTTGTCAATTGAAACGGTCAGTGTTTAAGAGTCGAAGTTTCGCCGGAGATATGGATTGCTTGTACCCGGAAGAGATTGTACCAAGGAAGCTTAGGGACGAGCTACGTTGATTTAGATTCAGCGGCCAAGTCACGTATACAGCAATCCTCTCCGTTTATCCGAGTCATGCTGCCACACTTGAGTGGTGCGGATATCTCTGCCGTACTGATTCGGTGCACATGGAGACCCCGGACTCGTTTGCCTAAAGCTCTACATCTTGGCCGATCTTTACCCACAATGACATCACGTGCAGTGTTTTGGTCGCAGAGGGTAATCCGTTTTATTTTCGAAGACGTCTTTTCTCAACATTACGTCGAAGTGAGCAAGAGCGATAACGACAACGACATGGGCCCTCTCAAACAGATGGAGCAGTTGCTCTCTACTCACAAAACACATTATTCGACCATGTCCGACCCCAGCGATCGCAAATCCTCGCAGCAGGATTCTTCTCAGCAGCTCAACTACATTGATGATAGCTCTCAGAAAGTGCTGAGCTTCCAGAATCCGAATTCGCGGCGTTATGCTGTTCATGACGAAAATGGAGATGCAACTGGTACCGAGTGGGAGTGGTGGAGTCGCGAGAATCGTAAGGGTATGTACCAACCTCATACTTGTTCGCATCACGCGTTGACAAACGTCACCCCAGGCCGACACATTCTTCTCCTCAATCATGACCAAGCACCATCGCATGCCGCACGCACAACACGGCTCCTTCGAGCGCTTACTCGTATGATGACGGTCATAGCCTGGTGGGATGTCTCTTGGTGGATCGGCATTCTCTTTTCCTTCGGCTCTATGTGTTCCGTTACAGCCGGCGTCTTGCAATGGCTTCCAATCGCATACCCATCCATGACATTCGTCATCGACCCATCCATTATTGCAGGTGTGATAGCCTTCATCCGCGGGATAGTCTTTCTGTTGGGCGGCATGCTTCTTGTAGTCGAAGCAGTAAACGCAAACCAAAGCGACTGTTTCGGCTGGGCTTTGAAAGAGGCTTTGAACTCGGATCATGAGAACATCAAATTTCCTTCTCGGGACGAAGAGCAGAGCACTGGTAGCGGTATTCAGGCCCGGGATACTAGGTCAGGTTTTCAGCCCGATCGCCGAAACTGTACACACATACACAACCCCGACCGCGTTAAGTACGAGATCATGCACACCAAACATTTCAAAGTCGAAGCCCGGCCAATGCCTGAATCCGCGCAAGCGTGGAAATGGTGGCCCACATGGCAGGATGTGCGCGTACATTACCGTCGCGAAATCGGCTTCAACGCAAACCTCATCCTCTTTATCGGTACGGCCATTTTCTGGGTCACAAATCTTCTCACTCTGCCGGGGGTATATCAAAGGCTTCCCAGAGGTGTGATGTACGGGCTCTATTATCCTTCTTTCCTCCTAGGAGCCATCAGTTTCTTGCTGTCATCAATACTGTACATACTAGAAGTCCAGCGCCGATGGTGGAAGCCCGCGCCCCATATGGTGGGGTGGTGGGTTGGTATGGCGAACCTGGTCGGTAGTGTGGGATGGATATGGAGTGCTTGTCTGGGGTATTGCGATGGGAACTGGTGTCAGTACCAGAGTGTTCTGGCTTTGGTCTGGGCACCGGCAGTCTACCTCATGGGCAGTTTATTGTTGGTCTACGAGGCTGTGGAGAAATGGCCAGTCCATGTCGATGGGTAGAGAAGAAAGTTTGTCAGTACAACGTGCACACGACATGCATACCGCTTTGATGCCCCTCCCCTCCACATAGTCTCAAGCACATGAGGCTTCCAAGACGTCATAATGCGCATCACATGATTGCGCGTCAGTGTCGTTTTAGGTTGCCTCTCAATGATTCGCTGGTGCCTGGCTGACTAGGCGGCAACAGCCACTAACCCGCATTCGTGTCGCGGTAGCGCGTTGTTGCCTACCTAAGACAACACAAACGTCTCTCGCCTCATCGGGATTCTGAACCACGCCCCTCTCCTGTACTACAGGCTCCTGGTGGTGATTAGCTCTGACCTCTCTCGAGATATAAACCCCAATGCTGTCTTTCTGCACAGTCCGCAACAATCAATTAAGTGGGTCCTAGAAGGTTCAGATTGGATTGATTGATTACCGCTTTAAGCCTAGTAGTTACCTATAGGAGTTTAAGCCCTACCTAGATAGGTAAGTGGGTCTAGGAGAGTGACCGGATTGAATTGATTGTTGCGGAGTCTATCTTTCTGTCTCTTCATCTCATCTCATCCAGCAACGTTGATTGCAAACATTTCACTCTTCTTGCTCCATATATTCAGACCGTGATAATGTCGAACCAAGAACAATCCTCACCTCAAATCCCTCTCCCGCCACTACCAGCCACTCACGTGGATTGGATCTCACATGTCACCAATCATCCAGACACGCCATTACGTGAGTTGATCACTCCTTACAAGGAATACGACTCGAAACTGCGTGAGGTCTTTGCGCAACAGCCAAATCATCCAGCAGCCGCAAAACCCAATATCGTTCCTGTCTTCGCAGGTCACGAGCAGGATCTCAAAATCCGTGCTCGCAACCTCGCCGCTGAGTCGGAAGCAGAACGCCAATGCTATCTCATGCCACTCAAGAAGTGGGATCGGAAGACCAATGGTACCCCAGCTGTTGTCCAATCACTGAAGGAATTCCAGAAGAACTTTCAGCTGTTCTCGGAATCCTCCCTTGTTGATATGGATTGGTCCAATGTGGTTGTTGCAGGCAGCGCAGTCGTGACCTCTTTGTTGCCTGTTCCAGAAGAGCACAACAGGTCCAAGCGCGCTCTTCGCGAGTACTACCATCAACAACTTGCACCTGCTTCGGATGTTGATCTTTTCCTTTATGGTCTCACGGAAGAACAAGCCGTTGAGAAGATCAAGCAGATCGAGCAGCGTATCAGGGACTCAATCTTGACTGAGACCACCACTGTTCGCACCAAGAATGCAATCACTATCGCCTCCCAGTACCCAACACGCCATGTTCAGATTGTGCTGCGTATATACCGGTCCATCTCCGAGATTCTCACTTGCTTCGACGTCGATTGCTCTTGTGCCGCCTACGATGGCTCTCAGGTCTATGCCAGCCCTCGTGCATTGGCTGCATACATGACACAGATCAACACTATCGACCTGACCCGTCGTTCTCCATCATACGAAAATCGTCTGTCAAAGTACTCCCACCGAGGTTTCGAAATTTACTGGCCACTGCTTGATCGCTCACGCATCGACCCTACGATATTTGAGCGATCATTTGGTCGCACACTTGGCCTTGCTAGATTACTCGTGCTAGAAAATCTACCCAGCAACGCAGATAGGGAAGCTTACGTGGATCAGCGACGTGCGGAGCGCGGAAGGCCAGCCATCAATCGATGGGGTGGACGCGGCTTCACAGGTAATATGAAGGAAGAGCACGACGACGAGGTCGCAGAGTGGGTCGAAACAGACGAGGTCAGCGACTACCATACCTTCACTATCCCATATGGTCCCAAGTATCATGCACGGAAAATCGAACGTTTGTTGTACGCCAAGGACTTACTTCTCAATGCCGAGTGGAACCGTCCGAAGGAGCGCGAGACTACACTACATCGACACCCTGCATTCTTTGGGAATGCTACTGATGTGATTGGAGATTGCTGCGGCTACTGTCCTGAACCCATTACACCCGAGGACAAGGATATCGTGGGGGAAGAGAACAAAGTCTACGTATCTGGCAGCCTGTTATTTATCAAAGACAATCCAGGTCGACAAGCTATCGGATCGTTCAACCCTCTTACTAACGATGACTGGACTGAAATGGCCTACGTTGGGAACACGGCACGGTTATGCCAAGCCATCGTCGAAGGTGATCTGGAGCACGTCCAAGACTGGCTCCTTCAAGAAGGCGCTGACCCTAATCAACGAGACTATACTGGACGCACACCACTTCAGTTGGCTGTCATGACTTCAACACCTGGGATAGTACAGGTCCTCATCGATGGAGGCGCTCGCATCGTCGCACGTCTTGTAGACGGCAAGACGGCTCTCCATCTTGCTGCTATGCGTGGCGAAACCGCCATGGTTAAGGCTCTTCTCATCAAGAGCGAAGCTAACGAGGAGCTGGAAGCTGAGAAGGACGCACTTAAAAAGGGCGCCCCCAAGCCAACTGGACACGATAATCAGAACATGGCTGATGTTGAGACGGCGGTTGACAACGGCGCAGAAACGGGCACGAAGTCCCAGGGCAACACGCAAGACCCTGAGAATGCCGAGCATGACAGAGACGATGATAGTGAAGAAGAGAGCGATATCGATCTGCTCGATGAAGATTCCGAGAACAACGACGCGACAACCGAGAATTCCATCGTCAAGGTTAATCGCAGGAATTCGGTCGATACTCACGACGCTATGCTAGACAGCACTGACGACGACGAACCTGATGTCTACGATGTCAACGTTTTGGCCTGGGATGCGCCGGTATCTGCATTGCATCTTGCGATTGCGAACGGCCACACCGATGTCGTCAAGATGCTCGTGCAGGAGTTCGGCGCCGACGTGTTTCTGCCTGTCAAGCTTGTCCATGACTTCAACAAGTCGGCGCGAGCAGCCATTCTCCCTATTGTCCTTTCGTTACAGCTCCCGCAGGAGAAAGCCAAGGAAATGACAGAGCTTCTCATCGACCTTGGTGCATCACCCGCCCAAGCTGACGTCGAGCATGTCACTGCTCTTCAGTACTTCGCTGCTCATGGGGTAGAACTGCTAGCCACCATGATCTCAGCAAATCAACCTGCTGCACAGCGAGCTCTCGGTCACATTTCCATGCCAAACGGTCATTTTAATCGCGATAATATGGACATCCTGAGCACGGCCATCCGAAATGGAGATGAGACTGCTGTGGATGTCCTCTTGGAACTTGGCGCGAAACCCGAAATTGACTTCGGCACTTACATGACCTCATTGAAGAGCAAGTGGGACGCTGGAGGCTCTTCCGAAGAAAACGAAAAGAGTTTTCGGCGAAGCTTCACGCAACCTATATTCTCCGCTATCAGTGCTGAAATGCCATCGGTCATCTTGAAACTTTTGGATGCCGGTGCAAACATGAACAGTCTCACAGCAACTGCTTGGGATGCAATCCACTCGCGCCGTTCATATGGCAATAACGACATTCATACTCTGTTAGATGCTGTACGTCAAAAGGTTGAGGATATGCGTGAATTTTTGAAGACAGGCAAGGTCCCGCACTGGAACGGCGGCTACATGTTCAGCCATAACCTCGGCAACCCCTTTCCGCCTATCGTTTTTAAAGACGACTGCGAATATCTTCAATATTATGACCCAGAGTCGTACACTCATTGGCAACTGACGGTGCAGATTTCAGACGCCAAAAAGCTACATGGACCAGCACTGGAAACCTACAACCAGTCGGTTGCGTTGAGCAAGGCGCCCAAGGGCACAGAAGAAAAGAAAGCCGCAATCCGGTCACTACTCTCCGAGTTTGAAACACTCGAATCCCAGCTTCTCGAACGGGGCGCAAAGACTTTCAAGGATCTCCATCCCGATATTACAATCCAGGCCCGCCCAGACTATCACTATGGTGGTTATGAGCCGGAGCCTCCGAAACCATGGTATCCTATCCTCTCCTTCAATCTACCTGATCTGAATGATGAGCGACGTGCTGCCTACGTAAAGCTCTTCGAAGCGTGCTGGGAAGCTGACCTGCCGACTGTGAAGGAGCTCACGCTGGCAGTATGGGGCAACCATCAAAACCCTCTGAAGATTGCTGTGCAGGACAGGGCAGGATTTTCTCCCTTTTCTATTGCGGTTCTCCGGAAGCATTTTGACGTTGCGCGAGCTGTTCTAGAGATAGCGCATGCTCAATTTGCTCCCGAAGAAAAGGTCGGGACGGTCAAGCACAGTATCCAGTTAACCAACGATGACGATGATGCTTCCGATCGAGATGATGCAGATGTCCAAATCTATTCCGAGATTGTGGATGATCGATTCACCGTGGAAAACATTGGAGAGGTCCAAAGCCAAGTCAAGAGTAATGTCACCCCGCTTACGCTCATGTTATGGCCATGCCCGGCGCATTACATCTTAGGGGGCGAGGACACATCACAAGCCCCATCACAACAAACCCATGCACTTGTTGACTACCAGCAACAACTCCAACAATTGTGGGGGTATTCCAAACAAAACTATGGCCATAACTATCGTAGTAGTGGTCGCTCTCCCAGGCAGGTATTGAAGCATGCGGCAAATGGTCGAAGTTATCCTGTGCGCTCAAAGCCCGCTCAAGAGCACATACCGGAAGTAGACAACCCGGTGAACCTCTTCCAATTTGCCATATATCTGAACGATTCAGAGCTTCTTCACTTTTTGATCAACATGGGAGAGGACGCTTCCCGTCGCAAAATCGGCACTGATGACAACGCAGCACCCAGGCTCTTCCGTTTTGAAGAGGCGAATTTCTTGTACGCAATCCGCCTTGGCCGTACAGAACTATTGAAAGGAATCATCACTCGAACTGGTTGTGGTATACCCCTAGATGACCTAGTCAAGAAGAGCGGGGTTAAGATGGCGGAGAAGCCACAGCAGTACCAAGGTCTTTCTGTACATGGCCGAAAGCGAGAGGATTGGGCAAACGCTGGGAGGGAAGTGCAGAGTCAGCAAGCCGGAGCACAGCACCCGCCCCTGCTTCATGCCGCGCAGTTTGGAAGCCTTGACAGTGTCGAATGGTTTTCCAGTGATGCGGTACTGCGCTGCTACTTGCAGTTCACAGATGACCACCGAGACGACATTCGCATTCAGAATCTCGCGAAGACGAAAGGTGGTGTAGAGTTTGCCATTTCCAAGTGGCTCAACCTGCGCGCTCATTTGCTTTTACACTGTGTCGTGCTAGGTAAGACGAGCGACGAGTCCTTGGACCTGCTTCGATACCTAGGTAAGACACGCCCCGAGGCGCTCGAACATCGGTCTGCGAGTGGTATGACACCTCTGCATATTGCCTTCCGTCTACATCGCGTCGATATGATACCGATTCTCCTGGAAGCTGGTGCTCAACAGACATGCCGTAACAACGTTGGAGCCAACATCGTGCACTCAATACTGGATAATGCTTTCCTCCCACACGACAAGAAGCTCGATCGTATTCGCAAACTGTTTGGTCTAATCGATCCTCGCCTCATCGCTAGTCTCTTAACAGAACGAACGACCGAGGCCCCCGGCGCAGCTACACCCCTCGCCCGCTGGATGCATAGCTTCCGGCCACAGTACAGCGGCTCTGTAGCAGAAGGCCACGACAAGGTCCTCAAAGTAATTCTCGACTTCAGCAAAGGCGAGGACCTCGGCATCATTAGTGGTGAAGGCGATACACAAGTACATGCTGCCGCTCGCTACGGTGCCCACGCTGTTCTACGTGCCATGCTCGACTGCCGCCCTGACCTTCTCTTCCGCGAAAACGCAACTGGACGAACGCCTTATGAGATAGCAGAAGACTCCTACTTGACCAAAGAAGTTTTCAGCAACCCCCCGTCGCTCTCTCCTCCGAATAGAGATTGCTACTCCAACAACCGTCGCAGGCTGGTCCGCCGCCACAGGCCGGTATCCACGGGTGGCGTGCTCCAGAAGAGGGTAGAGGAATTTGCCGAGGAGCTCAAGGATGACACACCAGACGTAGAGAAAGTTTTGGGGGTGTGTAAGGAGTTTGCCACTAAGGCAGAGGGAACGAAGAGGAAGCTCGTTAGTCTGGTGGAAGCAAGTGAGGTTGCGAGGAGGCTGGCGGCTATGCAGGTTGGGGATGACGATGAGGACGACACGGACGAGAAGGATAATGATGGTGATGAAGAGGACGAAGATGAAGAGGAAGAAGAAGAGGAAACAGACTTGAGAGGTGATGAGGTAGAGGTCTGGTTTACTATGGGTGAAAGTGCAGATTTGTAGTTGACGGGGGAAGAGCCACATGTATGAAGTGTTACGGTAAAGCTGTTAGTAAGGCAGATAATTCCATATGTATATCTCTTTCATACCCCATATATCGAGAAATCGACGTTCATTTCGCACTAAGTTATTCTAAGGGCCCTGAAACTCCCATCATTCATAGCAAGAATATCAAAAAAAACCCTCACTTGTCCCCACCCTTCCTCATCATCCAACTCCAGTGCCCTTCCACGTTCCCTACCAACTCCTCCCAAACCCCAAAATTAGGAACCCACTTCCCATCTTTCAACAAAATCGCCTCCTTAGCCAACTCCGCATACTTGACCGCCATATCCCCATCACCCACTGCACTATACGCCAACGCCGCATACCCATATGCCAAATCCATGAAACCCTCCAGTCCCTCGCTGCGATACAGACCTAGCAATTCTTCGACTAGCGCGAGGGATGTCGCAGGCGAGGCGGAGGGCGAGGTGGCGGACCAGTCGTTTAACTGGGATTGTATAGTTTGGATGCGCGAGAGGTTTGTGTCAGAGTTGGGGGAAGTGCAGCGTAAGCAGGTGCAGGTGAAGTGGAAGCCGGTTTGGAGGTGTTTTTGGCGGAGGGGTGTGGGTTCTAAGGGGGTTGTGTCTGTGGTTGTTCGTTAGTGGCCTTTTGATAGGGGATAAGAGAGGGGAGCGGGCTTACAAGCGATTGTTATTTCCTCGCCGGTGGCAATGGGACGTGTGACGCGAACAATTTGGGTGAGGTTTTCGGGATCGATAACGTATTGTGCGCTGTTTTACGTGTCTTGGTTAACACTTGCAAAACTTATGTCTTCACTGCACCTTCCCAACCTGACCAAACGAATACGAGGCTGGGGGAAGGGGAAAACTCACTTTGGAGCACATCCATGATTCGCCCTACTAGTCTCTGGCCATATTGCCAAATGACCAACTCCACCCCCTACTTCAACCCGAAAAGTATTCGACTTGACAACATCCTGCACTTTAACCCTCTCATCCCCATACACAGTCGCCAAGTCCAAAAACGCGTCTCGGCTTTTCTCCGGTAACTGCTCCACCGCGCGTCGCCACCACTTCTCCCGCTCCAGGGTCGGAAGTTCAACTTCTAGGTACGCCACGAACGTGGGTGTGTGCGCTGTTACTACGTCGCCGAATTCGAGATCCCGGGTTGCTAGCATGCCGAGGCCTTTTCCTGGGATGGCGGTTGCAGTGTAGGCGTTTGTGGGGGTGTTTATGAGGGGTGGATGGGGAGATGTGAAGGCGGGGAGGGAGGCAAAGGCTTTTGCGAGCGCAGGGGTTGTGAAGATTGAGATTCCGCGGTTGGAGCTGTAGGTTGTGGAGGTGTAGATGCAGAGGGTGGAGTTTATGGTTTGGAGGACGGGGGTGCAAATTGGAGGGTGTGTCCAGGGTGAGTTATCTGTGTCTTCCGTCTCTTGATTGTGGTTCTGATGGAGCATGTCCGAGTGTTGGAGCGGCGTCCATGATGCGTACTCTGACCATCCGTCAAGTGAGGTTTGTAGTTGGAGCGCGTATAGTGGGCTTGTGTATACACTCGTAGAGGCACGTGCAGATCGGACCAAAGCGGAATGTGCTAGGACAAAAGAGATACTTCGCATTTTGAGGTACATTATGACGGTCTGAAAATGGGGAGAAGAAAACTTGCAGATCTACGGAATTATCGTATGAACATATTGAAGGATTCGTGGAGAAGTTGGGGTGTTTGAGAGGAAAAGGTGGTGGTGGCCTGAGGTGAGACGCTAGACGTTTGGACCCTTGTCATAGAGTTGCGAACCATTGCTCATCCCAAGTTTCACGATTGCGGCTTTGATAAGTCTTTGGAATATCGCGCCAAGAGCTATTAAAACAGTAGTCGCGGCTTTGAATATGCAATAAGCTTCTCAATGCAAGATCAGCGTGACTTGCTCTACGATTTGGTAAATTATTAACCAATAAACTGGGTATTTGCACTTTTCAAAATAACCTGAAAACACCAAGAAATGCCGTATAGTACCATACAGATAAACATGCCCTTAGCCTGCCGTCTTCAAAATTCCTCATGAATCGTCAGCGTCCTCCCCACTGCGCTTCTTCTTCTTATTCTTTTCCTTGCCCGCGCCCTCCTCTCTCTTCCTTTTCTTCTTCTTCTTCTCACCACCATCCTCCTCGGGCGCCACATACTCCTGCATCCTTTCTCTCCTCTTCGCATCCATCTTGTCCTTCATCTTCTCCTCCCTCTCCTCTTGCACCTTCCTCTCTTTTGCATGCTTTCCCAAAAAGTACTCGCCGCTCTCGATCTGCAGATCCACCTTGCTCTTTTCTTGCGGCGGCGGGAACGGTGTGTATGTCTTCTTGGTCTTGTCGTTGACCTTGTGGGGTACGCGTCGCTTGCTGAGCGAGCGCTTCTTGAAGTTGGGTAGGAAACGATCCCAGCTCTCGTTGACAAGCTCCGGGTCCTTGGCAAGCTCCTTCTTGATCATGAGCTCTTTGATGGCGTAGATGGGGTGAACGTTGTGCATGGTGTCTTCGACGATGCGCCGCACCTGCTTCAGGCCTTTGTAGGGGCCCATGGCCGCAACCGTATTTCCTTGTACGAGCAGGTAACACTCGGTCAACAGTTCCAGTGCCTTGAGCGTCGATCCGTTGGGGCCTAGGATGCGCTGCCGCCTCTTCACAAAACGCTCTTTATTGCCAACCAAATTCCTTATCTTGATAATGTCCATGGCAACTTCGTCGTCGAGAATCTTAACCGCTTGTGGCGCCGGTACACTTCTTGCAAGCAACTTGATTAAATCGCGCGCATTCAAGATAGCCGCAGGATCCCACGTTTTCTGCGTCGTCCATACTGTCATGGAACCCTCAACGAGGTTGAGCTCGCACCCGATGCCTTGCTTTTGCAGTGCCTGGGTGATGAATTTCCAGGAGCCCTTCAGGTACTGTTCGCGGTACTTTGGAAAGAGGGTGCTAAAGCGGGACTCGTCGGTGAAGGCACCTGCCGTGTTGTCTTCGGGCTTGAAGGGCTCGATCTGTGCTATGATTAGTACTTGGTCGTCGCATGGTCGCATTCAAGTCGCAAACTGACCTTCCACTTATCGATGTCATCAGTATCCCATGGCTTATCCACATTGTGTGTTGACGGCATCTTGGCAGTCGTGTACCCTGCGCTTCGCAATCAAGTCTCGAGATTGTCGCGGTAACTTTTTTCTGAAAGTTGCGCTTGCGAAGAGAGGTCTGCGCTAAGTTTCTGCCACCGCCTTGTGTGGAGCTTGGGCCATGTGACGCTAAGCCCGGCCATCCCGCATCACATGGTCAACTTTGTGCACGAGTTGTATCTGTACTTTATTTGCGTCCGGAGAACTATCTACAGATCTCGTAAGTATGCTTGCTTCATGCAAACATGCCCACTTATCTCTTCCGACTATCAAAAAATGCTATAGGACTTCAAACTCGTAATAGACGTATGCGGTATACTCTTGATCACCCATGTGCCCAGCTTGTTGCATGTCGTTCGACATGGCCGCGTCATCCTTCTTGATACGACCTTTGCTGTCACGACCAAAGGCATTGCCACCAAGGTATGAGTAGGCCGTGTCGAGATTCGTCTTTGCCGTCTTTGCTTGTTTGGGGGTAGTCTGTAGTCATCAGTCATTTGAACACGGCTCCCAGGCACCGTGTTTACTCACCTGAACTATACCGCATACAAAGTCAAGCGGCAGACCGTATCGCAGCACCGTCTCCACAAACACTCTTAGGGCCAGCGCATGAATCCAGATCATGGCACTCTCGCTGTACCCCGTCCGACCCAGCCGCAGCGCCTCGCCCCAGAGCTTCCGCTCATCCTTTGCCAGCTGATCTGCCTCTTTGGCCTCCTCTTCCTTTCCTCCCTCCTTGTATTGGTAGTCTCTCGGCGTCCACCTCTTCTCCCTGCACTTGTGCACAAACTCGGGCGAGTGCTTTTTGAATGTTGTAACGGCGAAGAGGGTGAATTCGTCGTCTTCGGCGAGCTTGTTGGCAGACCGCGGAACGACCATGGGACACAGCTCCTCGTATTGCTGGTAAAAGTCTTTTACGACCGTGTTGGGTACGGCAATGAGGTGGGTATCGAGGTATTCCGAGTCGCGGATCAGCGCCTTTGGGTTTACGACATTGACGAGGGATTTGGTTGAGAGGTTTCCGGTGCGCTTCCGCTCTGCGGCTGCGAGGGCGCCTTTGGTCTGGTTGTACTGGCTAAACTTGGACTTTACGTCGTTGTCGATGCCTTGAATCTCCTGCGCACATGATCAGCCAGAGTAGTGTTGCGCCAGCTGCGCGGTGCCCACCTTCTGTAATGCATCTATGAGGTCTGCGATGGGCTTGTCCGCCCGGTACTTGACCTTGTTCCACTGGAAGTTTCGCAGGTACTGGTCGACAGGCTCTACGTCATGTGAGCTCTAGCTACTAATCGCCCGGTGCATCCCCGACATACTATCGTTTATCGTCTTCTGCTGCTGTATCTTGCCCTCGTCGCCGTCTAGTATCTGCCGTAGGCTCTCTCCGACCTTTCCGACAACACCCTCACACGCATTACTAAGCTTGGCAAGGTCATCCGCCTGTTGCACCAGTGCATCCAGAGTTCCGATCTTGAAGTTGGGTATCGCGAACGGCGAGGTGGTCCCCACGTCATTGGTTACCGTGGACCGAAGAGCTGTGAGAGCATCCTCGGCATGATTCGAGGGCGAGATGGACGTCGGCAGCGACACCAGCAGGTACTTGCTGCCCTTGGACATGGTTGCTGCAGTTGTTTCGGAGCGATCGGGGCGCGATATAAGCGGTTATGGGAACGATGGCCGTTTTGGTGGATGGAATCCCGCGCAGCTCGATGAGAGCTTGGGCCCACGGCTAGACCAAGGTAAGCCCGCAGCTGCCGTCATGCCAGTCTTATATAGAACCGCCGTGAGTACCCGCCGAGCAGCCAACAGCAGAATTTCTTCAAGTTTTCCAATCTCACCCACACACAATGACTTCAAAAAGAGCAATTGCTGCGTTGCGTCCGGCCGTCAATGGTCTTGCGCCGCGAATTCGGAGAGCCGAACGTATACAGACGGCGCGCTATTCCACAAGTTCATACACAACTCCCACCCCACGACCCCGCAAACTTACACAACAATCTCATCAACAGATCCGTTTTGCTTCTTCAGAGACCGGATCTGACCAACTGGGCAAAACTGGTCTCTACGAACTTCACAAAAAACATGGTGCCAAGTTTGTACCCTTTGGCGGCTACTCCATGCCCGTGCAATATAGCGACCTGAGCATTATCGATTCGCATAACTGGACAAGAGAGAAGGCTAGCTTGTTCGATGTTGGTCACATGTAAGACGAAAGCATGCCAAGTTGCGCAACATCAAAATAACTAACATACTATTCAAGGGTCCAGCACCACTTTTCTGGCCCTGGTGCTGAAGCTTTCCTTGAAAGCATCACACCATCGTCACTATCTTCATTACTCAAGCACCAGTCCACGCTTTCAACCTTGTTGCATTCAACCGGTGGCATCGTAGATGACACAGTAGTCACGCGTCTAGCCGACAAGTTCTACGTCGTCACCAATGCCGGGTGCAGGGAAAAGGACACAGCCTACTTCAAAACGCAACTAGACGCCTGGAAGAACTCGCACCCTGATCAACCCGTTGAGTGGAAGATACTCGACGGTCAAGGTCTCATCGCCCTCCAAGGCCCCTTGTCCTCTGAGGTTCTCTCCCGTGTCCTAGACGACAAGTCCAAAAAAGATCTCGAATCCCTCTACTTTGGCCAATGTACCGCTGCAACAATCAAAGGCACTGATGCAGAAGTGCTCGTAAGCCGCGGTGGCTACACCGGTGAAGATGGTTTTGAAATCAGTATTCCCGCGTACGCCACAGAGGCCATCACCCAATTCCTGCTCGACTCCGCCAAAGACGAGCTACGCTTCGCGGGTCTAGGCGCCCGCGACACCCTGCGACTAGAAGCAGGCATGTGTCTCTACGGCCACGATCTCGACGACACCACCACGCCCGTCGAAGCCGGCCTCTCTTGGATTATCGGCAAGGACCGCCGCGCAAACGGAGGCTTCCTCGGCGACTCCGTCATCCTACAGCAGCTGAAGAAGAAGTCGGAAGGTGGTGGTGTATCACGCCGACGCGTTGGCCTCATCGTTGAAGGATCCCCTGCGAGAGAAGGTGCGGAGATAATCAACGAGGCGGGTGAGAAAATTGGTACGATTACTTCTGGTTGTCCGTCGCCGACGCTCAAGAAGAATATCTCCATGGGCTATGTGAAGGACGGTATGCATAAGGCGGGTACGGAGGTTGAAGTTGTGGTGAGGGGGAGGAAGAGGAAGGCGGTTGTTACTAAGATGCCGTTTCTCCCTAGCAAGTATTATAAGCAGCCTGCCAACATTAAGGCGTAAATGGAGCATGATATAGGGCTGGTTTACATCCTTTTGCCGGTGGTTTTATTTGTTTCAGGCAACCTTTCAACATGTAGTTGCCTTGTTTGATGGTATAGATACTCGGAGTCTACTCTAAGGCCCAAGCTCTGATGAGTGTGTTCAGCCAGACTATGTGGCTCAGGTAATTCAATTTTTCATTTGCCTTTCAAATGCATAACAAACAACAAAAGTATAAGAGGCGTTCTTTTATAGAGAATTTGTCTTATTCAACTGTCCTTAGCGTTTTGCCATGTGCGGGGTTAACTGATCTATTTGATACATTGAATCTAGAGTAAGAAGTATACATTACGTATGAGACGCACCCTTGAAGTAAGTATCATCGACGCAAATATTGAGTACATGTATAGTCATATACGCGTGAGCTTGAAATTCTGTTTGATAGGTTTCCATGGGCAAGAATCGAGAAAACTGAGAGGCGCTTACCTCTGTCAACGTAGACGTCGTCATTTGCATATGTATTGTCACCATAAGTAATATTGAAAGTGTAGTCCTCCTTGATCTTGGACTTGTCGGGTTGATGAACATCACGATTGCGGATCTGCTCTTGGGGCTGTAGGGTAGAAATGGTCCAACTTTGACATACGTTAGCATTCAAGGGGCCAACGATAATCATATGCCGACTTCGTAAACTTACAGATCAGAACTTCCCGTGTCAAGGAGAACATGGATGGGATCATCTCCAAACTTCATAGGGTTCACGCAGTACGTCATGGTTGGACTGTCCCAGGTAGTTTCTTGGCTTACCTAGTTCCACTGGGCTGGAAACCACTGCGCAGGCAAAAGCAAGCGCAACCTCCATAATTTGAGCAGCGGAAGGCATTATGGCGAGAGGATGCGTATGCTGTAATCAAGGAGAGTGGAAGAGAGTTTACTGGAGTAGATAAGAAATGACAAGAGCTAGACACTACTCATGGCTTTATATCACGAAGTCACAAACAGTGTCATTGTCGGATCACAGATATCAACGATATCTCAGCCACGCGATCGGCCGCACTGACCTCGGTCACGCGAGCAGGCGCACTGATCGCGGCGTCCGAGCAGCGCTCAGACCAGACCTCCAATATCTAGCTCTTCCATAGTTCTCCTTCGCAAGACAATCAATCAGAACAATCACCAAATAGAATGCATTCCTAGTTACGTTATTTCCTTTTCGCACTCAGTGCAAAGCCCTACCGACAGTCATCAAAATAAGTCTTATCGCGGTGTGCTTTGCCATCGTATGCGAATCGGGCTACACCTTTTTCATGAGAGTACGAACACTTCATGTTGGTGCATGAGCCCCTCTGCGACTTGTCCGAACTTCCAAATCCCGCAAGGTTCCGAGTAAGCTCATATTGTAGTTTCAAATACGCCGGGAAATGATAGAAAAGCTCGTGATAAGCACCACGTTGATCAGTTACGGGGCAAGTGGTCAGAGCCGCGGACAGCCTCTTCGACGTGAACTCCTGGTACACTCGGTATGCTTGTGGCTCAATCATGCGATAAATACATATTTACCTCCTGGAACATAACTTGGTGTTGCCATGCACGTACTGATAAGTGGAAGGAGTTGCAAACAGCATATCCAGCACAACTCACCCTTCTTTCTTCCGTGTCAAAGCTCTAAGGGGATATACTACCAACCCCATGACCAGATGCCTAGCGCCTTGGTTGTTCCGGTCATACGCTGGGACATGGGTGTGCGTCCATGCAATGTCGCAGGCAGCGTCGCTCAGGATCCATGCGCAAGTCGGCGCCATTGAAGGGCGTTGTCATACCGACCAACAACTCGTATCACACGGAAAGATACGAAGCGATCACGACTGGTCGCTTAACGGTAGCAGGAACGAAAAAGATCAGTCCAAAGTCCGAGCGCAGATATTGAGATTTTGGTGTGATCGCAACGGAGAGTGCCACGTCCAAGTCGATTAAAGAATGATGTTAGTGGTGCACCTCAGCTTGCTCATCTTCCACGTCCCCTGCCCCTTCCACCACCTCTTCCCCTACCACCTCCGCGCCCTCTACCACCCTTTCCTCTTGGCGCAGTCCTCTCATATATCTTGACATGATCGAATGGGCTATCGGCGACTCTGAGGTAGCTTGGCATACCGTTATCTACAACTGCTAAAACAACGTTCCTATATCCATGCTTGAGCCTTTGGTACGGTTGATCCGAGTCTTTGGGTCTATCTTCTGGTACCTGTGCCATGAGATCATTCAGCTGTGCGCTCGTAGGAATGGCGCTTGTACGAGCATCAACGACACAGATGCGGAAGTCGGGGGTAAGACTTGCACGGGCAGATTTGCGGAACTTGGCTGTTGTGCGGTATACGTCAAAGTGGATGCGGTACGGGTTATCTAGGGACGGTGGAAGGATAAATGAGGGTGGGCATGCGCGGTCGTGGCTTGGGATAAGCTTGAGGAGACAGTAGATATCGCTGTAGCTCCTGTACAGTCCAGGTTTGATGAGCGGGCCGAAAGCCAGGTTCTCGGGTGAGATTGTATAAGTTGGCTGGCTCAGACGCCGCCATATATCGGCGAAGAAGCGTGCGATGATGCCAGGACCAGAATCAGGTTGCTCCTTAAGCTCTGGCGGGGCAGGCAATACCTCCCCTCTATCGTCATCCCATGTCCCCGTCCTGAAGACGACATAGCCTGACCTCTTCAATCCAGCATAGACGTTGTACATCTCCAGTGTCAACTTCCCGCCGACGCCTCCCTCGAAGCCGAGAAAGGCCGCATACGCTGACTGTAGGCTCATGGGTGCACCATCCTCGGTCCTATAGACTGTCTCGTCGCCTACCTCGCGCTTCACCGGCCACCGACAGTCCAGTGTGCCTCTCTCGAGCAAGAATAGAGCCTCCTCAGGCAGGAGCCACTCCCTCCCGCCTTTGTTGGTGCCTATGGTCTGGAAGTGCTGAGATCGGACTTTGTCGACGCATGCCATGTTGCGCTCGGGGTCATACATGGCTAGGATATGGCCCTTTTGCGTGTGGGTGCGTTGCCACGAGAGGACGCCATGCATGGCCCGGCGCGAGGCCTCGAGCGTGTCGAGCTGTAGGTTCGTCTCATGGCTTTCAAAGTCTTTCTCGCCGCGCTTGGGTAGCGTAGGATGTGCGCTATCCTGTGCGCTGTCGCGGTGAAATCAGCATGGTGGGGGACCAGAGCCGCAATAAGAGTGCAAATTGCCTACGTGAGTTTGTCGAGGAACCGAAAATCCTGCGCCTCTTCGGTGGGGTCAAAGTCAGCAGCGTCGGGCACGCGCAGGTGCGAAATGTCCTCGTCTTCGTCGGCCATGATTCATCAAGAAATGTTGGTGAGAAAGGCAGACTAGGATCGGTGGTGGGGGTTGACTCGGAGATGGCTCGGATCGGCGGTGGGCGGACGGGGCAGCACGTGACTGTCGCCAAGGCGGCAGTGCCATATTCGACACGGCATAGGGACGCCGACATGAATGCATGTCATGCCGCTTAAACTGGGCCACGGCATCGCAGGCAACGCAGCAGGAACATCTGCCAGGCCAATGACAGGTCGTACAAGTGGCTTACCTACATCAGTCAATACACCTTCACGCCGTTACCCTATCACTGCATATGCGTTTGTGTCTCCATTTGTTTTCGGCAAAGTCTAAGTCAGACCATTTTCAGGTAACGCAGGCATGCGGCACAGGGGAAAGGATCGCGGCATGTCTGGTGACAAACATTAGGCGTTGAGAATAGACCCAGGCAGGGCGTAAGTGAGGAGACGGTGCAGAACCGGCTGTCGTAGCGGTTGAACATGTGCGTACGGCACAAGGAAGCCGTCGACGGCATGTACAATGACAGACGACAGACGTCTGGAATGGCTGGCAAAAGGCGACAATGCGGTAACGCCCAGGGAAAATCTTCACGGTGATTGAACGCTCGCTACCGAGACGGGAGAAGACTGTCACGGCCATCGAGAGTGGCACGAAGAAGACGACAGTGACGAGAAACTGCAGAGGATATCATCCCAGACAATGTGTATATATATAGAGCCCTTCACTCACATCCATACCATCTCATCCCATATTCAACCACTTGAGCACTCAACCACTCTCAACTCAAACCATTTCTTCTCCCATCTACATCATGCCTTTCACCAAATACAAAGCCGCTGCAGTACCTACTCCCCCTCCATCTTCCATAGAGCCCCTGTCTAACCAAACAACTAACCAGGTCACCTCTGAGCCCTGCTGGTTCGACCTTAATGCCGGCGTTCAAAAGACTATCGACTTCATCAACGAAGCCGGTGCCGCTGGCTGCAAGCTCGTCGCCTTTCCCGAAGTCTGGATCCCAGGCTACCCCTACTGGATGTGGAAGATCAACTACCAGCAATCTCTGCCTTTGCTGAAGAAGTACCGCGAGAACTCTCTTCCTATTGATTCGGAAGAGTTTCGGAAAATTCGCAGGGCTGCGAGGGATAATCAAATGTGAGTTTTCTGTTGTTCTAGTCTAATGCCTCACTTTGCTAGTTCTCACATTTGCATCTTTTACTTCACTGATACCGTTGCAGTTATGTCTCTCTGGGCTTCTCGGAGATCGATCATGCGACGTGCTATCTGACACAGACGCTGATCGATCCCACGGGCGAAGTCATCAACCACCGACGCAAAATCAAGCCTACACACGTTGAAAAGCTGGTCTATGGTGACGGTGCTGGCGACACATTCAAGTCCGTTACACAGACCGAGCTTGGGCGTCTGGGTCAACTCAACTGCTGGGAGAACATGAACCCATTCCTCAAGGCGCTCAACGTCTCCGAAGGCGAGCAGATCCACATCGCCGCGTGGCCTGTGTATCCCGGCAAGGAGACACTCAACTACCCTGATCCAGCTACTAACGTTGCGGACCCAGCGTCTGACCTAGTAACGCCAGCATATGCTATCGAGACGGGGACTTGGACGCTGGCGCCGTTCCAGAGGCTGAGTAAGGAGGGTTTGAAGATCAATACGCCTGAAGGGGTAGAACCCGAGACTGACCCCTCAACGTACAATGGACATGCGCGTATCTACAGGCCAGACGGGTCGCTGTATGCAAAGCCTGATAAGGACTTTGATGGTCTCATGTTTGTCGATGTATGTCTTTCCACTCCTGTATGTTTTGTATGGCTGCTAACAGATTCACAGATTGACCTCAACGAATGCCAGTTGACCAAGGCTCTGGCAGACTTCTCAGGTCATTACATGCGCCCTGACCTCATCCGCCTGCTCGTGGATACCCGTCGCAAGGAACTTGTTACTGAAGCTGATCCTCATGGTGGCATTACCTCGTACTCTACTCGCCAGCGTCTTGGTCTTGACGTGCTGCTCGATTCGGATGCGCACAAGCATCAGAAGAGCGGTGCTTCTGATTTGGGAGCTACGAACGGTTTGGCAAACTAGGTCTCAAGTCAGACATAGCTGCTTCTGCTGGACATGCCTCTTGAGTGCTTGCTCTGGTCTGAAAGCTTACAAACGGTCTCTACACAAAAGTTTAACTGTTCTTTACATTACTCAATAAATCATTCCACTCTTTTTCAGATACGACTGCATGCAGTGTTACAATGCTCAAAATCGAGAGCCGTGTACGAACAGAGTGCAACTGTAGACTTAGTTGGGCAAGAACGCGCAATGTCCCGTTTTTTCTCTATCGAGGTGCGCCAGTCCCGTACATGACTCGAGGACATTTTCAGGAATGCAGGTGTCGGCTAACCAACTTCAAGACGGCAGGTGAATCACTGATCCTACCCAAACAACTGCAATCCAACACTGCACTTACCAAAACTTTATTAGTCGCAATGACATTCGCATCTTCCTTCTCTCAATTTCATGGTAACAATTGCCATACATTTCCACTCTCGCTTTCACCACCTACCACTCTACTTTGCACTCTCAGACTCAGACTCACTTTCACTTCGCCACCCCGCCCACCATTTCACGCTAAGAACATCGATATCCATGTCTACTCTCAAAGTCATTCCCAAAATCATTCTTTAATCTCAGCACTGCCCTCCCACTTCATCGTTCCCCCACACACCAAAGTCACCATGGACGACCGCCACAAGCCACCCAACCGCTCAGCCTCCATGCCGCTTTTTCGAGAGTACCCGCAATCGCCCAAACGCGTCGAATTGCAAGCCTGGCAGCGCTCAGTAGAAGTAGCTCAGCGCGCAGTGGAAAAGGGAGTGCACGCACACATATTCCAGGGTTTCGGTAACTACAACACCACTGCCATAATACGGACTCCAATCTATGGAGACTTTGCTAACCAGAAACTGAAGATTTCAATGGCACTACTGCTACTGCTACTGCTACTGCTACTGCTACTGCTACTGCTGGTGTGGTTGAAGTAGACTCGCCTGCGAGCGACACCACTGTCAAGCAAGTCCACAGCCAGAAGAACGATAACGACAAAGGTATTGCACCTACATCTGCACATCCCTATGGGTTCAAACACGCGATGCACATGAAGGCAGAGAGACGCGGTCGCTTACCCAATGCCCTGCATACATCTCTGACTAACTCTGCAGTCCCTTTTGCGCGTATGTACCACACGGATGCCAGAGTGCCGCATAGCATGCCGAGTTCTATGCGACCTTCCGGTCCGGTGATCACGGCTGATGCGTTCGGCTCGCCTCAGGGTCTCAAGGGTCTTTACGGCACAGCGATGTTGCATCAGCGGAGAATGGCGAGTATGCCATCATCGCAATACGTGGGTCAGATGGATAATCAGATGTCGCCAGTGTCTAAGAGATGTGTTCCTCGAGGTCAAGAGATGGCAAAGATCCCTGCTATGTTTCAGCAATACCATTCTGATGAAGAGAAGAGGAATAGCGAGAGGGTAGTTGGGTTGAATAAGGAAAACGGTGGCTTTGCTGGATTCGGTATACCGCAGCCGTCTCCCAGATCCTTCAACAACACTCCTGGACACGGTCGCCAACCTACCGATCCTTTCGTGGACTATACACCAGAACCGAGCTCTCGTATACTGCAGCCATCGAATCAGTATCTGGTTCCAGGTCAGTCTTCCGTCGGCGCATCCAGGTTCACTGCAGGTCTGCCATCGCCCGCCTCTGCTTTTGCACAAAATCTCGTTGCCACACAGCCGCTTCCTCAAGTCTTCTACAACACAGAGCCAAACACACCAGCATGGCCGTCTTCTGCTCCCCCAACATTCACGCTAAACGTTCCACCTAACAGGGCATACGCACCGTCACCTTCACCGCACGTATCTGCCCGCCCCTCTCTTCCCATACCTCCACCTCCTCTCCCCAGCCTCGGAGCCCACTACACGCAGGATCCCACCGGCCGCGCGCGTCTCGACTCGCAAAAGAGCGTCCGCGAAACCTGGATTCGCACCGAAGCCACAAAGATAGCTCAACTGTCTCGTCTCCGCCACCAAGCTGAACAGCTCTACACCAAGACCCAAACCCAAGAAGACTTTGAGCTCTGGCAGAAAGCCTCAGCCGCATTCGCCGAGGCTACCAGTTTGGAAAAGAGGCAGGAGGAGCGCCGCGCATTACTTCTGAAGGACAGGGATATGTTGCCGTTGACGACGACGAGGAAGGAGGACATGAGTGCTGCGATGAGGGAATTGTTTGAGACTGCGGGTGTGGATGGAGGAGAACGCAAGTTGTTGGGATTTGTGATGGCGCTTATGGAGAGAGTCTGCGCAGAGGTCAAGGATGGGGAGGGCCATGAAGGCGGTATCTCAGCGGATATGCTTGCGACGCTTAGTTTGGAGGAGAAGAAGGAGCTGCGTAAGCATCTTGTTGGCCGACTCCAGAAGGTGCAAAAGTAGGCGGACAGGTAGATGCCTAGGCCCGTTGCGAGATGAGGCAAGCAGAATCTATGTCCAAGTAGTATGACTTGATGGTGGAAACGGAGGAGGTGGTGTAAGACTAGCAAAGTATGTGGAATTCACGAGAAACCCATGCTCCCATCTGTTTCCCTAAACAGGAAAAGAAAATTAATTACAAAGATTCTATGTACAAAACGTCATCAGGTCAGGTCAAATATAGCTAATCTAAGCCCCACCACCAGGCACAATCTTCTTCCCCTTGACACTCTTCTGCTCCATGCCCAAACTCACAAAAAACGCTATACAACTCGTCGCAATCGCCAGTATAAACGCCGTAACAATCGCATTGTTATAGCCCCTCAGCACGCCCGGCAGAAGAGCTGCAGACACCACTTTCCTCAGATTCGTCGCCCCCGCATTCGCCACAATGCGCCCATCAAGACCGGGCGCATACTTTGGAATCTCCTTGGCCAGCGTATTAACGAATATGTTCTGTGCAATAGAAATGGATAGGGCGCCGCCGAGTGAATTGAAAAACATGACGCAGGCGTTGGCAGTCGGCATGTCTTTCTCGTTGGTCACGACTTGCACGGCGACAAAAGGGATTTGCACGCCGGCTCCCGCGCCGATTCCCGAGAGAATTTGATACCCAATCCATTGGCTGGATGGGGAGCCGACTTTGAGCGTGTAGAGCATACCAGCGCCGATGGCGAAGACAGCGCTGCCGAACCACATAAAGGGCGCGTACCAGCCGACGACTGTAATAAGGCCGCCGATTACAATGGATGAGCAGGTGATGCTGACAAGGTAGGCAATGGTGCGGATGCCGGACTGTTCGGCCGTGGTGCCCTTGATGGCTTGAAAGTAGAAGGGGAGGTAGAAGATGTGTCTTCAATCGTGTTAGTTTGTTTTTGCAAAGAACTATAGTGGGAGCAAGGGTAACTCACGTGTACAAGGCCATTGATAGCAGAGTCGAGTAGAGACAGCTAACAAGGACTGTGCGCTGAGTAAATACTCGTACAGGAATCGTTGCCCGCTCACCCTGGCGGAGCTGGATGATGATGAAGACGATGATAAGGAGTCCGAAACCTAGTAGCGTGCCCCATACCTTGGAGTTACTCCACGCGTATGTGAAGCCGCCCCATTGCAGTGTCAAAAGCAGGCATACGATAGCGCAGATGAGAAACACAGCGCCGGCAATATCAATGTTCTTGAGACGCTCCTTGACAGGAAGATGCGAGTACTGGCGCTTAGGGTTGCTGAAGAAGAAGAAGACAACGAGGAGCGAGACGGCACCGAAGGGCAAGTTGATCCAAAAGCAAAAGCGCCAACTTGCGATACAAAGTCAGTCCGAGCCAGCCTCGTATTTGTTTACATTAGGGGAACTTACCTAAGCCGGTCCGTGAAAGCACCGCCGAGAATGGGTCCGACGACAGACGCAATGCCAAACATGGACGACAATGCAGCAATGTAAATAGCTCGTTTTCGCAAGGGTACCGAGAACCCAATGATGGTCATACCGCCAGAGTATAGTGCTGCTGCGCCAGCTCCGGCAACCGCTCGCCCGATGATGAACATTGGTGAGCTCGTCGCCGCTGCGCAAATGACTGAACCAACCTCGAAGATTACAAGGGCAATCAGGTATGTGTATTTAACATCAAAGTATGTGTATACCCTGCCGAAAGACGGTTGAAGAGACGTTGTTGTCAGGAGGTATGACGAGCCGTACCAGCCTACATCGTCGAGACTGTTAAAGTAGGTGGTGATCTTGGGGATGGCGGTAGCGATGATTGTGTTATCGAGAGCGATGACGAAAGTCGTAAGACAGAGACCTATGGATAGCATAACCAGTTTCCAGCCGGTAAGGTATTTTGATTCGTCTTCGACTTCGTCATCGGCGTGCTCCTTTTCAGCGACATCAGCGCCAGTCTTTTCCCCGTCTGCTTTTCTTGTAGCCGCCTTGTCCTGTGAATTTGTATCGTTGCTGGTTCTCGACTCCATTGCATGCGTTTGTGTGTTTTCTTTGGCCTCTAATGTGGTTTCGGGACTCTTTTCGGTACCCGTTATCCTCCCATCGCCTGCTGTGGATGGATGTGAAGCTTCGGCATCGCGAAATGGTGTGCTTGCGCTGACGGAACCATCGTTCGTTTGCATACCGCCTCTATTGCCGTCGCACCCAGGGTCGAGAAGTTATGTGTGCTGCCGCTTTGAACTACGTAGTACTTCCAAACGGGTGGGTAGAAGGGATAGATACAGACAAGCGGGTCGGAAACAAATGCTCGTTACCCAAGATCCGCAATTTGTTTCAATATGTATTACAAGAAAGAGTGAAGTGGAAAAAAGCAAAGAAAGGAGACCTTCGGGGTCCGTATGTATGCAACCCTACGGACCCTGCTCACGCGCCGCAATCAAATTGCATAGTCCTTGGGACATGGCCGTATAGAATACGGTCATCGGCAACCAGGCGAGGTGTCAAATGAGCACTTCTAACCGAGTTGGCGCGGCATTTTGGTTCCCGTGCTCTAGTCCGCCAATCATATAATATGGAAGAAAACAAATCCCATGTTGCCGATCTCTACCGGCTTCGCTACAGTTGCAGCAAGCGTTTGTGGCGCTCGGCCTTGCCGTATATCTCTTCCACCCATAGGCTCGACTGCGCTTATGATAAATTCAAAAGTCAACCTGACGCGCGATAAGGCCCCTTTTATTGGTCGTGAATTAGTTGTCGCATGATAGCAGAGCGATAGATGTTGGTGGATGTCGCTATGCATGGGTCTAGTTGCGGTCTGTAAACTTGTACGCCTCCCTCGGTTAGACACAAGCCTGGCCATCCCAGCTAGGATCGAACGATCTCGAACCATCGAAACCGAATGCGAACATGTGATACGGGATCCCTAGTCTTCGTCTACTATTGCAGATCTGATGTCCATATCAAGCTTCATCCTTGACGAGCATGTGCAGCGGCCCGTTTCGCTCCCGAAGCCGTACCACGGGTTGAAGAGCAATTTCCAGTCAAAGCTTCAAAGTTACCATTGAGCAGGATACGTATAATACATGTACAAGGCGACACTCGGTCGAACAAAGGCGACGAGAGTTGGTCTTCGCAGGTCTAGAAAGGTCAAAGTAAAGGGTGCATTCATACTCCCTCCCATAACATCTAAATCTCGCTATTATTACAGTGATCTCATCACAGCTCTGCAACATCCCATCGATCTAACTGACTTGTTTCACTGGAGCTGAATTAGAATTCGTAATTTAAACGACTGGATACTTTCGCACCTCGACTGGGCATGAATCACAGGATGTTTCGATTTTGACTGTGGCTAAGATTTTGCCATCATGACCTCTGCCACACTTTCGTTGAATCATCTGGCCTTTGGGACATAGTTGCTGAAACACCATCTCGGTGTGTCCACACTTGTGAGAGTAGGCGTGGTAGAAACACATTGAAGGCGACAGTGGAAAAGTATTGGTATCGACTGAAAATTGGTTGGAAGCCCAATTGTTTGTCAAGGGCCCGTTTTGACGGCGAGATAGAACTAAATATATCTGGTGTCTTTTTGGTATGACTCCAGGATATTTACTATATTGTTAGGCCAGTCTGATGTGAGAAGGGGTATCAGCTTCATTGCCTCATGTCTTACCTAAGACGAAGACCAAAGTGGAAAAAGTCAAAGTTCGTACAAGTGAATAAGTGAATGAGTGAATGAGTGAATGAATGACAATGTAGAAGTGCTTTTGTCAAGGGAAATATAGCTTGGGATTATGAAAAGGCTGTATAGATGAACAGTACAGTGTTGGGTTTCTGCATGCAGTCGGCTACTCTTTATATGGTAACCTATGCATGCCTTTGGACATGATTGCCACTCTTTGCTCAAGTTACGCAGTTTGACAAGTATGAGCAACTAGGCAATCGGAAGTACATCCGCTGTCTGACAAATTCTAGCATTGTACTCGGCGAGGATACACGGATCTCATCCTGCTGTCATGGCGTCGAAGCTGGATGGAGACTCACCACCAGGTATGGAAAAGTAGTCGCACATGTTATTTTACAGTAGTGTATGACTCCTTCCCGCTGCTGTTCAGCCCTGCGAATGCGTCAATGCGTTGTGGTACAAGCGAAGGCGGAAGGCCCCGGGTAGGTGGGTACGAAGCGCCTGTTTGGAATGCCGGGGTTCTACGAACGCGTGCTCCCGTAGTACATGCATAAACGATGGTCAAACATCGTTTAGCGATGGCAAGATTTGCTCTGCCGAACCGGTGCCACGGTGTGTATCGCCAAAGTGGGTTGTTTGATTTGCAGGATGGGGACGTTGGTGTTTTCCTTCCAGAATTGTACATGTTTTCCTCAACGCCGCCTTGCCGCCGGAAGGTAACTTGTAACCAACTAGGTGCTTGATGGCGCGATATCCGGGCTTGAGGCCGTATACACTTGATTCTGATATCTGAGACGGCAGGTCTGGTGGGAAACCCTGGGTTTCCAAGCGCGACGCGTACGTCTCACTGAGCGGCGACATAGTAGAGCTGGTGTACGTTGATCTCTTCTAGTTTCATCGCACAGCCCGCTGCGTCAGCGCAGATGGTGTTCGCAAAGTTTTGATGGTATTTGTCCAGCAATTTTTGGAAGTCCCAGCCAATCAGCGTGTGGTCTCACCGCTAATTCAGGTGGAGTCGTTGGATACAAACTTGCTGCAAGCCTTGCTTTGGCCCGCATATGACGAGATGATAGCTAATGATATCCGGCAGGTACCAGTTCCTTTGGGATCGGTGATGGTAAGCTCAAGGCGGACAGGATTGTTTGAGCATTCGGCTCAATGTTCGCCTTCAAGGTTGAAAGATGCGAATTACTCCGCTCGGCCATACTCACAGGCTCGCGACGTCATGCCAGGAACATGTCATAGTTTGTGAATGTATCGTCAGCATACACCCTGCTCGTTTACGCGGTAGGATGCAGAGTGTACATGGACATGGCAGCATGTGCTGACCGCTCATGGTTGAATTGGAAGCGGCCTCTTTACCGCTTGCGAATGAAGGGGAGATGGCGGCTTGGGACTATCGCTTCGAAGCATCTCTTTCGGGGACGGACGATGATGGCATACTGCATCCCATCCAGCCGTGGAACGATGCGTTGGCAACGGGAGTCGGTCGTCTGAGACGGCAGCTGAGGCACAGCCCTGCAAGTGCACGCTGGCACTGGCGAAGGTCGAGGCGGAGACGTTGACGTCGACTAGGAGAATATTGAAATGGCAGTTCTAGCTTGGATGCCAGGTGGCAACGCCTGTCTCCGTCTGAACCATTAACGGGAAAAAGGACCTGCAGCAGACGTGTGTAGTCTAACTAGCGGAGAGCCTGACGCTTGACACGTAGCCCACCATGGCTCGCCTGTCTGCATATTGACGCAGGAGCTGCATGTGCACTGCGTCTTCAGAAGTCGGAATGGTTTGGATGAGTATACTAGCAACGTTGCTTGCGTTCGCCTGCAATTCTTCTCTTCTGCCGTTGTGTTGTCGCTGTTGTTGCTGTTGTTGCCGGTCGTCCGCGCGCAATTGCAGTGCGCACTGCCGCTCGTTCCCCTCAACACCAAGCCCGTGACCGTAACGGTCGCATCATCAAGAAGAAAGCCCCACCGGCTGCCCAAAGCGCACTGCAACGGCTACCCTCTGTGCGCATCTGCAAAGTTGGAGTTTGCCTGCTCGAGCTGCTGGGGGGGTGGGGGGCGGCCAGGTTCGCGTTCTCGGCATTCCAAACAGCTGCACTGACCGCTGCCACCCCGCCTGCTAACGTCACGGCCCTTTAAGACGGTCGCATAACCTCGCACGCTGGGACTTCCGGAGCTGGAAGGCGTCCCGATGCGCTGTCCGAGGCCTCAGATCCACCCCTCCCAGCCTCCCTGCACTTCACAATCGAGGCTTGACGTCTGCTAGCCTGGCGCAAAGGGTCCTGCATTGCCTCGTCCACTGTGCCCTTCGATTGGCTCAGCCATTGCCCGCGTCGTCGAATAAGAGCAAAGCCTAGCTCCAACACAGCGACACCCTCTCCATCTATCCGTTTCGAGACATATCTCTCCAATGTGAGCCTTGCTACGCAATCTGCCAGTCTAGCATTCAAGTGCGTCGCTGACAGCTGCCCAGACGTTTTCCAATATAGACTCGTCCCCACACGAGCGGCATACACCACCATTATCTTTTTTTCCCTCTCGTAACTTGTATAGACGCCTACATCATTCTATCATGTGCATACAGTCATCGTCACTCATCGCCTAATTCAATTCAACAAATCTCCGAGCTGCGCTTTCCGGATTGCGCCATCACGAGAATCGACCTTCACTGGAACAACGACCGTGCACGGACACCCGGTCTTCTAGATTGTGGAAACACATCAATTGGCCATCTTTTCGTTGCTTCGGTTTCGAAATCTCCTTCCCTCGGCCGTCTTCTCCCAAGGCGTCATCGGTCAGCCTGGGCCGGGCTGCACTGTGTCTACCCGTTTGGAGATACAGCGCATCGGTCCGGGTTGGCGGTTAAGGTACGTCAGTGCGTCAGTCAGTCTTCACCATCTTCAACGCATTCTCCAGAACATTACCATCTTGACTAGCTCCATTTCCCATCACAGTCCCATCCACTTCCGCCATCTCTTTCCCTCCCCCTGGCCCGAGCTCCGACTTACGCCGTACAACAGACACCAGTAGAATTGGTTGAAAGATGGCTTCTCTGGACTTTGATCAGAAGTTCCTCGGTCGGATAGCCAAACAGACAGAAGAGACAAATCCCTTTTTGTCCAGCGCGCTCTATCAGATCTTGGGCCTGTCGGTTCTGCTGGCCCGGAGACTCATTCGCGCCAGAAAGCTTCGCAAGCTAGACACGAGTCGAGACACGCCATCACTTGCAGCCTACCAGCACATACTCTGGATGTCCCGTGAGGGCTTGTCTATACTGGAGCTATACATACTTCCGTATGCTCAAGACAATCAGCATGGACCCGAGTGTAGAGTGTTGAGTGTCAAGTTGCGCGCAAGCTTCTACCACATCTTCTGTCTCTTCCACAACCAGCCGCCAGTAACGACAACAAACATGACGAGTACTGATCCCCGGCATCTTGGTGCACCCCCTTTGCCGTTGTCCCCACGAAACGGCAATGGGTACAGCCGCAAGACAGATCCTTCGAGACTGTCACCCCCATCGAAGCGTGCAGGCAAACAGCCTACCCTTCGTGAACCCGTCGACTCTATTGTGTCCGAGACATCCTTTGTCACAAACCCCTATCCATCAGGTGGACCAGTAGGAACCCCATCGCCTGGGCCAACGATCAACGCGCCACCGGGCCTCAACCCTATCCCTATTCCACAACCTTCATCTTTCATACTACCACCTCTGAACTTTATACCATTAGCTAGTGGCTACTTTACCACAGCCACGCAATACGCCACCTCATATCTACCCGGATCACATCCACTGAGACTATCTGTTGCGCTCGAACACAGCGCGTTCCTATGGGACTGTCTTCACGATCACGACGGATCACGACGCATTGCTCGGCGTGCCATCAAGGACGTATACCGCGCGCAAGAAGCTATGGACGATACAGAATTTGAAGATGCCGCAGAACTTGTGGGCATTCTCGGTCGAATGATGAAGCGGAAGAGTTGGGAAGGTACGCCACGTGTTGGTGGCATGGCCAGCCCGGAGCCAGTCACACAGGACTCTCCACAAGCAAGTAGTGGCACTCCCACTCAATCAGGTCGACCTACTACTTCTGCTGGTCCACGACCCCAGAAAAACAGCCGGAGAGCAGCAGAGGGTCCCCCAATATCGGACATCACTATACAAATACAACCACCACCCAGTGCAACGCGCAGTCGAGCAAATACAGCAAGCAAATCGTCGCCTCGGCAAAAAGAAAGCAAAAGCCATGCGAACAGTCCGAGATCAGCAACACAGCGGCATGTCGAAGCTGGCAGTCCACACACCACACCGCGCACTAGGCGTACCAGCCACGAAAGTGGCTCCAGCACAACGCCTCGAGCACCACCGCAAGGACATGGTCCCCGCTCACCCACCACACCATCCACGGTCCGTACCGCCCACCAAACATCGGGAAGCGGAGGGTCATCAAAAGGAACTCCCGTCGCCGGCACTTCCACTCCCCTTACGCAAAGTGCGGCCGCAACCCTCATTTCTGACAACATGCGCAACTCGCCCACGCTGCGTCGCACACCCCCCACCCACTTTTCCTCGCCCGAGCACCATGGTTCGCCCTTCTCGCCGTCGCAGGAAAGCTCTTTTGCGCGCCAGAAGAGGTGACTAGCAGAGACGGGGCGGGAGAAGCAAAGAAGAATGGACGTGCAATGGACGAATTCGGCTTCGGAAGCTGATCTTGTGCTGCTGCCTTGGACGCAGCCTTCGTCTGTGTCTTCGACGCCGGTGGATCATGCCGGGTCGTCGTATCAAGCGCATTCAGCCGCTTGATAACATGTCTATTCCTTCCCGTCACGTCGCTGCTATATATACTCGGAGATGTGGTTTGCTCATGTCTTTACGGAACTGCACATACTCCCTCTTACCCTGGGCACTTCGATGCTCCTACCATACATACACTACACTACCACCTTTGTACCATACCCACTGGGCGTTCAACGGGCGTACATACATCTCTTCCTCCCTTTCGACGGATTTCCAATACTCCTTATCAGGTTTTCCTCAGACATACGTTTTCACATCAAACATTATAGCATGTACATGTCATGTGCGTGTGTCTACCAAAAGAGCCGCACTGATTCACACTTTGGCGGTTTGGCGGCGGGTTTGCAATAATGTCTTGTAATGACGACATGGCGTTCTGGGATTCGTTTGCTTTTCTAGTCATTTGGTCACGATAGGGTTGCTGACGATACCATTTTCTTGGATCTGAGTCATGTTTTCTTTGGCTAGTACGATGAGGATGAGCGTACATATATTAATGAAAGGTGGGAATGAGGATGGTGAATGGGAGATTTTACTGTTGTTCATTATCGTGGTCTCGCTCTCCGTGACGTGCAATACGCAGCCGTGGGTCGCCCCCCGCATTCCCTCAACCACAGAAATTTCTTCACACACCCCACACATATTACAGCCTATTTATCATCCCCATCATTTCCTCTTCCACTGCGTAATTTTGAATGCATACATAGATTGGATAATTTAAGAATTTCTCATCCAATTACAACGCAGTAAGCAGTCCGGTCGCTTAGCTCAGTTGGTTAGAGCGTGGTGCTAATACAAGATCTTGTATGATACGCCAAGGTCGCGAGTTCGACCCTCGTAGTGACCATCAATTACATATCTTTTTTGCTGTTTTTGTAGATACAGACTGCTACGGAGCAGGACATTTCTCTACTTATAGAGTGTTTAAACTAGTTATGCTATATTATACTGATATTTTCTATTACTAACTAACTATAAATTATATCCAAAATCCTACGTAGTACACATCCATTACGCCAACTTGCCCATGACAAACGGTAAACTACCACTTAACCCTCCATCCACAACCATGGCCTGCGCATTAACATAGCTCGCCTCATCACTCGCTAAAAACAGCACCATCCTAGCAATCTCATCGGGCTGACCTCCCCTCCTCAGCGGATTCAACTGTCCAATCTTGCGCTCTGTACCCCGTTGCCTCGCTGCATCATACGTCACCTTTGTCATGCCCGTCTCGATCAAACCAGGACAAATGGCATTGCACCGGATGCCTGTGCCAGCTAGCTGGTACGCGCACGTCTGCATTACGTTGATGACGGCGGCTTTGCTAGCAGAGTAATCCGTCGTTCCAGCGCTCGCACGCAGACCAGCCACGCTGGCTGTAGCGATGATACTACCGCCTGGGTATTTCTTCGTGTCAGAAGTTTTAAGCATTGCACGAGAAGCGTGCTTTGTAGCAAGGAAGACGGATAAGGTGTTTGTACGGAGTACATCCATGAACTCCTTGTCTGAGATTTCCCAGAAGATCTTCGCGGGAGCGATACCCGCGTTTGCGAAGAATACGTCTAGACGTGAGTAGGTGGTTAGGGCTTCTTGGCAGATTTTCTCGACGGAGGCTTCTTCGGCGGCGTCGAATTGCGAGGTGTGAATCTTGACGGTTGGGTAGAGGGTGCGTAGTTCTTGGGCGTGTTTGGAGAGGTTGGTGGAGGAGAAGTCGCAGAGGTAGATTGCGAGGGCGCCGTTGCGGGCGAATTGGTGAGCAGAGGCACGGCCGATGCCGATTTCTGAGTTTGCGCCTGAGGGAGGAGATGGATTAGTTGGGGGATGGGGGTGAAAGGGATGGTTGTTGTACCGGTTATGATGATGACTTTGCCTTTGACTCTTCTACACATTGCCATTAGTCTCATGTCTATCTAGATAACGTGTATCGCTCATTGATTCAAACTCACTCGGCACCCAAATCACCGGCTATAGTCTTGATTCCTTGCATGTCATCGAATGGCTTGGTCTCAGCTGGAGCTTCATTAAGCTCCTTGCTCAGTCCCTGCTTGTTGATTGTCGGTAGTGGTGCCATTACGGGTTCCTCGTCTCATGAACGATCAAAAGTCTAGACGTATGAGAAAGGCTGAAGTACACGTTGGGTCTTAAATAGGTAGTACCCGAGTTAAGGATGTCTTGGCAAGATGCCGAGGTAAGTCCAACTGACGCAGGTCCTCCGCGGGGTCATCGGCCGGCCCGTGAAACATGCCTGCACGACTAGCTTGGTCACGAAAGCTCACATAGCGACATTGTGGGGAAAATACGATTGACATGGTATTACCTTCTTATACTGTTTTTGTATGCAGAACAGCCTTAGCATTGCCCACATATATATGAACCAATAGTCTACTCGCCATTTCCATCTGCACTCTCTCCATTTCCTCCAGCCGCAGCTTGAGCGGCCTGCGCCATCTTCCACTTTTGCGCATTCGCCATGAGTCTTGCCAATTTCGCCGCACTCTCGTCGTCTGCAGGGAACACATAGTCCACATACTCCTCGAAACTGTCGTCGTCCAACTTTCTTCTCTTCTTAACCTTGCGCGGCATCTGTTTCTCAATCTTCTCCTTGTCTTCTGCACTACCATGAACATCCTCAAACGACTTCCAGGCGCTGAGAAGGGCAACGCGGTCTTCTTTGAGCTCGTGTTCCTTGAGACGTGTGTGGGCACGCGTGAAGATTTCGCGAGCACGTGATTTGGCGGCCTCGCTGATCGTCTCGTCGTCTTCGGCAGTGGTCTCATCGGGCACGCTGAGTTCAAACTGTGCCCATGAAGTCCATACCTTGACGTGGTCCGTCTTCTGCAGCAGACGCTCGTATAGTGCACGAGTGCGTTCGTACTCGCCTTCACCTTCTTCGAAGTCTATGTAGGATTTCCAGACCAGTTCAGGCATGTCTAGCTGCGGCTCCTCCACGGCAAGCTCGAAGATGGCGCGTGCGCGTTCAAGGTCATCAAGACCACGCTCTAATTCCGCAAACTTGATCCAGGTCTGAGAATTCGATCCGTTCCACTCAATGTATTTGGTATAGAGTTGCCGGCAACGGTTGAACTCGAAAAGCTTCATTTCCAACTCAATGTAGCCTTTGAACAGTTTGTCCTTTGGGCACATGCCCAGACTCTGACCCAAGAGCTTGCGTGCTGTTGTAAGTTGGCCCTGCCTAACTTCAAAGTGTGCAAACATCAGCCATACTTTGGCAAAAGTGAAGCGCTTGTGCGGAAGCAGGCGTATGCACTCTTGATATATTTGGCGTGTCCGCTCAATGTCGCGTGAAACAGTCTCCTCATAGACGGCATAGAACAGCCAGAGATAGATGTATCGTCTCCAATGGCGCTTCTCCTGTGTCGGTGGTATCTGTGCAATCGCTCGCTCGTAAATGTCTCGCACTCGGTCCTGATTGCTAGATGTCTCTTCTAGCCGTGCAAAGTCGACCCATGCATCGTAGTTTTTGGGATTCTCTTTCACCTGCTCTTCATAGTGAACCCGGCGTTTCGACAATATAACGTCTTCAATACCGTCCCGATCTCCATACTGCTTCTCAAAGGTCGTAAAGGCCTTGTGCAAATTGACAGACTTTGATCGTGGCATACGATCCAGAGCAAACTTGTAAATGGCTCGGGCTCGTTCTAGCTCCTTAAGCCTCGCTTCGAACTTGGCGTATGCCATGAATAGCTTCTCGTCCATGAAGTCATCGCCAAGTGTGGTAACAGCTGTTCCGTAAACGTCGCGTACAAGATCGCTTGTGCCATTCTCTTCCTCAAACTTGGCCCATTTAATCCAATTCTTTGGCTCGGGATGCACAACGGTAAATCGCTCGAATATGGCTCGACATCTCTCGAATTCACCGTGTCTCTTTTCCAGCTTGATGTATGAACTCCATGCTGCCTCTTCGGGCTCCCATTGCATCCAGCGTTCGAAAACAGACCTTGCACCATCGATGTTGCCGAGGGTCTCCTCCATGTAAACCTAGTTATTATTGTCAGTCACCTATACACAAATATTTGAAACTGCCTGGACCACTTACATATTTGTACCATAACTTATCAACTCGCGGAAGAATGGTGACGGCACGATCGAGGAGGTTGCGCGCATGCTGGACGTTCCGATGCTTCATTTCAGACTCAATATACCGCAACCACAGGGCCACGCTTGTCGAGTCGACATCGAGGGCTCGTTCGAAGATGGAGCGTGCACGTCTGAATTCCTTCTGTTCCAATTCCCAGGCAGCATAGCGCATCCAGTTGTTCATGTTGATGCGGTTCCGCCGCACATAATCCTCAAATTCCTTGCGCTTCCTGCCCTGGAACTCGTGCAGCTCCTCCAGATCAGCAAAGCGCTGCGTTGGCGCTTTAAGCTTCTCATCTTGACGGTCGACGGCTTCTCGTAGCAGCTGCTCTGCGCTGATCTGTATGGGCGCCGCCGCAAGGTTTTTGATACGTGGAGCAGATGTCTTCTCCATGGTTGAATCAAGGTGTGGTATAAGATGTGATGTGCGCGGAGGTGGGAAGCAAAGACGCTATGCGCGTCTTCGGTAGACGGGAGGAAAGTTGCACCTGGGTGATGTTGACAGAGAAAGTCGACGGAGCTCGGCTCAGGCTGCAGGATTGTCGGACAACCGACTGTGAACGAGTCAATACAACCGCCTTCTTACCAGAAGCTTCACCGAGTAGATGATGAATATGTAAAGTGTTGCACCCAACTTTGACAACTTGAGAACGCGACTGCCTTAGCGCAACTTCCTTAGCGCAACTTTTACCTGCGCGCCAAGGACCTGTACTCTCACGTCACTGCCGCGCAACTCCCTCCACTCTCCACCACACTCGTCTCTCGCCCTCACCAACTCGACCGGTGGCCAATTCCGGCAAGAGGTACGTATACCACTGCGCGAAACCGAAGGACACTACTCAACCCAACTTTACTAGGAGGGCAACCTCTGGCCGCCGTCGCGACTGTTAAAAGTCTCACCACTCTACTGCCCTCCACCTCCCACAAATATCTGTGAAAAAGTAGCGACATTCCCAAGATCGCATCAATATGGCGACGCTAGAACAGGAACTTCTCGCCGACTTTGCTGAGGATGAAGATCTTCAGGATCTTGAGAATGATTTCGGAGGCGGGTCTGGCGAGGACGATGACATGGTAGACGAGGAGGCCGAGTACAGGCAGAAAGAGAAGGACAATGACAGCAAAGCTGAAGCCGACATAAAATCCGCCCAGCAACTGAAGATCAATCTCGAATCTGTCCTTCAGCGCATTGAAGAAATCAAGGACAAGATGGACATTGTGGAGGGTGAGTCTTTTGAGGACTCGCCGGATTACAAGCTCCTCACAGAGGCCAACGAGTACTCTACACAAATCGACGGCGAAATCGCTACCGTACACAAGTTCATTCGCGACCACTACTCGGCCTTTTTCCCGCATTTGGAAGATCTACTCAAAAACCCCGTCGTCTACGCAAGGGCATGTTTGGTTATCGGTGGTGGACCTCTGGACAACATCAAGAACATTACGCCAAAGTTGCGAGGAATTCCTGAACTCGATCCTGCCCTGATCATGGTAGTGGAAATTGAAGCCACGCGTGTCGAAGGAAGGCTGCTTGATGAAGCTGAGCTCTCTCTCATATCAGATGCTTGCCACCTGTTGCTTGAGTTGAATGACGCGAAGAAAGTGATTCTGCAATTCGTCGAGTCTCGCACAGCCGTTTTTGCGCCCAACCTTACCGCATTGATTGGCAGTCTGACAGCAGCTCATCTGATCTCATATTCAGGAGGTATTACCAACCTTGCGAAGACGCCCGCTTGCAACATCGCTCCTCTAGGTTCGACCAAGGTCTCCGGTGCTACCATCGGTCTTTCCAACATCGGCTTGAGACATGAGGGCTTTCTATACCACAGTGATATTGTACAGAACGTGAGGCAAGATCTTAGGAAACAGGCTTTACGTATCGTCTCCGGCAAAGTTATTCTGGCAGCACGAGTCGACGCTCACTCCGGCTCTCACAACGCCGACATTGGCATGGATCTGAGAAAGGAATGCGAAAAGCGCATCGACAGACTCAGTGAAATACCCGCAAACCAAAAAGGCCAACGAGGTAAGTTTGTTCTGGATCACATAGACAACATCAGCACTAACATTTATTAGCCCTGCCTGTCCCTGACGAAAAGCCCTCCCGCAAGCGTGGTGGCAGACGTGCCAGAAAGGCCAAAGAAGCAACCGCAATGACGGAGATCCGTAAAGCCCAGAACCGCATGACGTTTGGCAAGGAAGAAAAGGAAGTTGGCTACGGCGACTCAGTCAAGGGAATGGGCATGATTGGAGCAACCGACACAGGCCGTCTCCGCGCGCAACAAATCGACCCCAAAACCCGCGCCAAACTTTCAAAGAAGAACCCAGGTTGGGGCGGCGATACCACCCTCGGCGCTGCTTCCTCGCTCAAAGGTTTCGGTGCAGGTGGTACGGCGACGAGTCTGCGCGCTCAGGGCTTGCGGACTGGTGGTGTGGGCCTCGGCGGTGGCGCAGGAACGAATTCGATTGCCTTCACGCCTGTTCAGGGTCTTGAGCTCGTAGATCCCAAGGCAAGGGAAGAGATGAATCGGAAGCGCAAAGCGGATGATGATCGCTGGTTCAAAGGTGGAGCATTCACGCAGCTCAATGGAAGCAGTTCCAAAGTTGACGCTGGCGGGTTCAAGGTCCCTGCGCTGCCGATGAAGAAGCCTAAGACGGATTCTTAGGTACCGGGAGACAGATGGGGATGAGCATTATTGGCGTTTTCATGGCTATTTGGGATTGCATTGTTTGGAGTTTAGGCTTCCTTGGCCGGGACCACCACATGGGGAGGAGACTGATGGGTGGATGGACACTAGCGTCGCTTCATGAGGAGTGAGTGAGTGTTAGTCACGACCGTGCAGTCATCCATTAGCCAGCGTGTATAACCTGATCAAATCTGAAATAAATCTCAAGCACGAAAGCTTTTCACCATGAGTACACATGCAGGTGTATACACGCTACAAACAAGCCCGTTCGCATATCGTGGTCTACCATGGTGATAAGGTAACCTGTATATCAAGCCCATCTTCCAAGATAGGTATAACAACACATGACAGGTTCCCCATCTATGCCGTCTGCAAGCAAACAAAACGGCCACGCAAGCAGTAGCGTGAACACCCCCAGGGTCCTCTCGGTTTCCCGTCTTGGATCCCTATTTGCCAAATGAAGTGACGGCAAACGGACAAATTACCGTGTTGTTTTCCCATGACCTCACACATACCTGTACCGGTATGTGCAAACGCAATTTCGCGTGACCGTATTTGCAAATGGGATTACAATAAGATACATAAGACAGCTCAGACGGCGTCGTACGATGATGATACTACCCCATCTGCTGGTCACGGACCTGTCATCAGTCATTTTAAAACACAAGCCTTAGAACTGTCATTCTCACCGGACGCGACCGACCAGCCAACCAGTCAGCACTCCGCGCAAGGAGAACCAAGAAGAAAAATACAGGACAAGCGCAGCGTCACAATAGGGGCAGTCTCGAGCAGCGAGAACTCTAACAGAAGAAAAGGGAAGGATTTACGATCCGAAATCATATCGTCGGTTGGTCGTTCGTTGGGGGCCTTCCCGCACAACCTTCCTTTGCTTCGTTTGAGCGTTCTCGAAAATGGCGGCGTTTGCGTTACGGGGGGGATCCCTGACATTGTTAGGGGAGGGGTGGGAAAAGGCGAGGTGCGGGCTCGGTTCTTTCTCGTGTAATGGGCAGCGGTTGCAGAGATAAACGAGATCTTATCATGTCATGGGCGCGCGTGTTGGGGCGCATTGGAATGGTTTTGGGTTTGCTTGGGGGTAGGTATGGACGGATGGGATGGATGGATGGGGCAAATGATGCTGGTGGTGTTTGCATATCTACGAGGACGTTCCAAGTACGTATATACAGGGGCCTGTGAGGCTGCAGCGTGGTATGCATGTGGGAATGCTGAGTATGTGCATTCTTACAACGACCTTTCTTACCTGCATTTCGCCTTGTCAGCCCTAGGGTCGGGGGCGGTTTGCCTGTGTCACGTTGAGGTCCCGTCGGAATGTGTTATCTCCCAGCCAGCTGTTTCCGACGCTGATGAGATGCCGAGGAGGGTGGTGAGCGGACCGACCAGTACATGCCTCGACACGTGTTGGATGACCTTGTAGTGCGACCTGTTCGTCAAGGCGACGACATGGGGTCTTCCGGTTGATGCACCGGCTACAGGTTGGTCACACTCACACGCACCCCCCGTCAGGAGCCACAACTTTGTCGGGATATGATGTGCAAAGTGTGGGTTGATTTATCCGCGCATAGCCTCCTCTTGGGTTGGCCACTGGGGGGTTTGTGTTTTTAGGGTGCTGAGTCTAGGTTTGGCACGACTTGCATCATGACTAGCGACATGGGCAGTGCGGGTAAATGGCCGGGGAAAATTGATTCTGCGACGGACGGAGGGGTGCATCTTTTCTGTCAGCAAATCCCGGATGGATAGAGCAGTACTGGGTAGGATGTGACGACTGCGACGGCGCTCGGTGCGCGAAAGGGAAGCCGGGCCGCGAACTGGACACAGCTGCTGCAGTCTAGAAATGGCGTCCCCCCGTTGCGGGACAGGGCGCCAGTTGTCAGCCTGCAAACCCATCCAGGACGTCCAAAGGCTTTCTAAGCGAGGATGCGAGCTTTGGCAGGGGAGTGACCTTTTCGCGTTCGAGAAGGTTGCCGCTCGCGCCGGCTGCGCCGGGACCCAGGTACGGTGCGCGCAATCAGCCTTAATCAAAGTTTTTTCTTTTCTTTGCAGCCCCGGCTGGCACCCGTCGACATGCTGTGTATGCGTGATGGTGCTCTACCTATGTGTACCGGTAGGTCATGGTTCGCCTGTCGTCACGTCACAGACGATTGATCCTGCATGTACCGGTACCCAGCTAGACATGCACGGCAAGGCTGGCGGGAAGGCGTCTAGGCAAACTAGGCAATTAGGCGACTCTTGCGAGAGGAAAAGAACGGGGAGTAGGAGTGGGAGTGGGAGTGATTATTACGGGTCTGATTGCAGAAGACTGGGTCAGCCAAGGGTGCAGCGTCCAGAAGCGGGAGCAGGCCAGCCTTCACGTGACGGCGCCCAAAGCAGCCTAGCGCCTGCCGTCTCAAAAGCTACTTCTTTTTTTCCAGGCGGTGTCCGACGTCTCTTTTAGCCATTTGCCAGCAGGAAAATAGGGCGCGGTCACGCACAGAAAAGCTAAAAAAGCCCCCCCCCGAAAATCGCACAAAGATCCAGGAGACGTCCCCGAGCTCGACGTCAGGACTAGCAGTCGACTACTCCTACTGTAGATACCAGCCTACTACCCTGCTCGCTACCTTCCGCTCAAGCGAGAACTCGCTTGTAAGTCAGAGTCCCGTTCCCTTCATCATGGCACCGACTGCTGGCTGCTGCACTGCCACATGCACGCTCATTACCTGCTAAAGGCGGCTAGCGATGCATTGGCGTCCTGTCGCCCGCCCTTGGGGGTGCCGCTTGGTGCGTCGAGGGCATATCGCGCATGCAAGACGTGTTTTCATTCTTGATTCGGGCGCCCCTCGCCGCCGCCAGCACTTGTTCTCTCCCTTGTCAGGCAGTCATGTAGCCGTGGGCGTAGTAGTTTGGCCAGCGCGTTAATCTATGCCGCAGTCTTGGTCATATAACCTCACACAACACGGACGTGTACTGTACCGCACCGCCTATCGTCTATTGCCCACAGCGACTGCGTGCACTGCGCCGTGCAGCCAGCGCCGCGGCGTCTTACCGAGCGGCCAGGCCCCTGTCCGCGGGCCAAAACGCCCTCGCCAACTCAGCTAATCCCAGTTCCTTGCCGTCCCTCTCTTCCCATCTGCCTCAAGCTTTCTAGCGCCTGCGTGCTCGACAAAGTCAACCCAAACACCTGTCTTGCGCCCCGGCGGCCAGCGTCCATTGCTAGCCCATGTCGCACGACTTTGCACACCAGGTCAACGCGCAGCCATACTCGCCAGCGCCGCAGCACTTTCCACACCCAGGCATGGCCGATCCCAACATGCAGTCGCGACAGCAGACCGTCGCCGCCTATCCTTCACCGCACTCGTATCCCTCGCCCTCGATGCAATCCTCTTACACGTATCCCCCGCCCCAAGGCCAGCAGAGCAATGAAGGCGGCTACCGCAGCTCTCCCCAGGGCGCAAACATGTCGCTACCGCCCCTCAATCTGCCGCCAATTCGTGTGCAGGACGGCCAGCAACCGCAGGCGCAACAGCAGCCCCAGCAGCAACCCATGGGCTCGCCCCTCCCTCCGCCGCAACAGCAGCAGCAGCAACAGCACCAAATGCCCCAGTATTATGCTCACCCAGCGCATGCGCAGCCTGGCCCGCCCATGATGGCCAACATGGGTCCGCAGTTCAATTCCATGCGCTACCAGCTGCCGCCTCAGCCCGACCAGCGCGTTCTGTCTGGCGGTCGTCACAAGAAGGAGATCAAGCGCCGCACAAAGACGGGCTGTTTGACGTGTCGCAAACGTCGAATAAAGGTGAGTGAAAAGTCCATGGTACGCGGTCGACGACGCGACGCGAGAGGAGCTATTGCCTTGTCGCTTGCTTAACCGAGCGAGAAACCTTGGATCCTACCTCTTACCTCGATCGTCTAGCTGACCAAACTCCATAACAGTGTGACGAGGCGCATCCCATGTGCAGAAACTGTCAGAAAAGTAAACGTGAATGCTTGGGCTACGATCCCATTTTTAAGCAGCAATCCGGCCCAGCCCAGATACAACCTGCTCCCAATTCCGCGCCTGCTCCCCACGCCACAAGTGCTCCCCCCGCCCCTGCCCCGGCTTCAACCTACAGCCAGAGCCCCGTGCCCCAAGGCTACGCTCCTGCCTCGTCTGCCGGCTACGCCGCTGCCGCTCCTGCCACAAGTGGGGAACATCACCAGCCCAGCTTCCACGCCATTGATCCTGCACTTGCACAGGCAGACTCGGCTCTTCAGTCACAGCACTATAACGGTGTGCATGCCATGGATCCTGCTATGAGAGCTCCGGGCCCTGCATTCCCTCCACCCGGGCCGCCCATGAAAGGTTGGTGCACACACTCAAGTCACATATTTTTTTTATATTAACCCAATTATCCAGGCAAACGATTGACCATGTCGGAAACCTTTGCCATATGTAACCACAGCCCGCCAGACGTTCCTCAGCGTACTTCACCTGTACCCCGTGAAATCGACGAAGAGTTTACCCGCATCTTCGTCAACGACTATCTAGCAGGCCTCGACATGATTCTAGAAACCAATTGGTTCTCGACAAGCAGCAATGCACTCAATAGAGTCTTCTCAGATCGTAGCCTGCACGAAGAAGCCGCTTTCTTCACCGATACCATCAAGTACAAGACATCTGATGCCGACATGGGCGGCGTCTTTAGTCAAGAAGCTAGGCTGCTGTGGCACCTGCTCGGCACTTGCAAGCACAACACTCCATCCACTAACGGGTCGGTACCCGAAAGTGATGACCTCTTGTTACGAGAAGCTCGAGCCCGTTTCGACATCCTCGAAGCTCTTCTGACCAATCATAATCTCGACTCCAACCCCATCCGCCAGCTCACATACCCTGCTGGGCTCGACGATGAGAAGAGAATGGAGATCGATTTTTGGCAGCATCTGGGCGATTTCGTCCTGTACTCCGACGCTGACAATGCGCCCCCTGGTGCTGCTGATAACGCACTCGCCGTCCTCCGAGGAGTATTACGCATGCACGAGGTTCGTGACGCCATCTACTCGATTGCCGTTGCGCGTCACTATGGCAATCGCATTGGGGGCTTCCCCAACAGTCTACCTGCCCCATCGACACACCATCCTGACAGCGACCTAAGCAAGCTTACCATCGCCATGACGTTCATCAGCCACGAGAGTCGCGCCGCTACCCAACAGGTACTCGCACGTATCTGTGACATGGCCATGGTCTCGTGGAATGTCTCACGAATGCCATCAAATCATCAGCCCGGTGTTTTCCTACAATGACAGCAACATCTTGGATTAAGCTAGAGAGACACTTCAATGTCTCCAACTGTGACGGCCTTTGAGAGATGTTATTCTCGTTTACTACGAATTGCAAAGTCTGTTTTTTTGTTCCTCTTTGCATTTCCCGAGCGGGCGTTTTTTTCTTCTCGCCATGTGCTGACCCCAGCCAACGGCACTCTGCTATCGTTAACGATTTATACTCCCTGAGTCATACACCAACCCCCCTTTTGTTACGCTTTTGTTGTTCTTGCATTGGAGCTGGTGGTATCTACAGCATTTTTGGGGGGGCAGGCAGGCATCACAAGATATATACCCGGTTCAGATCGATCGTGTGCTGGTTTTATTTTGGTTTCCCGTTCCGCTTTTTCTCATGGTTGCCCTGTTATCAATGGGTATTACCCTAATCACTATACTTTTCAAATGGAGAGAGATACTGAAAGACGATATGTGTGTGCGTGTGTGTTTCCGTCTTACAGTAATTCATAAGGAGGTGGATAGGGGAATGTACGTGTGCGAGGTATCTAGCACCAAAGTACTGAATACAAAGACAGGGGAAAATTTCAATCGTTGCGCCTATTCTCGAAAAGTTGGAAAGCAGAGCTTGATGCTCATGTATGGAGTGACAAGTCGGGATCTCTTGATGTTTTTTTCACCATAAATTACACTGCATTGCAAATCTCGGAAATTAGGAAAACCAAACAGCTGAAATAAACGGGCGTGTTCGGCGTTGGGTTTGGCGTCGCTCGGCATGCTCATGTCATGTCACCCTACCTGCTCATTTTCCCTTTCCTCGTCACACGATACCGTTCGGCCTCCCCGCGGACACAAGCGGTAACGTCCCTTGCACCAGTGCTCTTAGGTGAAAACCTGTAATAAACCCATCCTCTTGGCCATGTCTATGACCGTGTGTCTATCTCTTGTTTCCTTCCTTGGCCGCATAGTGCGAACCAGGTCAAGCAGAAAGGTTCCTTAGACACCGGCAACTCACATACCATGTACATGTACCCCCATGCACCGTCTTTCCGTCGGAGAATTCCCAACCCCCCGGGTCCCATCCCTTCACCGTTCACTTCAAGCCCAACCTTACCACCGAACCACCGAACCACCGATGCCGGTGCTAATGCCGTGTCACTGTTACTACCTACCCACTTACACACACCGCACACGCAGCTTATCAAACGACACGGAACAAGCCCAAACACCGCCCGTTGCCTTGTAGTAGTATGACGCCTGCGCGTTTCGTAGTAGTCATGACGCCGATTTGTGTCGTGCGACCCATTTTCACACATACATACGCTACGTCGGAGAGACAGGACGAGAATAGTAGACGAGATGGGCGTGAGGGGTGCGTAGTACACGTGTTACGCACAACGGCGGGGATGCCGAGTGGCTCGGTTGCGAGGGGCGTGGTGGATGTGGGTGGAGGGGTGCGTGGTGGAAGGTGGCGGTTGTGCGAGTGTTTGAGGTTTTTGGTGGTGCAGGGAGAAAAGGGAAGGTTTTGCGAAGGTGGGTTGTGAGGTTTTATGTGGGTTGATTGAGTGCATGTGGGTATATGTGGGTATAGTGAGTTGGGGTTCAGAGAGCTGATAGAGAGTGTGTTACCGGGTTTGCGTACGTAGATCCATCTCCTTTGCGGATTTTGATTATCTCTTTTTGGTTTTGGGGTTTTGGTTTTATTGCTGCTGACGTGGACAATCGCTTAGGAGTTCTTTTGACGGATGGGGAATGACCTAGCTCAGTTCGATTTCATCATCATCTATCCACCCGTAGATTTTGTGTTACAACACAGAGTGAGGCGGTATCAGCCTCACTTTACTCGTACAATGTCCTAGTTCTTTGTCGATTGGAAATCCAAACGGGCACCTGCTCAAGATGTAAAGAATATCAAGCTTTTGTGCTGATGAGAGAATTTTACTGTATGAAATTTTCCAAGTCTAAGGGTTTTGCCCTACGTAAGTTCTGCCTTGCTTCATCATAATGGTTACCCATTCATTCCTTGCCCCCTACACGTCCCATATCCCTTCCATATTCACCACTGTTCACCATCCCCTAGCACCCTATGCAACAACACCCTGGCAAACTTGCTCTCCCCTGGACTCTTCGTACACCACGCAACCCAATTTCCCCTTCTTGAATCCCTCCACCCTCCCGCATCCCCCACAACCTCCTCTTTCAAATCACCCTCGCCCTCCGTGATAGGCCTACCCCGTCGATCAACTACAGTACATCCCCTCGTCCACTGTCCACTCGTCTCCACACGAATATCTTCTTTCTTGAACTTCCATGCTGGGTTAGTAGCGGAGAGCGCATACCATATAGTCAGTGGGTCGTGCAGTGCGAGACCCTGTTTTGTGGGGTCGACCTGCGGGTTCAAAGAAGCGTTTTTGGCAAAGGTGGAACCGAGGAAGAGGGAAGTCCATTCAGCTAGGGGACTGCCTTTGATGGGTTTGAGATTGATGTAGTCTTCATACATTGCTTTGGGGAGGATGTGTTGTTCTGTTGTGTCGAGAGGGAAGAGTTTGAGTTTGAGACGTTTGCTTAGTTTCTCAGGGTAAGGGAGTAGTTTGGCGGACTTTTGAGAGCTGGGGAGGGTTGGGGGCATGGTGAGATGCGGGTTTGCCGATGTGAGGGCAAATATACGGGCGCTGGCTATAGAGTCGGCGTAGGTATTGAACTCGGCGCCGGGGGTCATCTGGTTTCGATGGTTTAGTGAGGTACGTATGGGGGTGTTGGGTTGGGAAATTAGGTTGAAGGGTGTGATGGGGATGGAGAGGGTAGTGGGCGAGTAGATGAGGTGTAGGGGTGGTGGGGGTCGCTACGGAAAGCTTCAGACCGAGATGGATTGACGGAGACGGAGGGGAGGATTTAGCTTACGTTACCAGGCGCGTCAACAGCTCCACCCATCACAACAACCTCCTTGACCTTCAAGAAAGTTTCTGGGTCTTGTGCAGCCGCAATGGCAAGGTTCGTCAGAGGGCCAACTGCTACAATCGTTATCGTATCCGGCTCATTCTCCCTGAGCAAGTCAAGCATGACTTCATGCGCCGGTTTCAGCGAGGGTTCAAATAAGGAATGCTGCTCCTTGACCTTCTGAAGCGCCGCTGCTTCGTCCTCGGAAAGACTCTCCGGTGCGGGTTTGAATAAAGACTTCCAAGTTTCTTCCGGGGAAAGGTGCGGATGCTGACTTGATTAGCCACTGATACGCCTGAAGGATTCACTGGAATACATACACTATGATGTATACCTCCCAAACCATCAACACCATCTACAAGTTCTCAGCTTTAGCAGACAAAAAAGACCCTCTCTCTATACTTACGGAAGAAATCCGCCACCATCTTATGTTCAGCCAACGGCTCTTCAGCCCCAACGGCGACTATAATATCATCAGTAACAACATCTTCGAATCCCATAACCCTAGCTCACCAATTGGTTTCCTGGCACTCAATGTCTCAAATCCCTCTGGGCGATTATTCTCCTTCCGCCACGCCCTCTCCTTTTCAATATGATGGAAGAGAGTAACGACGTTCCTGAGGCAACTAAAGTCATACTTGTTAGCCCTGAAACTTTTGTAGTCAACGGAAAACTTACTTCTGAACCTCGACATTCCCAAACGTAAGCGACAACATCAGCACATCCAACTCCTCACTCTTTGCGGAAAACGCAAGTAACATTGCCAAAACATCATCCACGCCCTACCATCCAACCCCCTTAGTGTCAGTTACCAGTTTACCCCGCATGACGCACAACATCCAAACTCACCGGATCAGTATCGATGATAACTTTGGTGGGTGGCATGGTTCCCTAACTTGAGAATGGAAATAATTGTTTGATGGGTGTATTGTCGAGTGTCACTGGCTGAGTTTGTTGTAGATGTGTTGAGAGTATGCAGGCATGATTAGATAACTAGCGTGCGCCGTTCGTACCCGTGGACACCAAACCATACATGGCAGGTGTGGGCTCTAGAAACGCGGCGGAGCTCACCGACAATGGCTGATGGGGCAATCCAACTCCACTGTGGGTCCGCTTGCCTGCCCGCAAACATCAGGGGCAATGTAGCGATGATCCCACCAACATGATGGACCTATACGCAATCAACAATGTGTGTAAAGAAGATTTCTTGTTACTGGCGATTGAATCCAATCGCCGAATTTAATGACAACGCCCATGATTCCCATTCGTAGTCTACACATTGTCGTGCCACTTTGCTCTGAACCTGGCAAACCGCACTTTTGACCCCTCCGCCTACTCCCAAATGTTCTAAGCTGAGCAGCTATCCAATACAGGGCTACTGCTACTGGCACTGCCACATGTTGTTTCCCAAATAATATGATATGCGTTGTCGAATGTAGTGGGCCGTCCGAATCGAAACACGTGTCATGATGCGTGGACCCGTCCGTGTCTAGTAGACCTTCTTCTTCTCGTCGACGGAAAACTGTCCCGGGCCCATGTTGACCAGCAAGAGAAGACCACCGCTGGGAGTTTGTTAGTGATGTATGTGAATTGGAAGCACAGAGGGTACTTACACAATTGAGAGGATCTGGAAGAAGTCGTACTTCAAAAAGTCCTTGTGTGGGTGTTGTGGGTGCAACGTCCACCAATTGTTGACGTAGAGATTGAAGACGCTGAGGATAAGCACTAGCATGATGGCCGAGAACTTGGCCTTGAATCCAACCACAACCATGACGCAAGCAACGAGACCCAGCAGACTGGCAATGATTCTCCAGAAGCTCCAGTCGCCGCGGAAGACGAAGCCGACAAACAAGAAGATGAGCAGAACGCGTCCGGCGAGCTGGAAGTACATCTTCTTGTCCTTTTCGTCGAGCGTAGGGAGGCCGGCGGGGGCGAACTTCTTGCGGACCCACGAATCGGAAAGCACCATGAGCAGTCCGCCCATGACGGACAGGTTGCGCAGGAAAAAGTTGAGGTCAAAGACCAGACCGTATCCAATGCCCTGGAGCACAACGACAAACATGAGCATGCCGACGCAGTAGTCGGAGTATTTTCGGCCGATAACACCAGCCGAGCCGATGAGCATAAGAATGACATTGGTGATGAGGAACAAATGCGTGGCTCCGTTCCAGACTAAATCACGGCCTTGGTTAGCCATTGCTCTTGGATTGCATGTGAGGGGCATGGAGAAGCATACTGTGTCGGTAGTCGTGTAGATATGAGATTTGGTCGGACCATTGTGTAACTATGCGCAGAGCGTCTTCGAGAAAGGTTACGACGATTAGGAAGCGGCCGATTGCTGGAAGGTATCTTGGGCCTTGTTAGCCATGTCGTCTAGTCGTGCGGGCACGGCGGTAGCAATGGGCCCAGTTCACGTCGTACTCACGGCTTAATGGGGTCCGCGACAGTATCCAGCATGTCCTCAAGCTTGCTCGTCTGCGCCCTCAGTTGGTCCAACGGACTTGGATCATTCCTGCTATCGTCGTTGCGCCCCGAGTTGCCAAAGGGGCTCTGGTTGCCCAAGTGGTAGCCAGCTGTGCCGCGTATCTGCGCCATTGCTGGTGTGTAGTAGAGAAAGAGAGAGGGTGCGAGGCGAAGGTCTTGTAGGTTGACTGGGTTGTTGCTGCGAACAGGTGTCCTTCACGCGCTTGAGCTTCCGGCACGCAGATTATGTCAGCCACTAACCTATTGCGCGTTACTTTCGAGTCTCACTACACTTTTCTGTTGCAAGCTAATAAATTGCAGGGTGGAGTTTCTTTTCTGCTTCCGATGAAGGCTCGGCTCACTATATACTTATTATTACGCCGTGCGCGTGTCCCCAGGTCCATGGGGCCTCAGTAACTCGGTTCGCGCAACGTTTCCAACTACCTTTTCGAGGGCACTTTTCGTCTCTACCCTTGCCCGGCGTGTCTGGAAGTGAAGATCGGTACCATCCATTGCCGTACCATTCTTGAACTAGCCCACACTCGCCTTGGCACCAATACCCGGCGAGCGATCACTCGGTGGATCGCGATGTGAACACATGTAAGTATATTTGGAACCGGACATCCGACGGATACCCCCTTGGCGAAGCTTTTCCAGTCACCAAGCTTTGCATGTTATGTGTCATTTTTCATCATTTTCATCCCAATTGCCATGTGTATGTCAAATGTATTTTTCTACCCTCTAAGCCTCGACAGAGCCTTTCATCCAACGTCGATGGTAGTGTGGCTGGTTGTTTGATATAATAGTGAAGTACATGATCAGAATGCAAAGGAAGTGCCACACCAAGTCCAGACGCAACCCCATACACCAATGCTTTTCCATTACCTAGGAAAGCAAAGCAGACGAAGGAAGCACCTAATGCCTCAGCCATACCCCGCGCTCAACACGTAATTCCCACATAGTCATACCCGGTGTCCTTCCCCCACGAATAAAATACCACTCTGGCCAAAGTTGACGATTTGCTACACCGACGCCTGCGAGACCTCCTATATCAAATGCCCCCGAAATGACCGAAATTGGAAAAGGAACACAGCTGCGGGTCTTGGATGAGCACACATGTACCCAAGGTCATGAGCCCAGCTGCTGGCTTGGTGGAGCTTGAGAGCTTCACATGACGGCCCAATCGTCGACATCGTCGCCAGTGGTTGGCTTGAACTCCTCGGCGAGAATCTGGTAGCGAGAACTGGGATTCTTGTTCTCCCGGAGAGTCTCGGTCGGTCGAACTGGCTTGGCCGCCTGTGGTGCCTTGGTGACATTGATGTCCTCGCGCTCTTCCGCGAGTTCCTCGTTGACAGTCTTGCGCTTGGTCTTTCCACCCTTGGGGACAGTGGTCCAGGCGGAGTCCTCCATGGCAAGTCTGACCTGCTCTTCCTCAGAGGGTAGGCCGTTGTAGGTGGCAGGAGTCGCGGCCGTGCCGTTTGTGGGTGCGACCTTGGTAGGAGCAGGTGCAGGCTCGAAGGTGTCGAGAAGCTGGGGAGCGGCCTTGGGGGCCTGGACAGCGCCGCGAGAGGGGACCTCAGTCCAGGCGTTGGTGGCAGGGGCCTTGCTCTGACCAAGACCATTCTTGGCCGGCTCTCCACGAGCCTCACGAGCAACGCGTCGCTGCTTCTCCTCGAGAGCCTTGCGCGCCTTCTCTTCTTCCTCACGTGCAGCCTTGGCCTCCTCGACCTTCTTCCTGTTCTGGCGCTGCTTCTTCGTCTCCTGCGCAACTTCGGCCTTTTGTGTCTGGTTCTTGACGGAACGAGCTGGCTTCTCGGAAGGCTTGATGCTCATGACAGCGGGGGAGGCAGATCGCTCACCCAGCATGTCAGAGACGTCCTTGCCGCTCGGGGCCTTGTTGATGGCGGCCGCGGGAGGAGCGACCTTGGAGTCAGACTCATCTGCGCTGGAAACCGACTTGGAGGCTGCTTGCGACACGGCAGCCGCGGCCTTGTTACCGACGTCCTGAACGGTTGCCTTGGCCGACTTGCGAGGAGCCTTGGTCTTTGGCTTTTGGCTTTTGGGCTTGGTCTCGGTGTCCCAGTTGACCGCATCCTTGAGCGAGTTGGTCGTGGACTTGCCCGTCGTCGATCGTCCTCGCGCAACAGCGTTGTTGTTTTGGTGTACATAGTACCAGTAGGCTGCGGCCCCAATTGCCAGGAACATGGCCCAGCTCATCCAAGTCTCCATGTTGGCGGTGGGGGTGTGCAATGTTTCGAGCGATGTCACGGTAGTGGATACGTGGCTGCTATGCGCAGAAGTCTGCAACTGCGTGGCCAATGTCAATTCGGTGAAAACACAGAGTAGAGTGGGGATGAAATGGGAAGACTGAGTGAATGGTTGCAGCCAGGAGAAAGCCAACCCAGGGAAGAAGGCGGGTTGCAGACACTCAGGGAGGTCAAGCAAGGAAAGGGAGTCAAAAGGGGCTTACCAGTAATTGTCTTTGCCTTAGCCCGTGGTTTGTAAGGTCAAGGTTTGACGCGTCGCACCAGCTGCTCCGCTCAACGGTCCGGATGGCGTTGAGGAAGAGGCCAGGTAGAGGTGTTGAACCACTTCGGGAGCTACTCGGTCGTCGAGTGTAGCCACTGAATCGCGCACTTGACACCTGCGAGCGCCAATTTAGCCTGGGATGAGCTCACGTATTACACGCTCGTAGTGGCCTTGACACGACGTCGGAGCTAACAATGTGTGCTAAGGGACGAGGAATCAATTGCTCGAGGTTGCAAAGTGGAAGCACTCCATGTGATAGTGAGTTGGGGGAGTGTCCAGCTACTCCCCAAATTAGGACACCGCTAAGCAGGGGTCCACGGAGAGCCGCTGCATCACGTGCTTACTTGTAACTAAGTCTTGAGCGAGGGCACCGTGATAAGCCGGAAATAAGATATTACAGTCTCGCACTCACTATCCTACACCATAGGCTGCGCAGTCCCTCAACGCCTCGCTTCGCCTCCCCTCAATGGCTTGCACTCAAGCAGAAGCAAGAGCGACTCGAAAAGGACACGAAGCGTAAAGCGCCTGCGGAACGCTAACTCCGACACCCCCGACGGGGTCCGCCGTCTCTATGGTCGTATACGGCTTGGCGCGAAGCCTACACTGTCTGACGCCTGCATCATTGGCATGCCTTTGAAATTACCCATATCCTGGCCTCCCTCCCTTGTGCGACACTTTGACTTGGCGGATCGTTACAGATTTTAATGCTAATTGTCTAGGATACTACCATATGATTTCATCACCGTCGTGAACACATTTGCCACCAACGCCAGCAAAACAACACGAACAAAACCACCAAGAAACAATCGTAAACAGTAAGCGTATAGTACGTATCATGCTCTTCAACGAGCCCTCTTTCCAGCACAGCCTTCTTCTATATCCTCGGTTTTCCTCTTCCTCCCGCAAGCATCACTATGCAAACTCGAACTCCGACTCATTGGCGGCGTAGCAATAGTCGGCCCCGAATTCATCTTTTGTGCTTGTCTTGCGGCGGCTGCGGCAGCCGCTTGTGCTTGTGCTGCAGCCTGTTGCTGCTGTTGCGCCGCCTGATTCCTCTGCGCCATCTGCATCTGCCTTGCGATATCTCCCAATCCCGGGCCAACAATATTTCTGTCCCCAATAATCGTCGCGCCACAGTTGACGGTAATGTTGATACTGGGGTACATTTTCACGCCTCTCATCTCTGTCCGTGATGTGGCTAGAACCCGCGCTGTGGGAGATGGAGGTGTTAACGGGCGTCCAGTACCGTCAGAGGGTGCTTTGTTGGGATCGCCAGTGAGTATGGTGCTGATTAGATTTGCCACACGCATGCTATCCATTTGCGCAATGGATACTATGTTTCCATGGCCGCGAATTTGTGTTGCGGCGTTGATGGTGACTTCGGGTGTGTCTTCGTCGTCTTTGTCATCATCCTCTTCCATGTGGTCGTATGGATTTCTGAGATTTGGGATCGGCATGCTGGGGTCTACTACCATGTGGTAGGCTGGTGGTGGTGGCATGTGTTCCGAAGCAGATGTGTTTGATGTCGATGGCCCGTCTTCTGATGTTGATGAAACAGAAAGAGTGGTATCTTTTGCACTTTCTGGACCAGACTTATAGAAGGGTTCCATGGTCTATATGCACGCCCGTGGAAAACCTCGATTCGGAATCTGGTGGTGTTCTTGTGGTGTACACTGATCGTGTGTAGTGTGGCGTGATGTTGGTGTGACCTAGTAGGTGGAGATCATGCGAGTCGAGGATGGCAGCAGGTGGTGGTTAAATGCTCTCCCGAGAAGTTGCGCAACCGCGAAGAAGAACAGGAAGGTGTGTTCCGGTATATGGTCGTTGGTATAGTAATGGACAGACAATGGAGCTGATGGATGCCTTCAGTACATGTTTCTACATAAGTATACATTCAATGTTAGCGTCAAGGTCTACAAGATAACTTGAGCAACATTCACTTACAACACAAATAATCCAACACACTCAATATATGACTTGTGCAAACCTCACCCACCCCGTGCCAGCGGCAAGAAGGGCCGTCATATATACTGGATCCACCCCAGTCCTGCCGCCTATTCACAGCATGCTGAAACACGCAACACAATAGCAAGGCCAACACTCAAGCGCCCCATGCACAACATACCGCCCAAATGCATCATCACTGCACGACCATGGGCAGAACCCATACACTTTGCTATTGTGTACCCTCGCTCAATAAATTCGCGCTAACCCTCTTAGGATCATGCTACGCCACAATCCCCGATGCTATTGTCGCCCGCACCCATCGCCTTACTTCAAACTTGCCTATTAACTCGCACACAAGCGTCCTTTCCTGAATCAGATCCACTCCCCTCCCTGCAGATCCAACTTCACAAATTTCTTGGTAAACTACCAAGCTTGGTACCCGTACAGAGCCAGCCAATAGCGCTGCTACATGATGCATTTGCCATTGTGGCACAAGGTTGGGTAGATACTCCGATGCCAATGCGTGGCCACTCCTGGTGGGTGTACACGTATGCAACTGTAAGAGTCATTGAATACGGACAATAGAAAGGAAATAGGCGCAAGGCGCATTCTTGAGCGGGTATATACCGTTGCGGCGGTCGAGGGTATACGCCGCGTGCATCTGCCGTTGAAGGGGCGCGGTGCATACTCAGACGGGTTATTTGGCTGTTTGCCGTGGATAACTGGTGCATTTGTGGGGCGCGCCGACGGTACAAATGGCGGGTTTGGTTGGGGGATGGTTGAGAATACTTTGGGTGCACAATAGAAACCCGTCGCGCGCACGAACAATAGCATGTGGTGGGTAATGTGGGACACTACAATGTGCACTATATTTTCCGGCCTACCAACGGGGAAAACCTTCCGTAAAGACTGTCTAGACAGCCACCATGGCAATGCTTGTGATTAATGTTCATCCGGTTAGAGCTGCGCTTGCCGCTTCCGAAGCCAACTACATGCACTTCTTACGATAACGCCTAGGAAAGCCTATTTCTTACTCCTGTTAAGCCGGCAAAGTCCTCCGCTTCTCCCCAGAATCCAGGTTCACAAAGCTGGTCTCCTGGCATGACTGGTGGAGAGCTTGCAAGTTGGAGACACTAAGAATACAACTAAGAAGGGAGAACAATAAGAGCTCAGATATCCTGCTGATCATCTCTGCAAGACGCAGATCTGCGGCAGACCAACACGGCAGACGGTGTCTAGGCAGCTGATGTGATAGAAGGAAGCCACGCCGCAGTTTGTTCGCCGAACACTCTGACATGAAACCGCGGGCCTACAAATCAAGATACAGTAATCGTCCTTCATCCGCCTAGATGGGTGTCACAGCCCAAACCGCAGTCCTGATAGAAGGACTATAGTAGGTATTTTATAGGGTTACCAATAGACAACACGATACCAAGCCCAAGACGCCACGCTACTAAAATGCGACAAATATGGAAAAGCCGACAAGTTTTCTGGTTAACGGGTTGTTTACCGATATCATAGTCAGGCTTTTAGCATAGGACACCCCTCCTTACCGCTGTGACCGATATGGCTGCTGAACTTCATGAAGCGGTCGTTCGCTGTAAAACAAGTTTTCAGACCAAGGCGGGAGTTTCTTGTCGCGTTCATAGAGGTATCCACAGTTGTTGCATAGGGTACGCGGTCCCTTTGGTCCATCGCGGACAGCCCACACGGCAGTTCCCCACACCCAACAGTGTGCGCATCTCCACGTTTGCCGTTCTCTGTAACATGATTGTCAATATTAATTCTCTCATATTTGAAATAAGTATTGGTACGTACCCTTCTTGTAGACCACCATCCTGTCCACCATAGCCTGAGCCCCCTCCAGCTCCAGGCGTGCCCCGTCCGACAGGGCTCAAACTCCTAAACCTCCTCTTCTTCTTGCTGCGCTCGCCGCGTCCCATGTTTTCTTGTCCCTCAATGTTGTTGAAGAATTCGTTGGCTGGGGCGCCCGTCATATTTGTGGTCGAGGAGAAGCGCGCTGTTTCTCTCCGTAATCTGCGGATTTGCCTCTCGCGGTCACCTTCGCGCTTCTCAATCTCCTCGGGTGATAAGATCTCAACTTTCGGTTCCCATTCATCGCACAAGTGCTCTTGGTCGTATCTCCAGCCCGCGCCGATTGTGGGCTCAACAGCGTCGTTGTCAATCTCCCCATCACCCACTAACCCGCCATTTTCACAAGCCTCCTTCTTGAGTCGCAATACTGCTTCGTAAATGCTATGTGTCATGGCGTTAACCCATTCCCCTGAAAGTCCGAGATCTGCGCAGGTAGTTTTGGCAAACATTTCCGCAAAACCCGGTGGATGCAGGAGTGACCATTCGAACTTGTCCGTGTATAACCGGTTCATAAGGTTGATGTTGAGAGTGACAATACACCGGTAGGTGTCATCTGGATTGTGGAGCTCCTCGGATGGCAGTGCGGTGGCAGCCGCGCTGATGCCATTCGGTATGCCTACAGGTGTTTGCGCACCCTCTGTGTGCGATGCGCCGTTTGTCACAGGGGTGGAAACTCCATTAGTGGCGGGAACGACGGGTGTAGAAGTGCCGTCTCGACTTCTTTCGGGTAGTGTGACTTTGGCACCTGTTGCTTGGATACTCTGGACACCTTGTACAGCAGGCGATGCTGTAGAATGGAAGAGGGGGTGCAGCGCAACTCCAGCATACTCCTCTAGCTGCTGCCGGATTTGGTTTGCAATCTGTGAAATGATCATTGGTTTGCGTTCAGTCGGAAGATCCAGCTCGTCGACGAATTGTTTCGCAAATTGATCAGGCGTGGTCAAGGCCTCGTGGAGGTTCCAGAGGAAAGAATCCTTCAATCTGTAAGCTGGCGTGACATCCGGCTGCTTGTATGCGGGCAAGTTCTCGTTGATGCCAAAATCCCGAGCATTGGAGGGCGTTGGTAGCGGGGCTTCTGGACGGAAAGACTGTATGTCCATGTCTATTCGAATCGGAATCAATGTGACTGGCAGAACCGACTGCGTCTGGACTTGTTTTTCCGTACTACAAAATGTCAGCCTCTTCTTCTCTTGACCAAATCGTGCCAGTTGCCACTCACAGGTTACGCTTCGGTCTGCCCATCCAGTCCCGCCATATCCCCTGCGTGTCGATAGGCGCAGTGAGCTCTTCGCCTAGAGCTGCTATTTGCGCTTGTTGGTCCACGCTTGACGGGTCGGCCTTTTGTACACTGCGCAGGCCCGTTGCTCGCCGTGGACGGTCACTATCTTCGAAATCATCGTCATCGTAGGCATCTTCTGCATAACTGAGGACAGCAGTGCCTCGCTTCGTCACGCGCGGCGCAGGGAGCGTATTCGAGGGCGGGACGATGGGCGATATGAGTGAATTCCCGTGGCTACGTAGGCGCGGCGCATAACTAGACATGAATGCCTGCGGCGGCGCCGTCTTTCCCGTGGTCGTAAACATGGCTGTTAACACGCGCGATGAGTCGTGTAGGAAATGTAAGGAAGCTCAGCAGAGCTCGCGAACACCGGACGCGTCGCAATCCTTATAAGGGCGAAATGTGGACCGACAGAGGCGCAAAGTTTGGTGAGATGTATGTCAATTCGCAATACTGCCCGGGCTATTAGTGACAGTGAAAGTCCGTTCGAACGGCAAATGCTCGTGCGCGTTCCTGTAAAGTGATGGGATGCTTTCGCGGTTGCGATGCAGCTAAAATTGCCAAGAACCGCTAATCTGGAATAACGCTAGGGTGATATCCCCCCTTCACCCACTTCACGATGCGCTTTACATTTTATTTCCACGACTGCCTGGTCATTAGCGAATAGGTGCATAAAAGCAGCGAGTACAGGAAACACTTATTAGCCTCGCAAAACACGGTGTATGACAAGGCGCAAAATGAACTCAGCCTACGCAAATCAACTTATCGCACGCTCACTGACAAGAGATCGGGTAACTTTACATCATATAGGGTCTCAATTCCTCCTCCCGTTTCATACAGTCTCACTCTTCCATTGTTAGTCATTCTGCCAAGTCATCGACGTCTCATGCTGTTCACTCGGTGTGTTGTTCACTCATGTGCTGTTCACTCACTATCCCGTCACGTCACCAGTCGCACCATAACTGATATTCAAATGTGAATAGAAAGCGAGACTTATCACGCCGGCTCTTCGTAATAACACAAGTGCACTCGGGTCTCTGTCCGGGGCCCGTAGAGATCTTGCTATCGCAGATTCACGCAATCACACAATGGTACCCCGCGCTCATTGGCCACAGGGCTACAATACTATTGTCTAACTGTCACTCACCTTCACTCCGTAACAAATTCTTCACCCTTTGTCTCATTGTACAGGCTGTTGTGACACAACACCTCTCGAGGGCTATTGTATTATAGCTTCACAGCGCCCTTCCTAGGCCTTACGACTACTAAAGCCTCTACTCTATTCTCCCCTACCAAACTCATACCTTCCTTTCTCCATCAGATTTGCAACGTTATTCCACACTTCAACACACATTTCAACATGTTCAACAAGTCCACTCTTTTCGCCGCCATGCTGGCCATGGCACCTTTTTCCGCCAACGCTCACATGATTATGGCGAGCCCCGTTCCTTACGGCCATCCCAACAACTCTCCTCTCGATGCATCGGGCTCCGACTATCCTTGCAAAGCAGGGCCTTACACCATTGTCACTATGAACGACTGGAAAGTAGGATCGACACAGAAGCTGTTCTTTACAGGCACTGCTGTCCATGGCGGCGGTAGCTGCCAAGTCAGCGTCACGAAAGACAAGGAACCCACCAAGGACTCCAAGTTCAAGGTCATCTACTCCATCGAAGGTGGCTGCCCTGCCAATTTCCCTGCTAATTATCCTGAGGGCGGCCCTAACTACGACGGCTATTTCCCTTTTACTGTGCCACCTGAGCTCCCCAACGGACAAATGACGATGGCTTGGACGTGGATGAACAAGGTTGGTAATCGGGAATTCTACATGAACTGCGCGCCCATCACCGTTTCAGGAGGAGCTACCGACACGAAGGCCTTCGATGCACTCCCCGATATGGTTGTCGCCAACATCAACGTGCCAGCTGCCGGTACTTGCAAGACAAAGGAGACTTTCGACTACACATTTGCCAACCCGGGAAAGTACAAGACTTCGACCGGTTTTGGGCCTTGGATGGATCCTTGCAGCACTGGTGATAAGTCGACGGCTCCTACTCCCAGTGGTGGCGGTGGTGCAGTCAATGCAGGAAATCCTGTTCCCGATGCCGCGCCTGCTGCTGGATCTGGATCTGGAGCGGAACCTCCCGTATCTGGGGCTCCTGTTGCTGGTGTACCCGCGGCTCCAGCATCGTCCGCAGTTCCAGTATCTTCTGCAGCCCCAGTGGCTTCTGCGCCTGCACCCAACACCACACTCCGTACTATCGCAACCGTCCCTAAACCTCCTTACCCCGCAAACAACACCTCAGCACCTGCACCCACCGGCCAACTCCCCACTGCTTCTGCTCCTGCTCCAGTCCCCACTGGCGCAGCACCCGGCGGTAACGGTACCCCTTGTCCTACCAATGGCGCAATCATCTGCTCGCTCGATGGTACGCAATTCGGCATCTGCAATTTCGGCAAGGCTCTCATGATGTCTGTGGCTACTGGGACCAAGTGTGTGAATGGAGCCATTGCGCGCCGTGACGCTTTGTATAGCCATCGCAACATGCGAACTGCCATTTGAGTCGGGGTATGAGGCTGCTGAGGCTGGTCTCTGGCATTTATGGTTTCCCGACAGCGAGGATGCGTGATGCAGAGTTTGATTTTGAGTTTTGTCACTGTTTATACGACGCGATCACCAGCGATCACCATGCTTTGAGTATGCGAGCATAGCGTAGCATATTAAATCAAAAGTTGTTTCATGTAACTGAAATTTGTTGGCCTATTGTGTTGTGCTGTGATGTCTGTGGTGTTCATAAACCATGTCTTGAATGACATCCGTTATGGTACGTTGCATTGTAGGATAGATCGTTTGTCTCTTACCACTACAGCACAAGACAGATCGACCGATGTCTGAGACCATCGCTTCTTCCTTCTCACTTGCTTTAGTCACACGTGCACTAGATCATTCTGTACAACACCACATCATCTCCTATGAAATCAAATCCCTCTTTATAGCAACTCTTGTATCTTTACCCTCCAACTATTACAATCTCCTTGGTCCCCCACTACTCCTAAAGAGTCCCCACCCCACCACCACAGCTGCCGCCCCTAACAGCACCCAATGCGGCACAAAAACACCGTCTTTCTCAATATGCATATTATACCCTCTCGCCTTCTCCGCATACGCCTTCTTTCTCGCCTCAACCTTTTCCCTATCCACAACCCCCTTCTTCTCCAACAGTACCTTTTCAGACACCCCACCCCTCTCCCCCCTCTTTCTCTCCAATTCTCTCAACCACTCCTGCACAAGCTCATCCTCCTCGCCGCTCAAGTCTACAAAGGGCTGATCTTTAAAGGATATAAGACCTTGATCTAGCGGAGATGCAATATTAAGACCACCCACCACCCCCTCCCTGCTTTTCCTCCTCTTTTGACTAACAACAGCACCAGTCTCATCAACTTCGTCCTCGCTGAGCGGCAACCACTCCCTCAACTTCTCCACCGGCAAACTGCGAAAAACAAGACACATCAGCATCTCCAGCACATTCATCGTCAGTACCACCTCCTCCATACCCATGGGCACAAAACACAAGACCGCAAAAACATTCCACGCACTCCTCTCTAGCCCAAAATAATGCAAGCCCCCATTGTCTCGCCTGTACCTGAAATTCAAATGCTGGCCAACTCTCTGCCGTAAACACATCGTTTGGCCAACATACACTCGTAAGCGCTTGTCTAGGCCTAAGATTCCGTTGAGATAGATGGCTCGGCCTTCATAGCGTAGGTCGCCTGGGTAGGGCGAGATTTGCTTTAGAGCGTCCAGGGACCAGAGGGGCGTGGAGAGGAATGTCCAGACGGGGGCCCGTATGAGGGATAGGAGCGTGGTTGTTAGGGTGGGGATGGTGTGGTGGGTTATCCATGGGGAATAGTGCTTGTGGTAGGGGCAAGTAGGTGATTGAAGTGTGGTAAGGAGGTGAGTTAGGATGGCGTGGGTTTCGAGGTAGGCTGGGGATTGAGACTGAGACTGAGATTGAGGTTGGGGTTGGGGTTGGGGTTGGGTGGTCATTGTTGGTGGTCGTTGGCCAGAGAGGTCTTGATGGGATAGTGCTGATGTCGAGCTGGCAACTGAAACTGTGGCCATTTTGTATGTCTAGTAGTTCCGGGTTGTAAATGCAGGATACTGCACGTTGTTAGGCAGCGGACCCGTATAGGATTAGCGCCGAGGCAGCAAGACGCCGGCGGGAAGGCGTCGTAATGCTATGTTGATATTACATGTGCGGTCAGATAATGAATAATGAAACCATTAGAAGGTGAAAACATTGTTCAGCAAATGATTCTTACTACGCGGTGTTGATGGGACGAGATTTAGCAGTGAGGCGATTAAGGCTGACCAATTTGCTTGCCTCATCAGGTAATGCAACGAGAAGTGTCGATTACGGCGCGTCATGGGCACCATGAGGTCTATGACTTTGGCGCACTTTTTCGCCTCTAGAAAACCGTTCCAACCAACACCAGCTAGCGTCATCACACAACCCGGGCAGTAGCCTAGATCACGGGAGCACACAACGATAGCACTGCACAGTTGCCAGGCCTCATTCAAGTAGCGGTGAGATTCTTGTAGACCTATCGCATTCAACAAAACGGATGCACGGTCTAATGTAATAGGCTTCTTTGCTTGCGCTGAGCTATGGATATTGTAGACTGTTTTCTGTCTCATCGTGGACTCCTTTTACTCCTTTTGGACACAGCCAGCCGCGTTCATGCCCCCGTCTTACCCCAATAGACGACCACTACCGATTAACCTAGGCCTGTTGCTGTCGCTTCCCAGATCAGTCCTTCAGCGAACGGATTACCAGTTGTGCGTTGTTATGCAGGAACATCTTGCCAGTATTTCCTTTTATATCCAAAACATGGATGTACTACTCCTCAATCGTCTTGACGCACTCCCATCCACCGCTCAGCCTCTCCTTCCATAGGCTGACCCTGTTGTCGCCGGTGCTGACTGCTAGAACGTTGCCGCTCAAGCTCCAACTCACGCGCCAAGCAGCAGCATCGACGTCCAACTTGGTGCGCTTCCACTCTCCGCGTAAATCCGAAGAGGTCCAGATGATGACAGTCTTGTCCTGGGATGCGGAGGCAATGTATGACTTGGAAAGGACGGTAGGTGACCATGCAACGTCGCGCACCCAGTCCAAGTGACCGCCAGGTAGTATCTGCACGTTCTGCCAGTTGCCAGCCTCGGCGCTAAACTCCCAGATCTTGACCTGGCAATCGCTTCCACCTGTAACCAATCGTCGCGCAGCAACTGTCTGATTCCCACTCGCGCCAACAACCTGTCCTGGTGCAACAGCAGGAGCCCACGAGACACTATTCACGCCGCTACCATGAGCATGGAAAATCTGATGTGTCCAGTTGTTGTCCTTGAATTCGAGTACCGAGACATTGCCGTCGGTCGATGCGCAAGCGAGAAGGCAACCGGCTTCGTGGGGTGCCCAGGCGACGAGATTGACGGATGCCGTGTGTAGAGCGACGTCGTAGATCTTCTGCCAGCTGTTGGACTGCTCGCGCCAAATGAGGACTTTGCCGTCGTAGGAAGAGGAAGCGAGAATGTTGCCGTACTTGGGGTGTGCCCATGCTACGCTCCAGACGGCACCTTCGTGTCTGTCAACCCGTCAATGCAAGTCCTAGTGTACTCTAACGCCGCAAGGCCCCAGGTGTCATTCTGAACTGCCTATCCTAGCCATGTACGTACCCTTTGAGAGTCTCCACCAGTGTGTGCTTGTCGGCTTCGACTTCAAAGATCTTGATGGACTTGTCCGAAGAACATGTTGCTAGTCGCCTGCCATAGTAGTCCAGGACAGCATCGTGCTGGAGCTCGTTAGCCTGGATGGAGAACAGGTCGGTGCCAGGTAAAGCTGCCATTGCGCCAGCAGGTGTGGGGTTTGGGGTACGAATGTGGGCTTGGGTAGTGATGGAATGAGACGGGTGTGTGTCGACGTACTATCATGTCATCATGGCCAGAGTTCGCTATAACGTTCGCCTGGAATGCGGAAACCGCAAGTTAGCGGGACAGTTGTGAGGGCGCGAGGGCGGGCATGTGCTTGCCATTTTCCTTGTACAGCAGCTGTGGCGTTTAGATGTTGATCAAGGGGAAATTCAGGAAGGATTGAAGGTTTAATGGCAAGTGTGTAGGCAGCAATATAGGCAGGCGCGTCAAGACGTGTCCAGAGCTTGGAAGTTGGGTTGCTGCTGCTGTGGCCTCAATGCAGGGGTCTAGCGATGAGATTAGATTAGATGGCTCCAACACGCTACTTGACTGAGCATCACATGCTACTCTGCTTTGAAGCGACAACATCACAACTCTCATCATGTCGTATTCATCTCCACGCCATTCACAGAGTTTTTACCAGTACGACTCTTCAACGCCACCACCGCCGCCGCCCAAACCTGGACGTTCAAGCGGGACTGCAACACCATCACAGGGCCCTCCACTGCCTCCGCCCCCACCAGGGCAAGCGTCTTCTGGAAATCAGCAGCATACGTCACAGGCGCAATACCAGCAATATGCGCCCACAGATGCAGAGCAGTTTGTGATTCAGCCCCCGGATAATGGCTGGTTGCCAGATGTTCTCAAGGACAAGTCGTAGGTCAATTCTGGAACATTAACACGAGCATTATTGAGTTGTAGGCAGAACAAAGGATTTGCATCATGTATTGCAGACACCAGAACTGCAGAATGCGATTATTTATAATCCCGAAACAACACATGCCTCTCTGACTGCATCCATTGCACCTTTGCAGGCGCTTCTTGCACAGAACGTGGGACTGGCAGAATCACTCAAGCAGCTTGAAGCGCACGTGCAGCATCAGCGGGATGGGGTGCAGTCACGATTGCTGGCACTCCGTGCCCTAGAGCGGCAGTGGAAAACGAAACAAGCCGAGCAAGATGAAGCGCTCCGAGAGTTTAGTCCCCCGGCCTTGTATCAGCGTTTGAGTGCCTCAGTGGGTGAGCAAGAGGCTCTCTGCCGAGGCCTCGAAGAGAGCTTTCTCGAAGGCGAAGGCGAAGGCTACGGCGGTGGGGATGCCGTGGCCAGCGACCGCGAGGTGACGGACTTTGTGAGGCGGCTGAGGGAAGGGCGCAAGGTTGCCTATCTCCGGGCAGAGCGCAAGGAGCGCTGGGATGAAGGCCGAGTGGGTGGGTGGCGGTGAGGTGTATGTAGCAGTAGAGTATAATAGAGGTCCTGACAGGCTGGACAAGTGTTCGGGGGTACCCGGAGTTTCGAATAGCGCCAACGGTTTTCTAGGGGCAGGTTCGGAATTATTCGCAGCACTGGTCCATGCGCGAGTTGTTACAGGGCTCTCTGATGGCACAATCGTCCGTGTGGCATGAATGTTTATGCGGCGTCAGACGTGAAGGATAATGCCAGCCATTGTCCAAGCGGCTGGCACATGCTAAGCTGGCGAGTTGAATTGCGCTCGGTCCCAATGTCAGATAATAGTAGCACTAAGATGATAACAGATGCTAAGATTACAGCAGCGGGGCGGCTTCATCTTGACAGAGATTGCCATGGCCCTCTCGTATACTACTGTTTCGTCGAGTCGTGTTCCCGCGCGCATGGTCCGCCGTTCGCAGGTGTCGCGCTCGAGCCAAATGCCCAAGACAGGCTAGCGCCTAGTGCCAGCTTCCGCATCGGGCGGAGGTAAGTGGCTAGCAGCTAGGGTAAATTGCTTGCGCGATGCGAGAAAATGAAGTTGACGCAAGCCACCCCGTTGCAGGCGTGACGGACGTCGGAGCAATAGTAGAGCGACCCAGGCTCTCCAGCCCTCCAGCCCTCCAGCCCTCCAGCCTGCACGCTAAGACCAGTGACACTTGCCATGGGCGTGGGTTATGCGCATCGCGGTACTGCGTGCCGACGAGCTGCTTATGGTGATGCCATGCTGCTATGCCTCACCGCGGCGTTTCACATCCTCAGGCATTGCTGTCAACCCCACAGTGCAGCGACATACTTGCAGTACCTAACATTGCGCCCCGGAGTGCGCGAGACTGCACAAGCAACGCCAGCTCCGCAAGCCAACGTTAATCTTCGCCTTCAACCACAGGTTCCGAATCATCGACAACTCTCCACTGACTGCGAGCCGCCCCCCAAGACGCGCCCCTTGGCCCAGCCACCCCCATTGGCCGGCTAAGCAGCGTACCTGCAGAGCCCGGCTTGCCCCTGGCGCTCCTCTGCTCCACTCCCAAGTACGCGAACCGCCCATCACAGGTAGGTCTGTGTGGGTGAGCGCCTCGATCCGACCAATTCAAGGCCTGCCGTCAGCGTCAAGACCCCTTCGCGCCCCTGTCGCCGGCACATGTGCCAGGTCGCTAGCCAGGTCTCCTTTTTCGAGCAACCGTCTTTGGCGACTCTCCACCTCTCTTTGCGCCCATCATTTGTGCAAGGCCATGTCTATCGCGGGGGAATAGGTCGAGAATATGCAAGCCGTCCAAGCGTCCCCCGAGGACGCGCATCCAAAAGTCTCGCCGCCTCGCCAAAACCCAAAAGGATCCGGCCTGGCCTCGATTGCCATTTCGTCTTTTGCCGCCTTTCGGTCGCAGTCCTCTCAGCCTGTGCCCATCGCCGTCCAGTCGCCGGTGCGCAGAAAGCCCCTGCCTGCAGACTCACCTGTTGTTGCCCGCTTCTCTGCTCAGCAGTCCAAGAACGCCGACGACACTGTAGCCATCTACAACGACCTTACCCCCGACTTTGACGAGGACCTCTTCCTGCCCCGGGATCTCGACGAGTAAGTAAGCGCTTGCCATGCTAGCGCCGTCCCTGTTGCTCACGATGCCTCTAGCAACCCACACGGAAGGACCCCTCTGACGGCGAACACTCCCAAGATACCACGAGCCTTGGTCGTCACTAAGAAGACCCCGCCTACCATTTCGACAGCCCCGAGGCATGATCGAGCCTCCATCAGTGTCCACACCCACCAACCCACCAAGGCCGAGGCGCTGAAGGCCTTTGGCATCACTGGAGCACACGCCCGCTCTCCTACTATGCCGAATATGCCATTGTACTCAAGCGCAATACAACAAGCCCCAGATCTAAAACTCAACTTGGACCGTGTTACCGAAGACTTCATGGACGATTATTCTTACGCCGAAGACGACTCACGGCCAAAGAAAAACGACAAGCCCAAATCGCCAGGCGCAGGCTTCACGTCATTCTTCGGCTGGAATTCACGGCCGCAGAACGGGGCCGAGTCGCCGGCGACCGCCTTCTCGGGACAGTCTTTATCTCCCGACTCCCCGCGCAACAATAAGATGAACGCCAAGACCAAGCCTAACGGTCTGGACATTCCAGCCGCCAACTCCTCCTACTTCAACGTTCCCGGAACTCCTCTCCTATCATCGTCGCCCCAGATGAACGCCCACGTAGAGGAACTCGAACGCGAGCTGCGTGAAGTTAGCTCTGAGCTTGCTGCTTCCATCCAAAGGGAGATGGAATTGGAAGATGAAGTCGAAAGGTGGAAGGCCGAGAGTGCTGCCGGACAGGCAGAAAACCGGAGAACGAGCGATTACTACTCTGATTCCGGCACAAGCTCCATTCGATTTCCAATTACTGATCCCGAAGGCAAATTGGAAGAGTTGGAGATGCAGCGGAGAAAAGCAGAGCAAGAGCGCGCGTCGCTCAAGGTGCGCATGGCCGAACGCTTACAAGAGGAGCTTCGGCGGCGCAGAGATTTGGAAGAGCAAGTGCAGCAGCTTGAGGACAAAGTCCACGACAAATCCAGCGCAGGATCTTTTGTCGAGACGCCCAAGCTCAAAGAACTCTCATTGTCGCTCGAAGATGCAAAGAGGCGTCTCGCCGAAGAAAGACAGGTCAAGGAGAACTTTGAGGATCTGTTGACGGCGCTTCGCGAAGAGCTCGAGAAACATCGCAACGAGGCCGATAATCTGCGAGACGAGGTCGTTCCCCAACTCCGGGCGCGGCTCGAGGTGTTGGAGAGTGACGCAGCCGATACCGAAAAGCTCGTGTACGAGACGACACGCATGCAACAAGAAATTCAACAATTACGATCAGAAAACGAGTCGCTTGTTAACGCCCGACGGTCAATACCGCAGCAGCCTGTGCAGTTTCAGTCCATTGCAGAAGAAGCAGAGAAGGCAAACAATACGCCTTTGGCCAGCATGCGCGTTGGCTTAACCCGTTCAAATTCTTTAGCCCGCAGCTCAGCCGGGCTCGGTTCCAAAAGGGGTTCGCTGTCGCGCTCCAACTCTGTCAAGGATAGATCAGGCGACATCTCCCCAGTGGGTGCACCGACCGTCAGCAATCCGATGAAGGAATTGGAGGAGCAGCGAGATGCCCTTCACAAAGCACTCAAATATCTCCTTCAACGTCAAGAATTACAGCAAAAAGAGTTCAAGCGACGCATCAAAGAGGTAGAGGCAGAGCGAGACGCTGCGTTGAGTCTCACTCCTCGACGCACCGCATTCCATAAGGAGGTCACCGGTCTGAGACGGGAGGTCGACTCTCTCCGACGTCGTGCTGACGAAGCGCTTGAACAGAAGTGGCAATGTGAGAAAGGTCTGAGCGGACTGCGCATGGATCTGGATCGCGCACAACAAGAGACGGGCTCCCTCCGTGATTTGCTTCAGGAACATGACATTTCCATACCCGAAATTCGCTTGGAAAACCAGCCCCTGGCCTTGGACAGGGCGTACAATGAGCTACGAACTACTCATGCGCTCTCGCTTGCTCGTGTCAAGCAGATGGAATCCGGTAGTGATGACTCGCTCGGTGCTGCTAGTGCCGAAGCAACGCGAACGTTGGAACTATTGAAGCAGAGCATTTCAGATGCAGAGGCTGAACGTGACTATGCCATGAACGAAGCAGAGCAATACCGCAAACAGGCCCGTGCTCTCCGAGAGTCTGAGATGGAGCATCTGGGCAAGGAGAAGAGGCTTAGTGGCGACTTGTTCGACGCAGCCACTCGCATGGACGACCTCTCTCAGAAGATCCAACAACAACTCACGGCCAACAGCGCTCTGCGAAGCCGTCTTGCCGAGGCCATCACCCGTGGAGAGCTTGAGCAACAGAAGTCGACTGAACAAATCATTCAACTTGAGCAGAAGCTCAAGGCGGCAGAGGACAAGGTCATGCTCGCCCAACAGTCTTCGGAAGATGCGGTTGCGCGTCACGAAGACGAGGCTCAAGCCATCAAGGAGAGCCACACTAACCACCTGCGCCGCAACAAGTCTGGCCTGCTCAGCCCTGCGGCCTTTTCGCCCAAGATGCCGCCATCTCCAGTGTTTGCACAGAAATCTCCTCGCCTCGGTGTCACTAGCAGTGGACCCGCCATGACGCTTGCCGAAGCCACCAAGACGGAGATGCTCGAGAAGCGGGTAGAGGAGCTGGAAAAGGCTCTTCGAGATGCTGATCACGAGATGGAAGAGGTCGTCAGCCGCATGAACACCGCTCAGATGGAGGTGGCAGAGTTGCAAATGGAGAGGTAAGTCTGGTCAATATGAGGCATACAAGCACATACTAACATGTCTGCAGGGACGAGGCCATGAGGTCAACCCGCAAACTCCAAGCTGAGATCGTCGCCGAGCGCGAAAAGGTCAAGGCTCTGATGTCTTAATGAAATTCGACAAGTACATCTATCACCTCCTCTTCGCCGCACAGATCGATACTCTTGTGTCGTGTTTGGGATACTGTTTTAACATTTTGGGAGTTTACTGGCGGACTATCGCATTTACACGGGCGCCACGATGCTACGCAACGCATATTACTTTTCACCTCGGCACATATTGTACTACTATACACATTTGGATTCGACATTCCCGTGGTAGGCAGCTTTGCCGCCACAGTTTTATACCCGCCGGTACAGGGCTACACGCACTTTGTTTGATAGGCGGCAGCCTGTTGAGATTTTGAGCTTGCAGCTCGTGTTGGATTAGTTAGCAGTGAGCACGCTCGGTTAGCGTAGCATATTATGTATGTAGTTGTATCGTACTCTAATGGTGTAATGGATCATGGTCGAACGTGTTACTTGACAAGGAAGCGTGCTAGTACTGTAGTACTGTACTGTTAGCGAATACCCAGATGCGCCATGCCTGCTCCCCCGCGTGGCGGCGTGGCGGCGTACCGGCGTCCGATGTGTCGCCAGACAGGTGTCTCTGACTCGACAGTTGCATGCGGGATCCAGACGGCGACATTCATAGAGCGAAGGAAACAAGTTGGCTGCGGCCGTGTGCTCGATGAGTTGATAAGTTGACAATGCCTGGAATACTCATGTAGTGGGCTGAGGGCTTGAAACGTTGTCTGTTGCTGGCGCTGTCCACGTTCCCCGCCCGCGGTGGTCCTTGCGCCCTAAAGTTATCCCTGACCGAGCTACGGCGGCACTCCCCAGCACTTCCCTCCCCTTGCCAGCTGTGCCAGTGCGCTGAAGATTCCTCTGTTCGATTGCTGTGGATCTCTACCAAGCCCCGTCAGACTGTGGCTCTGTCACCGCCTCCGACGAGACCTTTCTGCGCCGCTTGGGTTGTGAGTTCCCGGCACTACTTGACACCCAACAGTAGCACACCGACTTCCCCCCTCCAAGACGATTGCGGTCCACCATGAACAACAACAACCAGAACAACCAGCAGGGGAACCGGCTGCAGCTCAACTTTGGCTTCGGTGGCCAGAGCGGCGACCGCAACAACCAATATCAGCAGGAGGCCGGCCGAGCATTCCCGACGACGCCCTCGACCTTCCCCCAACCTGTATACCCAAACCAGGCGGGTCAGCAAGAGGTCTGGGGCGCCCAACAGCAGGGCAATGGCTACGCCGGCGGCGGCGGTTACTTTGTAAACCCCTACCAACAGGCCCAGTACCAGGGCCAGCAGGGCAGTCTACAGGCACCGGGCAGTCAGCGCTTCGATCAGAGTGCCAATGGCCTGGCTCAGCAGCTGTCACACCAACACCTGAGCGGCGGTCGCTCTGGTAGCCCGTATGGCCGCCAAGGCTCTCCGAACCCTCAGCGTCCTCGTACCGCCGACAACAGGTATGGCTACGGAAACTCCAGCGGCAGCTTGGGGCCACGACAGCCGTCCATGTACGATGACGAAGCCCCGCAAAGGAACCCGACAAAGTACTCTGAGAACGTCGAGAAGCAGGCCATGGTCTCCAAGAGCCTCATCAACACCTTCTTCAAGGACAGTGTGCAGCGGGCACGCGACCGGAACCAAAGGTGGGATCGTGTCCTTGCCTCCCTTCGCTACACGGCTAACATGAGTGCAGAGCGCTTGAACTCGAGGCCCTGATGAAGGAGCCGTCCATCTCGGACAACCGCAAAATCAGCAAGGAAAACAGCATGCGCCGCGCCGAAGTCGAATACCTGCGATTCTTGCGAACCAAGGAAAAGCCTGAGAACTTCTCCACACTTAAGATTATCGGAAAGGGTGCCTTTGGAGAGGTCAAGCTCGTGCAGCGGCGCAACGACGGCAAGATCTATGCGCTCAAGTCGCTGGTCAAGCAAGAGATGGTGGGTAACTATTCGCCACACAGTTCGGGCATCATCCTAACAACATGCAGTTCAAAAAGGACCAACTTGCACACGTCCGGTCAGAACGTGACATCTTGGCCGAGTCTGACAGCCCATGGGTCGTCAAGCTGCACACGACTTTCCAGGATAACACTTTCTTGTACATGCTTATGGAGTTCTTACCAGGTGGTGACTTGATGACTATGCTCATCAAGTACGAAATCTTTACCGAGGACATTACGCGCTTCTACATGGCTGAAATCACACTTGCGATAGAGGCCGTCCACAAGCTTGGCTTTATACACCGGTATGTACATGGTAGTAGTCAATGACAGACGGCTAACTCTTGGAAGTGATATCAAGCCCGACAACATCCTTCTCGACCGTGGCGGCCACATCAAGTTGACTGATTTTGGTCTATCGACGGGTTTCCACAAGGAGCACGACGCTGGATACTACAAGAAGCTGCTTGCTGGCGGCGCACACAAGTCCAACCGCGATAACCGACAATCAATGAACTTGGACCAGATCCAACTGACTGTCAGCAACCGTACCCAAATCAACACATGGCGTAAGTCTCGTCGACAACTGGCCTACTCAACAGTCGGTACACCCGATTACATTGCGCCCGAAATCTTTAGTGGTCAGGGCTACGACTACAGCTGTGATTGGTGGTCGGTGGGTACCATCATGTTCGAATGCCTTATCGGCTGGCCGCCATTCTGCGCCGAAGAGCCACACGACACTTACCGTAAGATTGTCGACTGGCCGCGCAACCTCCACTTCCCTCCAGACCAGCAACTCGGTGCCGAAGCCGAGGACTTTGTGCGACGGTAAGCTTCCGATATTATGACGTGAAACCAACATACTTAACTCGTTTTCAGACTCATCTGTGACGCCGAACACCGTCTCGGTCGCATCGGTGGCGCCAGCGAAATCAAACAACACCCCTTCTTCCGCGGGGTGTCGTGGGATGGCCTCCGCCGCATCCGAGCTCCCTTTGAACCCAAACTACAGTCCAACGTTGACACGCAGTACTTTCCCATTGACGAGATCGACCAGAATGATACATCTGCTGCTCACAGGGCGCAGGCTGCTCAGGCCAACGAGGACGAATACGCGGCCAGCTTGCCGTTTATCGGTTATACGTACAAGCGCTTCGACGCTTTCAGGGGCTCGTAAAAGTCAGTTGGTGTGTGTTGCGTTGTGTCTGTTAAGCGGTGGCGGCGGAGATGGGGTTGAGGGTGGATGGACAGATGGACGGGATGTTCGCTTTTTCAACTGGTGCAGCGCATCAAAAGGATGATATATGTCTGTTATCGCAATGGACGGGTGTTGGTTGGCTGGCTGGCTTTGGCTGGGAGGTTGGGAGGTTGGTGGAAGAAATGTGCAACTCTCTTTGACTACATCAAACCCGACGACACGCGTAGGCGGGTTCGGGGATTGTATTTTCGAGAAGTCCACTGGAATGGAAAGAAAGTTCATGTTACATGTCAACTGTGTCTTATCCGACTTTTGTTGTTTGTGAGATCTGGTGGACATATGTGGGGATGAGTAAGTTAGGCATGATGAGCATAGGGCAGGTGGTTGAAATCGTCACTTCGTCTATTAAATCTGTGCGCCTTGTCGTTCGTTGCCTGTACTTCAAAGTGGGGTCATAAAATGGGTGGGTGGGTTTTGTTAACATCCATACGGACGTGAAAATGGCAAAATATTCAAGGTATATGTCTGTATTACACAAACTATCCTGTGCTATGTCCTCGCATTCCCTCCTTGGTTCTGTATGTATCTTGCTCACATTGTCGTAAGGGAAAGTGCAAGTGGCGCCTTTTCGAAGATGAAACGCTTAACATGAATAAGGGAAAGTGGTATAATCGATCTCTGTGAATTTACGCCATGTGTATGCAAGCTTAAAGATTCCCGGGTCCGTTGGGTTCAAGCAGGAGACTGGTGTATGTTGTGTTGGAATGTTTTCGCCTCGCCTTGTCTCGTCCGCCCGTCCATGTATAATCGTAATGTCGCTCGTAGCTGGCTATCCATTTTGCTAGTCGCCTATCCGCGCCCTCGTTGACCTGTTCGAGTTGTGGAAACGGTAGCTTGCGACCGCTCACCGGGCTTCGAATTGAACCATACTGTTATCTCCACCATCAGCTCCTTCTCTCTATGATTTCTCCTCTCCCTCTTCTACTCTGTTCTCAACCTTCTCCGTTCTTTCCTCCAACCTTCACTTGCTGGAACTTACCGGTTCGTCCTCTGCTTGTAAAGAACACGATGTCCACAGTTCCTGCAGCGAATCGGCTCTCCGCGCTTCAGTGGGACGTCCATGTCGCAGTCGCCGCATTTGTACAGGACAGCGCGCGCGTTTGAGTCGATCGTGGCAAGGGTAGCGGGATCGGTGTTGGAGGTTGTGGCTTGCGCGGGGTTGTAGCCGGACATCTTGAAATGTGTGGTGGTGTGCGTGAAATTGAGTAAGTTTTCGTAGTTGGAGTTGAGAGTGTGTGGGCGTTGGGAGGCTGGTAAGGTGGGAGAGGAAAGTTTGGGAAGTGGATGACGGGCGTTGGTGATTGACGGAAAAGTAGTGCTAGGGTTGGGTGGTGCGTGCGCGTGGCTTAACTATCGATAGCTGTGTACTAGGCTGCAGGGCTGGCTCAAGATGCTCACGTGCTATGATGTGCTGGTTTACTTCATTCGATTCGATTCGTTTTTTTTATGAAGATGTCTGCGGTGTGCAGCTGATCCATCAGTTATTCTTCTCAATTCTTGTTTTGTAGTCGTCGGTTCAAGCCTTGGGACCTAACTACACGTACGTGTGCCTGCTTCCTTCTTAATCCACACAAACTTCATTATTAAGCAGTGTCTCTCCTCACAAAAACACTAGCCTAATTGATAGATATCACTGCTTATAGCCCTAGCTTATTACTTCATTGCTACCTACCCGCATCGACGGCGAGCCTTATGTTATGCCCCCCCCCCCCCCCCAAAACCACAATTCTGTTAGCGAGGCTTGCAGTATGTGGCTATGGTGCATACTGTACGAGGCTATGCTCATTGCGATGCAATGGCTACGCTCCGTTTTGTCGCTGATACGCAGTATCGCTACCTCCGCATCTCCACAATGCTTAGGAACTTCCCCTTGTAGGAAGTGCGTTTAAGCATAACACTTCTCACGCTTTGCTCGATAAACCCACTCTCCTAGCACTTTTAATCTATGCATACCAAAGCAAAAGCGTACTTGAACTTCTTTCTGGTTCTCCTTTTTAAATAGTGGTTCGGCATCATAAAGGTAGGATACGCCAGACAAGCTCCGCTGGGACTTTACACAACATAGCGTGCCCATGTGCCCGTCGTCTCGATAGTCCATCAAGGTTTTTTGCTACAATCAACGCGATGTCGCTGATCATCCCCACTGTCGCCAGACTGAAGCCTGAGATTCGCCTGGCCGAAGCGGTATCCCATTTCGAAGCCAGTCTATCTAACGCCCTTAAATCCCTTCCAGATACCAGCAATGTCATGCGATTCACGGCAGACTTTGACAGGTCTCAGAGAGCGGGTGGTAGATGTTTTGGGCCTCGGTTTACGAACTTCCTCCACGATGTCCAGTAATTTGCTGTGTTAGGTGACGTTCTTGTTGGGGGATCTCAAAATATTATTGCTTGCGGCGTATGGTCGCTTATTCGACTATCACTACTTGTAAGTACTTTGCAACAATTGAAATTCCGCACGATACACAAAGACGACAACTGGATACTAAAATAGCAGGAATGCAGCTTTGCTGACCTTTACAGGCGTTGGTCGCATCATCATCATATCTCGAAAGCCTCTCGCTGGTCATCATGGATGTCGGCCGTTCGGTTCTGTGATATCAAACGCTGGCACTCCTATATCCTCGATCTAGATTTCTACAGTCCCACATCAGCGAATATTTCATTGTAGTGGTTCGTCTTTGTCACCGCATAATGGCGTTCTCTCAATAGCCCACATTCTCCAAGATGGCTGCTACACTCAACGACGGAGAATGAACGCAATTCATTCAGAGCTGAATCATTGGGCGAGATCAATCAGAGATGAGTTGGACTTGCTGATGGCCAAAGGTATCGAAAAAGAGGTCCAAGAAAGCACAAGATTCAGAGCACTATCTGCCCGGCTCTCAAGAGCCAACGAACGTCATCAGAATCTAGCTGAAAGAATATGAATTCTCGATCTGGTGTCTGGTTATGACGGTGAGATTGCTTGGAAACAGACTCGGAAGAAGGGAAATACGCAAACCTTCACACAAACATAAGATTACCGGGACTGGAAAGACGGCTCAGTATCATCTACGCTGGTTTACACAGGCAAGCTTGGTTCTGGAAAATCAGTCATGCTTGCGAATATGGTCGATAATCTCACCATTCATGTTGAAGATACGAATGCGATAGTTGTCTATTTCTTCTGTAGGTACGACATATCTCGAAGTTTTGAGGAGCGGACTGTTATCGGCGCATTAGGACGGCAGATTCTGAGAACCATACCTGATCTTTCCGGCCTCACTGTTGCGGACAAGACACATCTGAGCTCCGACGATGTAATACCGCTACTCAAGCAAGCAGCCCCATCGAGTTCCAGAATCTACATCGTCCTCGACGGGCTGGACCTTTGCGCACGCCCAGATAGGGATCAGATATCAACCGCACTCAATACCTTCCAACAAGTGTGGAAAGCATCTATATGCATATCTTACAGATCAGAACCTGATGTCACTACCGATATACCTCAGTTGTTGAACACGATTAATGTTCCGCAACCCGACAACAAGCCCGATATTGAGGCGTTCATCGAGGCTGAACTGGACCGATATATAAACAGTGGTGTCCTGGTACTAGGCAACCCAGGGCTGAAACACGAGATTCAAGATGCTCTGATCAAGGGATCTCATGGGAAGTTTCTCTGGGTCACTCTGCAAATTTATTCAGTGTGTTCTACGCAGACTCCGCAACAATCAATCGATTGACATGATTGATTCCTATATAGGTTAAAGAATTACTTCATTAGGCAGCCTTTAACCTAGATAGGAATCAATCATGCCGATCCGATTGATTGTTGCGGAGTCTGGTTCTACGATGACTGACGAGGAAGTCAGAGAGGCACTTGAAAACCTTCCTCAAGATCTCACGCAGATCTACAACCAAATACTGGAGCGGACACTCCTGCCAGGACAAGCTTATCGAGCCAACATATTCAAATTTGTCTTAGTTGCAAAGCGGCCAACCACGATTCATGAGATGCGGGAGGCTCTTAGTGTGACTCCAGGTGATACGGATTGGAATCCTTCAAAACTACTCAACGATGTATACCAACCGCTGAAAGCCTGTGGATGTCTGATTGTTGTGGACGAGGAAGAGCTTACCATACAGACAGTGCATCCTAGTGTGGATATGTTTATACTTACCGGAGAGTTCGAGGCACACAATCCTTCCAGATACCTCGCCATTAGCATGAACGATGCCCATACATTGATGCTTTCCATCTTCATTACTTAACTCAGCTACGGAATATTCAGAAATGAGCTTTCTACTCGTCGTCCAGTGCTTGATATCAGTACTGCGCCTTCTATGGTCATCAAATCAATACCCAAACTAGCTGGATGGACTGAGGACATGACATGGATGTGGATTGGTACGAAGAAGAAAGCCAAATTTGACGCTTCAAGAACGATTGAGGATTTCTCACGATTCCAGGCAATGCTGGTCCAGAAAGAGTTACATTTCTACAAATACGCAAATGCATTTGCTCTACAGCACATACCGTTGGCTCCACAAATACCACGAAAAATCTTTACATCATTATCACGCCTCCTTTTGCGGACCGATACTGTCGAAGGAGTTCTGGATCCTTTTCCGTTCTTGCGACTTGAGTTGCTTAACATTTCAGGAGATGAACATGGTCTCTTTCTCACTAATAAACCATATGATACTCTTTCAAACATGAAGGTTCTGGAGTGGTGCCAATTGTTCGATCTAGCGATGAAGCATAATCGTACTGTTTGTCTAGTGGATTTAATCAGAAAATATTTTGTGCCGGAACCCGAAGTTATGGACGACAAAGACAGAAGATATTTCTGTGCCACGCTAATTGATCTCAAAACAATCTGCTACTGTATCATTCAACACTATAATACCATCTCAAGAGAGTTGATTCAGCTTCGGGGTCATGTTATACCAGGAAAGTTTTCTGATTGGGCGATTAGTAGTAGTAGTAGTAGTAGTATCCATTAACGTCCTTTTTCAGTCAGAGACTATGTAGGACGGTGGCCTAGGGCCGTTTGACTAGTTTTTTCCCTCTATACCCGTAGGATTTCGTTTCTTTGGTCGAGTTTGACTATGGGGGTTTGGGTTTTTTGCTTCTATACAGGAAAGAGAGAGAGACCTTGTAATAGACACCCGTTTATCTCCACCTTTGTGACCAATCCCTTTGCTATAATAACCCCGTGCTCCTAAGACTGAAAAAAACCTCGTAGGGGAAAAAGTCATGGGACCTTGAACGTTTGTTGTATATAGCGGCAGTTGCGGCATATTTTCGTCTCGGCGGTACTTTGTGGCTCGGTTGTACGGCGGCGGCTAGCGTTAAGCGTGCGGGGTATTGGTGAAAAACTTTCCAGGTTTCGAAAGGAGCCGTTCGATGTTTTTTGGTAAAGCTAGAATAATAGAATTATTATAGCGGTGAGGGGAGAAGGATTTGATTGGGCGATTACAACGGCTGTGAAACATAGAAACTATGTTATTCTTCAAATTCTCCTACTCCCTCTGCTACCAGCAAGCGAGGACTTACCTATAGAGGCAGAGAAGCATCTATGGGCAGAGTTGACCGCCAAAAAAGACAGGAAAATCACAAAATCAAACCGGAACGTCGACGGTGGGTTGACTTTGAATTTTTGTTGCGAGAGAGACTCTTGCACGGGTTGTACGCCTGTGCCCAGCGAAGATGATGGGCTGTATATTGTACTCTAATTTATTCTTTTCTTTGAGCAAAGGCCATTTGCTCTATAATAATACATCCATTTCTAAAAGACTCAATGGCTATTGTATGACGGGATGAATGGTTGGTTGAGGCGTTCAATCTCGGATCCGGGTCGAGTTGTAGCTGTAATCGTTTGTATTTTTTTCGTTTAAGAGCGGAAGTTTTAGGTCGCCTGTAGGAGAGTACTATAGTACTCGAAGGCACAATAAGACTAAATGAGGAGTCATCGAAGAGTATATCTTCGACTAAGGGCAGTTGCCGCTACTTTATCCACGACATTCAGACGGGATGAATGGACTTAATGCATTGTGTCAGATGGTCAGATATGAGCAAAATCTATAAAAATCATGGAACCACAATCAAACATTACTGAGATCTAATAATGGTTGCCATCACACTTCCCATTTAGCCTGTATCGGCCTCTGGCCCTCCCACTGTCCTCGGGCCTTTCATACTTGACAGTTATAGTAACATTACGCTCTAGCATAGTGTCGGCATACACACGGTGTGTCGCCTAATAAGGCCCAATGTACCGCCTCGATCCTACTTCGGCCCAACTCGGACCCAACGCTATGTATACCTTCGTAGCCCCCACATTCGTAGAATCATCATACACCAGAATACCAATACACAAGATTACCTTAGCTACTGTTATTCACCGTACGATCGTACAAGGCCTTCCAACACATAGCTTATTTCCTGCAAAATCGGGCCATTTTCACTAAAAGTAACACCGTGAGTAGAATATGAAAACAATCAGCTTACACGTCAATCAGATGCTATTCCATGGGTTACAAAAATTGTGATAAAAAATGAGATAAAACCTTAAATCTCCAAGATCGCACGTGATGGGGCTTTTGCAACAGCATCAGTGCTAATTCCACCATAGTACCATCCGCATCATACTCCCTATCTCATTCTTCTAAAGAACTCTACTCGAACCACCAACTCCAATTTTCCCGAATAACACTTACCCCCTACGCCACCCACACGCTCTGACCACTCACATCAAATCCTCCTCATCAACACTCTCCCCCCTCCTCCCCGCCAGCCACACCCTCCCACTCTCATACGCCCCAAGATACAAGCCAGCCCCAATAAACGTCCAAACACCTCTCAGCGCGCCTCCCCTCCACAGCCCTTTGAATCCTTTTTCCGCCACAATCTCTTGTCCAACCTGCCAACTACTTCTCCTCGGTGTGTTAGAAGAAGCAGAAGAAGAGGATTTGGATTTCCCTACTGCATCGACCAGACCGTTTGATTTGGATTTCTTGTTTTCTTTGCTGGAAGAGGGACTCTCGTCACCAGCACTCAACATAATCCTCGTCTTAACAACATCCACTGGCGTCGTAATCACCGCCGCAACAGTACCTGCCGCACCCGCACTAACCGCCGTAATGCACCCACTTTCCACGATCGTGCCCCTCGTCAACCCTCTATCGTCTCTATAATCCTTAATCCCCTGTTTCAGCCGTTCGAATAGCGGAAACTGCATTGCTGTAAACGGCAGATTACGGCCTGCAAGCGCCGCGTAACCGCGCCATAGTGCGAGGGGGTTTGCTCGAAATTTCGAGAGAGTGGATAGTGTGGCGTTTGTGGGGGAAGGCTGGGATGAGGATGAGGAGCTGGAGGGCGATGGAGAGGGAAGCATTTGAGCGTTTTGTTTAATTACTTCTGCGGGGGTGAGGATGGCGCAAGAAACTAGTTCTGCGAGGGAGGAAGCCGAGGCATGGACGAAGGCTATAGGAAGGATGCCGTTTGGGGATGTGGCGGTGGTGTTCCAGTGGGTGAAGAGGGATTTTGTGTGTTCGTAGGTTGTGAAGAATGCTCCTGCTGTTTCGGGTTGTTAGGAAACATCTCATGCGGCATTGATCTTCTTGAGTAGAAAGTTTCGTGGGGGTTGGGCGGGAGGATTTACGTACAAGATGGTAGTGTAGCAACGATCACACTTCCAATCCCCTGATACACGCCACGGAATAGTTTTGGGTCTACTTTCCCCGTACGCGTATTCGTGTATACGCGTGCATAGTTTGGGGATTGGATTCGTGTTTTTATCGTGTCGAGTGGGTAGACGAGTAGGTCGACTGTGAAGGCTGCAATTGCGCCTGCCTAGTCATCTCGTGTCAGATTATCTGTATGTAGGGCTATTATTCTTTCCTTTTCTGTAGGTCTTGGGGTGACCTTCACGTGGACCTCGCACGCATGTTGGAGATTGAACGTGAGGGATGATGTACATACAATCAAAATGTCTGAACTCGTGTTTCCAGCCATTGTCCCGTGCGATAGGGTTATTCTTTTGTCTCAATACTTGTAAAACTTTGTGCTTTGGTAGGAATTGAGCATGTAGTGTTTTCGAGGCAAGGATTATTTTGCCGATCGTCAACGGGATGCACTACGTCACCGATGCTGTTCCCGCACGACACGATACACGATAACACGTTTTCACGTGCTGAAAAATACCCATCTCAGCCGCACGTTTACATGGGCTTTGCATGTCATCGCCAAAACTACAAGGGACCCAAGACTTCTCAAGGTACCTTTTCATTTATAAATGCAAAGTACCATGTATGACAACGAATCAAAATCATATAATCATATCATTCAATTCATTCGATACTTTTCATAATATCCATCCATCCCTGTCGCAGAAAAACAGCTCGTGTCCTATTTCTTACGACGCCAGACGGAAAGATGAGAAGAAGCGGAGAAGGGGGTATATCGACATTCCACACATTTCCATAAGCCCTATACCGTGGGAAAAACTTTACCTGAGAGGGAAAATGGTATCAAGAGGCACCGAATGTGGCAGCCTTTACCATGTCCCCATGATCAAACAAATGTCATCTCAATCCATACCCTTTCAGGCCATATCATTTCCCCTTTAACAACGCCGCAAAATATCACTTTTTTTCGTCATAAATATATGTTGTATGCATCGAGCCTGCGATTGGAACAAAGAAAAACGTAAGGAAAATGAGGGACGCGACTACAACTTGGTGTCCTGCCTGTTAGAGTCGCTCAGACGCCGGAAGGGTCCTTGCATGGTTGCACTGGGTCCGGGTCGAGCACTAGTGGTCCGTGTAGCGTTGCTGCCGCTCGCACTTGCGGTTGTGTTACCTGGAGTTCTCGAAGTGCCGGCGGCATTGGAGCGCTGCTGGAGAGTCGCACTCACCACCCACTGCAGGTGCATGCGCATGCTGCTAATGGCGGCATTGACGTGTAGCATCTCATCCTTTGATCGCTGGCTCTCGTTGATAATCATCATGTTGGTGCGGCCATCGAGGTCGGTAAGGGCGTTGGCGATGCGAGACACTTCTTCGCGAAGGGAGTCGTGTAGCGTAAGGAGGTGGTGGACCTGTGAGTCAAAAGGTGGCTGGGCGGGGTTGCTGTCATTTCCCGGTGCGACGGGTGGAAATGAAGCTGGTGGCAAACGAAAATCGGGTGTTGGTGCTTGGGGATCGGTGTCATTGGCGTCCAAAGGGTCGGTGACGGGGAAGGAGGTGTCGTTTCCATTCGATGGATACAGGTAGTTGGTGATGTTTGTGAGCCCGTCTTCGAGTATGCCAACCTTCCTAGTAAGCGGTTCCATTCGCGCTTCGTTCCTCTCGATCCGAGCTTGCTGTTCGCGGAAGTGAGGCGCCATCGTTGCCATTGCACAAGCCGGTTCGTGGAGCATGACTTGGGCACGCTCAGCGTGGAACTTGCATCCTACGATGAAACCCTGGCATGATATGATGTGCTTGGGACAATCGTTGTTGATGTGGGGTTTAAGGTCTAGCCGGAGTACTTGGGTCGAACATAGCGTGCAGGACGTCATGCGATTCTCGCAGAGGCTTCGCTGATGCTCCTGTGTTATAGTGTTTAGCGCATGCTCTATGAAGCTGGAAGGCCAACAAACCTCGAGATCCCTCTTCACAATAGATGTGTGACAGTCCTCGCAGCTTACAGTATAGTGCAAGCAGCCCAGATGGAAGTCCTTTTGTGTTGTCTGCAGGCGGCAGTCGGTCGCGGAGCACTCGACGGGCGTGTACTCGCAGTACAGCATAACGTGATCGTGCACATTGACGCGCTGATCAACCCAGTTGCAGCCAGCCTTGGTATTCGGGCACTTGACTACCAGCTCGTTCAGCATATTCTCGATGATCTTAGGCACGGGGCGAATGTCCTTGTCCGTCTCGACCGCATGCCGGCATGTAGGGCATGTCCTCCTGCCATTTGGCTGTGGACGCCAGGCATGGTCGAGACATTCGCGGCAAAAGTAGTGCTCACACGATAGTTGGACGGGCTTATCAAAGGGCGCATGGCAGATCAGGCAGACGAGGTTGTTGTCCGGTTCAGCGACATAGTCGAGGTTCTGGAGTTCGGGGGGTATCTTGACGATTCGGCTGTGTCGACGCTTCGATGAGGGTGAGTTTGACACTCGAAGAGCCAAAGGTGAAGGGCTGCTGGGAGGGCCACCGACCGTAATTCTGCCATCGTACTCATCCGCCCAGCCGGCCCAGTTGGCATTGCTGGACGAGCGCGACGAGCGCCGATCATTTGGGGGTGGGATGGGGCTGGGAGACGACATGGTGATGGAGAGAAGGAAGGGGATTAGAGCGAGTACTGTGTGGCCTTGTCTTATAAAACAGAGGGCTTACATTCCCTCTGACCAGTCTCCCAGGTCGTCGGCGGTAAGATGCGCTGGCCCCGGTGATGCAGTGACAAAGGTAGCGGCGGGTGGGCAGATGAGTCGAGAATGGTCGCCCTGGCGGTCATGCAGAGCGCCAGAAGCAAACACTATATAGGCCGGTCAGGAATGCACATGGTCCCAAACGAGAAGGGAGCATGCGGGCCTTTGGTGTATTCTTGGAGGTTGCGCAAGAGCGAGACATGCGCCGTGCAGCTGCCCGCAGGCCTGTCCTGGTGCGCCCCGCCAATGGTGAATGGCCCGCTGCCTCCGCCCGTCGACCTGTCGTCAGCGGTCCGCTCCTGGAGTGCAGCTGCTGCAGCCTTGCCGTCTCAGTCTCCACTACCGCTTGTAACTGCGACCTTGAATGCGTCCGCAGTCTATAATTCACTCATCCTTCCTATAGTTGTATATTGGCCGTGCCTTCCCTGGCTTACCACCTCGTCGGCGCCTTCCCATTATATCGCGTGCTCCTTCCCGTTTCTCCGTCTCCCCGTTGCGCCTTCCACAGCCCATCCATCCCGTAAACACAGCACTCGACCACCACCTCGGCACAACCATCCACCATGGCGACCAATCCGCCGCAGCTGTTCTTGCTCGCCGATCACATCAAGCTCTCTCTGCTCGAGCGCCAAAGAGCCCTCTCCCTGAATCTGCCCTCCAACAGCCAAGACGGACAGATCTCGCGGTCCTTGGAGCAATTGCGCTCCGGTATCGAGTCGCTGGAATCGCAAGTCTTGGATACATCAGACGAGTAGGTCAAGCCACTTAGCCCTTGTACAACGACATGTTTGTAACCAACAAACCCCCAGATCAATTACATCGCAACTCCCCCGCCTCCGCACTCAACTCAATGATCTAACATCGCAATTCCGCGCCTCCTCCAACGCCGCTACATCACCAACCCTCACCAACCCAAACGACCCCTCACTAATCCCCGACTTTGCTGCCGCCCAACAGAAGAAGAAAGCCGCCCTTTCAAAATCCGTCCGCTTCAGCGATAACCCCGACTCCACATCTGCGGCCGAAGACCCCAATCGCGCCGCTCTCTTCCCTTATCGCGACGACCCTGCTGATAGCGAGGCGCCCGATCAATCTCATCTCGATAACGAGCAGATTCACCAATACCACAGCCAGGTGATCCGCGATCAGGATGACCAGCTTGACCGGCTGGGCGAGAGCATCGGGCGTCAGCGCGAGCTTAGCATGCAAATAGGTGATGAGCTGGACGGACAGGTCCTGTTGCTGGACGATGTGGAGGAGGGTGTGGATAGGCACCAGGCACAGTTTGTGCGGGCCAGAGGCCGGCTCGATCGCTTTTCGAGAAAGGCGAGGGAGAATTGGAGTTTGACTGTGATAGTGGTACTTATCATCATTTTGGTGCTGTTGATTATTATTACAAAGTGAGTCGTTGAGCCTTGTGCAACTTTGGAAGATGGGAGAGCAAGATATATGGATATACATAATATCGAAGACCAGGGTAATACCATGGCATGCACGGCGTTCTGGGGGCATAGCGATCATCATCTAAATTAAGTCACATATTCCATCCTGATCATTGTGGAATAGTCTGAATCTCTTGATTGCTGCTATGATATACGAGCCACCTACATACAGTCCGCCTCCCTCTCGACTGAATTCAACACATTCACTCTTTTGTCAACGCCCGGAACGCCGCGCATGAATGCAAGAATGACAAATATATAAAGGCATATGTTCTAACCAGACCGCTAGTGATGCTGATAGTTTAGGTCTGCAAGGGTATCACTGTTTTTGATGCAAATAAAACCGCTCTTGATCTTAGTCTTGACTCGAATCGACAGAGCATGGCGTCCGTCCGGGTCTGTAGGTTTACGATTCGACTTTCTGGATGAATCAAACGAGTGACGATCCATCATCCTCGGCATCGTAACCGACATACTGATGTGCGTGGTATACCACCTCATGGTAAACCGATTGCCTTTTTGGACTTGTCGTACACGACATATGTTATCGAGACGGCAGGAACAACCTTGAGTAGGTTCGGTGTAAGGCCTTTGAAAAGTCCCCTTACACCTTCTCCGGCTATAGTCTGACGAGTGACATCCATGATACCAGTGTACGTCCTTGGATGTAAGACGGTACCCTGGCTTTGTAGTCGAGTTCGCAAAAGATTCAGCGGGTAGACGGCACTTGCGCCGAAAGCGCCAGAGAATCCACCAATGGCTGCCGTCATAAAACCACCTGGTTCGGCATCTGATTCGTGGCAGCCAAGTCGCTTCGCGTTGCGGCGAGCGACGTAACGTTTGAGGTACTCAAATGTACCCAGGTCAAGGGCTGCATATGGGAAGATGCCAACGATACCCATCGGCAGACCTCGATAGTACGCCACAACTCCACCACTTTGCCACATTTTCTTTGCTGTGGCCCAGATCAAGCGATTACCACGTAAGCCGCCAGAGACTGTCTCGCATTGCATGCGGCTTAGACTGTCAGTTCATGCTAGAAGACCGGTCCTCAAAATCACCTACAATTTCAGAGTGTCGATGGGGTAGACGGCAAATTGTGACACCATGCCTAGGTCTCGTTAGTGCATTCATCAACAGTATAATCTCAAGCAACGTACCGGCAAGGCCTCCAGAGACAAACTTGGACCACGAATGTATGATTGCTGGGTCATTGTGTCCTTCTATCTTAGCGAAGACACGTTTTGCAGCCTAGACGAGTTAGGGAATGTGTCGTGTTTATCTGAACATACTTGCCTCATAAGAGCCAAATTTGATGGCTGATTCAGGCATGACCTTGACGACGTTCAAGCCGTTGCCTAATACATCCGGTAAGTTTCAGCGAGCAGAATTAACACATTTCCAAGCTTACCAGCATATAAACTACGCATACCGCCAGCCTGCCATAGCTCTTTGGTGGCGGTTGCAAGTGGTCTCCAAGCGTTCAGAGCAGCTTTGACGATTTGGCCGTGCTTGGCAGCAATGACAGCTTCTTCGGCCACGCTGGTCTGAGCTATGAGGTAGACTTTCAAACGATCGAGGGGTGCAGTAGAGGTGCGAGAAACAATGCCTGCAACGCCTCCCGCCACGAAGTAGCCTGGATTGGGAACACAAGCAATCAGCATGGTTCCTAAGCTCTCTATAAGTCCTGCCCGTATCTCTTGTAGAGGAGAGGTACTCTCCTCGTCCTCAGATCGTGGCGGGAGGGTAACTTGAGTGGCAAGCGTCGAAGTGGAAGGTGACGCCAATTCGAGTGGGACGGTATCTTGTGGGAGGGGACTGTAGGGCGGTGTACGCGCTACAAGAAAAAGGGAACCGAAGAAAAAACGAAGAAAACGCTGTGCAGTACCTAGGCCTTGGATTACATCGTCGCTTATGGCAACATCTCCTTCTTGGTTCATTTTCATGGTGGCAGAGAAGTACGACATGACGGCGTGAAGAGAGGGCGCATTGGCCGGAATGAATAGAAGAAAGTCCCTTTCAACAGTCAGTATAGTCGCATACAGAGGTTCACAGCACAGCTTCGGTCAAGCTTCTATTCACAATTCCATGTACTGCCGCAGGCTTGTTCAGGTACGTACCGCCATTCTTCGAAGCTAATAACCCCATCGTTGTTGGTGTCGACTTCAGAGAAGAATTTGTCAAGATTGGTGTTGGGTACTGTGAGCCCAGCGGACCTCAAGGCGGAGCGCAGCTCGTCTCGGGATATCTTTCCGTCGCGATTGTAATCGATGGAGCGAAATAATTGGAGGAGCTCTTTTTCTGTCTCGTGCACAAAGGTACGAAATTCTGGTAGAGCGCAGTGTTAGTACCACTCAGACGCTGCGCCAGTTCGTGTGGGAGAGCAACCGACCATTATATGTGATTCTTCCATTTCCATCGATATCCACAGCCTGCATCACCTCGTCCAGAAGCTGGTCGGCATTTTTCAAGGCTACAGTATGGTCTTAGCGACGTAACGTATGCGCGAATTGCCGGTCCTTACGATGATCCAGCTTGCGCAAACCCTTCTTCAGGCCTGCAAGGTCAAGGTGGCCTTGTTTGCGCGTGTCGAGAGTCGCCCATAATTCATCCACCCTGGCGTCAGCAACGCTTGGTCTTGATGTGTCCATTGTCCTGCTATCTTCGGTCTATCATGGCTGGGGGTCGCGACACACGGGTCAGGGCGGTTGGCGGCACGAGCGAGGTGAGTTGCGGATAGAATGGCCGGCGGTTTTGGATGCTGGCTCATAGGATTCCTACGTGGTACGTGGGGTATGAGGTCAGTCCCTCAAAGCTTGGTGAGGCCTTCTGTAAGGGGCTAGCTTGACGTGCCGCAACACCGAGGGTAACCACGACAGTCGACAGTCGGCTAGGTCAGCATTCGCCCGCACATGATTGGACACGGCCTAGTCCATCTGCTGTCTCGTACGTTTGTTGTCAAAAGCATCTTACTACATGACATGACACACATTGAACATGTATTGACTCTCTCGCTGCGCATCTGGCCCCTTTCTAATTACCGTCTTTCTGTGTGACAGAAGCCAGCCATACTAAAGTATTACACGAATACCAACCCATGGAAAGAGCAAGGAATATACGGTGAAGGCAACAAAGTTACCATCGCTTTGAAACACATATCAGCCATCCAACATGTCTTGCAGCTACTGGGAATCGACGCAGCGCAAGTTCTGGACTTTTACAAAGCAGGAACTCGCACTCGAGCGGAAAAGGATAGAAGACTCTGAACGAAACCTGGTCAATCTGTATCCCCTGCCGGACCGAAGACATCTCAGCATATACTTTTCTCACCGTGAGTGATACGGCACAACGTTTCAACTTCCGGCTGACGGACTGCAGAACTCTCCAAAATGGCAAGACCTCTGGGCATCCGTCAGCAAGCTCTGGCGACGGCCCAGGTCTACGTGCGGCGTTTCTATGCAAAGGTTGAAATTCGACGAACGAACCCGGCACTTGTACTAGCTACGGCGCTGTATTTGGCTTGCAAGATGGAGGAATGCCCACAGCACATTCGAATGGTGCTGGCAGAGGCGCGCCACTGCTGGGGTAGGTCATGATAAACACATTATTTTACTTGTCTGACAAGTCTACCAGACACGTCTTTCAACGACATCTCCAAGATTGGCGAGTGCGAGTTTACCCTCATCTCTGAGATGAACTCGCAATTAATACTTCACCACCCCTATCGTAGCCTTGCAGAGCTACAGACGCAGTTCCAACTGACACAGGAAGAAAACGCATTAGCGTGGTCCATCATCAATGACCACTATCTCACAGATCTCCCGCTTTTACATGCTCCACATGTGATGGCCATTACTGCCATGTTCCTGGCCGTTGTCTTGAAACCGATAGGCTCGCAGGTCAACGCAGCTGGGATGAACAGCGCACTCCAAACATTGGGTAACGCGCGTGGTGGACAAGGGATGCAAGCAAGGATACAGAAGCTGGTGGATTGGCTTGCTGAGAGCAATGTGGACATTGAAGCTGTTGTTGAATGCACGCAGGAGCTCATATCACTATACGAGGTTTGGGAGTCATACACGGATAAGACGTGTAAAGACCAGATTGCCAAGTTTGTCAAAGCTAGAGGACTGGACAAGTAAGCATACATTGAGTTTTGTTCAGATGGTGCTCGATCATGGAAAGGCCGGTACGATGCGGGCTAGCGAAACGTGGAAAGAGGTATATGTCGACCAGACCTTTGACGGAACACCAAACGTTCAGTTCATTTCCTGTTTCCAGTAGGTTTGTATTGGCGGTGTTTGGGCGAAACAGCCTCACTGGGTGAGACGCATACGCGCAAGCTCGATGCAAATTGGAGTCGTAGTCGGAGGGTTTCGCAGCAACGGCTACGGCGGGCTGGCAGCAAGATGCGTTTTGATGATTTGCATGGTAGTCAGCACTTGTAGCAGTAAGCAGGCCTACAGTAGGCGATTTCGTCCGCCGTACCGCAGGTCATCATCCAGATTACATCGGCGTCGACTTGCAAGCATTAGATGCATCCCGCGCGGCAGACAGTCGATCAATTGAGCGTGTTTGGAGCTTGGAAGTGGTTTTTCATGCAGTCAGCCTTGGCGCTGTCGCAGACACGTTTTGTCAAAACTGTTCGCCACGGCAATTTATGGTGAGGAAGATGCCGAAGAACAGTGGCTCGGGCGGTTCACCATGTTGATGTCGACCAGCAGGACCGCGACGCTACATGATACAAAGATGGGGTGACGGGATGCGCGAACGCCAGTGCCAGCCTTTCGCTGCCTTGCGGTGTCGATCGGTCGAGGGCGCGGGCGGGATAGATAATCGGTCGCAGAAGGAGCAGTAGGCGCTATTTTGGTCAACTAGTTCGCCGACGCCCATTGGCTGTTGGTGTCAACCCCAGCAGTCGGGACGTCACACAGCACCACCCAGGACGGGGGCCGGACCTGGTCGGAAACCTGGCGGGTTCAAGACGTGTATCGCATGGGGGCGCTGAGCGTCTAGAAGTGGTAGCAAGACGGTCGTGTGTTGCTCACGAGGTGTCGCTCGTGTGTTTGTTGTTGATCTCGTCGCAGCCAGGCCGTCTAGCACCCAACCGCTTCCCATGGGCAGGCGTCCGGACGGCGCGGACATTCCAGAACATGTCTCGCGACTCAACAAGGCAGCGATTTGCAGACGTCGTCGGCAGGGACTCGGTCGCCACGAGCAGATGCTGGGAGCCCCTCACGCACCATGTCAAGCTGTCGACAGGCACGGCCAGCCCTCGGACTGCTGCAAGAGAGCGTCGGGACGTCCAGTCTACTTGGGACCGCCCTTGCCGACACAGCATCGTCGGGATCCCTAGGACTGCTAGTTGCTAGCTGCGCGAGGTATGCATTCCCCTGGCGACGGCAACGCTGCGGAAGAAGCGGTCAGGGCGCAGGCGCTGCCGTGGCTGCCAGTGCATGGTCACTTGCCCGCCAGCTCACAGCCTCGCTGGGTTGGCAAAGAGTTAGCGTCGTGCGTCGCATAAGTCTTGTTTGATAATGCGCCGCCCTCGTTGCATCTGTGCTGTGTGGCCCGCCATTGCGCGCCTATCCCACCCGTTGAGCGCTGCTGGCGGCTCCTGAAGCTCTTGAAGCTCTCGAGGGAGCTGGGAGCCTCGATGGGGGCTCGATGCTCAGCCCGATCCGTAATAACTCACACAGCGGCGCTTCACATTCGCAGCGCTGGCCATGGGTGCGTCCAAGGTGGCTAGCGCACGCTGCAGTGCCAGGCTAGAGCGCATCGAGGACAGGGGGCGCGTGGTGGCAATCCATGCAGCGAATCACACTCGTCTTCTCCACTTAACTCGTGCGCCCGGGCCACCACCCATCTCGTCTGACCCAGCCTGTTCTTCTCCAGCCCTTTCGCTCTTCCTGCTCTTTGCACTCCTGCACCCGCGCTCTCCCACACACACACACATCTTCTCAGCCTCACATCGCAACACCAATAGTTAATAACTCTTCCACGCGCACCTCTACCGACTCTACCGACTACCTTTTCTCTGCCTCTCCCGCCTACCGCTGCCCAATCCCGAGCTATCCCCCTTTCAATCGCCTTTGTTGTGGTCGAGCTCCCCGGATCCCGCACACAACCCCTCACCCAACCACTGTCTGAACCGCCGTCTGCATAACACGACTCAACCACCATGTCGCAGTTCTTCAACTACGCTGCCCAGCAGCACCACCCCCAGCACCTTAACGCCCACACGCACAACAACAACCATCACGGCGGCCGATCGCGGAGGGCTCCCCGGATCTCCGCCCAGCAGAACCACAAGCAGTTCCGCCAAGTGCGCACCCCCAAGGAGTTCAACGTCGAGCCCCCCACCCTCATCGCGTACAAGCGCGACTTCGAGGCGGCCCGGTCCTTTGACATTGAGGACGACGAAATGTTCTGCCCCTTCCACCTTCTCACCGAGGATGATGTAAGTTGCTTGTCGTCGACTCCCGCCTGAACAGGCGCTGACACTCGATGCACAGTTGCAGTCAATCCACTCGTCTGGCTCGGACCGTTCGTCGCTCTCCAGCGGCTCGCCCGAACAGTCGCCGCTCCAGCACCAGCTGCAGCCAACTCCCTCTTTCGTGCTCTCCACCGCCCCGAACCCATACACACCAGTCAACTTCCAGCCAAACAACTCGCAGACTAAGCTGCACCAGCCACTAGCCCAGCGCACCCGCAATGCTATCCCGATTGTTGACCCGTCCACACGAGCTGTTGCTAGCCCACCGAGGTCCATCTCTCCCAACCGACAGATGCAGCAACAGTTCATGTCGCGACGCTGGTAGAGCCTTGCAGGCACGAGGCTATGTGTCCTGTTCGGTTAGTAGCGCGGCGCCCCGCTTGCTAGGCTAGTGGCTACCTAGATCTGTTCTTCTTCTCGATATCCACCGGAGCATCCTACCTCCATTCGACTCCCCTGTATAAATCTACGATATCTTCTTCGACATGTTGGGTATACCACTAAACTGGCCACGGCGTTGCTCTTGTAGCACAAAACATCTTTTCCGAATAGAGCGCATTAGTCTCTTGCTTTCAAGCGCTTACGCATTCACGGCGGGTTGCACATATAGGTGTTCTGGGTCGCATTTCTGGCTATTCTTATTCTTTTACAAGACAAGTAAAAATCTTGGTTACAGGCAGTGTGTCCTGTAGCGTTGCTGTCATACATTACTTGTCGCCCGGTTGCCTGGTTCATGGCGCCATTACAAAGGGTAGATTTCCTATGTGCGGTTGGTCTCTGGGTTTCAAGCGGTCGGTATATACCATTGTTGGGCGCCATCTTGCGAAGCGGCGGTGTCAAGCGTGTTGTGGGTCTGATTCTTTGGAGCATTGTACGACGCTGGGATGATTCTACGCAGTCATTGGCGCAGGTTCGTTTTCGTTCGTCTTTTCTATTTTTCATCGTATGAGGATTTATTGATGCCCGAGGAGCGGGTGTCTGCCATTTCTTCTTGGATGTTACCGTGTTATCTCTCTCTTTCGGGAGCTTTATTCTACTCACGCATTACACGCCTCTTAACGAGGGCAGTGAATCCTAGAAATGGACTCTTAACTTGTTATCTGATTTGCCCCATATGCAATTGTGATGCTTGGAGTCTTGGAAACGAGTGACCGTCTATAGAATGTGGCACGACAGGCTGCATTGCAGCCCGCCCGCTTTCAGGCGCCTACTCCGCCTACTCTCCGGCTAGGCCATGTCTCCCCACGCGGCCTCCCCGTGGAGTTTCATGCAGGAACACACAGAGGCAAACGCATTCAGGTACCAGACGGCGGTCTTGATTGACTACGGTTCACTCGCCTCTTGCGAGCGTGCGAGAGAAGCCATGCCCTGCGCGAGCCTGCGTCTGCACCTTCACCCAGAGACGCAGAGACGCAAAGACGCACGGCCGATCTAGACCTCATGGTGCTGTCACGACATGCAGAAGCAAGTATATGACTAACCAATTTACTCCACACCAGTGGCTGCGGACATCGGCCCTATTGCACTTGTCGTAATAGTGAGCTGTCGGCCTATGACGTCTGATCGGAAGCTAGTCGACGTGATCCTAACCGAGGAACGTATGTTTTCCTCCAGGAGCAAACCAATCCCTTCTTCTGAATTACCATTTCAAATCTGCATCCACGCTCTTCTTACTTACTTTACCAAGTCAATTGCTCTTGAGCTCCATTCCACATAGAGAATTGCGAGTTTGCTGCTCCATCAGATCCACCGACGAACCCCCGCAAAACAACCACCACCACCAAACGTAGCTCCACATAACCCTCCCAAACTACCACCATCATGTCCCCCATCCGTGCATTTGCGACCCGTCGCGCTCCCTTTGTCTTTGTCCAGCGTGCAGCTTTCTCCCAGTCAATAGCTCGCCCTGTTGGCAAGGAATCTGCTCTCCGTACGTTTCTCCTCGACACCCCCATGACACAAGCCTCACGAAGCTAGCTCGCTAGCCACGCTTACAATGCCTCTATTGAGTAAAGAAACACACGCTAACATATGTTTGATAGATCACGAGGGTCGCGCTGAGGAGGTCGAGAAGAAGAAGCAGGAGCACCTGAGGAAGCAGAAGGAGGGAAAGGGAGAATGGGAGGAGCAACTCGCCAGTGATAGCGAGAGCGCTGTACGTTTACCTGCACATATCTGCTTGCTCTATCGGGGCATGACATGATACGATACGCGCGACAGAGGGACAGTTGGCTAATGAGCAATATCACAGGTCAAAGCGGATCGATCCGAGACAGGAAAGGACATCAAGGAGCAAATCAAGAAGCTACAGGAGGAGGCAAAGAAGGTTTAAGCCGGTACCCATCAAGTCTCACAACGGACTAGGGGGAACTACCGGAGTTCTTCGCGAACTTAAGCCGCCACAACAATGTCGTCTAAGCTTTGTTTCGAAATACAAAAAGCAAAAGCAGACATGGCAACCCATGATCTGCGATGGGGAACGGGGTATAGGGACTAGGGCATTATAGTATGTAGAAAGTTTAATGTATTCATGGTAGATGTGATCTTGGATGTACTCTTGAATGGTGATGGTGTATCGTCCATGGTTCGCCTTCTGCATTAGTGGCTACTCACACGCTCCATGTCTCCTCTCCTTTCCACACTTCTCGTCCCCATCCGTCTGTCTATTTCCATCCCAGTTCCAACAATGCTTTTTCGCCTGTTCCTCCGTCGCTAGTTTGCTCGTTCTCGGTTTTGCCGACCATCAAGGGTCCCAGCGATATTCTTGTCGCCCAAGCCGAGGAACAGAAAAACAATGGAAATACAAGCCTCGGTTTTGCCGACCCGGTAGTTAGTGAGAGAAACACTAAATATGTCTGGGTGTTTGGCGGCTTGGGAGTATAAGGAGGTGGGCGCTGTGGTACATATGTAGTGCGTGGGGTTTGCTAGGTCTGAGGTGTAAGAAGGCTTTTTACATTCGATGGACACATATCATGTTTTCTTGAGTGATGATGGATGGGAGAGGTGGAAGAATGGAAGAGATGGGAACACTATTGCGGCTTCAAGAGACTGCTCCGACTTCCTAGACTAGATGTGCTTGGTAATTGTATCTTTTCTGTTGTCGAGATGTGGGAGATGTCTTTCAAGGCCAAGTCTGACACTACAAATGAATGTTAGTATGTTCATTCAGAGTCTAGCACATGTGATGCTGCTGATCTTGCCCATTATACTTGGTATCGCAATTTAGAATCGCATAGTCACGATATGCACATTACAAGACTACGCTTATCCTAGTCTGTAGGATAAGTCCATATATGTGAGTATGTCAAGGCTTGTCTTGCGACAAATCAATGTTGCTTCCGTTTGTGTGCAAGGCCTTCCATGCACATGTCCCGATATATCCGACATCGCACCTGGATGACATGAAATACTTTGACAGTGATAATATCGGCAAACCCCGATATCCATTCATAATAGATATATCGGGCGCCTATAGTAGCTTTTGTATACTAGGATGGCAAGTATTTCATGTCACCCAGGTGATACTCAGCTCAGGCCTGTGCAATCCTTCCATTCACATGGGCATCAACGCACAAGGTGGGGCGAGTGTGGCGCAATCAACCGCACGTTGTGCGTTGTGCGTTGTGCAAGGCAAAGCATCGCAAAAAGTGGGTATTACAAACCGAAGACAAGAACACACGCGTATCCTTGTTGGCTTTCTGCCGCAGGTTTTGGGTGTTCTTTGGGCTTTGGTGGGGTCCCTTCCCTGGTGACGTGTGGCGTCATTTCCTGCACCGCCTTATCCGTGACAACAGCTGACTCTCCCTTGCACAGAAGCAGTTCTGTTCTGTCTCTCACTCCACCTCATATCTTCTCACCTCTCTCTCGTACTGTCTGTTCATCATCGCAGTCATGGGTGTCTCAGTAAATTATATGCTGCTCGTCGCTATTGCGATACTGGTGTTACTGCCTGCAGGAGCCGACGCTTTTGGCGCGGGAAACATTGCGTCTATCTCGAAAATTGAAGGCCAAAACTGGCGCCATGGCGATATCGAAGATATGCTTGCGACGGTCGCTTGCTTGAAGGGACACAAGTGGAAGAGTAGTATGATCAAGGTATGAACTGTAAAATTTTACAACTGTCTCATAGACTAATCTTCTAACAGCGTGTGTACTTTGGCAACTGGCTGCGCGACTACTCACAAGTAAGTTGGTTGGGAAGACAGACGTTGTTGTGACTGTGCTGACTGATCAGGCTGTTGATGTCGGTACATTGGCCAAAGTTCAGGTATACTTACGGGGTTCTTGTTTATTTCGCAACAGTTTATTGATATTTCATAGGGAGAGACTATTCGCGTCCTAGTCTGGGTCCTGTCTTTCATGTCATTCGGCTACGCGACTGGAGAATTTGAAGTCACCGCGGAACGATTGGGCTGCTATAGGCCCGAGGAACATATCGGTAAGCGAAGTCGCTTTTGGTATCACGGATTGTCGCTAACAAGATCTCAGACAACCCTGTAAGCGGCATGGACATGTAAAGCGATATTGATTCTAACATCTAGAAAGAAAGACTACGCAGACAATGAAGATGCGCGCAAGTATGATCCTCGACTTCGTGGTCCAGTGTCGGAAGCTGAGCTCGCTGTCGATCCTGAAACTGGCATGAAGAATTACATTGCCAATGAGCGCGGTGGCTGGGCTACTTCAACAGGATATGTCAAGTACTCGTTTGCACGAGCCATCCACTTTGGCCGATTGTACACACATGGCCCATCAGGTCAACGCGGACGAGACGAGGATCTTTCAGAAGCACTGCGCTGCCTCGGTCAAGGATTACACTGTCTTGAAGACTTTGGCGCTCACACCAACTACACCGAGCTTGTACTCCGCGAACTCGGATACACCAACGTATTCCCGCACACTGGCATAAACACTGGCATCAATCTCCATGGAAAGCACACCTACCCGCTTGTGACTGGCACCTTCGGAGGTGTTGACTTCTTTCACTCTGTTCTGGGAGAGGCCAACGACCATATTACCCAAACTGAGATTGACGAGGTCAACACTGCTCTTGTCGATGCGGTGGCTGGTGGTAATAAGCGAGGTGGCCCAGACGGTCAGTCGGATGCCTGCAGTGGTCTCATAGATGCTTTGAGCAAAGTCCCAGGAACCGGCGATTTGATTAGGCAAGCTCAGAGTCTGCAGGCCTCGTCGGATGCACAAGCTGCAGAGAATGCCCGCTCGGGCTACGGTGACTACAGTTCTTCCAGAGCTGGACCCGAGTCATTTGACGCACCACCAGGATCCGTTGGCGGACCACCTGGACCAGACATACCCGGCACAAACACCGATCCCGCAACAATTATCCCCAAGATATATCCCATTCTTGTCTTCAGGGACAACGTCGTGCGCAGTATCTCAGCCATCATCTCCAAGATCCCTGGTCTCGAGAAGCTAATTGAGACCATCACGGAGAAGGTCACTCTATTTGTGCTATCATTGCTCGCACCGTTCATTCTACCAATCATCAAGACTGCGTCAGCCCAGCTCAAGAGCGGTTCGTCAGCCGTCATTGACTCAGCCGCCAAGCACCAATATGAAGTCTGGACCGACCCCAACTCCACTAACCCAACACACAGCATGTTGTCCAAGGACCACTTTGCAAACATCCTGAACCAACCTGCTGGTCAAGTTGCCGTAGCGATCCTACAATACGTTGCGCCCCGCGTAATCTATGCTTGGGACCACCCAGACGTTTCAGTCGATCAAGTCCTGGATGATTGCATGCGCGTCTTCCATCACCCTGCTACCCGAGACCCGAACTGTGAGGTGCATAACAACATGTTCGAGGTTGTGAAGCGGTGGGCACACAACTACCATGGCAAAGACCTCAACGACCTCCTCTCTTCTGAGTCCGTCAAATCAGGCCGCAACCAGAGTGGTGCTCACGATCATTCAACAGGCCACGGCCACGGGGCCGCTGGTGTATCCGCTTTTGGAGGTGGTCACAGTCACGGTGGTAGCAGCGGACATGCACATTCTAACAGTGGAGGTGGATCAAACGACTTCCTGGGTTCTCTGGCTAGCAAGATTCCTGGTCCCCTCGGCGGCGCCTTTAGCAGCTTCGTTGGTGGAGGCAGAACTCGTGAAATGGACGAGGGTCAGCATGCTTCTTCGTCAACTACACCATACCAGTCGCCCGGACACCAGCCCTCCCAGTGGGGTAGCTTCCAGCCTTATCAGTCTTCTCACCAAGGCGAAGCGTATCAGCCGCCCGCAGAGTACAGTTCTGCTGTACCGTCTGGTGGCTATGGATGGGGCCAGGGCCAGTACTCTGGTGGCCAGGGAGCGGAGCCGAGTTATACAATCCCTACAAATTATCAGCAAGGTTATGAAAACTATCCTGCCCCAGGTGGTTATCAGCAACAACCAGCACACCAAAATCAGCACCAGCAGCCTCCTCCAGGAAGTTATGGCGCTTATGATCAAGGTCAGGGTGGTGCGTATAATACTTACGATCAGGGCTCGTCGCATCAGCCAGGTGGCGGAAGGCAGTGGGGCGGAGGTCCCAACTCAGCGTGGTAGGTATGTGTTGGCTACCCAGTATGGGCAGAGTGAATCGAGATCTTCTAGATGTGACATTGTCTGAGGACAATGCACTTTATCACAGAACCATATCCCAAGACCATGACTAATGCAAAGAATGAACTTTCATTCCGTTTCCCATCCATCGAGTGATACTTTGCACATACATCGACACAGATCCAACAGAAAGTTTAGAGTAGAGATGTCTTCATTTCATTCCATCATATCTTTCCGCCATTTCGTTCCTCCTCCGGCCATCTTTTCCTCTTCCGCAAACCACCACCTTTTTCGAATACATATTCATGAAAGTACGTTTTCGCTTTCCATAAAACAAGACATGCCAAGCCAAAGAGTATATGTATGAAAATGTGAACGCCTGCTATTATGCTAGCGTATCGCGTGAGATATTTTTGTGTTGTGTTGTAGGAGGTATGGTATTTGGTGTAAGCAGGTCGTCAGATATCAACGCTCGCGCTTCCACCATTAATCTACTCGTTAATCTTCGCCAGCAACCTATCACCCATATATTAGCTTCCTATGCCGAACCACTCCATTGCTGTTCAAACTTACTCATGGTCCCTGAACAGACTCAACTCCTCGTCTCCAACCTTGATGGGCGACCCGCCATACTGCGGGATCAGCACCTTGTCACCAGGCTGCACGCTGGGCGCAACGCGCTTTCCATCCTTGTCAATGGCGCCGGGGCCGACAGCTAGCACTTTTGCTTCGTTGAGCTCTTTGACGGCCGTCTCGGGAAGGAAGATGCCGGTTGCGGTTTTGGCTTCGGGCTTGATGCGCTGCACGAGGATGCGGTCGAGGAGGGGAGCAATGCTGCGGATGGATTTGATTGCGGACTAGCCGCGTGTTAGCTGATGTATTCGGAGGGTGTGGGGTGAGTTGATGGTGGTAGGTAAATTCTCTAACTTACCATGGCTGCGATTTGAATTGGGATTACGAGACCGAGGTAAAGAAGAAACGGGGTATCACAGGAATAAAGCGCTGGCTTGTAGAGGTCGAGAAAATACAATTGTCGTTTCAGAGGATTTGGCGAAAGATGAATCGATGGTTGTTCTTTGCTTCGAGAAAATTCCGTGATCCGTGCACACTGGGGGGGGGACCTACCTCGGAACATGCCCGCTGTCTCGCTCGGAACTAGCAGCAAAAAGAGCTACGTACTTTTCGCCTTTTGCGTCTCGCGCATTACCCAACTAAGTAACTTGTTTTTTCACTCCCTTTCTCTTCGGATTGTTTGTGTTTTCCGAGACTCTGGGTTTACAGGTGCATGGGCGGTTTTCGTTCAATGCCTACATGTTGAGAAGCAATGTCCTTCGAGTGGGGAAATGCTCTCCCATTGCGGTAGCAAGATATGGAATGAGACACTATGGCGCTGCGGCGAGCCTGCCAATTACTAGCGAGGAGTTCCAAAATGCGTTAAGCAAGTTGCTAAAGCCGGTGGGCAATAGGAAGAAATTGGGTATGCGCCATTGGAAAACAGCAAGAGAATAGTGGTTGACCGCATGTAGGGTTTGCGATTAGCGGCGGCGTAGATTCAATGGCACTTGCTGCTCTATACAATGAGGCGCAGTCGGTAGATGAGCTTCTATCCAAGCCACATGCATTCATCGTGGATCACAAAGTGCGACCTGAGAGCACAGAAGAGGCGGAGTGGGTTGCGCGGGAACTGCGCTCAAAGTGTGAGACAGGCGCGACAGTCATCTGTGACAACAGACGCTGACGCACACAGTTGGTATGGAATCTACCATACTCCCTCTTACATGGCGTGACGAATTTGACTCGAAGCGATTCGAAACGGAAGCGCGTACACTGCGGTACCAGGCGCTAGGTCGAGCATGCAGAGATATGAAGATTACATCTTTGATGGTAGGACATCATGCAGATGACCAAGCTGAGACGGTTATGATGAGGCTTTCAAATTACAGGCTACGGTCTGGACTACAGGCAATGCAGCGTGTGGAGTGGATACCAGAGTGCGAGGGTATCTACGGTGTGTACCATAGCGGGCGCGGTCAGAAGCCGGATCCCGACCTGGACATTCCGTTTCTTGTCGAGCAGGGCGGCATACAGGTTCTCCGACCACTACTGGGGTTTGAAAAGGCACGGCTGATTGCGACATGCGAAGAGAAGAAGGTAGGCTGGGCAGAGGATCAGACGAATCAGATACAAAGTCTCACGTCTCGCAACGCGATACGGCACCTCTACAAGAACTACAGACTCCCACAAGCGCTGAGCGTACCGTCACTCGTCGACCTGTCGATTCATATGCAAGAACGTATCAACTGGCACAAGGATAGTGCGCACGAACTCCTCGATCAGTGCCTGTTCAAGCTTGATATCCGAACTGGTCGCCTTGTTGTCCGCTTCCCGCCGTTTTCCGCCCTCCTGCCCCGTCCCATTAAGACAGAAGCCGACATGAATGCAGCGAGAAACACAGCATATTGGCTGATTGAGCGCGTAGCCGAACTCGTCACACCGAAATTCAAAGCGCCCCTCGCCCAGCTCTCGGCAAGTATAGAGCACATTTACCCCGAGATGGAACAACAGGAAGACGTCGAAGCAAGTGGGCATTGGAACACTGTCCGAAAGACGAACTACAACGTCTACAGTATATGGTGGCGCTTTTGGGACCAGCCCACGCCGTTCCCGAAACACAAGGAAGACGGCATCAATCTGTCGCTGCCGCATCTGCGGGAGTGGATGCTCACACGTCAGCCACTTAGTGAATCAGAGAAGACAGATGGATCAAGTTACTTCGAATATCCTCCTCGTGGCACTTCTTCAGCAGACCATGTACCGTTGCGTAAAGAAAGCTACCGCCTTATCGATGGCCGGTGGTGGATCCGCATACGCAACCTCCTCCCCGACGACACGCTCATCCTGCGCATGTTCCACAAAAGCGATCTTGAGCATTCTCCTAGGTTGAAAAGTAGCAAAAAACAAATTGACGATACAGACACCAGACATCCGTACCGCTACATGGCCGCGGCATTGTCGTTGCTCGACCCGCCCGACTTGCGGTTCACGATCCCCGCCGTCTTCCGCAAACATGCTAAAACGGGCGTGGAGACGATAGTTGGTTTCCCCACTCTCGACGTGCGCGTTGACGGATTCGGTCAGCCCGACGACGTATGCGAGTGGAATGTGCGGTACAAGAAGATCAATCTAGGACCCACGCAGTCCATGGGCGATGTCGTTGTGCCCGGGATATCACGCAAAGACATAATCATGGCAGAAAAGAGACATGAGTCGAATTACGCACAGAGCGCCTGGCATGCCAGAAAAATCGACATGAAAATGAAAGAGGTCGAGAGAAACAGATTGGCGGGCTTCAAGCACGTGCTAAGTGTTGACGTGAGGGATAAGAAGAAGAGAGACAGAAAGCTGGATAAGCTGGAGGCTTTGGCCAGAGCCAAAAAAGGTGAAGGGGACATGTAGTTGATACCCCGGTTTTGCAGGTTTCTGTACATGTATGGTGTACATCGGGCTCCGTGTTCGGTATGGACTGGATGAGAAAGATGTGTATTTTAGATATACGTTACCCATCGATCCAAGGAAAGAAGTGATCTAGTCGAGTCGACACCAGATTTGAATCCAAGCCTACCTACTTCAAAACGAGACTGGACCTTTGCCCCAACCAAACACATGGTCATCCACACAGCCCTATTCCCCTACAAAAAAAAGGAGAGAGAGAATCTCATTCCACACCGCCTCCGCCAAAAGTTTACAATATATTCCTTGTTAATCGTTAAAAACGCCATATACTCCAAGCCACCCTCAAGGACAAACCCACACATCCCAGTCTTGAAGATACTAAACCCCATCAAGTTAAGCAAGTACATGACGCCACAGCTGACTGTATAGTCCAAAAGAAACCAAAAAAGGGCCGGTACAATACGCCAAACCACCAACGGTGTCATGCCTACCAAGTACACACACCCACACACGCGCGCATGACGTCCCATACCCCCAACCCACACACGTACCTACCTACACCCTGCAGCGGGCGCACCGCCGGCCATGATGCAAAAACGTCCGTGGCGGTGAAGCTTAATCCGACTTCCCTACCTACCTACTATCTGCACTTACCACAACATAGCCATAGCCACAGCACACAGCCGTTTTAACTAGATGCAGTAGTCTCGGTCATGGCCGTCAGCACTCGTGTTCGTGTTTCAGATTAGATGAGTGCACTATGGTGTCTGCGATAGAAGACATCCAACACCCACCCCGGCGGACCGTGTGTTCATGGGTGACAGCGGGATGCAAGGTAGTTAGTTTGGTCGTATGTGGTATCATGTCCTGACAGTTGATTGTGGAGAACAGTCTGGGCTGTGTAGCGACCCCATCACTGTCGTAACTGTAGGATGGTGAGACGTGCGTTGGATTGGTGTGTGCGCGCTACGCTGGTGGGGGGAGCAATGCGGGCATGGGAAAGGAAGACATGGGGATGTGAATTTGTCAGATTGTTTCTGTTTTACAGTAGGGGCATGGCGGTGGGTATGGTGTGGCGGGAGTTGTCGTGGTGGGGTTTGAGTGTGGTTACTATGAGTAACTATACCTGACTTGTAGGAATATTGTATGGCGTTGTTGTGGCTGGTTGGTGTGGTGCGGTAACATGGCTACGAGGATAGTGATGGGACTACGGTGTTGACTCGCGTAGCTCATTCATGCCATTGAATCGAGGCTCTTTTCCTCAGCGGGCGGCAGCGCTAGAGAGAGACAGCGTGGGTAGTAGTTCAGGGACGTGACATTTAGGGAGCCTACTACGGGTCATGGCGATGTGGGTAACGTCTATTGGTGAGAAGGGTGGCGTTGCCGGACATTGATTAAAAAACACGGTATAGGTATGATAGCCCGTAGCCGCAACTTCTTGTGGCCATAGTAGAGTCCATGTGTTTCAGCGTGGGTTGAAACAAACCGCGGCACACACCAAAAGGCTTGAATTGATGCACAAGTATTTGGTTCGCATCCGCTGGGCAGCAGCGAGCAGCGGCGGGCAGGGTACAGACACACGGAAAGAAAGAGAGGATGGGGTCAGCCTCCTTGATTTTGGTGGGTTGCTGCTCGAGCCATATTTGCAGCCCAACTTGTGCTGTGGCGGTGAGCGGCAAGGGGATTTGGTACGGGCAGATGAATTATTGGCCTGGGAGATCGTCTGCCGGAGTTTATCGCAAGTGCATAGGTGCTCTGTGCGTGCCGCGATCATTTTTGAGCACAAGATGAAAGGAGGATATGTGCAGATCTAAGAAGAGAACAGATAACATTTGTTCATTTCTTTTTGCACGTCTGAAGATTGACAGATGGGGGGGGTTTGTTATTGTTGGGTTGCGATAGTCAGGACAGGCGTAGATGGGCGACTGTATCTTGACACGTAATAGCGGGTTTCTTCCTGACTTGGGTGTGGCAGGCTAGGCCATGGTTATGGTTTGCTGGTAGTGCTGGGTCAGCCCCTTTGACGTGAGCAAAAGGCAATAAATCAGCCGGCATGGCCCTAGTCAGTTACACTGGCCAGGTGTTTTCGGCTGATCTGATGGTGGTCGAGGGGAACAAATTTAAAAGAGTCAGTCCGAGTGTTGCAATTTTCACAGCACCTGCCAAGCTGGCGGGACCGAATCAGGTCACAGCAATACGATCGTGGCATGCTCGGACGGCAGTTTGCTGCAGGGGGCGTGGTGCAGTTTCTGCAAGCACAGAGGCGTTGATGATGGCGGGGTAGGGGGACAAGACTCGAAGCATCAGCGTCGAAAGAAAAAAGCATGTCAGGCTCTGCTTCAGAGTTGAATCAAGGCGTGTGGAGGACGGGCGGCACGTACAGTAGTCCCATCGGCTGCATTCGCCAGCGCCAGCGCCAGCGCCAGCGCGGGTGGGAAAGCAATAGCAATTTGGGCGCAAGGGTTCGCTGACGCCTTTTGAGGTAAACGGGGATCAGCGCTTGGGTGGTCGCGGCGTGCGGCGATTCGTTGGCTGCATGCCGCTAGAACTGTCTGGCCTGAGCTGCAGACACGCCTTGGCATGAGGTGAGTGTGAGGGTCAAGTTGTGCAGAGTAGGAGATAGTAGGTAGTCGTGTAGCCATGGTGTCGTGTAATGTACGGTAATGACTGTAGTTGCACATGCTAAAGAGGATGGCCTTGTAGCCGTTGAGCCGCCCAAGCTGTTGGGTTGAGGCGTAGAAGGGGGCCGGATAGGGATCACCGTAAATGCATGTGTGTGTGTGTGTGTGTGTGTGGTGTCGATCACGGGTATAATGTGTGATGGGCTCGACATGGTTCTACACAAGTACATAGGTACATACAGTAGGTACATGACTGTTGTACAGAAGCATTATCGAGGTCGTGCTGTCGAAAGAGGCTGCCGTGTGGTAGTCACGTCGACAGCCCAGGCCACTGGCAGTCCTAACATGTCTCGTGGTCCCTCTCATGGACTGAGGTTGGCCGATCGCTCTGGCAGATAGGGAAGAGGGGCAGCGCGATCATGCGACCATATTCCAAGCATTGTGGCCCCCCAGGCTTATCAGACGCGTGGGCAGCCAGCAGCCAGCAGCAAAGCCGCCAGATGCCGGGCTAAAGGCAAGTCTCTGCTGGCCATTCTCGACGCCCGCTGCTCGACGACTCCAACTTGCGTCGACGAAGCATGGTGGGCGTGCACAGCTGTCGTTTCAGGACGTGAGCATTGCATAACGTTGGTGAATGGTGCTATTCGTACGGGCTAGTTGCAGGCGGGTCCGCTTAGTGGACGTGCTGCCGCGCGACCAATTTCGCTGCTGCCATCCCTGCTCCCGGACCCCTACCTAGCAACACGCTCGCAAGCTTAAAGTTCTCCCAGCCCAGGACTGTCCGACATTTTCCTATCCTTCTTCCCCTCGACACCGCCCTTCGCATCCTTAACTCAAGGTCGAGCTTGCTTGTCTGCGTCTGCACCTTGCACGCTATAGACTTTCCCTTTTTGTACTCTTTTGTAATAAACAACACGACGAGCTTGCCTCCCAGCGCCATTATCTTTCTCCCCAGACTCACAAACCCCTCACGTGCAATTCTAGAGACCAAATCTCAATCATGTCTACCCCCGTTGACGCCCCCAAGCCCGTAGAGGTTCCCGACGTCGGCACTGCTGGTACTGTTGAGCCTGCCCCCGCGCCTGTTGTTGCTAGCGACAACACTGCTGCGCCCGCAGAGGCTCCCGTGACCGACGAGGCTCCCAAGGTGGAGGGAGAGGCTGCTGCGCCCACAGAGGAGGTTGCCGAGACCAAGGAAGAGGACAAGGTGGTTACACCCATCGAGAGCGGTGCTCTAGGCTACAAGGCGCCTGGTCTCAAGAAGTGAGTCACATGTAGCAAACAGACACATGTCTGAAATGCATGCTAACCACCATGTTAGCGCCTTCCGCTTCTCCAAGAAGTACTTCTGGCTAGGCGAGGAGCCTGTTCCCGCTGAGAACCTCCGTGAGTACCTCCGTGGCGAGAAGCCCGAGGTTGCCCACTCGGTTGCCGCGTGGTCCAGCCAGACCGGAAAGGGCCTTCTTTTCTTTGTCAAGCACGCAGACCACAAGGAGCACCCCGCTGGTGTGCTGAACTTGGTAGGCACAAACATAAGACTTTTGACAAGCGACAGCCCCTGACATGTGACAGGCCTATGCAACCGACCTCGCCAAAGACGGCGCTGTTGCCTTTGCTTTCAAGGTCTCAGGCCACAAGCACGCTTTCGAGGCACAGACAGCTGCCGAGCGCGACGGGTGGTTCGTCGCCATCGAGAGGGCCATCACCGAGGCCAAGGCGTCCAAGGACGGTATTGAGACCAGCGACGCCTACAAGGAGGCCAAGGAGAAGATCAGTAAGTACCCACTGTGTTCCCAAAACGCGTTGCGACGTGACTGCGCTAGTCGAAGATCTGGCCTTCTCCTGCAGTAGGCTGACATCCTGCAGGCAAGCCCGCCGCACTAGCGGGCGCTACTTCATCCGCCCCCAAGAAGAGCATGGACGCCGCGCCAAAGCTCGCAGAGGCCGAATCGCCCGCCGCAGCTGAGGCCTCCGCCGCCCCTGCCCGTACTGGATCTTCCTCCAGCTCTTCTTCCGACGAGGCCAAGGCCAAGAAGGCGAAGAACAAGTCCCGCTCCGTCTCGCGCGGTAAGCGTGCCAGCCTCTTCGGCGGACTCCTCGGCAAGAAGGACAAGGAGCACAAGGAGGAGAGCGAGGCCGTCAAGGACGACGCTGAGGCCAAGAAGGAGGATGGCACCACCGCTCCTCAACTCGATGAGGGTATGTGCAATTCTTTGTGTTTTGCAGCATCTTCGCTAACAATTTCCAGTCCCCACCAGTGCTCCCGTCAACGCCAACGACGTCGTGAAGCCCGCTGACGAGACCACCGAGCCCACTGCCGTGGTCGCTGCCCCCGAGGATGCCGCCAAGGTTGACGAGACTCCTGCTCCCGTCGTCGCTCAGGAGAAGCCCAAGCCCACCAAGCGTGCTTCCATCTTCGGCAACTTCGTCGAGAAGCTCAAGTCGCCCACCACTGAGAAGAAGGAGAGCGAGGCTGCTCTTGCGCCCGCCACCGTCAAGGAGACTGAGACCACCGAGGCTTCAAAGCCGCTTGAGGAGGCCGAGGTCGCTGCCCCGGTTGCCGCAGAAGGCGCTGCTACTGAGACCACCGAGACCAAGCCTGTTGCTGCTGTCAGCACTCCTGGAAAGGAGAAGGAGCACTTCAGCTTCGGCAAGCTTTTCGGATCCAAGGACCGAGCCAAGTCGCCCGCTCCTGAATCCAAGGTGGATGCTGCTGCCCCCAAGATCGAGGATGCTTCAGCAACCCCCGCTGTAGCTGAGCCAGCGCCCGTCGAGGCTGCCCCCGTTGCTGCCGAGACTAAGCCTGAGGAGGCTACTCCTGCCACCGAGGCCCCCAAGGCTGACAAGCGCAAGTCCTTCTTCGGCAACCTTTCCCGCAGCCTTTCCAAAGCTACTGGCGGAAAGACGCAGCCCAAGGACAAGAAGGATGCTGCCAGCCCCGCCCCCGTCGTTGAGGAGGAGACCACGGCCGCTCCCGTTGAGGAGAAGAAGGAAGAGACCGCTGTCCCCGCTGTAGGAGACGTCCCCGCTGAGAACATCAGTGTGGGCGATGCTTCGAAAAGCGCCAACCCGACTGTCGCTACAACTGCGTAAGGTCTGGTGGGAAGACGTCAGCCTCAACGACAGCCACGACGGAATGACGGAAAAGCAAAGATACCGTAACTCCCTTGTTTGACCGCACGACCAACCGATACCCCCAGAAAGTGCTTTGGATCTTCGATATGATTCAGACACTAGATTTGGATCAAACTTCTCCACATATCCCATTACATTTAGCTTCTCCTTGCATCTGGACCAACCCTCGTCACTCTTTTGGCGTGGATCACTGTCTGTGGCATTGACGTGTTGGCTCATCGCTGTCCTTTGCCCACGTTTGTTTAGACTGATACCACTGCATCTGTTTCTCTCATTTTGATACCACTGTCGGATCTTGGACGCATTTGTTTTTATCGCGAAATACCCCGGATACCCTGCGTACAGCCTTAGTAGAAGGTGTACACAAGCGGCCACTAGGGCACATGGACGTAATAATCTAATAAACTGTCTTTTGTTCTCACTCTGCTCTTGACACTCAAGCCGGTGTTACAATCTCGACTGATGTGCTGTGTAGCTTCTTCGTTGATTTCGTGTCTTTTGATCTTGTAAAATTAGCTAACGTACCTAACGGGCGAGTGGGCCACACGGGCGAGTGGGCCACCTGCGCTAAGACCCCATTAAAACCACGACTGTACACGACTATATAGCACCGTCAAAGATAGTAAATAGAAATCGTAATAGGCTATTCTACTCAGAATCTATCGCTGCTTCTTGCCTACATGTGCGCATATTATGTCCTGCCTCGCCGCAGCGTCCACAGCGTCGTTGGCTAGGCTCGCCTGCCTCAACGCGCACTCTCTTCTTCGCCTTCTTCCTATCACTACATGCCCCAAACTCCTTAAGAGTCGTCAGTCGCACGCCCTCATCAATTGTTAAGGTCCCTTGCTGCTGTAAGCGCTTCCTTTTATATGATCTACGCTTACTTGAGGCCTCGTTGGCGGCTTGGAGCTCAGCGTTGCGCTTGGTCATTAACACCAGAGAATGCGCTATCATCTCTGCACCTTTTGACAGGCTTTTGATCGCCTCAACCATATACGTAGGTGAGCTATCTACATGTCTTCGAATCCTCTCTTGAATCAGCTTTGATTGCGACCCAAGTTCTAGGGTATTGCTTGGAGTTTGCGACTGCCAGGGACCGTCCTCGACGGTAGGTAGCAGTGGAGTGCGCAGCCGCACGTCAAGCGTCGATATCACAGCCTCTGGATTAAATGGGACTAAGCCAGCGCCTCGAAAGCTTCCTTGTATATTGGCCTTTGTAATCGCAGCGTCAAAAGCGCCTTTAAAGCACGGTAGGAACTCTAGTTTAGTGATATGGGTGATCTTGTTGCGCATTAGATCCTCGGCTTGGCGGCCATACGCTGTCTTCAAAGGCGAGAAACACCCCACATCAAGAGGCTGTAGTAGGTGCGACGAGTGAGGAGGCATGCAGAGAGTAATAATGTTGTGATCCTTGCAGTACTGCTGGAAATCGAGCGAGTCGTGGCTCTCGTGGCCGTCGATAATAAGCAGACGATAGTTTCCTACAGTCCTCTTCTTTGTGTGAGCGTCAAAGTGCTTTAACCACTCTAGACCAAGCTTGTTTGTTGTCCAGCCGTTCTCAGAGACTGCAATAACCCAGTCGCGAGGTAGGTTATCTTCCTTGTACCAGGCAGAGAGGTGGTTCTTGCCTTTGAAGATGATAAAAGGTGGGATTGCCCACCCAGTCGCGTTGATACCCTGGATCACTGTAGCCCACTCGCGATTGCCCTGCTGAACGCTCTTTGGTCGTCCTCGACGCTCAGAGCCTGTGACTACTGCTCCAGTTGATATCATGCCCATCATGAAGCCAGACTCGTCAAAGTTGTGGGTGTCCTCATCAAGGATACCGTACTTGGCCTTTGTGTTCTCCACAAGTCGGAACCAGCCTTGTATAACCTCAGGATCCTCACAGAGGGCTCGCTTGTAGTCATACTTGCGATTGAATTTGACCTTAAGCTCAGGGCGACGTTTGACGAAGGTTGCAGCCCAGTTCTGACCAACAGGGTCGCGGTGGCGCTCAGCCAACAAAGAATTAGCCATATCCTGCACAGCAGCAAGTCGGGGCGGAAATCCTCGCGCGTCGAGGTCAAGGATATGCTGGACAATTACATCCTCCTCTGTCTTAAGGAGGTTCATTGAGTTAGGCGTACAATCGCTCCGAAGAGGTATTCCAGCGCGTCGGCGCCCAAGAGTTACTCGAGATACGTTGTAGATAGCTGCAGCGCGTCTCTGCGACAGCGTCGCGTCGCGTTCGATAGCCTTGAGAGCAAGCTGTAATCGAGCCTCTTTTAAAGCTGGTAGATTGTTTTGTTGTTGGCTCATTGTGAAAGTACTGTAGGTAACAGTATGTTTTGGTGGGGTCTTAGCGGAGTGGCCCACTCGCCCGTGTGGCCCACTCGCCCGTGAGGTACGTTATACGATAGCGTTCGGAAGTAGTTCGTAAAGTCGTATGCAGAGTTCGATGCGGGATGCCGTATGTGGATGGTACCGATTGCAATGACGCTCACTCGACCGCAAACTGCGGCTAGACGATGGCGACAGTCAGACTACAAGGCCGGCCCAGCCCGTCTTGTGCGCATGATGTATTGCGCATGAGATCATGTGGCCAGCTTTTGGAGTGATACGTACGCATCGTAACGAGCGGAGGACGGGATGACTCCCGCAGCAGCCCCCAGCACAGCACAGCGCAAGCCCTACTCCGCCTTTCCAGACTTTTATCGATTTGGAATGGATGATGCTTTTTTCATGGTTCACAGCGGCCCTTTGCCACACGCACCCTGGGGTAATCCCACTTTCTCTTCCTCCCTCAACTCCCGAGGTGATGATGCACTTTGACCTGTTTCCTCATTTATTGCCTTGATTCACCCGCTGTGTCTGCATTGTTGTTGTCGTCGTTGTTGCTACTACAGCTCAGCTCCACTCTCGCTCTGCGCATTACATGGATGTTTTGCTCCGCCCGAGGTTGAGGGGTAGCAAAGTATAATCCACCATGGTACGTCAATTCTTTCCCCCGCGCGCGCATGCGTACGCTCCAGGACATATTCGCAGCCTGACATGATATAATCCAGGGCTGTTGTTTCTCAACCCCAAGCGGCGAGGATGACACTGCACCTGTCATCCGCGCGCAACATTCTTCGTCGCGCAACATCACCGCACCGTCGACGCGCCGAAACTCTATTCCCTCACCCCGCACATCGCACGCCTCTCAAGCAGCAGCAGCAGCAGGAGGAGGAGGAGGTGGTGGTAGTATCCTCGATAACCGCCCCAACACACCACTCAAACCCATCCCCTCAACCCAACGCTCCCGTCTCCCCAACACCCTCGCCCCAACTGCCACTACTTCAAAGCGCGTGAAACCCCTGACGCAGCCCACGACGCCCGTATGGACGCGCTCGCGCCTCGACAAGGAACGCGGCGATTGGTGGGACACGCAAGTTACAGGCTCCCAGGAGATATGGGGTGCGATACGTCTGGCAGCACAGTATCTGCAAAAAGGGGAATTGCAACAAGCGCAGACGCTGTTGGATGTTACAGGGTGTACATGTCCGACGGGCGTGCTTTGGAGGGGCGTGTATGATGTCACGGGTGTGCAATATAAGGTTCCGGAGTGGGTTGTTGTGGAGCCTGAGGGGGTGGGTGAGGATATAGGTGGAGATGGAGATAGTGGAGTGGCGGGTGCTGGTGGTGAGGAAGAAGATGAAGAGGGTGCTGGCGGTGAGGAAGTTAGCGTGAGGGTGAGGACGAGTCATGATCAAAAAGATGTTTCTCTAGCGATTAGAAAGAGAGACCTCGTGGGCACTATTGTGGACAGGTTGAAAAAGGAGGCCAAGGTATGTTCGTTTGCTATTACGCTCTAATAACTCTAGAGCTTTCGAAGACAAGACTGACGATTATAGCTCGACTCCTCTTTCAAAGTCAGACTCGTCTACAGCGGTCGCGTGTACCACGACTACGAGACGCTGGACGCGGTTCCCCGCTGGAACTTTGACCAGGACTTTGTCCTTACCGCACTTGTGTCGGCCATTTAACACAAGATTCTTCTTGTGGCATATGCGGATGCTGGGGCTCATGTGCTTTCTTCCCTTCTCATCAAAGTTATATATTCTGTGGCGTGAGTTGGATGGCTGGTTTGCTCCATATTAGATACCCCCCTCTTTTCTCCTTCTCCATTCATACTCAGTAATTCGGTGGTACCAGTTCAGGCATCTCTTCTACTATAGTGCCTGGATCCTCGGCCATGCACGTGAGTGGTTGTAATGTTGATGTAGGCGTAGCTTTTAGTTGTTTGTAGCTTGGTTATGTAACACCTCATATTTGCCCATTCTACAACTTCTCGTGCATTGAAATAACTGGCTCAGATGGATGTGTAAGGAGGATGGACAAGAATAGGTAAATGAAAAGAGAACATCTTTACATTATGATGATGTGAATAAACAAGAATCAACCCCTACAGTCCATTACTATTACATACATACATAGAAGAAGTAACGTCCCAACCTAACTATAACTCCCCGCCGCCCAACTCTTCCGCCCTTCCTTCTGGTCCCTGCCCTCCCAAAAGATAGCAACACGATTCGGCTCCCCATCAGCCCCCTCACGGTAATCATATCGTATCTTCTTCCACTTCAACGCTTTGCTCTCCTTAATCTCATCCCCACTCATCAACATACCGCCCTCTCCAATCCTGCTCACCACAGGCCTCAGCAACATGGCCATGCTGAAATAACTATCATCCCTGACAATCGTGCGATGTGCAAACAACACCAGCAGAATGAGGGCGAGGAACTGGATGCCGCAAATACCGCCCAGTATACTGAAGATGTGGGGCCAGTCGATATCTAGTTGCTGGCCTTGGTTTGGGACTACAGTCTGGGACATGAGATTATAGCGGATGCCATGGTCGTCAAAGGCGGCGACGGCATTGATTGTGAAGTGCATGAGAAGGTCTTCGACTTCATGTGCCTGCATGTTGTGTGCGGGCGACCATTTGTTACCTTGAATGTAGGACCGGTATTGTCGGTCGGGCCAGGTATCTGTCCATAGTCCCGCCCAACCGATTGCGCCGGCTGCTGTACGCGCGAATCCGTCGGTGCCGTAGACGGCGGCGGAGTCACTACGACTACGCATTGTTATATCGTTTTTTCCAGTAGGGTCCGTAACATTGCTCAGCGTGCTGTTGCAGATGAACACGGACGTTTGGTCAACTGGGTCGTCCTTGATGCCTATCTGCGTGATTGTAAAGTTTGTACAGCGATCGCCGCAGTGACGGTCTAGGGATGCTGCATATGTCATTGAGCCTGAGGCTATTTCGGGAAATTCCCACTCAAGGTATTCTTCCGTGCCAGGCTCTCGGGCCACCAGGTAAGCACGTCCGCTGGTTCTGTATTGGATTTCGCTATCTTTTAGTTCGAGCTGAGTGCATGTAGCCTTGGCAGTCACGTTGCGTGAACTGGCCATGTAGTTGAGCCACTGATGTGTTGGTTCGCGGTTGAAGAAACGGTATGTGTATGCACCGTCATCTTTGTAGATGGGTACACCTGTTTGTCCAGATAGATCTTTTTGTATATCCGAGACATTGAATACTGGATATGCCATGCCTGCCATCCCATATGTCCATGCTGCATCCAGAGGCGCCCCGTTTATCATCTTTTCAGGATCCACCGCAAGTTCAGGTGAAGTTTCGTCGACATACCAGGCGTTCAGGTTCGCGACCGTTACATTTCCCTTGCTAAGGAGTGGGAGTTCAGAATTGTTTGTGGGCCAAAACAAGCTCAATAGAGCGACAAGAACCTGGGAGCCAATATTGATCAGAAGCCAGGCTAGACATGCGAGCCACATCCATTTCGTGCCATCGTCCCTCACATCTTTGAACCACCGGAATCTCCGTAGCCATGTCTTGCCGCGAAAACCAGGAGAGGATATGATCATGAGTTTCGTGACCTTGGCTAGGGAGCTGAGATGGAGAATGAGATCAAACACCTCTAAACTGACATATCGTCGAGAGAGGAAGGTCCATCGAAAGACGGAGGCGTAATGCTTCAGCGATGCGAGTAGGTTCAAGCCCAAACATAGTGATAGGCCAATTGTGAGTGAGTTGAAGACACGAAGATCCTTTTTAGAGAGAACGATTGGGTGGCGGAACCCTTCCCAACACTTGAGAGTAATGCACATGGCAGCACTGAAAAACAACGTGATTAAAAGCTTCGAGGCGCCAGTAATCAAAAGTGATTTTCGTGCTTCTCTATGGTCAAAACGCTTGATGTGATGCGACCCTTTTTCATGTTGAGATCCGTCTTCCATGTCGAAAGTTGTACTAGCAGTGCTGAAGTTTCTGTAACCGCCTGAGCTGGGAGTGCTAAAGTTCCTGTACGCGCCTCCTTTGGCGTCCATGATTTCTGGCGAAGCGACCATTGGTGGTGAGAACAGCGGGGTATCGTCGACGTCCTGCATCACTGCATCGCCGTTATTGTATGATGTAGGTTCAGATGAGGTCATCAATGGTATAATGTCATCATGTCCACCTTGGACAGCACGGCTGCGGTCCATCAGGTCGTTTCCTATCGCTAGCGCGAGGTGTCGTTGTGGAGGCTTGTGTTCTCGAACGTGAAGTCGAAAGGGACAGAGTGGGTGTCCTGTGGGATATGCTTGTACCCACTAGATAATATTCTGCATTCGCGTTCGATAACAAGGGTAAAAGACTCGAGATGTACACTAATGCCGTATTGTACAGGCGCCGCAGTGCCGTCGTAAAACTTGGAAGAGGGGAGATTGATACAGTAATTCAGAAACGACTGATGGAGGGAATTGTGATTAGAAAAAGCCAAAATATTCCAGCCGTCTTATCTGTATCTACTGGCGTGGCTACATGGGACCGATGTTGGGGGCTGAAAGATTGGGGTCACACCAAGAACGGCTGGAAGGCTTTTTCCACGTTGGACAAAGTGGGCTGAGCAGCAGCGTGCATAGCATTTGAAATCCATGATAATAGAATGCGGATGCGATAATAGGAAGATGACAATCATCCTTCGAGTACCTCCTTCACCAAGCCTCATCTGTGAGTACCTACTCGGTGCTATGCGTGTCGCGGTCCGCGACCCCACCAGGGGAGGCCTTGGTCTAGGTCCCGCAATGCAGTATGGTAAGCTGAACTTTACATCCGAATGGGCGAGACTGGTGATCAGTAGTCCTATTGTTAGGCTTTGTGGGGTGTTGCAGCGGGGGCTGATTTGTTGACGCGTCCCGAGTCGTGGGTAACTAAGGTGTCCGTGCACGCAATGCCCGGATCGGAGTAATGCACACCCCATCAACACTAAAACTTTAGAAAAATGAGGTTGTAGAGCCACCCACAATAGCTATTATCGCGAGATATCATAGATTTGAAGTAATTAGATGCTTGCGATTAACTTGCGCTACTTGTATCTATCTGGAAGGTTGACGTTGCGGCCGCGGCGGGTGGTTTGAGCTGGGGCAGCTGGTTGATTATGGTTTAACGCCCTATCTGTAACCTCCCATAGGGTATTCGGGCTGGGGCAGCTGGTTGATGTTGATGTTGATTATGGTTTAACGCCCTATCTGTAACCTCCCATAGGGTATTCGGGCGGGTCCCGCCGTGGTCTTATAGTGCTGTCGCACTTGCCTCGTGGAACCTATTCCTAGGTGTTTTGTATCTAAGGGGAGTGATGTCCTGCCTATATACATGTTCGTGAAAAGGACTCCCGCCATTTGAAGCCGTTTTCCTACAATATTCTAGTATTTCGTGGCTTGCGCCTTTGATCGATGCAGTACAGTAACTGCTTTTTAGAGAGAGAAACGAAAAAGTAACAAGAGGCAATTTGAGATATAATAAAAGGTTTGAGAGAAAGCGTGTGGGTTGTGGCATCTATGCGGCGTTCTGCCGCGAATCCTACACTGAATAATGCCAAGGAATTCAGCGGGTCTTTGTGAAATTCAAAAATAGAAATCACTCGTCATAGAAGGAGTTCGTTACCTTCACGAAGGTCTCGAACTCTTGTGGCTGGTCTATTAATTGCGCGAGGTACGCTAGGCCTTCCTGTCTTGTGCGAGGGGGCACGATGGGGCGTAGAGGCCACTTCTTGAAGTGTGTTGTGGCTCTCTTGCAGAACACTAGGTGTTCTGGCGTCTTGGGCCTGCCGCATAGGCATTTCGAGGTATCCTCGTGGTTGAATTTTCGGTGGTACCATTCAAAGTCGCCATGCGTTGAGCGTATCATAAGGACTTTCGCGAGTATCCTTCGGGGTAGCCATAGCGCTGCGGGCGTGCGCCTAGTATCGTATGGCAGCTGCCATTGCGTGTACCATGCTGATAGCCTACTGCTCTTATCCTGCCACCAAGTGTCCCTTGTATGTTCGAGGAGGCGGCGGCCTACTGTTCGTATACCGGATCTTGTGGGGGAGGCGGCCATGCCGTATGGCTGGTGCGGGTCTTTGGCCTCGCTGTCAGCCAGCTGGTCGGCGAGCTCGTTTCCAACAATCTTCATGTGTCCCGGCGCCCACCGCGTTTTCACGTTGTAGGCCTCCATAGCTCCATGGATTTGGAGGAACGCCCATTGGGAGGAGGTAGGGGCGGTTCCGCGTATGCCCCATATTACCGAAGTGCTGTCTATGCAAAGTACGATCTCCCTCTGGCTAGGCAGTGAGAGTTGTAGTGCGTGTTTGAGTCCTCTGCACGCGCCTATAGCCTCCGCATCGAAGACGTGGCTAAGGGCATTTAGTGAACCTTGTCCAGTCGCCACGGCGGCCTGGCCCTGGTATATAGCGTACCCGTAAGTGACCACCCTTGTACCGTTGATTTGTTGTTCAGACCCGTCTGAGAAGACAGTGATTGTCTCCTGTCCAAGAGACTCCCACCAGATGGTGAAATTCTGGGCAGCAATGTCCTTTCCTTGCCCTTGCGTTGGATCCTGCCTCGACCCGTCTGAAAAGTGAGGGCTGGCTAGGACGTTTCGGGGTGTGGCGGGTAGCAGTTGTGCTACGCGCTGAACCTTCGATCTTGGTATCCGTCGGTTGCCCGCTGCGCGTCCTCGTATGACTAGTGGCAGTGTAGTTCTATTAGTAAGTGGGTGCTTGTCGTCTATTGTGCGTAGGTGAACTGCAAAGCGGAGCTTAGCCTCCTCTAGCGCCACCTGTGCCGACGGCATCGCAGCTTCTCTTAGCAGTACTGCGTTTGGTGTTGTCCTCCACGCAGGGAGGATTGCCTTCGTGGCTGCTATTAGTGCCTGATCTATCGTGGTTAGGTGCCAGCCTACCCTAGTGCTGACCGTGGGTTTACGGGAAACCCTTGCAATTCGTGGGTTCTTCGTCCTGCCCTCGTACCATGTTTCGGCTCCGTATAGTAGTATGGGCAGGATACATGTTATGGCTGCCTTGCGTAGCGATCCTGCTGGAGGGCCGTGGGCTGTGTTGGCGAGGCTCCGGAGATGGTTCGCTACTTTCCTAGCTTGCGCCGCCCTTTCTGCGACGTGCTTCTTGAAAGTTAGTCCCCTATCAAACCACACCCCAAGCCAGCGCAGCGCTGTCTGGCTTCCCCCCTGCGCAGGGGCTATAGGGTGAATTGTTTGATCTTCCAATTGGATTGGCGGCGCATGTAGTCCTTTCTGGCGCGTGAGGTGGATCAGCTCCCGTTTCTCTGGTGCAAACGTGATCTTGTTCGCAGCTCCCCATTCATTGATAGATTTGAGGTCCTCTGCTAGCAGTGCGACGTTCTCGTCTAAAGAGTGGGAGACCCGGTATAGGTTGATGTCGTCGGCATACCCGAACCGGAGTTTTCGGTCCTGGTTGAGTAGTTCAGCTAGGTATAGGGTGTATAGGACCGGTGATAGCGGCGATCCCTGCGGGGTGCCGCAGGCCACTCGATGTACAGGTGTAGTGACATTGCCTAGGCGTACTCGCACCCTCCTTTCCGACAGGAAGTTCTGGATAAATTTCCGGAGTAGGGGTGGCCACCCTTGTTGCCGCATTCGGTGTAGTAGCCTGTTTTTCAGTAGCGCGTCAAACGCCCCTTGGACGTCTAACGTGAGCATAGAGACATGCTCGTGTCTTGACCAAGCCATCTCCACGTCGTGTGTGAATGCGGTCGCCAGGTCCATCGCAGAGCGTTTTGGCAGCGCTCCACCGTGCTGTGGGCTTAGGATGTCAAAAGCCATAGCTGTGTGTGCTATGCGCCTTGCTATGATACGCTCGAGTCCCTTCCCTAGACAGGACGATAGGGCAATTGGTCTCATTGATCTGGGTGAGGACTTATCCTTCTTCCCGACTTTGGGTATCATGGCCACTTCTACCGTCTTCCAGGCGGCTGGGTAGTGGCCTTGTTCCATGCACGCCCGGTAGATGCCTAGCACTAGGTGTCTAATGTGTTCCCAGCATGCCTTTAGGAGTCGGACGGTCACCTGATCGGGTCCTGGGGAGGTGCTAGATACTCCAATCACGTAGCGTTCAGTCTCCTCCATCGATATGTATGTGTCCCATGGTAGTGGCGTGGTTTGCGGGTCGTTGTCAAGAGGCGGTGGTTCTAGGAGGTCGTCCTCCGCCGAAAAACGGTCGAGGATTGCCTCTCTAAGTGCCTCAGCTTTCTCGAGTGGTGCTGTGATTGTCCTACCTTCGATTACAAGTGGGGTGTCCCGTTGGTCGAATGATAGTTTATGCCAGCCTACTAGCTTGTATAGATCTTTGTCGTTATTACAGCCGTCTATGCGCTGCTGCCAGTACGTTCTCTTGGCTTTTCGTACCGTAGCTAGGAACGCACGGGTGGCTTCTGAGGGGGATTGGCCATAGTCCGACTTTTCCTGGATATGCCGCTTATACGCCACTCTACAGTCCTCTGTCCACCATGGGGCGGAGTGGCCTTTTTCTCTATTTGGTGTTCCCGCCGCGTGCATTGCATCTCCTATAGCTTGGGTGATTCTAGCTATGCTTGCGTCGATTACGTCCGCTGGGGCGCTATTGCTAATTGGCTGTACGCCTACTGTGTAGAGTTGAACTAGCCCGGCAAACCTATCTATGTTTCTCTCGTGGACCCGGTAGTGATGCTGTTCTAGCACCGCTCTCCCTCGGCTTGGAAGGACAGTCACTAGGGTGAAATGGTCTGACCCTGTATACATATCTTCGCGGACTGTCGTTCTAGCGAAGGGTATATTTGAGAAGGATACGTCTAGCACGTGTCCCGCCCGATGTGTTGGGTTACCTGCCTCGCCGATGTAGGGTATGTCGTTCTGAGTGGCCCAGCGGGCGATCTCTGCCCCCCTATTGGCCGACGTGGAGCCGGGCTCAAAAAGTTCATGGCGGGCGTTTAAGTCACCCCCTATAAGGCAGTTACGGGGTGGCGTTAAAGCTGTGAGGTATTGAAATGTCGAGTCATTCTGTGGCTGCCTATAAACATTCAATATGCGGTAGCCGTTGGCCTCGATCCATAGCACATCCCGGCTGATGCGTGGGTGTATAAGAGTAGCCCTTATATTTGGGCTCTTACGGGTATAGGTGAGCACCCGTGGTCGGTCAGTTCCCCACGTTGTGGGGTTGTTCCAGCTTATCACTGGCGATATCATATGGAATCCTGGGTGTGTAGAGGTCCGGGTTCCAGTGAGAGTAAAGGGTTCTTGGATGCATACTATGTCTATGTCTGCTTCCCATGCACGTTCTAAGGCTGTAATGTGGCAAGGCGAGCTTCTGGCCACATTCACCCAGCATACCTGCATTTGTCTGTGTCGGTGTGGCGTGGTTTCGCCGGGTGAATTCGCGGGTTGTGCCCTCATTACGCACTAGATCCGAGGCTCATTTCAGTGTCAGCGTGCTCAGACGATGACGTGTTAGGGTCTTGGTCAGCGGTGCTAGGCTGCACGCTTCTAGCAGACATTCGCGCTAGGTTGAGGTCTTGCGTAGTTGCAGCTGTTCTCTTAGACCTCCTAGTCCCTAGGGTGGTTGCGGGCTCTCTAACAGTGGCCGAGTTTAGGTTATTTACGTCTTGTCGGCTTCTTTTACTCGCGTCCGTAGGTGTTCCCACAGGCTCAGTAGTATTAGCTATGTCGCCGTCCGTGATTTCAATGGAGGTTTCGACCGTGCTGCCTGTCTGTCTTCCTCTAGCTGGCTGCATTGCCTCAGAAGCACGGTCACCCGCCTCCCTAATGACTTTTAGTTCCCCCTTTGTGGGTTGGATGAGTCGGCCGTTCGCCCTCGTTGGGGCTGCTGGGCACTTGTCGTGGGTTGCTGGAAATGGGCCGTGGCAGTTGGCGCACTTTGGTGTGTCTTTGCATTGTTCTCCGTGTGGTCCCTGGTGAGTTGCCGTTGTTTTGCTGCATGTCGTGCAGCGGGCTGGCCTTGTGCAGCGGCTGGTTTTGCAGTACCCTAGGCAGCCTGGGTCGTGCAGCATTGCAGGTGAGTTCTTCTTTATCTCGTGCGCGTAGTCGCCCGTCCCAAATAGGCGAAACGATCGTACGGGTCTGGTGAAAGATATAATCCAGGTTGTCCTTCCCTCCGTGGGTCCATGTCTGGAGGGCCGGCAGCTCGCTGGTTCGATCCCTGTCTGGGACAGAGCTTCGCTGACTATATCGTCTATTGTGGTGGGTATACTTTCCCCTGTGATAGTGCGGTATGAGCTTTCTACGCCCTGGACTGCATAGTTCACCCATCGTTCAGGTAGTCTTGCGCTCTCGCCCTCTACCGCTCGGATCATGAGTTCGCGATTCTCCTGCCCCATAAGCAGGGCCTTGATTTTGTCGTTGCGGGGCGTAATCGCCCAGCCAGTCTTGATATGTTTTGCCGTAGGTATGTCGGAGGGGGTAATTTCCTTGATCGCCTTTACAATAGCCATGCGGGCCGCAAATGGTGATGCCCGTTGGAGCCGAGCCTCCGCTCCAACCGCTATAAGGATACGGTTGTCAGTGTTTAGAGGTCGCCTAGGAGTTTGAGCTAGCTGCTTTGGGGCAGCCGTGGCCGCTTTCGTCGTAGCGGCCCCCCTTGCTGGGGGGGTTGGATTTTTTGGGGTCCTAGCTACGTCCGCCCAGGAGCGGTGCGTAGTGTCAGAGTCGCTCCCCGAGTTTGGGGGCGTGATTAGGGGCGTGATTAGGGAGGTGTCAATAGCCCTTAGCACCTTCTGTTGGAGGTCCTTAGCCACACGGGCTCCGTCTGGGTCGGTGTACTTCCCAAGGCATCTGTCGACAGCTGTCGCTAGATCCGTTATGATGGAGTGGTGGAGGTTTGTAGCTTTTTGGGCTGCCTGAATCCGCTGGCGGACCGCTTCAGAGACAGCTTGATTGTAGGAGGTGGGCGCAGTGCTACCGATAGAAGGTTCAGCACGAGTATGTGCTCGCTGCCTCCTCTTGTTGCCGCGCAGGTCAGTATTAATAGGGCTCTCAGGCTCCTCTGATCGTGTATGGGGGGGTTGGGCACTCCGTGGCGCCCTCTCTGGAGTTTCTACATTAGCCATTCTAACCACCTCCGCGAGAGCAGAAAGCGGTTATTTAGCTGAGGTAGTTACAGGCCGCCGTGCCGTTAAAATGATGTAAAAATCGTATAATTTTATAAGGGTCCCAAATTCCTTAAAAGTTGGTGTTCGGTGTGGGGCAGCTGGTGCAGCCCCTGAGGACTCCTTAGCACCTGTAGCAGCAACAACGCGTTTCTGACGCTTCTGCTTTTGAGTAGAGCTTTGTGAGGCCTTGCGCTTACTCTTTTGGGCTTGTTGAATAGCCTTTTGTGAGTCGCGAGCTGCTTTTTCACGTGCCCGTTCAGCCATCTTTTCAGCCTTCTCCTTCTCGCGCACCTCCCTGAGTCTCTCCCGCTCCACACGCTTCTCCTGAGCTACTTGAAGTTTGTATAACCTAGCCTGCTCTTTCAATTCTAATCTACGAGCTTTTTGGAGTTGTGTCTCGTCTTTCTCACGTTCTTCTACTACCCTACGTTCCCGGGCTTGGCGAAGTTTCCTTGGCGACCAGAAAACAGCTCCTCCATGATACCCATCCTGATTAGTTTGAAGATCTAAGGGGTAGCTCTTCTTCTTCTGCTTCTTCTTGGTACTCAGAGCCTCCTTTAGTCCCTTCATCTCATGGCGGAGTAGCTCGTTTTGGGTTGAGATGTGATAGAGTGATCTGTGTAGTTTCTTCACCTCCTTACTTGTTCTATCAGCTGCTGTTTGATTAACTAGAGCCTTGATTTTACGCCAGTCTGATCCACTAAGTACAGAAGCTGAGCTCTCATCTAAGCTTGATACTTCAGGGGTGTTGCGGTTAAATCTTTTAAGTATAGGGGTTAGATCGGGCGGCCAGATCCCTATAGCCTTAAAGGACTTTTGGGCAGTGTTTTTCTTAAAGGAGGACACCTAGGCTCTCTAGAAAGGGGGGAAGAAGTCTCCTTTCTTAACTAATAGAAGCCCCTAGCTGTTATGAAGGTAGTTAGATAGCTCCTTTGAGTACGCAGTTAAAAGAGGTTTGAACATTACAACATCTAATGGCTGAAGGGTATAGGTTGAATGGGGGGGGAAAATAGCCACAAGAATCTTATTTTAATCGCAGAATTCAAGAAACTCCTAAGTTACATAAGATCCATGGCCATCTAGGAGTAGCAATCGGTAGGAGGAGTAGCTCTTAGATTTGGTGAATCGATCCAACACCTGTTTAAGCCAGGCGACCCCTATCTCGTTGTTTGTCCAGCCTAATAGAGATGAGTTAATGAAGGCTGAGTGTTCTCCTTCACTGATATCCTGTACCCAGCTTGATTGAAGCCCCCCTGAGGTACTCTGGTAGATAAGGCCTGGGGGCAGTGCTAATCTATCGGCGCAAATACAAGCTAGGAGGGTTACCCATTCACGCGAGCCATCTTGAAGAGCTGTAGTAACCTCCTTTTTCTCCCACATTCGTCTGCTGAATATCCTTTTTGATCTACCAGTAACTCCAGCTAGAAAGCTCTTCTCATCTATATTGTAGATATCCCATGGCTTAATCTTATATTCCTCTATCTTCTGGTGCAAAAGATCGAAATATAGGCTATATTTAGCCCCTAAATCAGCCTGGTGGCACTGGCGATCCATGCTGGATTGCCAACGTGAGATCAGATGGGGGGAGTTTCTGTTAAGAAACGAGGATACCCAGGTATCACTAACCCCTTTTCCAGCCATAGTACTTGCGAAATTCTTAATCATCTCTCGCATAGGTGGTGTACGACGTGCCGTAAGCCCCTGAATATACTCTACAAGCTCCTTCTCTTGTTGTGGGTGAAGGATTTGATGTGCAATTGAGCGGGACTGGCATTTGCCCTGATGTCTTCTAGCCAGCGTTGATCGCTCAACACTGAACTTTTTTGCGACTTCTGAATACGTAAAATGCTCTCCGGGAGCACGTAGTTCGATTGCATTAATTGCATCCTGGATTGGATCCATATTGGTGGAGTTATGTGGTGTCGAAGGTGGGTTGGGTGTGAAGGTGGGGTGTGCATTACTCCGATCCGGGCATTGCGTGCACGGACACCTTAACTACATGTGTGAGGTGTCTAAGCCACGCGACGAAGTATTTGGGGGCTAAAATACAAACTTGTTTATGTACATCAGCGGCACGGCACTAGACGAAACATTTGTGCAGAATGCTGGGACCATAGAAGTACGGAAGTTGAAGATATGGGAAACACGATGTAGCTGCTGCGGACGTCGCTCGAGGCGAATGATGAAGAGCAGACGTCATACTTCGGCCGCGGTTGGCAGGCACTACCGACTGTCAGCCCGCGGACGACAGAAAGCCATCATATCTTGAATGTAGAAAAGGTACCTGTAGATCCTGCGTACTGTCACCGCATTTGAGGTATGTGTGGTTTGTAAGACGAGGTGAGGTTTGAGGAGCAGTCCGCGGGCGAGAGTCCCAAGGCCGACTAGCTTCAGGGCATCCGTTACTTCACAGCACTAGATGAAAAATAAACGAAGATAACAATAATGCACCCAACGGTGATAATAGCGCAAACAGTGGAGACAGTACATGGAAGGGCGTGATGCGAGTATATTTCAACGCCCTCATCTTCTGGCCCATCTCAATCTTAGTCTTAATCCTAGCCATCTACCAACACAAAGCAACAATGGCGTCTTCACAGGTTGTGCTATACGATCTACCTAGCAAGCAAGGGACCGCTTGGTCGCTGAACCCATGGAAGAGTACATATTCTATCTCCGGAACCAAACCCCTCGAGCCACATCTAACACTACCGTAGCCCGCATGATCCTCAACTACAAAAAGATTCCCTACACCACGGAATGGGTAGAATACCCGGACCTCGCCCCCAAATTCAAAGCCCTATCCATCCCGCCCAACCCCAAAGACGCCCCAGGTTACTTTGCAGACTATAGCAGCCCCGCCATCAGATACGCAGATGGAACCTACCAAATGGACTCCTGGCCCATTGCCCATTCGCTCGAGTAGCAGTACCCAAAGCCCTCTCTTTACCTCGATCAACCCATCGTCATAAAGATTCGTGACCATGTTGTGCAGATTATGGGTCCGATCATGGCCTTGGTGATTCCCAGGGTGGTGTTACTACTGAATGAACGAAGTGCGGAGTACTTTTATGAGACCAGAGAGAAGATGTTTGGTAAACCACTGGAGCAGGTGGAGAAGGATGCTGATGTGGATGACTGTTGGGAGAAGGTAAAGGGGCCAGTGCTGGAGGTGGGGAACTTGCTGAGACAGCATGGAGGCCCGTTCTTTCTGGGCGAGACTGGTAAGTCTCACTTGTGAGGTAAAAATGTGTGGTGTACTAACCTAATGGACAGCTTCCTACGCCGACTTCATCCTGGTTTCAATGCAACACTGTGTTAAGCGTGCGAATGAGGATGTGTACGAGAAGCTCATGGCGCTGGATTATGCGCTGCCCCAAGTTTACCAAGCAAGCAAGCAATGGCTGGAGAAGGAGAACTAGAGAGCGCCACTATTCTCAAGTCCCGCTCGATCTTTTGATGTAATGCATTCAAACTATATATGCTCCCCACGAACAAACAAAGGAACATCAGTCCTTTCCAACACATACACAAAATTGCATACCTTTGGTCTATGCGCCACTTTATCCTCTTTCTTCTCATTACGCACTTGCCACTCTGTATCATCAACCTCACGTCTCTCTACAACACGCCACAACTGATTAGGGTATGGAAACGGTAGACATTGAGGTATCCATTCTGACGTTGCAGAATCAAGGAAATCAAAGCGTTCGCTGGAGTAGGATAATGCTATCCAGTGCGCGCCTGGCCTCGCTACAAGTGCCAAATTTACAGCCATGACTATTACTGGGTGTAGAGGCACTGTTGATGCGGTGGGCTCCAGGTTCAAAGGTTCGTAGGAACGCACGGCTACCGGGTATGGCAGCGGGGCATGCACATCATCTCCGCAAGCAATTGAGTCGGACGTCGATTTGTCCAGTATGACAAAGTAAGCAGCACGCTTACATCTGTGCAGCATGGACTTGTAGTCAAGTAGATCCACGGCATCCCAGCGCATATATGCGATACCATTCTCTCTAGGGTCCCTTTTGTACTGATCTTGGTTCTTATAGATGTCGTGTTCACGCTTCCTTCCCAGTTCAATAGCAACGACCGAGTAGTCCAGGTTATGTATTTGCTCCGGGTCATCTACATGTGAACGTAAATGGTAGGACAACAACGATGTGCCGCAACCTATGTGTAGCAGCTCCGGCTTTTCATCGCTTGCTTTACTCAAAGCAGATATTATGTAGGGATCTAGTATGGTGGGCGACTCGAGCCATTCGAAAGGTTCGTCGTTTGAAGTGAAGCGCTCATTCCAGTAGGCTTGCGATCCGAAGGCAGGCGGTGAGTTTTTGGGCATTGCAATCTGGATGATTGGCGTTAGAACTAGGTTGGGATTAGTTGTAATGTTTTCACTTCACTAACAGGCTGGGGCGGTTTAAGTAGAAGAGGGTTTATGAGTACGCTTAAAGGTTGTCTGTATACGCAAATTGCCCGATGGGTGATGTTTATAGAAGACGAGAGAATCATCGAACCCATCGTGATGCGCCGGCCCGAGCTTTCTCCGCGATCCGAAGATCTTCAACGCTTCACAGTTTGCGGACTCCCGAGAATGGCCATCACACACGACTCACAGCCATGGCCGCCCTCCAATCAATACCACGCTTCCTCCTACCACGAAGGCCTCACCTGATACGACCGCAACCCCGCGCATTGCGCCTGCTGCCCTCCCCCACCAGCCTCCGTCATGCCTCCGTCTCCGCCAAAGGTCTTTCGGAAGAGTTCAAAAGACGCCGAGAAGCACAGCAAAGTAAGGGAACACCCGTAATTCCGCAGCCCGATAAATACCGGCCGCCATCGCACGGCAAAAAGCCCCCGAATCGCAATCTGGAGAACAAGATCTATGGCCCGCCATTATCGGAAGAGGATAAGAAGCGCATGGCGACGAAAAAGTACCCGAATATGATGAGTCCAGAGGGCACATTCTCCCATTGGTTCCTGCATAACAAGGCTATTCACTTGTGGATCACAATGGTATGATGTCTCCTTCCCCCAATATACACGTCCCAAAAGCCCTCAAGACTAACCCCGCTTACCATAGGGTATCCTCGTCTCACTCGCAGTAACCGCTTGGTACCTAGACTTCATCCATAAAACCATTTATGCCCACCTCCTTCCCTCACGCAAAGATTTCCTGCACCACCCCTTCCAGTCTACATCGCGATTCATCGAAATCTACAAGATGCACATGGCGCAGACGTCGCAGGAGTATCAGCAGCAGCGGCTGAAGAAGGCCGAGGAGGTGGAGAAGAGGAAACAGTATAGGCTTATGAGGCAGAGGGAGGCAGAAGAGAGGGGAGAGGAATATGTTGAGGATCCGAGGTATTACGTGGGAGAGGATGGTGTTAGGCGCAGGAGGGTTAAGAGGTGGTTTGGTATTTGGGAGTGAGAAGACTGTTTTGTTTTGCTTTTCATGCGTGGGAAGAAGCACCACAAGAAAGAAATTTGTACGAGTGAGGGAAAAGGACAACGACATGCCAATTTGGCGAACATCTACAAGGTCACCACCGCTCTATAAAGGGATAATTGTGGCCAAAGAGGCCAGCTGGGTGACGAGGCGACAAGACGTAGTGCATGTGAAGTGTGATAAGGTATGTATATTGAACAGTGTAGAATATATATATTGATATCAGCCACTCATTTCTGCTTCCGTTGTCAAACAATCGCTCTTCTCTCTTCTTCCTCTCTATACCCAATCCATATATCATCGCTCGGACGCATTCCACTCTCCAGCCCATCCATCTTACACATATGTCCCACTTCCTCCGGAACCTCCCCAACCCTTTCCATACCCGTTGCAAAAGCCATCATCAGTCCCGCCTCAGAATGCCATCCGATATGACAATGGAACGCCGACACCCCCGGGTTATCCGCTACAAAAGATATCAGTAGCCACCCATAGGCTTCCACAGTCGCCGTATCTCTACGTAATGGATTCTCCAGGCTAAGCCGTGAAGACGACTCAGGTATCTGTTTTTATAAAAGAGACATAGGCGGATACCCATGTCCACTTCCCAGGATGAAAAACTTGTACCCATGCAAATGCATGGGATGCGCTCCATCATCGAAGTTTTGAATCAAGATCGTAATTGTACGCGTTCCCGTCGTCCTATATACAAGAGCTTGTTCAGGCCTAATACGCTCCTCGTCCACGAAGCCTTCCGTGATATTTTCCTGCATCGCACCAGTGGAGTCCAACATTGTTTGTAATATAGGCCTCGTAGCATTCCTCCGAAAAGAACTATCATTGAAATACCCCCGACTCAATCTCCAATCGCGACTCTGAAAGCTCGACCGCAAGTAAATCGCATACCGAGGATCGATTTCCGGCGCTGGAATAGCTGCCACGGGGACCAAAGTTGAAGTGTTGAGATCCTTACACTCCACATCGATGATGTCGGACCAATCTCTGCTTTCCGGTATATCACCTTCACCACCACCGTCAAAACCCTGCCGATACTCCACCACCCCCCTAACCTCCTCCTGTAACTCAGCCTCCTCATACGCAAAAGAATGCGTAAACACCCTCGCCCTCATCCAATACAACACTCTATCCCCCTTTTCAGGCGGCGTCAAAACAACGCTATACCTCTGCGCCGGCGCGATATTTACCCTATGAACGCCCACCGGCACCACATCGGTGCCATCAACCTCCACAACCTGCACCTCATGTTCATCAATCTGCAGTGCAAATTCCGCAAACACGCCCACATTGATAATGCGCAGACGCGTATTGGACTCTGAATCCAGGGTAAACCGCGCGAGGGAAAGGTGGGAGGAAGAGCAGGAGGCGCGATGGCGGTGGGAAAGAGTACTGCAGTTTCGAACATTACGGCCATTTATCAGGGCGGTGGGGGGAACGGGTTCGGCGTTTTCGGTGCCGGGGGAGAGGTAGGTGCGCAGGGGGGAGGATGACGGTGTGTAGTAGTGGTCAGATACTAGGAGGACTCTGTCCTGTTTGTATGGCACCTTCTGCAATCTGTCCTCGCCCTCCTTGCTTCGAGCGTGGATTATCAAAGGTCCGACTAGCCCGTCACTGGCCTGCATCTCTACGTATGAATGGTACCAGTATGTCCCTGTTTGCCCGGATACACTGAATCGATACGTGAATTCTTGACCCGGGGCGGTTGGACAGTTCGTTACGCCTGTTGTACCGTCCATCCAATTTGAACCATTTTGAAATATGCCGTGCCAGTGGATTGATGTCGCATTGGGGGAGGCGTTGATGACACGTACGGCTAGGATGTCGTGGGTGTTTAGTTCGAGGAGTGGGCCGGGGAAGGTGCTGTTGATTAGGAGCATAGGGCGTGGGACGCCATCCGGGGAAAGCTCATGCTGGGCGATGTGGAACTTGTAGGTGCGGGTTGTTGGAGGTGCGGAGGTGGACCAGGTGGGATTGAGGATGTAGTCGGTTTCTGGACGGATTTTTCCCGGTGAGAGGTGATGGTAGGTTCTAATGGGTAGGAAAATGATGAAAATGAGGGTGAAGAGGAGGAGGAGAAGTGTGGTTATGGTTGTTCTCAGGGTCCAAGGTCCTGGGCGTTTGTGATGGTGGTGCATTTCCCGATGTTCTGAAAGGCTGTGGGAGATGCTTTGAGTGTGGCTGTTTGTTTCGTGTAATAAACCGACCTCCTCTTCCATATATTGTTGATGTTGATCGGAGGCGTCTTCCAAATCGAAGCTTTCGTTCCGGTAATTAAGGATCATGCTCGCAAATTCCACGATAGAACCAAATGTAGTATCAATGACGGAATCTGTGCGCCTCAGAGTAGAAAAGCCCAATTTGTTCAATGTCAATATCCGTTGGTGTTTGTCACAGTGTTGGTAAAATAAATTTATGGAGTTGAACTCTGGTAGCGATATCGTTGTTCGGTTGAGAACCCAGATTGAGATTCAATTGAGCCAAACTGCTTCACTCGGGAAGATAATCCAGGATTCACAAGACCGTCCCATGTTCACAGTCCCATATTCACCCGTCCTCTTCATTAATCTCCAAGAATCATATGAAGCGCAAAGATCTGGTGGCCCACGCGTCAACGCCCGTCGTACCCGCTGCCATGGCGGGCATGACCGGTTCCAGGTCGGCTCCCCCAATTCAATCAAGCCCCGCACGTTAGATATGTTGCTACGTCAAAGCTTGTCCGCCTTCCGAAAAGATGATATTGCCGTGTCGATCTGCGCATCCCCTTCTTCCACAACTATGCACGAGTACGGCCAAATTGTGGCAATTGACCGCGTTTGTAGATCTTGGTGAAGTGGCTGGGTTGTTTGTCCTTTACTACATAGACAGTAGCCAGATTCTTTAACATGAACAGGATACGTGAATGTGGAGATGAGTAGGTTGTGAATTGAGTCGCGGTGGATTTCTTTCACATGCGAGGAAATTTCCTATCTCCGCTACCGTACAGTACCAGGTGATCAATTCTGGGCGTACCCAACTAAAGAGGTATTGATTGTATATCTCATAGAAAAATCCATTGGGCTTTTCGATATTACTCATTGAATTACAGGAAGAATCGCCTGCTTCCTTCCTTAGTTTCTCACTTTACTCATACATATTCGTTTAACAAAAGAGCCCACCTCAATAAAGGGCGACTTACGCAACTATAATAGACAGCGAAGGCAACCTTGAGGTCTACATCGTCCGTCATTATGATAACCCCATCTCTCCTCTCCTTAGCACTGATATCGAACCTCGCCCCTGTATTTGCCCAAACCAAAGTAAAAGGCAAGGCATTCGACCGCCTCGCCATAGTATGGCTTGAAAACACAGACTACGAACTCGCGGCCAGCGACCCAAACCTAGCCTGGCTCGCAAAGCAGGGTATCAGCCTCACGAACTACTATGCCTTGACCCATCCATCCCAGCTCAACTACGCAGCCTCCCTATCCGGCGACTACTACGGCATGAACCACGACCACTTCTCGGATATTAGCGACGATATCTTCACGCTAGTTGACCTACTGGAAGACAAAGGCATCAGCTGGGCTGGGTATCAAGAAGACATGCCAATCCCTGGTTACGAGCGCCAAAACTACCTCAATCCTAGAAACGGCGCTCTTACGTATAAGCGCAAGCACAATCCCGCGATATTGTATGCTGCAAACGGGAAAGAGGCGGATCGACGGGCTAAAATCAAACCTATGACTATGTTCAATGGTGATTTAGACAAGAACACTTTGCCGCAGTAGATGTTTTGTTACCCCGAATATGACAAACAACGGTGCGCTTTCTCCTCCTTTCGTTCTCATCCCCATCTCCCTTTCCATCCATCTCTCCATACTAACACACACCCCAGGCCATGACACCAGCGTAACTACCGCCGGCCGTTGGACCCGCAACTTCTTCACTCCCCTCCTCAAGAACACTTCCTTCATGGACCGCACTCTCGTTCTAATAACCTTTGACGAAAACGATTCCTACGCCAAGAAAAACCACGTCGTCGCCATCCTCCTCGGTGACGCTATCCCAGCCCATTTGATCGGAACAACAGATACTGCCTACTACAACCACTATAGCGGCCTCGCTACCGCGGAGGCGAACTGGAATCTACACACCTTGGGCCGCTGGGACGTCGGCGCTAATGTATTTGGGGTCATGGCGGAAAAAACGGGGGATACAGTTAGGAAGTGGCGCGGGAAGGTCAAGTTTGAGGACATGTCTTTCAATTAGAGCTACGCGGGTAAGCTGAGTAAGATACATGCTGATGTGGAGTTGCCGATACCGAATACGGAGGCAGTGTATGCTGGGAGGAGTGTTTTACCGGCCGTGGTGAAGAAGTGGGGGGCATTGGTGAGGCATTCAGCATATACGACTGGGCTGGAGATTCCGGATGGAATACATCCCGACGGTGAGTTCAAACAGAGGTGAAGCCCAGAAGGGATTATAGTGCTCTTAGCCGTTTCTCTTGGCTACGGGTTCAAGGATGCTATACTGGCAGGCTGGGCTGAGAGATACATGGAACACCCATGTCTCATTAGAAACTCATTTGGAGTTTTATCAACTCTTTTTCTCCTTGATACTGCCATATGGCCTACACCGCCCATCTCCTACGAGCTGCAGACTTCACTTCCCCTACACTCTTAGCGTTTCGCCGCAACACAGCCCCAACAACCTGTATCCTACATGCATCAGCATATGCGCCCTTTCCAATTTCTTCTGACCACATATCCGGGTGTAATATTGTGTATTCAGCAACTTCTGCACCCTCTACGCTCTTCAACTTCTCCAAGAAAGCGTCATGGCCGGGGTTAGAGGTCGGTATCGCAACGCCAGTATAGATGACTATGATCCCACTCGAAGACATGAGTTTCATCCCTTCTTCCACAATCTGTATGGAGAGATTTAGACCGAACGTTGCGCCACCATCCGCATACATAGGGAGGTCCTCGTCGTCGGTGCTTGAAGCGATATACGGGGGGGTTGCTTACGATGAGATCAACGCCATATGATTTCATGTCTTGGGGTACGGCATTGTAGAGATTTGACTCAGCGAAACTAATTTCAACTCCAGCCAAATGCGCGTTGATATTGCCCAAACTCAGTGCTCGCGGATTAAGATCTAGGCCCAGTGTTCTTGCCAGTGGATACGTCCTTGCCATGTGTATTGCCCCCGCGCCGGATCCGCAGCAGACATCTATGATTGAGCTTGGCACCTGTGGAACATGGCGCGCTACGGATTGGAGGAATGAGACGAAGAGGTATGTATCGGGTCCAAAGAAGACCGAGTCTGATGAAGCGGGAAATGAAGAGTGGACGTAATAGTGAGGTCTGGAATCAGACGCATGGCCAGGGAGATAAAAGTCGGAGATGCGAATGGTGGAGCGATAGCTCCTGTCATTGCACTGAGTGATGATGGAGGCTCGGTACAGGCTTTCGAACACTTCATCAGGTATCATCGACCGTAGTACTTCTCTTTACATGAATTAGCATGTGAATAAATTTGGAACGGACATCACTAGCCTGGTACAAGGCAAATTCCAGCCAAAAAAGTCGTGCGCGTTCTGCGCATCTTCGGTCGAAGCATTGGAGCGTCGCTTGCTGACGATCCTACCCTGCGTTTCTGGTGATGGGCATATGAAATGATAGTTCGCCTCGGAAAGATGGCTGGCAAGTGCCTGGTAGGTAGTGCTTTCAGCCATGGTCAATGTTGTGCCGCAAGTGAGGTTCCGCGGGTGATTTCATGGCGCAACGGGTGAAAAGGCAGTGCAGTGTTGCGGCCTTTGCCGCGGAACGCAAGTGCGGGTCACAGTGACGTTGTGGTTTGTCATATCCTTTGATTTGGAGCATACATCTGGTGTCGTGATCGGGCTTGGACGTACGCAAAAGGCATAACGGCTAATCTCCGCGCGTATTGCTTGAGGAATGTTTAAATTTCAAGGACGATGATGTCGTGAAGACGTTCGTTTCCAGGTCGGCGGCTCTTTACGTGGTCTGGGGTGCGTCTTGACTAGCCACATCTCGCCTAGTCCTCAGATCTCGTCATGGATCACGCTCGGGGCCATGTCGCCATGACATTGACAACTCAGGTACCGACCACATGCCCAGGTACCTACCGTCAGTATGATCGGGAGATATCCGCTTGCAGGTGTCTGATTTGCCACAGCCGCATTGTTTGCAAACAAAATCGACGGTCTCCCAGATGGCTACATTTTGAGACTGTTATACCGTCGCGCATCTCAAGTACAATACCACATATCACAATGTACACCCTACAGACTACAACAGCGATCTTGATCGCCTTTCTGGCTATTGTTGCATACAGTGAAGTCTGGAGTCGTCTCGCAAAAGGCTGGTCGAGAAGGAAAGATCTCGAAACCCCGAACAGCCCAAGGATTCCCATTATTAGTCCTCTCAACCCGCCTATCGAGGAAAAAAGTCTGGAGAGTCTCCCAGTATCTCGTAAAATCGAACGAATGGACCAGGATTTGGAGAAATACAAACAGCTTTACCACAAATTACACAATCTAGAAGATTACCCCGATATACTACCTGAGTCTCGCGAACTTCTCTTATCACTTCTCTCCTCGACAATCACCGACGCACTCAATGCAAATGAACAAGGTATCCTGTCTGTTGAACGCTTCTCGCGCGACGGGTTAAGCGACTTTCTCAAGGCCAAAGATGTCGATGTCACCAACCGATGGCAGGAATATCTCAGTCGCCGCAAAGCCGGGGGATCTCGTGAGATAGTCAGCGACAAAGATGAAGCGAAGTGGTGGCTCAAGCAAGCAGCGTGTGTAAAATACGTGGATGGCGCATGGCTCGGACATATCAATAAGATTAGCACACCCTTCAAGTACCGCCATATCACCAAAAACGCGTGGCAAGTCATGTCGGAAGAGCTTGGAGACGGCGACCTTGCCAAGAACCACGTTCATGTCTACCGTGAACTGATGAAAGATATCGAGGCCGGGTTGCCTGCTGCTAACTTGGAAGACTTCGTCCATCCCCGTCAAGAGCTTACCGAGACGCGGTGTTGGAAAGCCGCATTGGCACAACTTACAATATCCCTGTTTCCGCACGATTTCTTACCCGAGTCGTTGGGTTTCAACATGGCTTACGAAAGCTTGCCTCTCCACTTGCTAAAGACGGTCAAGGAGCTTCGTGAAGTACGACTGAATCCGTATTATTTCGAGCTCCACATTTCTATTGACAATGCGGACTCGGGACACGCAGCAATGGCAATGGCAGCAGTGATCAATTATATCGAGTTGGTTGCGAAGAACGATGGCAAGGAAGCAGCGCACGTGGCCTGGAAACGAGTGCAGGCTGGCTACATCCTTGCAGAGGGCTTACCAACAACACCAGAGAGTCCATCTTTGAGGATGAAACCCAGCGACACGTTTCCTCGTACGGATACCGAAGCGGCATTGATCGAAATCTTTGCAGCGAAAAGTTTCGTCGCCCATAAGATTCATTGCAACAGTCGACTGAAGATTGGCAGACGTTCGCTGGTCGACTGGCTAGAGCCAAACGCCTTTCGCGACAAACAATGGAAGAAAGACTTCCTGCATGATCTGGGTAATTGCAAGCCCTGGGTCATCAAAGGAAGTAGCGAACGTAGTAGACTCGTCAAGGAACTGGTCTGGGAGGGCAAGATGTTCGGCAGCTTCACAGAAAGCGAGGTCGAGATTGTAAAAGCCTGGATAGATGATCTCGAACCTGATGAAACACGAACCATAAAAGGGGACTCAAAAGTTTATTTCGACTTTATCCAACAACAGTTCCCTTATCCCGCTGTGGAGTCGCTAACCAACAACCTGGATATTACGAACTGTTACCCTGTTCTCACGACGCCCGAGCCCGTTACCGTTTTAGTGTCCATGACCGATATCAACGGCCAAGATCCTGACATTGCGCCAACTTTCGACATTCACAGACTAGACCTTACCAATTTCCTGCCGCTGTGGTTCTCCTCGCAATCTCTCCTCGAAGGCCTCCCCACCGTCCCCGTCCGCGCGGCCACCCCGTTCGGCTCCGCCATCATCCGCGTCCTGCGCGCGCAATACGGTTTCAGCAGTGAGGGGCTTGGTGTAGCCGGTATGGACGAGGTGTATCGCACCGATTCCGGTGAAGCCATTGGCATCGTGGAGGTAGGTTTGCAACTGTGCCGACGTGCAGGTCTACGGGAACCAACTAATCTGACAGAGGCACTGGCGTTGGGTAACACCGAGACGGTAGCCGTCTCGTTCTCAATGTGGATGCTGTGGGCCAGTATGCGGTGGAAGGCACACCGGGACTTGCTTATAGGTGTGTCGTGGGCGTTCATGGAAGCTCATGCAGCCATCGCAACCCAGGATAAGCGAGGGGATCTACTTGGTACAGAGAGCCGGTACTTTTTGCGGGAAATTGCGATAAGGGAGCAGAAAGGGCTGCAAGTTTGCCGGCATGACGTTTTTCGGTGTGAGGCACGGAAGACTGATTTTCGCAGGGGCCTTGCCATGGCGCGGCAGGCTATCCGAGCATGCTACAAAGGTTAGCAACTTTGAAGAGGACGGTCAAAACAGAAACTTGAAGAAAGGTGCGAGTTTTGAGTAGGATGAAGGCATCGATAGATACCTCAAAATGCATTCTATGCTAAGGACTAAATATGTTTCAAAAGAAGTGAAGACTCTTTTCCCCCTACCACCCTATATACACTCCCCCGTTTTCAACAGCGCAAAAGACCAAGTATTTACAATGAACATTTTTCCGACTGCCAGAAGTAGAAGCACTCTACTTCTGGAGGGTCAGGACACCAGGCCTGTAGGGAAGGCGGTCGTAGTCGCCACCGGCGTTGGGGTTGCGGCCCTGGTACAACAGCTGCAGGTTGCAGGGGTCGACGGTCATGGTCTGGTCATTGGTAACCTTGACGAGATCACCGTGGGAGATGTCGTTGGTCCAGGAGGCGCCGCTGTTCTTCTTGCCGGCGAAGGGGTTGGATTCAGTGGCAGCGTTGGGAGTCCAGCTACCGCCGAGGCTGCTGGCAGTGAAGGAGCGGAAGAAGCGACCGCCGCTGCCCTGGGCCTCGACAATCATGAGGTACTTCTGGTTGCCGGATCCACCCTTGACGGTGTATACCTGGACGGCCTCGAAGAGGTTCTGGGCAGTGTCGCTCATGACGACGGTTGAGGTGGTACCGAAGTTGCCGGGGAAGTTGCCAAGGGGCATGCTAGCGCGGTAGATCTTGCCGTTGTCACCAGCGAAGAACAGGTACATGTTTTGGCTGTCACCGATGACGGTCTGGTCAATAGCGCCGGTGCTAGAGTCGGTGATCTTTCCGGAGAAGAGAGGCTGGGCAGCACCCCAGCTGTTCACATTGCTGGGGTCAGTGGAGGTCCTGTAGGTGAAGGTTGTGGGCCCCCATTGATAGCAGAGAACCCAGACGTTCTTGGGGGCGAAGAACAAGAGCGTAGGCGCAACGGCGTTGAAGTTCTGGGCGTTCTGGGGAGCTGAGCTGAGCTGACTCAAGCTGCTGACGGTACCGAAGTTCATGGAGCCATATTTGCTACCGGTGTCGTGGTAGGTGGCGTAGACAAGGTGCTTTCCGTTGTACTGTTGGGTGGTGAAGTCCTTGAGCGAAGCCCATCCGGACTTGGGCTGGGCGAGGGCTTGGGAAGACGACCACTTGTAGGTAGAGGGAAGCGGGCAGCTCTGCGCTGAGGCAGTGGAGGCCAGAATAGCAACAGCCGCCGCAGGCAGGCTAAGGTCGGAAGGTGTGAAACGCATGGTCGCTGTGAATCGAAGGAAGCTGGTATAGAAGAAAAGACTGGCTTTACTTTGAGGGCTGTGAAGTGAAGTGTGGTGATGAGACTATAATGCTGGAGAACCATAGGATATATATACCTGCAGGCTCGCTATCGGACCTAACAACCATACAAAGCACAGTCCCATCGTGCTGCATTCTGGGCCCATCAAAATCGCCTCCAGTCCATGCCATTTCCGACCATGGGAAATTGATAGGCTATGCCACTCGCCTTGTTCTGGTTTGGTATATTTTTCCGTTGTTCTGGGTATATTAATGACCTGGCGTTTCAAGGGTTGTAGCTGGCTGCACGGACGGTAATTCTCCGTAATGCGGGGAACATCCGGCAAACAAAGCACTCTACCGTAAGACAAAGATTAGCATACTGGGTTCCTTGGATCGATATAGTAAAATGCTTAAATCGTGGACACAAACGCGCACCTACGCGTGGTTCTGTCGCGGAAACTTGGTGTTCCTGCTCCATTGATCACTCTCCTCGTATTGTTGGTGGGCCATACCAACCAACACTCATAAGACGTTGTTTCAAAGTTATGCGTGGCGACAGGGCACGTAACCGTGATGCATCTCGACCTACGAAGTCTCGGCTCAATTACCTATAATGTAACCCGCAACCCGCGTGTGACTACTAAAACTACCACCGGGTGTTTGCTAAAACCCACGTTATCTTACCGAGCGAGGTCTAGTTCCCGTTCGACTACATGTCACCCGGCCTGAAACACCCGGTGGCCGAAATTCTAACGCATGGATAGCAGGAATGACGGTGGCGCAACCATACCTAGTACCCTGTGGAACAATTGTTTGGTTGATCGCGGGAGGGTCAGACCTAAGCGTTCTTAGGGTTGGCATTGCTTATGCTGCGATACCCCGAGAGGAATCGAGATTGCTGCTACGTCAGTGAATGCTTAAATCTTTGTTTTGTTTTTTGTTGCAGCCCGAAAAAGATTATGCATAAGTTCCACACATCTTTTGGGGCTTCCACAAAGGCGGCGAATGATCCCAAAGCGCATTACCGTACTTGTGCACTGGCCGTACTGTGAAATTGTGTGGATAGAGGCACACGGTCGCCGTGCACACCTTGCGCGGACGTGGCGCGACATTCACTTGAATCAAGGGATATGAGGTCAACCTCAAAATCGACTCGTGGAAATTCTTCCACCCGCCGAGATGAGTGAGAGTAGTACAGTCACATATCGTTCGCTTGCAGTATGCTCGACCAAGACAGACCACAGCGCTACTGGCAAATTCGATGGGTTGCCAGTTGAGCTGGAGGCGGTGGACATCTTCCTGGGGAAGCTCCACCAGTCGGGTATCCGATTCGATGGCTAGATTGACTTTAGACGGTCGCTAGTCCAAGAATGAGTTGATTGGGTCTTGGTGTGGCGCTTATGGGTGTGAAGGTATTCTGGGGTGCATTCGCGTTCTAAACGTGACCACAAAATGGCGATTCCTTCCCGTTCCACCAGTAACAAACAGACCCGCCCGCCAAATACGGCAGTCGTCTGGAAAAATGGACTCTAACACCCATTCCGGCTCTCGTGGAGGCTGGTAAACGCTTGGTAAGTTTTACTCGGCATTGGCGGTTTCCAAGACTAAAGAGAGATCGTTCATGCCGCCTTCGCGCAGGATCTGGGGTGATATGATCCGCTCCATGGGGGTTCCTTGTCACCCATGGTTGGCGGACTTTATTAGGCTTGGGTTACCATTGGACTGCATACTTCAGCATAGATGTTGTAGGCTTCAAGTTCTAGTAACAACCCTCTTGCCGTCCTATATCCCAAGCTATCCGTGGATGTTGGAGATCGCCCGTATCGCGGCCAAGAATGGACGATCCCGAGCGTGCACTCGTCGGTAGCCTCGGACATGTCGTCTGAATCGAGGATCTTGGACCGTGAGTAAAGATACGAGACAACCTCGATCTACTTGTCTTTTGCCAAATCAGCAACTTGGGAAAAACAAATAACTCTTTCTCTTAAGTTAGCCTCCACACTACGTTGCCAGTAAGCACGGCAGATGTTCTGGGGACTCCTGATACAGCTCGGCTGCATTTCGAGTTTGCGTATACAGTAAGGCCTAGTGACCAGTTTTTGTTTTTCTACTTGACCACCAGACACATATGCTTAAAAACAAGGGATATCTGATTGTGGAAGCTGTACCGAGGCACAACAACATTAGCGTGTATGTACGGTACTTACTATTCCGACCCACAAGGCATCGGTCCTTTGTGACATAGATTGTAGGGTGAGAAATTAGTTGAAAATCAAAATACCTTTTGGCCGACAGTTTAGTTCGAGCTGGAGTAGACGCAGTAGTAGTAGCAGTTGTCTGATAGTGAAAACTAGGTTGCGGGCCGGTGATGCGAGGCGAGAGCTGACTAAGTCGCTACCAAATTCTCACCCTCGCTGTATTCATCACATCTACCTAAGTACAGTCGAACGTTACACTGCTGCCAGTATACCCTACCCCTCAACATCATTATACGATTGATACTTGACTCAACCCCGCACTTTGTAGCCTGTTTGTTATTTCATCTGGATAAACACAGCGATCATATGTGAACATATGCTAAATGCTATGATTGACATCCTGGTATATAGCAGAAAACGCCAACATTAAACATGAACTTACCGTATGATGTTTTGACGAGAGTTGTCTACGAACGAAAGTGCCATGGCGATTCCATGTAGTAGTTTGATGTGCGATTATGCGCATCGAGAAAGCTTCAATCACGACTTTAAGTTGTACATTTAGTATCTACTACACGGTCGGGTTCCACCAGAGCAAGCCGAAAAATGATACTCCAAGTTGAGGATAGAAATGACTCCTTGTAGTTGACGCAGCTATGATCAAGGCATATCTATCGTGCTTTCTGCTAACGAGTTGCTTCTGTTTCCGTAGGGTATATGATTGGAATCGAACGCGACATGTCTTCGAATACCGTCAATATGTAAGCTAGAGACCAGTGAAGATGATAGACATACGTACTCTTCCTTGTCGTTTCGCTGCATTTATCTTTTGTATTGTTGCAGATGTGCTTGCCCACGCATTCATCTACCTCTCGCCTCCACGCCTTCGATGTGATTTGTTTCGTCCTTTTGTATCGTGACCGCGACTCGATAGCTTCTCAAAGATACACGCCATCGCCACCATTTTCCTGCGCTGCAGCGCCATTTGTCTGCTCAGTTGCAGCAGTAGTTCCGTTCGTCGCCGCACCACCCTCTGCCTCAACCTTCTTCTCCTCTTCTCTCACCCTCCAAGGCAACCCCCTTACAACGCTAACCTCATTCACGATGGCCTCTCTCCTCTCCTCAAACCTCTTCATGACAACCCTATTCTCCAGCAGCGCCTCATAGCAATCGCGATCATCGTTTTCGCGCGCAAACTCCTCCAGCTGCTTGTTGCTACTTTCGAGATGCGCGAGTTGGTTCGTAAGTTCGGAGTATTTGGCGTATAAGGATTCGACGGAGAGGTCGGAGAGGGCTTGCGAGAAGCGCGTGAATGTTATCGGGGTTACGGAGGCGGACATGGCTGTGTGGTGCGTGTGTGGTGTGTGGTGGGAGTATGTGGTAATGGGAACTAGGCTTGGGGTTGAACGCGTGTCTTCGCGAGCGGTGGAGTAGTTGAAATAGTATTAGAGATTATTTGATAGAAGAGAGAGAAGAGAAAATGGGTCGAAGTTGTGGCGGAGAGTAATAAGGTGAGGCTGATGCCTACCTGCTTGCAGTGTCCAACGGGCTTAGTGGGGTAGCTTTTGCCCCGCATTCGCGTATTGCGTCAGCGGACTGCCATATGCTGTGTATGACTCCGCTTTTACCAGGGCTCTACCGTGGTTCGGGAAGCTCTGCTTATCACTCCCCCTGCTGTATCCCACTGTTTGTCTGGAATTAGATATGTCTATATACTTTTTGGAATAATCATTATTCTAAAAGCTCATCAGGCACTTTGGCGGAGTGGTTAACGCGCTGGCCTGCTAGTCCTGTATGGGGAAGTTAGCCAGTTCCTTCGGGAGCGTGTGTTCGAATCACACAGGTGTCGCACTAACCATGTTTTTTTTGCTAAATATTTTGCTTAGTTATTCCATCTTCACGGCTTGAGAAATAGAATGCCAAGGCCCTTTCTTCTTTCTACATAGGTTCGTTCGCGCATGTTATTTGGGTCATAAACATTGTGAATATGTAGATTTTTTGTGGGATATTGTGTTATACAGTATTGACTACTTGCTGTACATTCTACTACTATCTTCCTGGATTCATACCAGGCATCAGGTCTGGCTTGTCCAAGACCATACCTCTCAGCAGAACCAACTGTCGCAAGCCCTCCCAGTCCTCGCCCTCTTCGTCACCCCGCCTCCAAACTTCCTTGAAACCCCATGCGCATGCTATGCGATCAAGGGCGGCGCGCTCATCTTCCCTAATGTATCGGTCCAGCAGTGGAACACCAGGTCTCCAGACGACTCTGTCGTGATGATCGTTGTATGTTGTGAGAGCGACAAAGCCGAGGGTTCCTGTGCACATGACATAGGTGCTCATGCCTGCGAAAGCGTATAGCTTGAATGTCCAGGGGTCGATGAAACCGCTGTATACGGAAAGTTCTTGGGCAATCATGTACAAGGCAAGTGGAGTGAGACTGGCAAGGACTGCTGGAAAGCCCATCTTGGTTATCATACGGTGCCGCCGCCATGCAGGAGCCCTGTAGGTTTGGTCGACGACGGCGAGCGCCAAGTTGATGTCTTTTGCATCGATTGCGGCCGTTAGTGCTTCGTCGGCGAGATCAGCAGGGATGGCTTGCTTTGCCGACTTTGGGGAGGGTTGGGAGAATTTTGGAGGTGAGGAGCCCGCGATTGGAATCGGCTTGTTCGCGTAGAGGTATAGTGCCTCCGGAATGGTCTTGGGTCGAGCAAGCAAACGTTGCAAATGTATGTATAGGCCGAGGATATTTGGTGAAACGAAGACTTTCTCATGTGTGATTAGGCCCCGTGCAAGGTTCGATAGATACGGCGGTGATGGCAGCGCATCCAATCCTAGAGTTTGGGTCCTTGTCTTCTGTTCGGTCTTGACATGTCCCCCACTACTGAGTCCCGAGAGTATTGTACTGGCTGAACTCTGTCGTATCGTTGCCTTTTGGCGCAAAGGCTGTCGGGAGCGTATGGCGATGGCATATTTTGCCACATAATCTATCCCCTCCAGCGCCTCCAACACGGTCACCTCTGGTTCGACCTTGGGCGAATTGCAAATGTGCTTTATTTGAGCCTCGACCTCGGCCAGCTTCTTCTTCAGCGCTGCGACTCTGTCCGAAGTCTCAGCACCCCCATCGTCTCCATGCTCAACTTCTGCTGCTTTCGGAGCTGTGGTTGTGATGATCCGAACTGAAGTTCGGGGTGCTATGGCTGGCGAGCGCACGGTTTGCCGCCGTATTGAGGGTGCTTTGAGGGATGATGTGGATAAGAAGACGCGGCGAGTTCCAGGCTGCTGCAGTATGTAGTCGCACAGTTGACATAGTGGGCGCGAACGCGCGCGCATTGGTAGACGTTCAGGCTTCATTGCGCTGGCCGGACCCGTGGTGGGCGCAGTCAGGTTTGGGTGACGCAGCCGTCGGGCGCTGGGATTCTCATGCCAGGCGCCAAGTGTGACGGAATGTTCCAACCATGACCATCACTCGAACACGACACTCTTTCACGCCGACACAACACAATCAGGCAGGAAGAGACTGCACACGCGTATACAAACTCGACAGTGCGATAGTAAACACACCAAGGCGACGCGCGAGACACACTCAACCATGCCTCCACCACCACCCCCTCCGCCGCCCATGCCGCCCATGGGACGAGGCGCTGGAGGGCCACCACCCCCACCAATGCTGGGAAAGTCACCGGGGGGAAAAGCAGCGGGAGGAGCAGGCAGAGTAGGTCACTTCCCCAGCAAACAGCTTGTTTTGGAGAAACGGTTTCACCATGTCGAGCAGCAGCTAACCAGCCACAGGGTGCACTACTAGGAGATATCAGCAAAGGAATGAAGCTTAAGAAGGTCACCCAAGTCAACGATAGATCCGCCCCGATAACAGGAAAAGTGAGCGACGGCCCCAGTGCTGCGCCTATGGGAGCACCCGCCATCCCTGGCATGGGAAAGCCGCCTGCAGTACCTGGCCTTGCGCCGCCAGTTCCCGGTGGAGGAAACCGAGGGAGGAGTAATAGCGACACGGGCGATGGAGGAGGTGCCGCACCGCCGCAGTTGGCAGGAATCTTTGCTGGAGGCATGCCAAAGTTGCGGAAGGCAGGCGGCGTAAACACGGGCGCGGACCAAAGCCATGCGCCATACCTCTCAGATCCCGAATCGAATCGCGGCTCTGCACCCAAACCACCGCGAGGAGCAGCGCCGAGACCTCCAGGGCTCCCGCCTTCAGCGCCTCCTGCACCGCCTGGAGGACCACCCGCGCGTCCAGGCATCAATGCTCTTCGAGGCCAGGATTCAAGACCCAATTCGGTAGCTTCAAGTATAAGCGGGAAGCCAAAGCCACCGCCGCCGATTGGAAAAAAGCCGCCTATGCCACCGCCATCTTCCCGAAAGCCATCCGGTCTCGCTCCACCGCCTCCAACAGCTTCACCAGCTCGTGCGCCGCCTATTCCAGGAGGAGCTCCACCTCCACCACCGCCTCCTGCTTCAACCTCTCCTCGGCCCACCGGGGTACCACCACCTCCCCCTCTGCCACCGCCATCTCCGGCTCCGCGAGCTCCAGCACGATCGACTCCACCCCCACCGCCATCGGACGACGAATACGATCCCTATAAATATCCTGCTCCAGCCCCTCCACCTCCTCCACCAAATGGACACACCCCGTCTCTCGCAGAAACAGCAGCACGCAATGCTTTTGGTCGCGCATCGCCTGCTGCGCCTCCTCCACCTCCCCCGGCAGCACCACCAAGTGCACCCGCGCCTCCTCCGCCACCCAGCGCCGCTCCGAGTCGACAGGCCTCCCAAACACCATTGCGATCAATGATGGATCCCAGCTCGTACACCCTGTCAAACGGAGGATCGAGTATCAAGAGTCCGACTCATTCGGGCGGTGGAAGTAGAGAAAAAGGCAGGGTCAGGCCAATTCAGGATTTGAGATGGAGATTCCAAGATGAAGGCCAGTTCCCACGGCCCAGGGAGTTTACCAACGGACCAAAGAAATATCGTGCTGGGAGAGGCAGCAGTGTGCCTTTAGATTTGAGCGCATACGAATGAGTGTTGACTTGTTCATTGAAAGCAATCAAGAAATTGGGCTGGAGCAGCAGGAGGAGGAGACGGAGAGACTTCCTTGTCTTTACTGTGCGGAGAACCTGATCTAAGATTAAGGTTCTTTTCTTTCTTTCTCTAGGGAATAGATTTTTGGGAGCTTTAGCCTTCGTATTTGCATGGCGTTCTTGGTGTTGCTGTCTTTGCAGGCAAAACCGGGGGTAGGAAAGGCTGGTTGGCTGGTTAGAAAGGGGTGGGTAGCATTCCTTCCAAGGAAATATCAAAACGTCCTCGGAAGATAAAGCATGTGTGTACCGACAAGTTTTCCTTAAGAAAATTGCGATACGTGTTTTGGCGATTGAAGTAGTATGGAGACGTTGATGAGAGGCAATAGCTGATTCGTGTGCTCGCGACACCAGCATGTCTGCATGGACATGAACATGCTGCTTTTTGTTCTCCTGGATGGCATGTACCATGTGCTCACCGATAAGCCAAAACTAAGCATAGCAACACCTACTTCCATTATCTGTTTTCTAAAGAAGAAGTTGAGTACAACAAAAGTTAGATAGAGTTATCTGCTACATCCGAATGACTCAGCACGAACCCCTATGCCTCATGGAGTGAACACATGCGCACGCACTCCCATTGGCGCACTGCTAAGCGTGTGATTTGCAGGTGAGAAGTTGGGTGTTCGGGCCGTGTATCTGGTGACGTCGAGGATCAGTGGTACGCTTACTATTAAGCTACATATTTTTCAGCCGGCTTGGCGGTTGGTGTAGGGGTACCCCACGTGTAGTTCCACCGAGCGTTACTTGTTTCTGTTTTGGCGTTGACAACGAATTCACTCTCACAAACGGGACTGATGCAATTTCTAGTCTTGAATCAGCCTTTCACTGAGCGGGTTTGAAACCTTCTATGCTCGGGTACCTTGCTGGTTTGAATGTGAGATGGCTGACTCGAAGTCCTGGTCTTCCGCCTGGGACAGACTTTGAGCAAAAGTGAAACGGTCTGGTCAAAACCACACCAGAAATTACTAATACATGATACTCTGTCAAGAAGCAAGTGTACCTTAGAGGTAGATTAGCTACATGATAGTCTAGATGTGAGTCAGCGACCTCATGCCCCGCAATTTGAGGCATTTAGAAGCAGCGACGAAAAGTGTAGGACATTGGATCCGAGATTTTGCAAGAATGTGTATGCTGCGAAAAGTCCAAAGATCGACACATGTCTTGCTGAAGAGTAATATACTGTCATATCACTGTTACTGAACCGTTACTCTGCGAATGAATTCATGCGTTTCTCGCCCAGCTTGTACTTAAGCTGACCGAAGGTCAGAGCACGGTCATGTGACAACAATGGAAGACAAGACAGATGTTGTTCTACCAGAGACTCCATACGTACCGGGCAGCTGCGAGAGTTAGATATCTACAATAGCGACCGCTGTTTTCGACGTGACATTATGAAATGCTCTTGTTATTGCTTTCGCCTTTTCGGGCCGGTCTAGTTCGCACTTGATAGGGGTTCCGAAGTAAGCCGGACTTGAATGAAAATGTACACCTAGGCCGATGGACACGCAATCAAAGATACCGGTACAGTGGCCATTGTATGAATGCGCTGGTCAAAGACGTCAGCGTTAGTCCAAAGATGCCGAGAGTGTAGAAGACGTACATCGGCCTCTGACTAATTTGGAAAGCATCTGTGCCACATTCAGCCCTTGCTTTTCCCTCTTCGGAAACTCTAGGGCGCAGTTGAACGCCCTTTTTGCTAAGGCCTACGAATCGGTATCGGGAAGGATATTCGAGATCTTCAAAGCAGAGAGAGCTACGTGTCAGCCATCGATGGCTTCGAAGATGAATGCTGCGTCGCTGCCAGGTTAACACACGTCTTCTGTGTCTGTCTAAACCAGATCTCATCAGTCGAATTTCGCATTTAATGGTTGAACAGTCCAAAGAGACTAGAGCCCTCCCGGTTCACGAAACACATGACGGGGCCCAGATGAATCTAAGTTCGAGGTTGGGACGGGCGGATGCCGGTCGGACCTTCGGACTTTGGGAACTCCGGCGTCACATCCTAGGCCTAATCAGGGATTCATCACCCCCATTAGCAATCATTGCTTGGACCTCATCCGAGGTGTAAATCAGCGGGACATTCGGTGAGTCGCCCATCCGAACTACAAACTTCCGCACCTCGCTTTTTTTTCACTCCGGGACGTGCCCACAACGAGCCACACAGCAGCCACAATCCTCCGGCCATGACCATGAAACTTGCCGTATGTGTATCAGCTGCGAGGAGCCGTTGTAGCCGCTTGCTAATACTTCATCGAAGTGTCTTCGTTGCAAGCGTAAAAAGATCAAATGTGACCGAGCAGACCCTATATGCCATCAGTGCATTACCGGAAAAGCGGAGTGTCAATATGTGGAGCGGCGCCAAAGACCAAGACCCGCACAGCAAAAGGCCGTAGTACAGCATCTGAGCCAGAGATTAGAGATGCTCGAAAAACAGATCAGCGCCTCAAGCGATACTTCCTCACCATCGGAGTCTTTCAAGACACCGGGGCGAGAAGTAGTCCAGAAAGCAACGCCGATAACATCTCCCAAGGGCTCGTGGAATGTACCAGCAAATGGCCAGGACTCGTGGGTAAACTACCCCGAGCCAAATATCTATCTTAAAACGGTGGCAGCTGATAGGGATAGATTTACCGACTTGCGACGGACACTCGCCGTAACTTTCAAAACCAGGCTACTCCAGTCGCGACACCAACACAAAGTATCGACAATGCCATGCTATCGCTCAACGAGGCCTTGGACGATCTCGGAAAACTAAGAATCCGGACCGATGCCATCAATGTCGACTTCAAGTTATCCCCTGTTGAAGCACGCGCATGCATAGACGGCTTCGTCAGTGTGATGAACGCAATGGTCATCCCAGATTGGTTCGCCCCTAACATGATTGATCTTGAGCTTCTCCGTGCTATAACGGATGTCATCGACTCTCCGTATGTGAACATCGATCCTGGAGTACGTGTCATGTATTTCAATGCTCTGTATTATGGGTTGGAGCAGAGTGAAGGCCCTGGCTGTGACCTGGCAGCAAAAGCATACATGAAAGTACTTGAGAGTGTGCCAGCATGGCTTGAGTCGACGACCGAGGCGAATGCAGACGGACCGACGGCTGCGATGACGAGCTGGACAACCATCATTATGCACGATTATGAGCTTTCCTGGAAATTCCACTGCAAGTCCTATCAGCACATCAAGTCGCAAGGCATAAACCAGATCGACGCCACACCTGCAAAGAACTTTGCAGAGGAGAGCCAACGGAATTCTTTCAGACTATTTTACTGGCATGTCATGTCAGTCGACGTCCTATTCCGCTTGTTCTATGGCAAACCTACCGTCGTAAGGTGGCTCTCAGATAACATTCGGCCACCAAGCATCTTCACTCCCGACAACATGCACCCAACAGCCTTTCACACAATGATCACCATTACCTGGATAAGATATACGGTACTGACTGTGGAGATAATTGACTACGTCGATAATCGAGTGCAAGACAGGACAGACCCAAGCGTTGCGCAAAAGGTAAACGAATGCTGTTTACAACTCGAAGAGATGATGGAAGAATGGAGACTGGAGGAATTAATGGACGACCAAAGAACAACAGACGATCAGCGCTGCCTGATTGCAGATTTTATCAGTACGTTCATTTCATTCAATGCCCGCATAAGCTGACTCTGCTTTTAGTGAACGTTTACACTACAATTATTGGGATTCAGCGCCTGATCAAGAAATCAAAACCGGATGAGATTAGCTTACGGGCTGCGCGGAAAGTTTCGAATATCATCCTAGATTTCCAGATCGATCCGACATTGAATGCAAAAACGAAGAGCATAACCAATCAGTAAGTAGCAGATTCAATCTTCTCTGAACATTGAGCTATTCCAACGTCGAAAGCAACATGGCAAATCCATACCACTTCGATCAACGGCTCTATGCTCATTAACCCTTTACTGACCTCCACCTAGCTTCATAACCTTCTACCCCTTCTGCGTAGTCTTCACACTCTACGAATACATACTCGCTTGCCCCAACCCCGAAGACTGCGAAAGCGACATCGTCGGCCTCGAAAACATCGGCATCGCTATGACCGAAGCCTGTGTCACCCACAAAGACCTCGCCCCCTTCGCTAAGACAATAAATGCCCTCAACCGCGTCTCCCGTACGCTCCAAGAAGAGCGCCGCAAGAACATAGCCACCCCAAGAGCCACTGCAGCAAGAGAGGGAGAGGAAGAAACACAATATCATAACAATACTGCACATGGACGCGTCGACCAGCAGCCACACCAGCAGCAGCATCCACCACACACTAGTTTCGATACCATACAGAACCTGGTCGCGAACGAGTTACCCGATTTCGACATGTCTGCTTTTGCATCCATGCCAGATTTCTCGATGAATGTAGAGGGAGACTTCCAGTCTCATGGCTTCTTCCGTGCGCTTGAGAATGATCTTGTCATGAAGAATTGGCCAACGGGCGACTGGTGGGATCTGAGCGGCGGTGGTGCTGGTGGCGTAAATGAGACTATGGGGCAGGGCCCTGCGAGGTAATTAGCACATTTTGTTGGTTGCGAAGGATGTCTTTCATGTGGGGCGTGTGCTGACTTTGGTGTAGTGGAGATATACAGCCTTCGCAGTATTCGTACCCTACGCCGAATCCGTGAGCTACGTGGGCTGAACCTAGAGTTTTTATGTTGTTTTGCGCGCCGTTGGTGGAGTTATGGTGTTGCATTTTCGTAGTCGTCCATGGGAGGGTTTTTCTCAGTTACTACCTAGGATACCAGATGTTTGGTTGAGAGAGGCATTCTAGTGCTTTATTTATTTCGTCGAATGTTGGTACGCTGCTTTGGTGTTTATACTTTCTGGATTGTAGTCTGGTGTGCATCATAGTTTCACTTTGATGTGTTCTCTATGTCTGTGTTACCACACAGAAGTCCCTGTCTTGTTGCAAGGGGGGGCTGAGTTGCTTGGATGGCCAAGTTAGCGATAAGAATCAGCATGTGAATCCTTGATGAGAAGCACTGCAGTAATCTCAATAGAGGTGATGATTCGTTGTGGCCAATGTGAGTGCGCTTTGTTCTCAAATGCAGTCTATTCAGAACGTTTCTTCTGTCAGATTCAATGGTTGGTGAAAGCACTAGATGGACAATGTTCTTCGTCAATGGCATAGTATTGTGTCTGCTAAGGATAGACGAATCGCTACCGAGCCCCGGTAGCGCATTCTCATACTAAATACCCGATGATGACTCATCCTAATCCATCATGGGCGACCATGGCCCATTCTGGGCAGGGTCCTGACATCTTCGACGCATCGTATATATCTTACACACCTATCAGTACTTGCTGTATACGAGTCGGATTCTCCATGGCTGGCTAGGTTCACAGGTTATCATCCAGCATCATAGTCCGATCAAAACGTAAAGCCGCTACACTATCATGTAGTAGATATCGGCCTCTCATCATCCGTACGCAGATCATGATTTCTTATAGCTCTTAGGTCTTACACCCTAGCGCAACATCTCCCGCCAACCCATGAATCCCGCTTCCGCCTCATCCCACAAACCCCGTACCCTCTGCGGGTCGTTCCGACTTGATACAGATGACTACACAGAACGCTATCAGATACGAACCGTGCAGATACCGCTTACGTGTACCACCATCCCTATCAACCAAAAAAGCCACCGAAGCTGTACCCGACAATGTGAGGTATTAGAGAGCGTCAGCGTTGCGGCTCGAGCCGGGATGAACCAGTGAGATTGTAATGGGGAACGGGTCGGGTATGGCATGGGTTCGATCGGGTCGTTCGTGTTGTGTACGGTGCTGACATTGACGTCTGCGCTGACGCGAGTGTGCATGCCATCTTGGAACGCACGGAACATGTATGCCTACTGAAAAAGCTAGGCATAGTGTGAGAAATTGGAACGGGACGAGATGGAAAGAAATGTTGGTACATGGGGAAGTAGGCCAGCATCTTCGTCTCCAAACTCACGGCACGCAACGTTAATTGCGTCACACCGACCTAGCTTTCCTCGGCTCGCGTCTTTGCTTATCCTTAGTCAGGCAAACGCCACCTACCAAACTAACAGTGTACCAGTAGAAAAAGCAAGCTAAGCGAAACCGAGAAGAACAAACGAGGAGAAGAATTTGCAGATCCGTGACGAAACGGCTGGCTCGCTCTCTTGTTCCGTTGTTTCCTTCAAACAGTGTATGTGACAGTAGTGGAGCCTGGCGCTTCTTTGGTTCAACGTCTAGTCCGTTGCATTTGGTCTAAAATTTGTTTCTTTTTCCGTTCTTTGTCTGAATCGAGGGAAATGTGAGGCGAACCATGCTTTGTTTGTTTGTTTGATGGCGCATTTTCATCGTTGCTACCGCGTGTTTTTTTCATTTTATTCCAAAGGAGCGGGAGCGAGCGTTGGGACCATGGTGTAGGAGATGTAGAAGACAAGGGGAGAACATGCCAGAGCCTATCGCTCACTCCGCTTCGTTTTGATCCACTATAGGGATGGGGAAGGGGGTGTGAATCAGCCTTCTGTATACCATCACCTCATCCTATCATGGAGCCTTCTAATCTCCCAACTACTGTCCATCCACTTAACACGACACGGCGGTACGCGTCCTAACCACCAGCCACCACTTACGCAACACCCAGCCTTAGCTCCGTAGTTCCAAAAAGCAAAAGCACCAAGTCTCTAACACCAATACGTGGTCTTCTGAAGCGCCCGACCATCGCACTGCTCACCAACTCCCAGCCTTCTGAACCAAACAATCCCCAAGTTCCTCCAGGCCCAAACAAACCGCATCTCTTTTTCCCTGCCTTGTCTGTCCTATGCTGTCTCATCCCAGCTTTCATGATCTAATTACCCCTTGTTGGCTCACAGACTCCCACGCTTTCCGTCTCCCGCCCCATCCATCCATCTGCACATTCACGCAGCCATATGCGCCCCCTGTTCACCATCTTCCGTTGTAACCAAGCACGCGGCCGTCCCTATGATACTTAACTAACCCAATGCATGGGTCCATAACGTCACAGCTAGATATCTTGGCAGATTTGCTTGATTGCTTGATGTTGTCCGCTTTTCTCGCTGTGGCTGTAGCTCTTTGTGACGTTTGTGGCACATTGTTCGCGTTTCCCGACAGTTCTGGTATCTGATTTCCTAATATATCTTTCGAGAAGGAGTTTGATATAATGCTGATGTGTATTTGCATTTCTGGGATGTTTGTGCGTGTGAGGATGATGATGATGATGATGATGCCAAGACAGACAGAGGAAGACAACCCCAAATCAACAAACGCCACCAACCGAACCATAACGATGTTCGTTAAGATTGTATGTTACCAAATTTATGGTATAGGGAACGATTCATTCATGTAGAATTTTCAGCTTATTCACCGACCAGCGAGTCATACCACCCGCAGCAGCCAACTCTCTTTTCAGCTCATACTCATCTCCCCACATTCCGCACTTTACCCCAAACATGCCACATATGCACATGAGCGTCGCATGAATTCATAAAAATCCAAAAACGCCACATCAAATCAGCCACATCGGCCACAAATCTCACTCTCAAACCCCCAACCCTAGTCCCAGCCCTATATACACATCTCCCATGTCAATATTCATATAAACAGGATGACATGCTCCAACGGCGGCTTACGTGACACTACAATAAACATGCAAGGGTCTTCATATATACTTCTGATGACACGATATAAACGCAAACACCAATTTCAAAACAAAAGCACATGCACACTCCCCAAGTCGTCAACGTAAGCTCACATAGAGCGGAGCGCGCATGTGTGTGCGGATAGATGTTGCGCAGCGCGACTGCGAAAATCAGTAAGCACCAGCACCAAACCATCCAGACACTCCCAGGTCCAGCGATCCAAGGGCAAGGAAACACGAGCCGTGGCGGAGGGTGACAAGGGGCGGTTAGTACTCCCGTAAAAACACGCATGCAGCGTCGGCGTATTGCTCAACCTCTTTTTAACTTTGCCGAGCCCCATGTTACCGCAACCTTACTGCATTTGCGCTCGTATTGTCGGGGCTGGGCAAGGCGGCAAAGGCGCCGAGAATTCCTACGACGCTGAGGCCCTGTGGCCAGCCCAATTCTAGACCATGCGATATGGCGCAATCCCAACGAAGCAAAAATGGCCGAATACGAACGACGTCGGACAACCGTCCAGTAGGGCTAGCAATAGCTACCCCACGGGAGAAGGAGTAGCGGCCGGATTGAAGCGAGAGGGGCAAAAGAGAAAAATTGCAAATGACTTTGTAACCAAACAGCCTGCATAAACAGTATGAAAAAAAAAAGAAGGGGGTCATTATTCTTTATACTACTACTTTATATGCTAATGCATCGAGTCGTCCGTGCCCCCGTTTCGTACGTACTCTGATGCTATGTGGTGGTCGTTAGGTGTGCCCATTTTTATCTAAACGCCGGGAAAATGACTGATTAGCAACGCCGTATCCGCATTTCATGATGATGCCGATGCAGACTGCTGCGGCTATAAAAAGGTGAGGATGAAACAATAATACCATTGCTCATTGGCCCCACCCGGAACCGTACATGCAATGTGTGCCCAGGTCCAGAATGCTGCTTACGAAGAAGCCCGAAGATTGCGAGATTGGTACATGATTAGAACGCTGTAATAAACTTTAATGCAGTGGTTGGTGCCGGCACGGAGTCGTGGTGGTACGGAGCCCGCCGCGAGGGGTGGCCGCGACGTGTAGGCGAGAATCCAGTAACGCGAAACGTGAAGCGGATGACGTGGCGTGGTGCCATTGCAGCAAGGGATTTAGACTTGCTCGGTGAAAGCGGATTTGCGCGAGGCATTGGATTCTCTCCGCTTCTTTTGGAGCTTCTTTGATGTTCTCCGCTCGGCGCGCTCCAACTCCTCGGGTGTGGGGGGCTGGAAAGTGCCTGGGCGCAGGATCTCGAAACCGGAGTTGACCTTCCGGATGACGGGATCGTTGCGGTCCTGATTCTGCTCGGTGGTGACCTCGTATGGTACTTGATCGTAGCTGTACTGATGTTGCGGGCCGCGAGGCTCGTACGTGTCGGGGTAGAATGGAGCGTTTGGCGCATACGACTCAGTCAAGGGAATCGCTTGCCTGGCCTGATTCGATGCGTGACCGTCATGACTCGGACCGGCAGACATAGTTACGGGCGCTTCTTCTGGGTCGGTAGCAGTGCGGCGGAGCGGAGGCGAGGGTGTCTTCTGGGGCATAAAATAGTTAACACCGTTGACGGTAGAAACATGGTTGTCCGCAACGCTGGCCCACTCTCCGCTATTACCTGGCTTCCGCACACGAGGAGTGAGCTGTCCAGTTTCGGCGACGTGAGAGAGACGATGGCTTCGGAGGAGTTCGAGGTCGGTCTTGGGGTCAATGGGCGCTTGGTGTGAGTTGGGGCGGAAGTATGCCGTCTCGTATGCGCGGACGTCTTGCCCAATGGCCATGTAGTCGGATTCATCACTGGTGCGGCGGCTTGACTCTTTCGAGGACTGGCTGGTCTTGTGTTGATGGGTGAGGCGCGCTAGGGATTGTCAGCATACATCAGCCAATTGGCTGGGCTGTGGCTTACTTGGCGAAGGATCAGTCGACGTCCCGGTAGAAGGTGAAATGGTAGTGGGAGATACGCTGTGGTGGCAGTTGCTGCATCGTGGAGCGTCCTGGGCCTGGGCGCGAGCAGCAGGAGAGGATGAGCGAGACTGGTGGTTGGAGAGCGGCTCGGCGGAGACGGCGCGGTCGAAGGAGCTAGGGGCGACAGAACTGTTGCGACTTGAACCTTGGGCTACTGGTTGAGGGAGCTCAAGCTGAGAGTTGTTGAAACCGGCGCGAGGTATCTTTTCGCTGTACAAAGAGGCTCGGCTGCTGGCAACGGGGGTGTTGGATCGGGAAATCCATACGCCGTCTACTTCGATACCGCTTTGAATGGCGCGGATACCAAAGGGAATCTCGTCTTTTGTTTCTGTACTGACTTGGGTAACAGGCTGGGCCTCGAGCATTTCAGGAGATTGTGCGCGCTTGCCCTTGTCGACCTTGGTGTACTTGCGCAGTCTTCTCCTATCGTAGAAGAGCTTGATGAAACCACAGAAGATAGTGACAGCCTACCCTTGTTAGCAGAGCAACAATGGAAGGGTGATTTGGAAATGTCGTACAATAGCACAAGCCAGGACCTATGGCGATGACGTTAGTGCATGTGCGGTAGGTGGCTAGTCAAGTTACTCACAAAAGTCATCTTCTGCCACAGGGCCCAGCTAGTGAAGAAGGTATTGCCATCTGATGCTCCGAAACCCATTTTGGAGGATATGGAAAAGAGAAATGAAGAACAGAGCGAGGGTAAGAATAGGAAGCGGGGAAGAGTCGAGGTTGCAGAGGCTGGGAAGCGGCAGTGTTGATCAGTGCCTTGCTCGGCAGGAACTAGTCAAGTAGCTGGGTAACAAGGGAGGAGCTACCACTACCAGCAAACTCAGGGTGCGGGTACGGGTACAGGTACGGGTACAGGTACGGGTAGTCGATGAAAGGGCGACTAGTATTACAAGTGAAAGAGCGAGAGGAAGCCGATAGTCTCAGGCCAAGTCGGGGCACGGGGCGGGGGATTATGAGGACGAGGCGTGGACAGGACGTGGGTGTGGAAACGAGCGTGGAACGACCAAAGGGACGGGTGTCACTAGTGGTTCAGGGCTGTCATACACCAAAGCCTAAAGCTGAATCACAGGTATCCAGTGTGGCTGAAGGCACTCTGCGACTAGCTGTGTGGTGAGGGGATAGTCGACGGCTTCAGCTTGATCAGAGGGAGGCGGCGTGGGCAGAGCGAGTATTATATTGACGAGTATTGAGCAGGCACATGGGTCATGGCCGCCAATCCGGGCCCGCAGCCAGAGGAACAACGGGACGCTGTCATTTCATGGGGAGCAGGTTTTGGCGCCCCTGCTCCCACTCCCACCTGGGGCAAGAGCGTGTGCAGTGTGCCGTACGGTATGTGCAGGCCATGGCAAAGGAAGGCCTGCCTAGTCGGCCGCGTGCTTGGGCAACGCTGAACCAGGCGCCACCCTGCATGTGCACAGAGGACGCCCAGGGGGATTCAGCGGCCGACATGCATTGGTGACGCGAGCCGACGGCACGACTGCAAGGCTCGAAATAGCAAACGATGATGCGCGAGTGTTTGGCCACAGTCCATGACTGTCTGGCAGATCGGCCTTGATACTATGTGGACCTTCATACGAGCCCGACATGGTAGACCCAATACTTTCCCCCATGCCAGTTGCTCTGAGCCGCGCGACGCTGTAGCTGTTTGAGAGAGCCGCGCACCTCGTACCAAAGCGGCGTTGGCGAAATGTCTCATCATCGAATAACCTGAAGTCGCGTGTGATGTCTTTTTTTTTTTCCTTCAAGACCTTTTACCTTTGATTCACTTTGCTGGCCCTGGCGACGGTGAAGGTTTCCGGGCGAGCGCTGGTAGACTAGCCGCGAGGTGCTGTTAGGCTAAGCTCAATGCGCAAGGCCCCGACTCTGAAAACGGGAAGGCGCTTCGGGGGGGTGCAGGACGTGGCTTCCTCTTACGTCCATTAGGTCCAAGTCGCTCTTTCTGCTTTCGCCAACGCTCTTCCCCGGCCAGACCTCAGTGGCTGTCGCAGACACTGTCATCCGACAATACCATGCTGAGACGACGGTAGGGCTGCTGCAAAGAGCACACTGCCGCTGCGTCCGTGATCCGAGGGTGCCGACTCGCTTTCGTCTTTGCTCCACACGGCCTGCGGCTCCTCTAACAATACTCGTGTTTCGTGTTTCGTGATCCCACATCTCATGATTATTTGGCACCCTTTCCAAGACGTCCTCATTTCAAAACTCTACTCACGCCAAATCGGCCGAATTCCTTATTCGTACCGTCCTTTACGCAGCCTGCAGCCGCACAATTTCGGAAGAATTGGACCTGCACCTGCACCTGCACCCACATGCATCCGCTGTTTGTACAATCCTGACCTGTTCCCATTGTCCTACCAGCCTCCAGCCCCATTCGTGGCGACTTGTCACCTCAAAGGCCTATGTCTGCGACCGCTCCACCAGAGCGATAGTTTTGCTCGCTGCTCCACCATGATGAATGCCCAGGCACAGGCCCCCTGTGAACCGGGGCATGTCCTTGCTCAACATGTCCGCCGTGCAATTGGCGATATTGACGGACTGAGGCTACACAACACGACATGCGTGTAACCTCAACTTCCAGCACACACCGCTCCTACTGCAAGGCATCTTTCTGTGACCTTCTGACTCGAGTTACACGCGCCTTCTCCATGGTCTCGGAATTCATGTATTCTCGGCCATCCATATTTTTAGCGGCAATATGCTATCGATTGTCCTGCACGTTGAATTCTCTGCCACGTCCTTTGCCGACGGAGCTATGCCCTACCCACATGCACCCCTAAGCTAGGCCTCTCACAGACATAGCCGCCCCTTCTTCTCCCATGCTTTTCTAGAAAAAAATGTTATCCACCTCGCTAATCTCCCAACCAAAGCCCATCACACATGGAGAGAGGGTCGAGATGCTGTCATTTGAGCAAAATTCTGTGCCAGGGGTTACCCGGGATTGCCTTAGCTCCCGCGAGCCACAACGCCCAACGTCGAGATGGAGATGCTCGTCCACCTTCACACGCTGGAAGTTTTCCCTCGCTTGGGTAACCGGATGGCTGCCAAATGTGGCAATATCATAAACATGTTGTTGCCGGGCCTTCAGCCTCGGCGAGGCATGCACAAGACAATTAGTGCTGCAAAGTCAAGCCGCGAATTATTGACTTGTCTCTAGTCTCTCGTATACGCAGATCATCTCGTATTTGACGCCGTCATGTGATACATGCCCGTGAAAGCGTCAGTAGGCGTGGACGACTTGCAGCGTCGGGAGCGTCGGGAATCGTCAACCGACCAGTGGCACCAAGAGACGTGCTCAAATTCATCGCAACGGTGATTAGCAGATGAGGGGAAATGCTGCAGGCGCTGGTTAGCTTCCGTTGTTGTCTGAACATTCCCAGTCATGTCTCTAATGCATCTCCATAGCTTTGCAGCATCGCAGAGCCATTGTCTCTGCATACCTTGCTAGATCGATGCAGCCAAGTTGGAAGCAGATGCTCGTCATGTATGCCCATCTAGATCACCTGCATGCGCCCAAAGCGCGACTGCTTCAATTACCATGACAACACCTACGGTAGCACGAATCTCTGCAGCGTAGTTCATGCACCTCTTTGCTTCTTTGGTGCGGCTACTCGAGACGTCGTCTAAGCAAACCACGACTGCCTTGGCCCAGGCACGACATGCAAATCACGCCGCAATTCCAAAATGATGCGCAAAGTCCCGAGGGCTGGTCGCTGTACCGGGCAGTCTAGTTGTTAGGCTGTGCGCAAGGGTTGCTTGTAGCCTACGGTACACTTTGAAAAACATGGTCATGTAACCTCATTGCGACCCATGGGCTGGAGAGAAACACCGGACTACCCGGTCAGGCAAAGAGGGGCTATTCTTGCAAAAGTGGAGTGGCACATGTGCACGTTCGCATCCGTGTCTGTCTCGAACTGCGAGTTCAGATCGTGTGGGGGGGCGCTCCGGCACCGCCTGAGGCACATCAACGGGCGTGACTGAAGCGCATGTTTCATAGCTACTATATCTTCGGTGCTTATCCGTAGGGGTCCAATATTGATAGTTGTTTCACCTGCACGGCACAGGTTTCGGTACCGACATCAAGTAGGTTCAACTGCAGTTTCCTGGGCCGGCGCCTACTATTGTCGCAGCATCTCGTGACAATCACACTAGGTAGGTGATGAGTCGCGGGGAAGCGTCTTTGACGCCAGGTGCTGAGGCAGCTTTTGTAGCCGCCGGGCGAAACCCCGGCATCGGGCGTCGGGCGTCGGACTATATCGTCGTGGTGAGCTCCATGTGAGGTTCGAACAAGCTGTTTTTTAGGCGTGCTGGTGGTGAGCTGAAGCGGGCACCCTCGGATCCCAGCGTCTGGTACCTGACGACTTCCATTCTCGTCTCATGCAGGGACCACCAGGAGGAGGCCGTCCTTGGTCACCTGTTTGACTCTCCGCACCGAACACCCCTCACGCCTCGAGTTTCGATATGTCGCTGCCACTCTGCCATGAGCTGCGAGCTGCGCAACATGAGCCGGTTTTTTCCCCCGACGCCGGCATGACGTTCTTTGATTTGCGCTGCCCTCTCGCACGAGTTACGGATAATGTTCGTACCGAGCCCAAACCCCAAAGGGTCTTGGTTTCCTGCCCGATTGGCCCGGTCAGGGAAGTCATGATGTTAGACGCCGGATCCATGTGTCCCTGCTCAACCTTTACACCCAGCTTGATCTTACATACACGCTACACCAGCCTACTAAACCACTCGACCCTGTTCCTGTTTCGCCCCATTTCTTCGTCGCTGCCTGCCCGCCATGCCTATCCGCAACCCCTTCCGACGCACTGGTGGACGTGAGCCAGTTGAGGAGGCTCAGCGGAGCGCACCGGAGAACGGTTTCAAGACCACTGCCGTCTCGGGAACTGCGCCCCTGCAGATTAAAGACCCTACTGAATACAAACTGAGTGGTATGATTTTGTTTGCCATGCGCTCGGGGCGCAAAGCGTCGTCCGGAGCTGCATCGGGTGTATAGGCGCTTACAGTAATCATAGAGATCAACGACAGCGGTGTGTACTTGCCGGTAAGATCAACCCTTGAGCACGTGGGATTGGCGCATGGATTCCAAACAGCGACAGCCATTGCCATGCCGTAAGACGTTGGTTAACATTGCGACAGCCGTCCCCACAACAAGAGAAGCCCACGTTTTGGCACTCAAAGTCCAATGTCTCCACCACATCCTCCAACCATCGCAGTCTTCTCGCCGAGAATGAACCCTTTAGCATCTCCCGCGAGAGCTTCGACTCATACAGGAGATCATTTGTAACTTCTTGCTCAGCTGCTTAAAGTGGCAAGCATCCGCTGACATTGCATAGGATATCTCCGCACGGTCGCCGGTTGTCGACAATATCCACGAGACGTACCCCCGTCAATCGCTCGATGCGCGCCGCTCCGTAGATACCAGACGATCCCTTGACGTGCGCCGCTCCCGCGCCACTCCGCGCTCGTCAATGCAACAATCCCGCAGCAGCGAGAGCCACGACCAACTGCCTGAAGAAGGCTTTGAGGAAGTGGGCTTGAACGATGAGCCCAAACCCCAGCCTAAGAAGCGCAGCATCTTCTCGCGCTTCGGCGACAACAGCCACGGCAATGACAAGGCTGAAGAGCGACCCTCATCGAGCCACCACTTCTCGCTGACAGGTCGCAAGAGAGCCGAGAGCGGGGCAGGATCTGAGCTGAAGCCCATGCCCAGACCGGCGTCGGACATGCCCGTTGAGTCGCGGTGATACTCACCATATGATTGTTAATGAGGAAAGGACACACAAGGAGTCCAAGAGCTGGGTAGACCTTGGATAACCCCTATCAGATGGCTAGGAGCATCACGGCGTTTGGGAATTGATGATTTTGCGGTAGCACGCCACATTAGATGGGCAGCATTGGGGAGTATTCCTGGATGAGACAACGGAATTTCTAGCTTGACTGTCATGCAACTACAATCGCTAGTATCACACTATCATTGTCGATAAGGCGCAGAACCCGTCTATACGACAATGCGCCTTTTCACCGACACTTTCTTATCCAGATTGGAACAAATATCCTAATTATATCATCGGAGTGGAGGACTCGTATTCTACAATGTAGTATAGCCAACCAATCTACCGTGTAACTAGTGCATCGTATAAGCAGCACATTAGCAAAAACGTTGTCGTCCTGACTCGAACTTGCCTTCCCATGCGCCTCATCACGCAGACACATTAGCTTATTATAATTATATCATCGGAGCCGCACCGTATCGTATCTCCCCATCATCTCTGTCGGCTCGTATTTGTACCGTCAAGAAACCGTTGGTTAGATTAACTTAAATTCTGTTCCTGACTCGAGGGCTCCTTCCTCCTTCGTTTCGTTTTCGTCCCACCTTCCCCCGCCACTCACCGTCCGCTTAACCTAAACACCCCACAAAATGTCGTGAAATCCAGTATCGAGTGATTGCAGGTGCCCAATCTCTTCCTTTTTTCAACTCCTTAATCCACCCCTAGCTGTGCAGAGAAAAACCGTTGAATGCATCCGTCATTTTCCAAGCGCCTACAGCCCTGTCATTGTATTACCTATTTTCCTTGTCGTCTTTTCCCTGTCGGTCTATCCATCTACCCACCCACCCACCTACCGGCGTACCGTCCGGTTCCAGATTTTCTTCTCCCCCCAAGACTTTTCCAAGGTTCACTTTCCAAGCTTAGTTCCCCACTTATCCCATCCACTTACTTAATCGTGGTACGGAACTTTCCTTTGTTGGGAAACGACGTGAGTAGGCGCGTTTAAAAGTTGGTTGGATTTGTTTGGTTTGGTTGAGGGGGAGGCAAGGGCAGGGCTGCAGGCTGCGCGCGCCGTTCGTTTCCGGTGGTTCCGAGGTCACAGGCTTCGGAGGCGGTTCGGCATTGGTGCGTGGGTACGTGATGTCATGGGAGTGTAATGAGCGGGGTGGGTGTCTTTGGGATAGGAGGGCCGCGGAAATGAGGGGGGGGGGAGTGGGAGGAGTTTGTGTGTGTATGTATGTAATCCATTAACGTCCTTTATCAGTCAGAGACTATGTAGGACGGTGGCAGATGCCATTCTAGCTATTTTTATCTCTCCTTTGACGTTCGTTGGTTGTGTTTTTGACTATTGTGGTTTAGGCATGTCCTAGCTATTACAGGGGAGGAGAGAAAGTAAAACCCTATTATAGCTGCCTGTTTTTCCTTCTCTTCAACCTATCTCTTTTTGCAACGCTTTCCTCGTGTTCCTAAGTCTGAAAAAAACCTCGAGGGGGAAAAAGCCATGGGATCTTGAACGAGGCGTAGGGTTGTAACAAGCTTAGCGTAGTGTTGTAGTCGTAGCAGTACGTGGCTCGGGTGTACTGCGGCTATAAACTGTCGCTAAGTTTTTTGCAGGGGTAGGTGAAAATTTGCGAGTTGGAGTAAGCCGTTCGATATTTTTTTGGTAAAGCCACAAGTGGCGGTGAGAGGAGAAGGATTCGAACCTTCGACCTCTACTACACTGCAAATTTGGAGTGCGGTAGAGGAATACCAGACGCTTTACCACTGCGCCATCCCCCCTAGTGGGAGGAGTTGTTGATACTGTTTGTTGTGTTTATACTTAGAGTCTCCGATTGAACTTTAGTGGCGGGTCAGCACACTCATGCACGGTAGAGCTTTGAAATGCACGATCAAGATCTATATATCTCGTGGATTCACTCTTTGGCCGTATTGCCAAGGATGCTACAAACCGTAGTCTGCAGTCATACCCAGAATCCATCAAAGTGCTACCTAATCTACCCTCTATCAAGAAGACATCATCCAACCTCACAAAATCAACTCAACTATCTAATCCACATGCCCTGCCTCCCTCCACTCCGTATCCTCCCCAAATGCGTCTTCTCTACGCCCTCCCCTTCTCTCCTGGTCTTCATCAGAAACGCCCTCAGGAAATGCACTGGTGAAGTCTTCAACCCCCACTTGCCGACTGGCGGATCAATGAAGCCGTCCGCATGTGCTACCTGGCCCTCTTGCGCGGTACCTTGCAGTAAACCCAGATGATCGCACAACTCGCTGTACTTGGAGAAGGAGTTGAGATATAAACTACCAGCGAAAAGGTTGAACTGCAATGTCAAGCTGCGGGATACGGAGCCGGGAGTGTATTCGACCGACGATGTAGAAGGTGAGATTGTCGAGGCATGCGAAACTGATACTTGCGCGGGCGGCGAAGACATGCAATGTGACCTTTGCGTCTAGACGAATCTTGGACATCACACTGTTCGCTTCTTTCGGACTAATGACCATGAGGTTATTGATCATATCGCAGTTGCTGGGATCTGGCACTGAAAAGCCTGCGCGACATGTTCCAGAAGGTATCAAGACGGTTTTCATAAAGTCCTTTGTGACGAGAAGGTCTTTTGGGAAGTCGTTGAGGTCGACAAGTCCACCTGCGCGCGTCATTCGTAGTGCTTGGAATGCGGGCTGCCATGCGTCAGAGACAGGCAGGAGATTGCCAATCTCTACCAGTTTCCCGAGATCCTTATGGATAGTGGATGTGGGGGCTTTCATGAGAGGAGGGCGTTCGATTTGACGTTCTTCTTCAATCTCAGGCGCGAGTTCCCTCTCTTGCTCCTTGGCAAACGGCACACAATCATGGCTTGTAGCTCCAAAGTCGCGGCATCGTGTTACAATCTCAGCAATCTTGGGGTTGGAGCGTTGCGAGAAACCATCGCTCTTCTGAGATTGTAGCCGGTATCTCGTCTCCAGGCTCGCAGCTTCGTCTTTGAGCATACACTTCGATCGAAACACTTGGCTTTTCGCTGGTAGTCGCGTAGATCTTTGCTCTAATATCCTCAGGCACGATGAAAGTCACTGCTTGTCCATTGCCAAGCTTCTTCATGCGCATTGCAGCTTGCATGGGACGATCCTTCGTGACTTGACTACCTAACGTAAGGGCGGCGCGATAGTTTCGTGGAAGGCGCAAATCAGTTCCGCGGGTATGCGACTCGTCTAGGTAGACGGTGCAAGATTCTAGCATCCTTGAATATGGCGAAGTCTGGAATGGCTCAATCCGGGAATTGCGATCGAGAACGGAAAGTTCCTCGTCTTCGAAGTATACGACTGCCTGGACATCCTTGTTACGCATCTTCAGCCAGGTTGCCGCGACTTGTCTATTATTCATGTCAAGAATGGAGGCTCAGCAGTCTAGGAGGACCCTGATGTCTCGTTCGAGCATCTGGATGAATGAGAGCAGATGTTCGCCGTCACTGTCACTGTCGATTGCACGCGCAGGTAGAATCTCGAACAACGTCTCATGCATGAGTAGATATGACAGAACCTGAGCGTTCGTATGATGTTGAGTCGGAAGATCAAGCTGCTCGATCCTGAGTGGGAGCCCGTGACGTGTGTCCTTGGTACCAGAGAAGCCCGTCGTTGAGTGCGCTTTTTATACTGCAAGATCCCATCCCGATGCACTGAGCTTCTTGGTAAACTGCTTCAGTTGCTTGAGAAACACCAAATACGAAAGGAAATAATCCACGACCTTTCGTGAATACCAAAGTCCTGGGAACAGCTGCGTGATGTACTGTTGCCGGTCGTGTATACTGATGACGGAAAGATTTCCGAAAGCTTCGGGTAGGCTGAAAGACGCGGTGCTGACAAAGTCGTCGTAATGGATGGTCGCATATTCAGACCTCAGAACATGTGTAAGTATATCGAAAAGTTCCCCATCTCCTAAGCCTGAATAGTACCAGGATAAAAGAGTGAGGATGATGACCACATCCGGATGGGAAAATTCACTCCGTGGGAAGGGCGAGTCTTTGGACTTGTAGGGTATGGCAGGCAAAGTGCGTGGGATACGAGAGCGATCCAAACCGAAGTTGACGCGGTAGCGTTTTTGGCCGAAAATGAAGCATAGGACACCACCAGCAAACAGTCCACGTAACAGGAGTAAAAGCGTCTTTGTCGTCTCATTCCAGAACGGGCTCTTCTCGACTGCGCAGATCTCGTCGGTCTCCAAATCTTATGTAGCGCAAGGTTGCCGTTTTCATGCCTGGTGACTGGGGTCGAGAAGGTATGTCAATGCCAAACTCGACAACATGCGTCGCAAGTAAGCCCAGCACTCGGTCAGCAGCATCAGATTGCAGGACCTGACCCGGGGAAACTTTCCATCGGCGTTGTTCTGGATATCGATAGATTCGGGAGCTTCATTCTTGACCTGCAGAGCATATCCTGGCAAATAACCACTCGGCAGTATATGACGGAGGCCATGGTGTTCAGAGAGGGTGTGCTGAGGGACTGGTCTGTACGGTTCGGCCTCCTGGCAGCCAGGTATACTAGAAATGAAGTACGCTGACACGTCGCGCCAGTCTTTGAAAGCTCTCGGTAAGAACAGTTCAAAACTGTTGCTTTTGCTACAGATTGGTTCGAAGAAAGAAGCCATTTATAAATGTTGATCTACATGGCGTCTGCGTTACGCTTGGCTGCGCATCTCTTGCAACGGCTGGAATGACGTTGTGTGGGATCTTTACCAACAGTCATAGGCTCGTAAGTACGCTCTTGCGTGTTGTATTGGTCGATGAACTTCCCGTACATTTCCTTGAGAGAAATCAACTCTGCACACTTCTCTTCTCTTATGAAGGCTGCATCATCTTCAATATCCCTCAGTTCGGTCTGGGGTGTCTTGCCCTGTTCAAAGTATCTGACGGCAATGGAAGATGGATGTCCAAAGTTCTATAGACAGAAGGATTATCCTTGAATGCTTGATCTTGTCGGAATTGAATGTAACTCTCAATATCATCAAGTCGGACTAAGTGCTTCTTTTGAGGAAGTAAGAGACATCGGAACTCGCTCAAATCGACTTCAAGATCATATTCTATCAGGAGAGGATATATGGCGCATGCTGAATGATCGCATGCAATCCAAAGCTCGGCCAGAGTAAGGTACATGACCGAGGTACCGGTCGGTAATTGTGTGTAGGCAGAACTAGCCAGTTCATAGTAGTCGGCCAACAGTATCGGTATGTCTTCATAAACATACTTATCGTGTAGGTAGCGACGGATCCAATCATTAAGATGTTGTTCGACCCATTGTTCAAATGCAGTTAAAACAAAATATAGGCTTTTATTTGTGTGTTTCAGGTTGAACATCGTGGATGAAGCAGCGGCAACTGCCCTCAGTCGAAAATATACTCTTCGATGACTCCTCATTTATCATTGTGCCCTCGGAGTACCATGGTGATCTCCCATGGTACTCTCTCATAGGTGACCCAAAACTTCCGCTCTTAAACCAAAAAAATACAAAGGATTACAGCTACAACTCGACCCTGATCCGAGATTGAACGCCTCAACCAACCTTGTGTGTTTCAGGTCCACTGGGAGTTTATGACGACGGTACACCGGGAACTCGAAAGTGGGATCTGAAGATGACGGCACTTCCGGGAGGATATTCGAACCAAGAAGTCATCCAAGCCCACAAGTTTCATGTCGAGGTCGAGCTCCGGCTTCAAAGTGGCAATTGCTGTAATTTTGATGTTTCCTTGGTGGGCAACCAGGCTCTCCCAATGCTGCTTGACAATCTCATGGGCTTCTGTTATGCTGATTTGGATGTACTGCCTCCACGATGGTTGGAGACAATCAGTCTGTCCGAGAAGTGCGAATTTGCGCAATCGGCGTGTCAACTTTGCAGAAACTACATGGATAGCTTCGCTGCCAAGTTCTTTCCAGTTTTTCTTTGCCTTTATATTGTCAGTCAATATGACAAAAGAGGACAGCTTCTTCACATACCAGATTAAGTAGCTTAACCAGCATGAAGATCATGAAAGCCTTGTACAGGCCGTCTGCATTTGATGTACTCGGTGCCTTCCTTACTACTGTCGGCCATAGGGCTTATCCCTTGGCTCCTCTTTGGGCAACCAGGCAGCCACCTATTTACCCGCTAGTACCTTTACGGCCTAGCTCCTTCTCTCCTCCCACTGCGTATATAGACCTCTTCCCGATAGCTCTAATACGACATGATGATTCTCCCCAACCTTGACGCTTGACAGGTTATGAGCCCTCACCCGCTCCCGTAGTCGCTCACGATAATTCTATTAGATATTTTGACGACCCGCGCGCCTCATCACGATCATCACCCTCCCCGCAAAACAGCTCGGTGACGTCGCAATCGCGCGCCACTTTAGCAATCGCGACCCCGCAACTTGCAGCTCATCGATCGCTTGGACGACGACGAGCTCCTCGCTGCTCACCGCCAAAAATCGCTAGCCGAACGGTCTTCGACGTCCGCCGCGATGGCAACTTACACCTCCTCCACAGCTGTCACAGCGCGCCTTGCAGCCGACGGCAAAAACTGGAAGGACTGGATTAAACAACTCATCAATTACGCAGCCGCCGATGGCGCTGTAGCCGTCCTAGATGGCGCTCCGCGCCCAGAATTTGACGCTACAGACGACAAATATCGCATTACCGCCATGCAGCGCCCGATCACTCATCCATTAGGCACCTCAACAGACGTTATCCAAGCCGAGCTTGACCGTGTCGGCAAACTCAACAAGACTATAGGACCGTTCAACAATGAGGCTCGACAGCTACTTAAAGAGGACAAGCTTGCGCTTGACTCATGGGTCGCCCGAGATGCCCGACTCCAAAACACCATACTCTCATCCATTGACAAGCCTCTCGTAGCTCAGGTGCGCACTTGCCCCACCGCCCACGATATGTACAAGGCTCTCAAGGACCTAAACAGCAACGGTGACTACGCCAATGCTGCTCTCGCGTGGACTGCCTTCATCGACCTCCGCGCTGAGACCCAACCCACAGTCCGCAGCTATATTGGAAAGTTTCGCGAGACAATTAATGACATCACGGTACAAGGCATCACACTTGGATGGAAGAAGCCTTCAGCAGTACCTGGTACATCCGCCGACCGCGACATCGAAGACCTGCTCATCATCCACTTCCTTCACGGCTTAGCTCGTGTACTCCCACAGTGGGTAGAAGCTCGCAATAACGACCTCCGCCAAGGCCATACATGGTCTATCGACACGCTCGTCGCGTCACTCGAGGATCACCTACGCCATGCCCCAGATGAGCCCGTGAAGACTTTCCTCTCCGTCTCTAAACAAGCGGAGGAGAAGCGCGTTCTCACACGCCTAAATGGCCGCGGCAATGGCAACAACAGCAACCAGAACTCTACTCCTACTCCTTCGTCTCTGCCGACGCGCAATAACAACCAACAGAAGCGTACTCCTCAGCCTGTTGGAATGTGCGATCACTGCAAGCGAGAGCACCCAGGACCTAATGAGCTTTGCTGGAAACTTCACCCTTCTCTCACCCCAGATAATGTTAAGAAGCGCACCGCAGACAATGCCGCTAAGAAGGCCGCAGCTGCAGCAGCTCGTACAAACGTTACAGTGGCCAAGAACAGCAACGACGACGATGCTGATCAGTACGATGCTCACTCATACGTGACAGTCGCCACCTTCGTCTCTCCGACTCTCCTCAAGAAGGCAGTCTCCAATCACGACTATCAACAGCGGTACTGCTACGACACTGCCGCTAACCGGCACGTCTTCAATAACCGCTCGAAATTTTACGAATACGCTCCAATCGACAATGACGTACACGGCTCTACCGGATCAACCACCGCCGCCGGCGTTGGCACTGTACGCCTTGAAGTCGTCAAAGCCGACGGAACAACAGAGAAGATCTCACTCCAAAACGTCCTCTACTGCCCCGATTTCGCCACCAACGTCATCTCCCAAGCTCCATTCAAGCGCGCGGGAGTGTGGTATCACTCGGGCAAGGACAAATTGTACACTGCCTCAGATGAGGAGCTAGCTTACTTACCAGAGATCGACGGTATACCCAACTTTCTCGTAGTTACAGAATCCTCCAAGGCGCCGGCCGCTCTCTCATACGCCTCTCTTGTTTGCTATCGAAGCTCTGCCGATGAGCCCTCATCCTCACGGCCAGCCACCGACTGGCATCATATCATGGGACACGCTGGAATAGACGCTATTAAGGACACTGCAAAAGTTGTACATGGGATGAAGCTCACTACTTCTACCGTCACCAACTGCGAGCCCTGCGGCCTCTCCAAATCAAAGCGAAATATCTCTCGAATTCAACAAACTCCACCCAATACAGCGCTTGGCAAGGTCCATGTCGATGTCGTCGGCCCCATCACTATACCTGGAAAAGATGGAGAGCGTTACTTCATGCCTATCACGGATGGCAAGTCACGCCGACAGTGGCTATTCACATCAGACAGCCGCGCTGTACTAGGCCAACAGCTTATTAATTGGTGCAAAGCTATGAAGGCCAAAGGCTTTACCATCACTATCCATACCGACAACGCTCGCGAGTTTATTAACGCCAGCAACAAGCAGTACTTCGATAGCGTGGGCATCGAGGTAGTTACGTCACCACCTTATGATGCCACTCGCAATGGTATTGCAGAGCGCGCCAACGGTATCACAGAGGATCGAACTCGCGGAGCTCTTATTGCAGCCAAGCTTCCTATAAAGCTGTGGCCCTACGCAGCCAAATATATGGCCCGCATTCACAACCTCGTCTCCAACAGCAACCTCCCAGGAAAGATCACTCCTTTAGAGGCCTGGAATCGCTCTATAGGCTACCCAAACCCAGTCCCAAACGTCGCCAAGATGCACGCTTTCGGCCATGTTGGATACGCCCATATACCCGCCCAGAAGCGCGTTAAAGGTGACAAATTTGCACCTCGTGCTCACAAGGGCCACCTCGTCGGTATGATCGGCGAGAACATCTACCAGATGTGGATCCCAGAGACTGATGAGATCGTTACCACCGCCTCCGTGCGGTTTGATAGCTACGACTCACCCTCCACTCCTCCATTGTCTCCCATCATCGGCCCTTCACCATCACCGAAGGTGCTCCCATTTAAACCTCTCATCAACCGCCTCGCCGACGCCGCTACAACTCCACCCGCTCCTCCGCAAGATGGTGATGGCGGCGATTTGGACAATCATCAGCTACCTCGTGCTGATGGCGGAGATGGCTTTGATGGTTTCGAGGATGATGATGAAGCTCCACCAGCTCCTCCAACCCGTGGTAACAACAAGGCAGCGCGTCGACATGAGATTAACGCGGACCTCAACCCAGCTCATATCATACACGGCCCTCGCAATCGCCGGGCACGTGCTTTCTTCACTTCATCTACTTTTGATCGCTGCTTCGCCATGGCTCTCGTCAAGCCCACTCTCGGCTCAAAGCTTTCAGAACTTCCACCGGAGCCTCGCAACTATCGTCAGTTTCTCAAACATCCTCGCCGCGATGATCTACAACTCGCAATGGACGATGAGTACAACGCTCTTATCGCCAACGGTACTTGGCGCCCTGCTACGGCAGAGGAGATTGCCAAGTATGAGATCATCCCAGGTCAATGGGTGTGGACGTATAAAGGCAACGCTCAAGGCTATCACGTGAAAGACAAGGCTCGCATGGTGGCTTGCGGCAACAAGCAACAAGAATCAATTTGGTACCGCGAGGTTTACTCCTACGTCGTCCGAACTTCTACGCTCCGCATCCTCCTCGCCCTTGTGGCTTACTTCGATCTAGAGTGTGAGCAGATCGACATGATTACTGCTTACCTCAACGCTCACCTCGACGACGATGACGTTGTCCTCCTTCGCCTGCCCGCAGGCTGTACTGGCTTTGGGAATATTGTTCGCCTTCGCCGCGGCATGTACGGCCTCCGTCAGTCAGCCCTATTGTGGTACAACGACCTCAAGGACTCTCTCAAAGATCTCGGCTTCGAGCCCATCGAAGCAGATCCCTGCGTCTTCGTCAACCCAACAACAAAGGCCATCATAGTCGTGTACGTTGACGACCTTATCCTTATTACACGTGACGTGACCTCTATGAAGGCACTTAAGTCACAACTCCTCAATCGATACAAGGCTCGTGACCTTGGCCCAATTGGTTTCTACTTGGGAATTCGAATCCTCCGCGATCGTCCCAACCGCTCTCTCTCTATGACGATGGATAGCTACGTTGATCGCATTGTCGATGAGTATCACCTCGCCAACGCTCCAAAGGCAGACAACCCCCTCCCAAAGTCGGCCCTCACCCTCATCAAGCGTGATGACATCGCCGACAACAACCTTATACAGCAGTACCAATCGCTCGTCGCGAAGCTACTCTATCCTACCTCCATTATTCGCTGTGACCTAGCTTGGCACGTGAACTTCATGGCACGCTTTGCAAACAACCCTACGTTAGAGCAACTGTCACTGCTAAAGCACATGCTCCGCTACTACAACGGCACGGCAACTCTCGGCATCAAGTACCAAGGTGACCTTAAAGACGCTAATATGGACGACCCAGATCACATGATAGGCCTTAAGGCCTACAGTGACTCCGCCCATGGCGACAACAACGAGCGCAAGTCGTCCTCCGGCTACGTCATCAAGATGGCTGGAGGCGTCGTCTCATACAAATCGTACCGCCAGCGCCTCGTTACTCTCTCCTCCACAGAATCAGAATATATTGCCATGACGTATGCTGCCAAAGAGATCAATTGGCTTCAACGCCTACTCTCTCAGGTTGGATACGTCGGTAACGACCTCAAGCCCTTCAAGCTGTACACCGATAATCAGCCAGCGCTTAATATGATCCGCAAGGACGGCCATCACGAGCGTACAAAGCACATCGACGCGTACTTCAAGTATACAAAGCAGCAGTACAAAGACGGCAACCTCAAGCTCGACTATCTCCCCGGCGTAGAGATGCCCGCCGACGGCCTTACGAAGCCTCTCGACAAACAAGAGCACGCTAAGTTCATTGGCCTCATCGATATGGTGAACGTTCCCCGCATGTAGTCTCTCAAGGCACCTCCAGCGAACGTCTCTTTACGATTTCCTATACATTTCATTCACTCAGATGGCTTGCCACCTGGTTCCGGGGGGTGTGTCGGCCATAGGGCTTATCCCTTGGCTCCTCTTTGGGCAACCAGGCAGCCACCTATTTACCCGCTAGTACCTTTACGGCCTAGCTCCTTCTCTCCTCCCACTGCGTATATAGACCTCTTCCCGATAGCTCTAATACGAGATGATGATTCTCCCCAACCTTGACGCTTGACACACATGACTCTTTACGATCAGCGATTTAGTAAAACAATGAGGAATTTTCAAATTGTGAAGTACAGCGAAGAAGAAGGACCAGAGCCGGCAGGAAGGATTTATACCATACCTACCACCTACCCACCTTCAACTTTCGTAAGGCTTGGACTTTTGAGCGCGCGCCCAGCACATCACACACACAAATCTGAGATTTTAAATCATACAAGGCGCGAGAGGCGAGACAGACATGAAAGCCCTGGCGCCGAAATGTATACTTGAATCCCGGGTGCTTTCTGGGTACTTAACTTGGCGAAAGTAGCGGAGGTGGATTGGCGAAGCGATTTGTCTGCAATAATCCAGATGAACCCCTATATTTCTCTAACCATTGAGTCGCGAGAATTTGTACAACTGAGAACAACAGCTCCAGGCTCCGCTCCCCTTCGCTCCCCTTCGCTCCATCCACCACACCCCTTCCTCCCCCGCTCAAACCTTGCCAGCAAACCGAAAGTCCCTCCGTAAACGCGTATGCCGTTGGATTTATCGATAAAACCACTTTGTATCACCATATGACTGCTAACAAACATCTGAATCATGTCTCATCGATAGGTCCAAGTCGTCACTCCTGTCACCCACCATGCGTGATGCATTAGCAAGCCAACAATACCCATCGAGCAGCCTGTAGAACCAACCAGGGGCCATCTTATGTTACAGGACCTACATCTAACAGGCCCATACATAGTCGCCAAGCGTGGAATCTACGCCAGTGTATCGGTTGAAGCTCTCGCACAGCGCAAGATCGAGGTATCTCTCAACTTTGCCAAAGCTAAGCCATTCGCTGTGCTTCTGACAGTAGTACTAACCTTACATTGATGTAGTAAAGACACTACCGAAAATTTATTCCGGGCAGTAGCGCGGCTCACTAAGACCTGGTTTTAATGAGAATGCAATAGTAGCTGTTTGGCCTCTGATAAACAAGATTCATGACATTTTTACAAAGAATGATAATCCTATCCACCCTCTCTACCCTATCATATCATCCTAGCAAGCCTTTAGCCCCTCCTTAAACAGACAAGCTTTTCCAGGGCCCGTCGCCACAGACTTGGGTTCATTCCCTGGCGTCGTCCCCTCAAACTCCTCACAAATCTCCTTCACCCCACTCACACAAGTTGCATCATCAATCGTCGCTGTATCCCCGAAATTTCTATTAACGCCCGCCAGCAACTTGCCATTGGTAGCTTTCACCCCCTTAATGACCACGTGGCGTTCAGCTTTAGTCTTGCAGTTTCCACACGCTCGGTACAGTTTGCCGAAGGTGTCGACGGTGAAGCCGGAGATTGTTACTGTGCCGCCGCCATTATGCTGGATTACTTTGTCAGCGGCGCCAGTCGCGCCGCCACCTGTGACCTGGGCGTTGCCGTTGCCTTTTAGGGTAAGGGCGTCTTCGCAAACGGCGGCCCACCAGACATTTTCAATGGTGCAGGAGCCTTGGCAGTGTACGCCTTCGATTTGGTCTTTGCCTGGAGTAGGCGTTAGTTAAGTGCGCAAGTTAGGTGAGATGGATGAATTATGGTGGTTGCAAGGCTAGACGTACCGATGATGGCGTTTTTGAGCGTGGCTCCATCTTTCAGGATAAACACAGCGTCCGAGTCACCGCCTTCGGCCTGCCCGGTGCAAGATACGCCGCGGCCATATGTCTTCATGCCGCCATCGAAGACGCCAGTGATTTCCTTGGGGGCGGAGAAGGTCTCGCTGCCGTTGCCAGCGGGAATGGGAAAGGAAGCTCGCTTCATCACGCGAGAGAAGTCCATGGGCGAAGGCTTTGCTGGGCCGGCAGATACAGTAATAGCAAAAGCCAGGGCCAGGACAGAAGCAAGTACCGAAGTCTTCATCTTCGGTGGTTGATCGGTAGTGTGTGAAAATTGAGAGAATTGATCGTTTCTTTTTGAGAAAGAGTGGCAATGAAGTTCGTCTAGCGAAAGGCGATGCGTCAAGCAATCAAGAAAGGAACAGAAGAAAGATTGTAAGAAGGTGGAAGGGAGCCCGTAGAGCTGAAAGAGAGAGGAAGGCTTGTTGGCTCAAAAGCTGAATGAAGAAACTCCTTGAGTGTCCCTCTACCTTTTAGATAAACCCCTCGCTCCACCTTCCACCATGCCATGGATCTCAGCTCGTCTGTACATCCATTCGCCATACCGAGTCGCGGCAGCAACACACGCATAAACCGCCCAGTCTCCCGATAGAGTGAACGAGCGGCCCAGCGCCCCACTTTGCCTCATGCAATCCATATAACCAAAAACAAAAGAAAGCAACAGCCTAGACGATTTTGGATCCACAGATTGTTGCTCTCGGATAATCTGTGATTAATCTTCTCGAAACAAGATTTGCGAGGTTAGTGCTGTATGTTTCGCGTATCGAGTTTCCCGTGTGGGTCGTATCCTTGTTTCGGTCTGGTGGGTGCCAAGGCGGAGGTGTTTCAAGCGCCAAAATCGTCATACCGGTATGTATCGATCACGAAGCACCGGCATTGAAGTGGCGTGTTGTTTGATATGTAGCGTCCCTTCATGTCGGTGTCAACGGAACGTTATTGGTGGCGCTAGATGAAGGGCTCTTGTCTGTGCAAGAGAGTGCTGAGTAGAACCACAAGCAGACAGCGCAACTCCGGGACTCGCGAGTGCAAGAACCAACGCTCTCCAAATTGGCAACAGGGTTGGTTGTTGGTGTTGTTCGGAAATCGTCTGCTTAGATGGCTGTCTGTTACCGTTTAGAGCAGCCGTTGGTCCTTGCGATGCGTTTGTTTCCGGGAGCATTGCTCCATATCAAGTCGAGGCGGGAATACTAAACACTAGTCCTATTCATTGGGGTGTGATAGTACGAGGAGGACGGGAAGGGACTATGCGTGTGTCGTAAGCTGTGTCTGTGCGTTTTGCTTGGCTTGGCTCCACTACTATATGGTGATGGATAGGATGGGGCCCACGAGATGGAAAGGCAAGTCATTCAATGCGTCAGCTTCAAACTGAAAGGCTATATTCCTGTGTACTCTCGTCTTTGCAAACTGTAGCTGCAACGCTCAGCTATCTTATCGACGATCAATCTCAGACGCTCCACGAGTGCGTGTATATAGTGGAGGCGTAGAGAACGTCTGAAATCGTAGCAATGGATGATGTTAATGGTACCAAATATTATGCACGTTGAGAAAGAATGCCATTCCTGAAGGAACAATTCATAATAGAAGACGCGACCTGTTGCTGTGGGAATGAGTGTGGCATGTACCCTACCGAATGTGGTTTTGTTGAGGGGTATCCTTATTGCCATTTACTCTTTCAACGTGCTGGATCGGAAAGAAAATCCAGAAAAGTCTGGATTCGTAGAGAGCCTAGGAAACGAGGTCTAGGAGGATATGAACTAATGAGTGACGGATGTTCTGGCTGACCTCTTGGCACGATCAGTTTCGTAGAAGGCGCTTCGGAGCTCGCTTCTTCGCAATTTGACGCAAATTGAACCTGGTAATGGCGCAGATTGAACAGGGCCTGCCAAACTGCTCTTTACGGGCCTCGTGAAAGGCTCTTGTGCGGTAGAGTTGCAATGCGAGTGCTTCAACATCGATGCGTAGGACCCAAAGGGCACTAGCATTGCCTCTGATGTGCTTGGAATTAAGAATGGTATCGGATGAGACATGGTATTGCCTTGATACTTCATCGATTGTCTGTGCTTACTCATTAGATCATGTGATCAAGGACGTCCCGAGGTCAGGTTGAGGGAGATACTCACCAACGCCTGACGATAGAAGCAGCCTTTACAAGCCGTAATGACACGACTGACTTGTGAAAAAGGGTATCTGTCCAGTACTGCGTAGCAATATACACATCGTCGTGGGGCATGCTGTAGCCATAATCGTCGATAGACGATGCCGCTCATATCTGGATGAACACATTTAAAACCGTACTTGTCGAGCTGCGCGAAAGGCAGATTGAACATTGTCCCATTGCATGCTCGCACCAGATGTGAGCAATAATTCTCGACGTGCTCATGGCACCGCTTGGATGTTCTGGCCAGAGCGTTGAAAGGATGGGGGACTACATGTAGGGAGAATATGTCGGTAGCCCAGCGGTCGCGGTCTGGAGGGCGAGTGAGGTCTTCCTGATCCTTGATACTCCGCTTTGTTTTTTCGGGAATGTCGTGGGAGCTCTGAGCTTCAGAAAGGCCAGGGAGACGGCAGCGAGGATGCACGAGGTAGGACAGAATCTGGTCGATTATCTCAACCGGAAGCTTCTCAAACATGGTCAGAGTCGGCGTGGGACGCATGTCGCTTGAATGGAGTAGTATCGGTGTCGTGGAAACCTCATGCTGAAAATACTTGATCGTTTCCAGCACAGTAGTAGTGGAAGCCATGCGGAGAGACGAACAGACAGGAGAAGAGTGGAATGAGCCAAAATCCAGACATTTGAAAAAGGACAGGCTGAACCTTATAGTGCGTGATGGACGAAAAAGTGACAGGTATCTTAATGCGGGACGGCAGTGAGGCCCACCAACGAGGACATCGGGATGCCGAAAGCCGCATGTACTCGGCTGTGATTTGGCAAAGATGCGGGAGGCTGCGCGTCCGATATGCAGCAGCCAGGCGTTTTCGATGCTGCATGCTGCTGTATGATGAGATTGGCGACGAGATGTCTCCGCGCGTGGCCAACAGAGGGGCCTGGAGGAGTCGAAGAACAGCAAACACCTGGGCAGGATGCGGTCATCTCCGTTGGTTGCCCGAAACGGCTAGCGCTGTGTGTCTCCAACTCACCCGTCGGACCACCTTTCACTCCAACACTCGACGAGTAACATTGGCGGCCAGCGAGCGTAGCCGGGAGAAGACACCATGGCTGCCCATGCCTCAGAGGCCCCCGTCGCCGCAAATGAGTCGGCACCGCCGCCTGCTGTGGGTGTCAAGGCCGAATCGGCAGCGGGAGGCGCGACCAAGATCAAAGACGAGCACGCGCCTGCAGCTGGCGACGACGACGACGACGACGATGGCGGCATGTGGGACTCGGCTTCGCTATACGAGGAGATTCTGGATGAGGTGGAAGCCTTTGAGTACTCCAGTGACGGTGAGTCGGCCCCACAATGTGCATGCACGCTGAGTGACAGCCACTGACAGTCGCATAGGCGTAGACGTGTGCACCGCCGAAGAAGCGCGACGCCTGCGCCAGCGCCTGCACGAGGTGGGCGCAAGCCAATTTGTCATGGAAAACATCACGAGTGAAAAGATGACGGCGCGCAAGCTGTGCACCGCCTTTGGCGTCAAGATCCCCAGGTGGCTCGAGGATGCCAAAGACGAGGGCTTCTACCAGCTGCTCGGCCTGGCTATCAACCGCGAACTGAACAAGCGTCCACGCCTGCCTCAGTACAAGACCATGGACGACGCTGCCGCCCTCCTGCGCGAGCGCAAGAACATCATGGTCATCACCGGTGCCGGCATCTCGACGAGTCTGGGCATCCCCGACTTTCGCTCAAAGAACACGGGTTTCTACTCGCGACTGCGCCAGATGGGCTATGACGAGCCAGAGGAGGTCTTTGACATTCACAACTTCGACGACAACCCCTGCACCTTTTACGCCCTGGCCGGCGACATTGTGCCCGATCTCGAAAAGTGGACGCCAACACACGAGTTCATACGCCTACTGCAAGACAAGGACAAACTGCTTACAAACTACACGCAAAACATCGATAATGTCGAGGCGCATGCTGGCATACGTAAGGAGAAGTTGATCCAGTGCCACGGCTCGTGGGCAACTGCAACATGCCGCAAGTGCAAGTTCAAAGTCCCAGGTGAGGACATCTTCGACTCTGTGCGTGCCCAAAAGCCCGCAGAGTGTGCACGCTGTAAAGAGGAAATCGCCTCTAAGCCCACCAGGAAGCGCAAGCGCGCCTCCAACGGCAACGGCAGCAGGAAGAAGCGATCGAGCGACGAAGACTCCGAGTCCGACGGCGCATTCGACATCCCGCAGCCAGGCATCATGAAACCTGACATCACCTTCTTCGGTGAAGCCCTGCCAAACGACTTCTTCGACCGCCTCAAAGACATGGACAAGGACAAGGTCGACCTTGTCATCGTAATGGGCACTAGCATGAAAGTCGCCCCCGTCTCGGAAATCCCAAACTTCCTCCCCCGCCATGTGCCCCAAATCTACATTTCTAGAGACCCAATCCACCACATCAACTTCGACATTAACCTCCTTGGAGACTGCGATGTCGTTGTCGCTGAACTCGCCAGACGAGCCGGTTGGGTCCTGGAACACAAAATGATTCCAGATGTCCAGGCTGTCGAAGTCGCACTTACAGACGAAATCGATCATATCTCCACCGTCAAGGTTCGCCCCGCGCAGGCCTGAAATGTGCACTTGTTGTGTATTTACGATACGGCGTTGCGTTTGTGCACACATAAAGTACAAACATATGTCTAGGGGCGTTCACGGAGTCGCATTGCAAGGGCGAGGGTTGTGGGTATGTTTATATGGTCATGGTCTTTCGGAATCGGGACACGCGGTGCAAGCCATCCGTGGTTGGGTCAGGGTGGGCCGGGGGGCACATACATGAGATACCAGGGACCTTTGAGTCCAGCCAGACCCTGGTGCAGTGTTTTTTCTGTTTCTCACTGCACAGGTCGCATCTGCCTTTGTTCCTTGTTTTCATCATCATGTTTTGTCATTTTCGTTGTAATAGATATCTCGTTTTGAAGAATTGGTAGATGTTATCAAATATCATGGAAATTATTTGCTTTTCTGAGGGACTGGTTTGTGTGATCAATCAATTAATTGCCAGGGTAAACTGCATGTGATGCTACGTTTGCCCATGATTACATACCGGTATCTAGGTAACCTCTTGATTTCAGGCTAACTCCGTCTCTAAAATTCCAACTTACAATGCTAGATACGTCTACATGTCATGTAAGTACATGTATAACCGTGAGAGACCTGTCATGTGCACCCAAAGCACAGGATTGAGCTTGCACCTCACAGTAAGACAACAAAGTCAAAGACAAGAATACGTGTTCATGTACTAATGAGACAATATATATATACATGTCGAAAAAAGAAAACAGGGGAGTAGCCCAACCCTCTAAGGTTTCCCAAAAGGAAAAAGGAAAAGACCCAACTCCATTGCCCACCCCAATGACAAAGGAGATCCCTGTCCATATCCATACTCATAAGACCCATCATTTCCACTCAGACAAGAACAAAATCTGTCTCTCTAGATACCGGAATCAGTCTGCTCATAAGGCCGTGAGGGATTAGGTCCACTGCCCTCCGCCCAGTACCCATCCCAAGCATCGCACCCATCCTTGAGAATACTGGTATCACCCAACGTTCCCTTGATCTCGCTCATACGCTCCATAAACTGCACACTGAGACCCTGACTAGCATGCCACGCAATATGGCAATGCATAATCCACATGCCGGGGTTATCAGCAGGGAAGGCAATCAGCATGTAGCCGCCAGCCGGTAGGACAGCAGTGTCACGGCGCGTGGGGTTGTTGAAGTTGAGGCCAGCGGTCGAGCCGTCCCAGGTGCCTGAACCACTGCCGACGATGTAGTAGTCGTGGCCGTGGAGATGGATAGGATGAGGGATAGGAATGGGCGACGCGGATTGGATCCACCAGAGGTACCATGAGTTAGCTCCTTCCACTGTGTAGACGTTTTCGCTAGGAGCAAAGTTCTTGGAGCCTCCGAGCACGGTTTCAAGAGAGGGATTGTTCCAGTCGATGACAAAGGGGTTGCCGTCAATGGTCCACCGGAAGAGGTTGTTTTGAGAGGCGTTGGAGAAGGAGTTTAGGGTCATCTTGTGGTTGGGGGCGTCGCCGACGAGGGAGCTGGGGACTTGGTTGGGAACAAAGGGGACTAGATTGGAGGAGGATTCATCGTCGCAGGAGGTGCGCATGGTGACACCTGTGGATGTGGGGTTGCCGGTTGTGGGGGCACCGTCGTAGTGAAGGATAGCGCCAAGAACCTTGCCGGATGTTGTCATGGCATTGCTACCGCAGGCAGTTCCAACGGAAACACGGAACCAGTAGTTGTTAACAGTCTGGTTTGCTGCAATGACTACATCGTATCGTTGACCAATTTGTAGAGTCAGTTGATTTGTGACAAAGCTCTTGATTGGGACAAAGTCGGATGTCAATACAGTGAATGGATGACCGTCCATAGACACGCTGAAGGTAGTATCGACGGATGTGTTAATGATACGAATGCGGTACTTCTTTCCCTTGACGACATTCATCCTGGCATACTGGCCGTTGTCGTTTGCTGCGTTCACGTGCGTTCCATTGACCAGGATGTTATCGGGTGTTGGTGGGCCACGGAGCGAGTGCTGTGCGAGCTCGTTGAGAAGGAAAGCCGGGCGGTAGTACCAGTCAGTAATGGGAAGAGCACCAAGATCAACGTCGTAATTGGCCGTAGCAGGCCCATCAATGATCATAGTACCGACAATACCTTCACCGTACTGAGCCGAAAAGTGGGAATGATACCAGCTTGTGCCAAACTGGGTAGCCCTGAACTTGTACTGTCGGGTCATACCAGGTGCAATGGGGCACTCGGTAACACCAGGAACTCCGTCGTGCTGGCAGGAGTTCAACTGTCTGATTCCATGCCAGTGAATACCGGTTCCGTTGTGTGCAAGACTGTTCTTGACGTTGACAATAATAGTGTCACCCCATTTTGCGCGCACAAGGGGTCCAGGATATTGGTTGTTGATCAACATCATTTGCTTGCTTGTACCACTGCCATCGGGGTTGGGTCGGGTAACATTAGTAATCTCAAAGTTGTACTGTTAAATTGTTAGCATATATCGACTCCATGAATTGGAGCCTACTCACAGTAACAGTGGTGCCATCTGGAGGAGATTTGGCATCAAAGTCGGTAGCAATGCTGTAACCGTTGCTCCAGCAGCTTCGCGTCTGTGGTCCGTTGGTGCAAGCACCGTCCTGCCTCTTGACAATATCTTCAAAAGAAGGGAACTCATCGGACAATGGCTCAGCTTGTAGAGGGCTGCCAAGTGCAATGGACCCAAGGGAGAGCCATAAGGCTAAAGATTTGAACAACATTATGGGTGATATGCAATATCAGATGCAATATAAATGGCGGCGTGGTCCAGATATACGAAGAAATGCTGATCAGACCAATGAGTGACTGAGATGTCTTGGACTTAATCAATGGATAGATGAATAGACCAGAGTGCAGGGCCCATATATAGTATTTCCATGGCTAACTTGGCCCCGAGTACATGCCACTGGGTGGTGGCAATAGCAATCCTGGCTCAGGCGAGGTCAGCCAGCCTTCTTGCCGTGTCACCGTCTATTCTTCGTTTAATCCCTTTGTGTACTTGGACCCACGTTCCAGATGGTCGGATCAGCGTGGAGGCGCCCTAGCTACGGTCTTCCACATCAGCACAATAGACATTATGATCATTGGAAGCAGACATGGTAGCTGATTCGATAAACTTCAGGTACAGTAGCCGAGGGGCTGATGTCGAGCGATTGTTATGGATTGGCCGCGAACGGTCGGCGACCGGGTAACGCCTAGGCAAAATCGATGAGCCAAGACATCCGACGGCGCGCGGGTGTAGCACCGAATTAGGCTTCCGGTATGTAGAGACGACACCAACGCTAGTCCAGCGGCAGTTGTATACTTACTTGGAACGGTCAATGATGGTCGTTTAAGGTCATGTTGGATGGCTTCCCAGCTAATGGATCTCTGGAGCTCGCGTAAGATGGGAAGTCCCCGGTCGGATGCGAGATCTATTGAAAATGTGGATCAAGAAACTCCACAAGTAACGGCCCTTTCTGATGCCAACATATGCTTATCGAAACGGAAGCCTCGCGCGTAGAGGCTATGATAGCGTGCGGCAGGGCTGGTGTAAGGCGTCTCTTAGCCCTGATTCAGAACAAGGGTGTGGCTAACATGACCAAAAAGCACAACGGATGTACACCACTTGTGCAGGCCATGTGGCTGAGCCAGGGTAAGCGGATCCCAAAGTTACGGCCGTCGTATGCGGGACGGCAGGGTGCCATCCGAGGCGTTTCCAATGAGTTATGTTACCAAAATAACATGGTTAGCCGACAGGATTCGAGTTAGTCATGATGTACTCGATTGAGGTATCAGATGGAGCAGAGCCACTAGGGGCAAGGTAAGGCTCACAAGTTTCTGACGGAAGCCTTATCCCATCCCCATGGTCAAGCGTCAATACTGTGGAGCAAGAGATCCCAGGCCGAGGCTCCAAGTCATCAACAAGACGCAGGTCACTGTTAGGTAGGGTCCACGAACAATCTCCTCGGGACAATGATCAGCCGGTCAGCACTCCTGCAAATTCCCATGATTTGCATCAATTATGCCGTGTAGCTTGATCTGCATTCTCCAGGCCGACCGTCAGGTCCGTGGGCTGTCCTAGTGACCTCTAGTAGGCGGAGCAATCATCCCGGCCCTCTTGCAGCTCGTGAGATTCTGCCGAAACTACGGCAGCTAGGAAAGCTTATGAGTGATACTTCAGGAGCCCGTCATGTTCAGTAGCCTGCTTGGCACCGCAAATAGACACGAGAGTGAACGTCGAATTATGGATGGTAACGGCGCGTGCGGCTGACAGCGCAGTGATGGAGAGGACATGGGTGCTGAGACAGTAGGGGACACGCCTGTCACCCGTAAAATTGGTTACTAGCAGCGAAGGATGCTGCAAGAACATGCGGACGTTGGGGGGCCGAGTGGAGTGACGTGATGAACACCAAAGAGATCGGTTCAGGGGTCTTTGGCGCTAGCTAAGCGCGGGCTTAGTTTGGTCCCGAGTGGCTTTAGTAGCGGCCGCATGCATTTCGCCCTCTCAAACTTCGCATCAACTACGTACAATCTTCTGCCCGGGCGCGATGCATTGCAGAGCATGCTTCCTGGTGTGGCGTGGAGCGCCAGTCAATGACCCTGACGATAACGCTGACCGCCGCCCCGCTGCTCCGCCCACATGTTCCACTCTGATTCTCAGCTCGCTTCCGAGCTACCTGGTTGACATTGTTAGGCCAGGCACCTGGCGTACGATGACTATTGCTTTGCATCCTCGATCGACCTCGGCTTACTCGGCGGTACGAGCAGGTTGAAGCCGCAGTCTATAAGCGGTGACTATGAAAACTTGATCAAGCTTGACCAGTCCACGGGTCAGATACAAAAGAGACCATGGCCCACGCATTCTGAACATCACTCACAACGTGTCATACATTCCACTTTTCTTTCGCTTCTCTCTAAATGACAGTCAAGATGTCCTCTCGTTCTCTGCTCCTCGCGGTAGCCGCTGGCTCACTCTCCTCCCTCGTTAGCTCCCAAGTCACCGATCCCAATGCCATTTGCTACTCATATGGTCTTGACTACATGGATGAGGGAAACTACTTCATAAACTCTCTGTCCAATGAAGACTTTGCCGCTGTCTCCTACTTCAAGGGTTGCAACGGGGGTAACGCAGATGTTCTCCTCGTTGCTCCCGAGGAAGCTCAGGGGGACACTGAGTTCCTGTGCTCTCAGATCCCCACTACTCCTGATGAGGTAAACCAACTGTCTACATGTCCGATTGAGAAGAGTCAGATGCAGTCAGGGCACTGGCTCCTCCTGGTCATCGGTAACAATGGCAAGGATGGTCAGCCTTTTGCATGGCAAAGAGGTAGGTTCCATGCACTTTCTGACGTGATCAACATCTGACACACATAGATCTGTACTTGACTGTCGGCCCTCAGGTGACCAGCACATACACGCCAACAATCACCATGACCATTACCTCAACCCCCACTCAAACCAAGACCGACACAACCACCTTCACAGATGTAATGACGACTGGCCCATTCTCAACTGTCACCGTGCCCAGCGGGACTGCCAAGAGAATCAAGACCATTACACCCAAAGCAGTGACAGCCACCTCGACCAAGACCATGACTCGTACCAAGGTTTCCCTCACTAAAGTCGTTTCGATCACCACCAAGACAGTCCAAGCTACCTGCACAACACCAGCTCACACAGGCCGCCCCGACAAGCCATGCACATACTCACCTACCAAGATCCACCCCGCAGCCCTCGTCACGCCCACCACCATTCCCACCAACTTTCGCTGGGCCCGCAAGGCCGACCGCGAGGTCGATATTGAATGGGCACGCGCGCGCATCGAAGCTGCAAAGCGAAAGCGCGACCAAGCCAAGGCACCCCTTGAGCGCCGCGCTCCCGATGCTCCAACCATCACCGTCACAGGCGACACACCCGCTTCCACCACTGCCACGGAACAAGGCCCACCAACTACGACCACTGAAACCGTATTGGTCACCGAGGCTTCTACTTACACCATTCCGGCTCCTACCGTCTTGTCTGGTCTCATCACATTGACCACTACCCTTCCTACGCCTACAAAGACCAAGGTTACGCTTGCCTTCACAACCACGACAAAGACCATCAACTTCGGCGCCACCTACACCAAGACAAGTACCGTAACGCCTTCAGCCTCTGTCACGGCATGCAAGAGCCAGGGCGGCCATTGGTGGTCCTAGATTCCCCAACGGTCAGATTAGTTCGAGGCGTACTGTATTTAGTTACATAATTGCTTGTTTTGTATTTCTCTTTCTAGAAAGGAGAGTGTGTGATGATTGGTTGCTTTCCAACACCGTTGTATATAGATAAGCCCCCCGCAAAACGAATTTTACGAATATATCTACTTGGATCATGTATCGCTGCAGAGCATACTGTGCCTCTTTCATCCATGCAGTGAAACGTTTCTTGGTGAAAAGCCTCATGTACATGTACAAGCCTTGCATTACCATGTCACCTGCGTTCGCTTCTCGGTGTTCAACATCACCTGTCTATAAGCTAACCACTGACACCCCACTCTTTCTACGGCCCATGAAGAATACGGACGCACGTGACTCATCGGGTACATATCCTCACCCACATCCCGCGCCACAAACATCAACATCCTGCTGGCGCCAGCCACCAGCGCCCCAATCGCCAAAACGTACGTTGACTGATGCCGTGCTCCCCATCCCCCACCCCTGCAACACAAGGCTTGTCTTACCCATCCCTCAACCTTGCCGCACACAAGACCCAAGCTTCAGGAATGTTTACCAACAACGTCAGAACGCCACTCCGGAAGTGCAAAAATGAGGACACCATCACACGTGCTTAGCTTCCGATGTCTCCGAGTTTACCATAGCGTAGGGTAGAGTTTGTGGTGTTATGACCACATGCCAACAGCGTGCAGTATCGTGGCGAAATACGAGCCGCGCTTTACCTACGTCCGAGTCCCCTCCCCACCCCACCTCTGACCATGTGGGTACGAAAGAGACATGTGCATGCGATAGTTAGCCTGCTAGTTGGCGCTGGTAGTAACGTTTGTGGTGGTGGATGTTTTGGCGCGCTAGTTTACGATCGCTGCAGGGTTTTCTGGATCTCCTCTCCGACGTCCGAAGAATAGGCGGTTTGGTTTAGTATGCGTGTCATAGGCAATGAGGATTTCTTGTTCGAAACGGCGGATAACGGGTGAAGGATGACGGTGCGGAAAATTCAGAGATACTAGATATGGTGGATTGACCCCGGGTGTGGTGCATGAGGGATGCACGGCGGCAAGCGCGTGCGTTTACGTGCGTACTGTCTGACCTGTACGTATGTATTGCTTCAGTATGACAGCGCATTGTCCCGCATTGCTTGCTATGTTATCTCATCTTGTTGCAGCTTTTCCACTGTTGATTTCAACATGGGTATTGGAAAGCGCGGCAGGCACGGCGACCAGCCAGCGACACGAGCTGGATGGCTGTGGCGTAAGCGTCACCGATGAATCCAGAGTAAATACGATTTCCCGTCGCGAAAGCGAGCGGGCACAATCAAGCATCAGCCAGCAAACGTGTCTTTCGTCTGTTTTCCTCCTTGACTAGCTTGTGCGCTCAGCTCCTGGGGGTGGCCTTGGGATGGGTTAGTGAGCATGCGACACAACGAGTCAGGTGGCAACTGTTCGAGAAAAGTTTATGGGCTGTAGGGCTTAGGTCCTCGCAAGGCGCGGGCTATTCTTCGGGCTTTCGCTACCAGAAAACTCATGGCCCCTGGTCAGCTTTACTCGCGGAAACAACGCAAGGATGGTTTGCTGCATCTTATGCCAACAGCATGTCTCTGTGTCACCTATATTGTACTCTTGCTATCAATTCTGTGCAGCAGCCCGCAGCCCACTCACTACCTGCGCCAGGCTGCAGGCAAGCTGGACTGGCATGTACTGTGGCTTCGACATGACGCTTGATCGATTCAACAGCAGCAGACACGCGCCTGCGCAGCCATGGATGATAAGTCAACCCACAATACAGATACGAAGGCCATTTGCTACAAAGGAAGAGGATCAGAGAACCAGGCTTGCAACAGTCGCATTCGCAGTGGGGAACAAGAGGTGGAGGTGAAGTTTATACGAGCCTGGGCGTCCGTCGCCGAATTTCTAAACTTAGGCCCGACTTCCCACCCCTTGTTAGCGGCGCGGATCGGAACGACAAGTCGACAGACACAACGCCCGGATTTAAGCGGTCGGTGGTCGGGGGACCCAATTATCGCCTATTGATGTGTCGTTTCACATTTATTGGCCGGAATGGTTTGAATACGAGAAAGCCGAGCCCTCGTCCCGCATTTGAATCATGTAACAGTGAGGATGGGGGAGCAAATGTGCATAAGCGGTTGCTTTCTTCTAACCTTTTCTTCTCAGCTGAAACCGTCGGACACCACTTAGGTACATATCACGCTGCCAAGTCGCGCACATGTAGCCTTTTCAGCCCGCTGATGTTTCTTTTGGCTTTCCTTCAGGTGACAATGGGTACGTACACAGTTCAACCATGCTACTCGTTGGCCAATTAGGTGGAGCATGTTACTTAACAGTCCCGCAGAAGCTTGGAAGCCTCACTGGACGCCCTATCTCAATTACTTACTCTTGTAGAGCGGCAGGTACCTAATTGCTGGCTGAAAAGCCTTACCGAAAGACCGGTGAGCGTGGGTCGGTCAAACTCAGTATCCATGTAGTTCCAAGAGCTGCTACTGTAGAGTACATAGAGTGTGGACGATGTTTTCCTTTCTGGCCTGCTAGCTATGAATGGCAATGCAGTGCGGACAGCGTTGCGGGCTGGCGGGATGTGGGGGGTATACGAAGCTAGGAACTTTGTGAAGCTGGGCAGAGCAACTGCCGAAACGACATGATCAACAGTGTGTGTGGGATGTCCAAATAGGTCCGTCTGATCATGCGTCTGGATACAAACCCTCAGAGACATCAAAAAACGCTGGGGTGTCTGGGAAAAAAACATGCCAAAGACCACTTGCTCGGGCTCGCGTCGCACATATTCTTTCTTTCCCCTCACAAAGCAGGGACAAGCATCCACAGAATTAAACCGATACCAACGTGCAAGAAGAGCACCCGTTGCTCGCATTGCATGTTCTTTCTTTCCTTCTTCGACCACAAGGCTTGTCGATTACATATCTTGGCTGTACCGGCCTAGGCGAAAAGCCACTGGACCAGCAAGTCATGTGCCACCCACCAAATCTCCACAGAAAATACATGGCAGATGGTATCTCCACTAGCCCAATCATCACCATCATCTCTCCCTCGCTACCAATACCCCGGCGTGGCGCGTCATCATGCTGACTCTGCTGCCTACAACTTTCACACGTCCGCGTGAAAACGAGCGTGGCTTAGTAGTGGACTACTCCACCACCACCAACTTCATTTCAATGTGGTGGTTTGCCAACACGAGAATATGGGCAGTGTGTGAGGCGCATGCCCCGTAAGCACCGGATGGGTACCTACGTCAAGCCCACCCACTTGTTTCTAGGTATGACCAAGAGGCAGCAGCTTTTGTCAACGGAATCCTTCCCTTCAGGAGCGACTCACGGTCAGCCCACGGGATGTTCGTCTCGACGCCCTCCCGCTGTCTATCGCGTGGTCACTAAAAGCCACCACCGTGTTCAGAGGCTGAGACCTTGCGGATGGCTTATTGCCCATCACCCAGCCAAACTCTTGCTTGACTCAAGCCCAGGCTCGGATCTGAGTTTAAAAGTCGTTTTCTTTCGCATCATGAGATTTGTGAACATGGTGTGCACGGGAAACATGTTCGTCGCCACTCAAAGGTTGGATGTGTAGCGAAATTCGTCGTGTTTCATTACATATCACCAACATCATTCGCTTCTAATTGACTGTCGTAAGTTCTTGGACCCTGGGACCATGTCTCAGAATAGTATCATTGGCAACACACGATATCCATCTTGTAATTGAAACCCCCCTGATCCCGGGGCAGACTAGGGTAGCAAGAATGAGCGTTCTTTCTCTGCGCAATACTTCCCACCATCACACTCGGGGTTGTATCCCTTCACAGAACAGTGTGGACCAACTCATAGCTGATGAGCGAGGCCCCAAGCCATATATTGGAAAGATAAGGCATCATGCATTACATTCGATACTAATTGGCAGCTTGCTTGAGCACAAAAGCCAAGATACACAAATAGACAGCCGGATCCAGGTACCCACCCATCGATGAAAGCGTTTGTAGCTGATCATGCGAGGTGGAGTTCACACTTAGGCCGGCAGTCTAGAGCAAGCTGTAAGGCGTCGAATGATGAATTCAGACGTAGTAACGAGGCTCATATTGGCACAGGCTGACTTCTTGCCTGGGAAGTTGTCCACGAAAATAAGTCGGGGCTGTTGTGGCCCACATGCTGCAGGGACAACACATGAGCCTTTCGCGGAAGGGCGAGATGCATGGCCAAGGAGTCCATGGTGATACATGCAAACTGCTCGGCGAGAACAGACTTTCCGGAGACCGCAGGCCAAGCCTTTGTACTCGTATTGGCACAGCTTTCCTGCGTGCGAAAGAATATGGGATGCTGTCCAGCGCATACTGGCGGCTTTGGATTCGTAGCTGAAAGGTTCTCTCAGCGCATCCGAGGGCTAGACCTCGAGTCGTTCCACTTTGTTGCCTTAATCTTCTGCTTCCCAGACCAGAGTCTCGCGACCCGCAAACTGCATCACAGTCCATGCGTGCTTGCCACCGAAAGCTTGTGCGCCCATAGCAAACCACTCCCCGTCCTTTTCCTCTACTAGACTGCTCCCTTCCATCGATACGTCCTCATCTTTTGTGCTGCTGGCCTTCCTCTTACCTTTGAACCCATCTTTTTTGACCATGAGAAACAAATCGCGGACAAAAGCTGGTGAAATCAGACCTGTCCAACGTACCACGACCATGTTCCTTGAGCTGACGCCTTTGCCAAAATCGAGCACTTCGTAGCGCGACAGGTGTGGATTGATGTCGTCTCCTTTTTCGATCCGAGGCGACTTCAACTGTACCATGTGGAAGTACTCGAGTAGGCCCAGCGCGTCCTCTTCCGCATAGAGACTGGTGAGATCGTTGACAGAGACTTGTGGTACTAGGATGTCCTCCATTATTGTCGCGTTTGGCCTAATTTCATGTATCCAAGGCTGGTGTCTCGATATTGGTTCTTTCCCTTCCGCAAGAGACTCGGTAGATGAAGGATTGAAGTTGTAGAATAACCAAGTAAGCGATTTATCCAGCACATTTTTGCATGCCCACTCGAGCCTAGACAATCCGCCCTTTCCATGCTTCATAGAGTTTGCACGCAAGTTATATTCGACTATCCACCGCTGCTTCTGGTGTTTCCTGCCGCCGTCTTCGATGGGAATGCCCTGGAGGCCGCACCGTTCGTATGTTGGGCGGGTAAGTTCCATGCGGAGTACGCCTTCGTAGAGCTCGAATCGGTCGTTCAAAAGCGGCCGGCCTTCGCTGAGCATCATGACATTTCCCTGTTTGATATAGCTGTTCATGAAGTCGCTTTCAATGATTTCTCCGAGCTTCATATGCACTCGCGCATATTGCGCTCTCGCTGGGCCATCATTCCGTTCGAGCTGGCCTTTAATAAGCTCATATGTCTCTTCCGGCAGTACCAGATTTAGGCTGTGGCTGTACTTCTGCTTGTTGAACGTCGAGAAGGGCTTCCTCTTTGTGGAAACATTTTGCGGGTCGATGTAAGACGGCAAAACGCTGTGGGAAAAGTATATTTTCGTATTGGGTCCGGAATCGGTGCGATGAATATCGAGCATAGCGTATAGCGACAGGGTTGGTGGGTGTAGAAGAGGAGGGATAGTGTGAGTAACTGTTGGGCAACTTTGGAAATACCGTGGGCCGAAATTCCGTCGCGTAGAAAACGCGGTTTCCCAGCCGTGGTGCTTAGCTTCGCGCTAGCATGTGAGCAAGAACCACCATATCCTTCACCTTGCACTCGGTGATTATTGAGATTGAGACTCAATTTCTTGTAGTTTTGAAAGCTCATCAATATGTCCCGAATTATTATACAGTATGTTAGATAACTAAACATTTGTGTAGGCACACAAAAAAGGTTATATCGTTAACTATGCCTTGTGACAATGGTAATCTATCCAGGCGATGCAGCAGAGCTATTCTTTGCATAGTCAAAAGATATGGGATTCGAGTTGATATGTGCCTATTTATAAGGGGCAATAAAATGAGGAATGCTCGAACAAAAGCTTTTTATGAAGAAATTGATCCGTTATGTGTTTACAGGTTGGTACTCTATGATGGCGACCGAGATCAGTACCGCGGTCCTATATGCGGGAGAAAAGATCTTCTCGAACATACAGGATCTCATCTCGTATGTGACTTCCACGAGAAACTTGTTTTGTTATGAAACAACAGCATTACTGTGCGTCTACGAAACTCGGGGACACACGAACCACCTCCAGACCAAATCACTTCCTCAACTCGCCCAAGCTTGGTGAGATCTAGATTCCAACACATCAACATCTTCAATCTTTACAATTGCACCAACGCGAAGTCATCATAGTGTTGTCTCTGTTTATATCCCCACTACAGCACTCTACGATGATGGGGCTGGCTCTATAGTGTAGCGATATATGAATGACCTAGATGATATAGTCTTTTTCTTCATATTCATCTAGCGTATATGGTTAAGCCGATGCTCATTCATCTCCCACACCCCCGAGGAGATTACTAGCCCACTGGTACGACCCAAGGAATATAGCACCGCCAACGCTGATCCAGCCTACCCTTGGCCCCAGCCCAGCAAAGAAAGCCCTTGGACCCGACTCCTTCATGATGGTCGACAACATGGAGAACATGGGTTGCTTCTCCCTCGCAAGCATCATTCGCGTCTTGAGCACATCCAGCGGCGTTGTGATACCCGCTGCCACGGCTCCAGCTACACTACCCAACAAACCTCCCTCCAAGCCTGTAACCTCGCTGCGGCCCGTTCGCGCAGTCCTATATTTCTTGAGGGCTTCCCAGAGTGGAAACTGAATAACAGTAAACGGTACCTCGCGGATAATAGTTATCGACCAGCCGCGGTACAACTCCATCCATACATGCGCCAAACCACGAGCATGCCGCTGATTCAGGATATGCGTCAGAGCCGATAGCGAAGATGGATGCTGCGATGCTTGCGCACGCTGCTTTATAACCTCTGTCGGCACTCTCACAGCACACGCCGCCACCTCACCCAAACTCGCTGCTAACATGTGCACCACAGCCTCGCTCCCGCTATCCCTGACTTCCTCTTTGTACAATTTCCCCTCGGCATTATATTGAATTGCAACCTTGGGTTGGGCAAAGGACCGTTTTATCGAGTCGTACGTTATGAAGAAGAGGGCGGCGCCGGGCGCGGAGCCCACGATTGCGCTGCCTACGCCACGATAGATGCCATTGAAGCCTCCGCTGGCGGCGAATCCGGCGCTGGATTGGAGACGAGTTTTGAGTGTATCGAGCGGGTAGAGAGATAGGTCCACGGTTGTTCCTGCTAGGCCGCCTGCCTTGGGAGGGATTAGTAAGGGTAGTAGGGACGATGAGTTAACGACGATGGTCATAAATATCCAGATACTCCTCTAACGAGGTAAAATGCATTTACTTACTATAAGTGACCGCAAGTATGGCGACTCAATCCATGCCCCTCCTTGTGTAGGATCGAGCGCATGCTGCATTGTGGGAAGAGAGTATTCGGAGCCGATAACGGCGATTCAAGATGATGGGCAGTTGGGGAAACATGGGGGTCTGTGCGCAAGCTAAGGGCTAACTACTTGTCGTCTGGACTCTTCGGCTACTTAGCCCTGCTCACTGAAATCTAACATATGCCTTCTGGGTTTAGTGACATTCGACCTGTATTGAGGGGCTCTTGAAAGAGGCGGGATGGAGCGCTGAATGATGGACGGTCTAGGCATCAAGGTGAGATGTTTGGCTAGCACGAGGCCACCAAGATGCGATCAAAGTGAAAACCGGGTTGGGAAGAAGAACGACGGCCAAGATGGAAGTGGTTTAAATAGAACCAATGGCGAAGCTATGGATCTGACGAGTGATGCGGAGTCAGCAGAGTTCTCAGTGGATTCAGCATTGGAAGCTGATAGCAATGAACCTGGACCACGAAGCCCTTCATCTGCAAGTTCCTCATCAGACTCAGAATCGGATGCCGACAAGAACACCGAATCGAACAGTGCAAACCCTTCCCTGGATCCCATACGTCGTATCAGCTGTATACAAGAAGCACAACTCTCACCAGATGGAAGCTGTATCTTCACCTCAGACTATGGCCGGAACTTTTCCGTTTATCCCATCTCCAACGACATTTCGTCAGGAGACGACCCTCAGGATCTCAAACCATACACGTCGTTCAAGGCTCCCAGTCCAATATGGGCTTTCGCTGTCAACCCACTATTCAACCTACAAGACCCCGCCAGTACAACTGTGCTACTGAGTCGGCGAGACTTATACATCACCTTGCACAACGCACTATGGGACATGTCTAACCCCGCTAGTTCTGATATGCAGTCATCAAGCACCGCCACAGTCAATATCTCCACACCGCTAGCCTCGTACAAACTGGTCAACAACCTGACCGAAGCCGTGACTGCTCCTCTCAGCCTATCTTTTTCAAGCGACAGCAACCACTTTTTCGCCGGTACGCAAGATAAGATCGCCATATTCGATATTCAAGAAAGAGACGCACCAATCCATACCATCGCCACCATACCCGCCAAGCGTACCAAACTTAAAGGAGGCGGCCGCGGCTTCAAAGGCTACATATCTGCTCTATCATTGTCTCCACCCACCATCGCCTCTACCGACGGTCTCATCGCAGCAGGATCGTGGACACGCTACGTAGGCATCTATGACCCTGTCTCCGGCGCCGAAGTAACTCACTTTCCCCTCCCGGGCAACATTGCCTCATGCTCGTCTCTCGGAAAGATGCCACGCAATAAAAACCTCGAGCACGTCATGGGCATGGGCGTTTCATCACTAAAATGGAGCCCATGCGGTAGGTATCTCTACGTTGCTGAGCGGTCCTCTGACGTCCTGCTTATATACGACGTCCGTAACTTTTCGTATTCGCTAGCACATTGCGCTGGGAGAAAGGCGCTGACGAAGCAGAAATTGGGCTTTGATATTTGGAATGCGGGACAGTCACCGTATGATATCGAGGGCACGAGCCATGAGGTCTGGGCTGGTGGTACGGATGGCAGGATTCGTGTTTGGAGAGATCCGTATGTTAAGGAAGGTGCTGTAGAGCCGGACGAAGTTGTTCAGATCCATGGAGAAGAAGAGATTCCTATCGTCAGTACTCTGGTTCATGCTTCGGGTAGCTTGGCGGCTGCTGCGTGTGGGATTGTTGAGATTGACGATGGTATCAAGACGCGGGGTCAACAGAGAGGTGGTGGGTTGAGGCCGAAGATTCGTGAAGGGGGCTCTTTGGATATTCTCGGCTTGGGATGATATTTCTGCAGCGTTCAGAGAAGAATGAGATGTCGCCATCGTGGAACGCCAGAGTAGTAAGCGGGACAGAGCTATATAGATGATTTCCACGATCAGCAACGTTTTTGGTAGCACTACATACTTATGAATTAGAACTAGTTATACAAAGTATATATGGTTATATCGGCCTCCACGTTAAACTTGACTGGATATGTCAACACCTCGATCCGGTATCATTGGTTGAGATATGGCTATCGGTAGGCACTGGTCGATGGCAATGCCGCGAATGGTCGAGCTGTCAGCAAAACGTCCTACTTGGGCAGGTCGGTTGCGGCGATGTTGAGCCTCCGCATCCTCTGACTCATCGGGACATATTGGGGGCCTATTAGAGTACATAGTACAGCCATGCGTTCCGTCTCTTGTGCATCTCTCCATGATACAGACTTCCTAGCTGCCTTGACTTACCTTGCATTCTATCTCCAACCTTCTCTCAAGACAACATGCCTCTCGAACTCCGCCCTATGGCGGCCGCAGACACACTGTCCTGGACAAGAGTTCGCACACTTGCTTACTACGGCCCTACACATGATGTCGTGCACAATGGACCTATCAGTGATTCATCGATACGCGGTGTAGCCGAAGACCGTAAACGTGAGATTGGCCAGCCAAACACGTGGCATTGGAAGGTAGTCGATACGGGTCTGGAGCCTAGCTCTGATGACCCTCCTGGCAATGGCGGGAGAACGATTGCCATCTCAGCGTGGAGTATGCACAACGTTGGCACTGAGAAGAAGGACTTGACAGCCGGCTTTCTACCACCGGAATTGCGACTCGATGCGCTGAGTTCACTGTTGAGTCCATTGCGAGAAGCTCAAGAATCCATCATGGGCACCACTACGCCCTTCTTCATGCTGCACCAGCTCGCTACGCATCCGGATCATCAGGGCCGAGGGGCAGCAAAGGTTATGCTGGATTGGGGGCTTGGAAAGGCGGATGAAAGGGGGTTGGTTCTATATCTCAATGCTACAGAGACGGGGCAGGTGGTGTATGAGAAGAGGGGATTTAGGCTGGTCAGGGCCCTAGAGTGGGATCGGAAGCCGTGGGGTGGGGAAGGCAAGGATTGGCACGGGTGTATGGTACGGCAGCCACATGGATCAAATGTGGAATGAATAGTAGTATCCCGTGCATGTTGGTGTTCATGTGGTGTTTCGGACGGACTGAGCGGTAGTCCGAAAGCAGTGCAGCGACCCCGCAACAATGTTGTTAGAGTCGGGGGCGCGGGATTTGTCGTAGTCGTGAACAGCTTCTCCAGTAGTTCGGGATTAGACAGTTGAGCCTCGGCCTGGGGTGACGTATTAGTCCGTGGTGGAGGGCGCGCACTGTTCACGCTTCTCCCGCCGCAATGGCGCAGCGTGCGCCTGTTGGACTCGGCGTGGGCGTAAACCGGCTGGTTCGATAGACATGATGCGCCTGGGCAGGGACCTGAGCCGCCCACTGGAGTTTGATCCTATTCTTGTTCCCTTGACCAAGCTTGTCGCCCGTTAGAAGCGCCTGCACCCCCAGCTCCACCGCAGACGCAGCGACCTACAGCGCCCGTCATTACCACCCTCTCCACTTTCGTCGACGCAAATCGCCGACCGCATGTCCGCGCAGGGCTAATCGAGGGGCATGGGACGCAACGCGCGGAAGCGGATTTCCTACGGTAAGTACCGCCTCGCTGCATGCGCCCTAGACTATGCGGGTGAGGTGAAGGACAAGCAACTGACACCATGTCTGCGCAGTGCTGCCACTTGCCAACTCGGCCGGAGGACACAGACTCGGAGTCAATGGCTTGGCCGTCGACCCCCAGAATTCCATCCTGTATGTGCCTGTACCTGTCGGCTGAACCGACTGTGGCCGACTAACATGGCATAGCTACTCGGGTGGCCGTGATGGCGTGATATGCGCCTGGGACCTGCATCTTGACCTGAACCATACGAATCCAGACGAGCGCGACCCTTTTGCTGACACCAATGCCACCGATTTCAAACCTCCACCCACCCACTTCCGCCAGCAAGTCCAGGCACATACGCACTGGATCAACGACCTTGTCCTCGCCGAAAACAACAACGCCCTCGTATCCGCCTCGTCCGACATTACCGTAAAAGTATGGCGCCCCGCAGCAGAGGACAAGCTGCCGCCGCAAACGATAGGCCTGCACACCGACTACGTCAAGCGCGTCGCGGCGCCTGGAGGCAGCGAGAACTGGGTAGCCTCGGGTGGATTGGACCGCAAGATCAGCCTATGGGACCTCAGCGGCGCGGGCAAGAAGCTCGAGATTGCAGTGGGCGAGGATGAGAATACGGCAAAGGGCTCGGTATATGCCCTGGCGGCAACACCCAACATCATCGCGAGCGGCGGGCCAGAGAGCATCGTTCGCGTATGGGACCCAAGGTCAGGCAAGCGCATCACCAAATTCGTCGGCCATACGGACAATGTGCGCGACATCCTCCTCGCTCACGACGGCGACATGATCCTGACGGGCTCCTCGGACCAAACGGTCAAGGTGTGGTCAATGACGGCAGGTCGCTGCATGTACACGCTCACCATGCACAACGACAGTGTGTGGTCGCTGCACTCCGACTCGCCCGAACTCGATGTTTTCTACTCCTCTGACCGCTCTGGTATCGTAGCCAAAAGCGATGTGCGCAACTGCGCCGAGATGGATGAGGGCCTTTCAGTGGCAGTATGTCAGGAACACGAGGGCGTAAACAAGATTGTTGCGGCTGGTGACTACATCTGGACGGCAACCTCGAGCTCGAGTATCAACCGGTGGAACGATGTAGAAACTGCGGCCGAAGTTGAGCTTCCGGAATCCTACAAATGGCACAGGAACAGCGTGTCGACTATGCGATCGCGATATCCCTCACCTCCTGCAGGCAGTCCGCGCACTAACGGAGAGACGGTGAAGATACCGCTCAAGTCTCTACTGCGCATGTCTAACACCGCACCATTCCCACAAGCGGTCGCACCAAAGGACGCCGATGTCTCTACTCTGGCAAGCTCACGGAAGCAGTCAGAAGTGTTGGTAGCTCCCGACCACGGCGCTGTTGGTACGATACGGGCGCTGCCAGACTTTACCATCGAAGGCCAGAACGGACTCATCAAGCACCATCTCCTCAATGATCGACGGAGAGTGCTTACTTTAGATACTGCGGGAGAGGTGGTGCTGTGGGATTTGCTACAGGTAAGATGACCCATCGATGTACTGTGCATTAGCTAACATGACTAGTGTGCGCCCATAAAATCATATGGCAAAAAACACATGGAGGACGTTATACCAGAAGTGAACACCCAAGACAGCGTTGCTCACTGGTGCGCCGTCGATACAAGGATAGGAACTTTGACATGCATGCTCGAGGAGAATTACTGCTTCGATGCCGAGACTTATGCAGATGAGCTAGAGTTTGAGGAGCCCATTGATTTCCGGGAAGATCATAGAAGTACGCATCACCCATAACAAGTCCAAGCAACCAGCTAACAACATGCAGTAAATCTCGGCAAATGGATACTGCGATACTTGTTCTCCAATCTCATCGATGAAGAAATCAAACGCGACGAGGTTGTACGAACAGAGCTACTCAAACAAAAAGAGGAGCAGCCGCAAAGCCGTCCCACCAACATTGAATTGCCGAATATGAATGTCAATGGATGGAAGGATGCAATTTCAGGGCCGACATCCGCCTCTACTCTCAAGGCTGAGAACAATACTCGTCTACCGCACACACCAGGCCTGGCCATTGGTCTAGCCACGCCGATGGCAGGCCCTATGAGTGCAGGGCGCAACTCGACTAACAATCCTCTAACGCCGACTCAGGAAGAAGGGTCGCAGTTGGAGAAGACCCAAACACAACGAAGCTCAAATCAAGATGGTGGTGACTACTTTGGATCCGCGTCCGGTATCAACGGCAGCAGCAATGGAAATGGGAAACCCGCTGAAATACCAAAAGAAGGCTCAACTGATTCAAAAGAAGAGCCCGTCACATCACCCACCGAGACCGATACGCCGACGAAAAAAGGCAAGGGCATGTTTGGCAAGAAGTTTTTTAATATGAAGAAGTTCAGTACCGGGACCGCCGTTCCTGAGCCAGCTAAGCCAGCTGTGGACGAGAAGGCTGAGGACAGCGATTCACGCTCTAACAAGACGGACGAAAAAACTATCGAAGATAACTTCTACGGTACGATTCAGCGGATTCGACAAGGCTACGAAGAACGGATAGCTGCTGGAGCGACCAAACTAGACACTGAGATCGCGCCAAGCCTGCCCAACGAAACACCTGTATTGAAACCGCCAGCGATGACCACGATTCTCATCCAGGAGGACCGTCCCGATTCCGGCGGTGTTGCAGATCTCTTCGAAGGCAAAGTCGGAACCTTGGGCTTACAAGCCGATCTCATCGAAAAAGCCGCGCCCATGTGGCTAGCCGAAGTCTTGCTACGCGTAAGTACCTTCAAGAACCATACAACTTCCACAAACTAACCCCGATACCTAGAACCAACTCCCACCAAAAGACATAGTCAAAGTCTCCTTCGTCCTCGAGCCTTTTGGCAATGCACTCCCATCCATTTCATCCGACGGGTACATTCCTTTTTCCCTCCCCTTGGAGACAGCAGCACAAGCTAATTCGACACTCAGCAACAACCGCCTCAATGCGAACCGCATGCTGCGTGCGCGCAAGATACTGGGCTACGTCGCAGAGCGCATCGAGCCTGCGCCCAGCAAGGAGGATCTCGAACAACAGGCTGCTGAAGGCGGTGTACTGAGACCAGAAGATTATCTGGAGTTATACTGTAATGGACAGGTAAGCTATGTTTCCGTTCCCCTCCCATGCATCTCTACCTTTCAAAATAAGAAAACCCGCTAACATGGTACGCGTCCAACAGCTCATCACACCCACCATGACGCTAGCCAGTATCCGTGCACACGTCTGGCGCGGTGGTGGCGACGTCCTTCTTTACTACAAAGCAAACGGTCGCAAGGAAATCAAACACGCTCCTTACCCCGGTCCGCAGTCTGGTGCCCCGCCAGGTCCGATTCATGGATTGAGAGTTGGGGCTGGACTAAATTCTACGCCGGGCAGTAGCAATGTCAGTGAGAGGAAGCAGAGTAGTGAGGCAGATCAGAGGAGTAATAAGGATACCGCGGGTTTTGGGCCATAAGGGTGGTTACGGGTGGCTGGTATGGAGTTGGATATGGCGAGTGGAAGATGGGTTGGATTGGTTATCGTTTCTTGGATAAGAGAATACGGGTACAGGGACATAACAGGGATTGTGTAGTTGTGCATAGCTCAACTTCGCTCAGTCTAGCCTCTATACATCATTGGTCTTTGTCCCCGTTGATCTTCTCTGCGGCAGTCTCACTATCCCTCATCTTCATCTTCATCCAAGGATCATTTGTAATATGCCGAACTTCCCCTTCCAGGTTTTCCTCTGTGACTAGAGATCTTGGCCGATATGTCTGCAGGAGTCGGCAGTCGAACGTCAGTGCAAAGGCAAGAGCAAGAGAAGGGGCACGACTGCATGGTGTCGAAAACGGGGAGTCATAATCGCATTCCAAGAAAGCTGTTGAGACAAAAAGTGAACACTCTTTGCCCCTGCGTTGATTGGTATATATACCTTCTCAACACACCCCCGCAATTAAGGCAGGGAGACAAAGTAATGCGAGTGGTTTGCAACGCAGGCCCTTCACGGTGCTGACTCCGGCTCTGGCCCTACTCGGCGCTGACCTCATGCTCTTACCCTTACTCGGCTCTGGTCACTCACCCAACCAGCAGTTCCTTTGCGAACATGCTGATGCGCTGAAAGCGACCCGGGCTCATAACCTATTGGAACAAGGTCCCTCTAGTAGTATGACTACCATGGATAACCGAGTGGGAGGAGGGACAAGGCGGGGTGGCTGCAACGTATTGTATTGACTGTCGTGTTATGTGTCCTCTCAGGCTGTTGTGGTGGATGCCATTGCCCACCGGGCAGTGCCTGCCACACCAGCACATCATGTGACCCCCAAGCACCTTCTACCTGGACTGAACCCAGATATTCTCAACAAAAGCTGTCTTTTTGCATAATAGACTAGGCGATAAGAAAAGTGAGCGGAATACATTTCCTATGCAGTCTTCATGTGTCGTCGCCGTCTTTACGCATACATACCCACCTAGGCAAGTAACGACCGGTTAGGGCACAAAAATAAAGTGGTGGAACGTGCAATACGTCTTGATGCATTCAACGTCTCTTCACAAAAACGCAAATATGGTATATAACTATGTAAATCGAATAATAGCCCCTTATCCTACACGAAAATGCGCCACGTATCCTATCCTATCTATCCTACCCATTCATGAATACGAATGAGAATACGAACAACGAATCCCCAGCAGATTGCACAATGAAAGCCGGCCAACGTTCAACATCCCGTCATGAACCGTAACCCACTCCTAAATAGCGCCATTGTAAATGTCCCTCAATATCGGTCTTCCATCCAAGATTCCCCTCTTCCCAGCCGTAAATACCTTGCCAGGTATCCTCCTCACCTCGGGACTGCCACTGGAGCTCTTGTTACCCAGCCTCCGTTTCGGACTCCTGGCATTGACTTGCTCAGAAGTGGCAGCCAGATCACCGAGTGCCTTGCGTTTCTTGCATGGCGTGGGTGATAGAACGGGGCTTCTGACCATGATATCTACATGAGTCAATTGATGTGAAGGACGGGTTGGCGTTTTACTGGTTTGTGTGATGCCTTCGTCGAAGCTATGAGAATCGATCATTTCAGACTGGAGATCGATGACCCAGTTTTTCTTTCGGCAGAGGGTGACCAGGTCGCGCAGGAGTTCATTACTAGAGAGTGTCTTCTCACTGCCCAGGATGACGAGCTTGGATCGTGCGCGTGTGAGAGCAACATTGACACGTCTTCTGTCTTTGAGTAGGTCACCCACTACTCCGTTTTCGTTGCTGCGCACACAAGATACTATCACAACTTCTTTGTCGCGACCTTGGAATTTGTCGGCGGTATGCAGTTCGACGCCCGCGCATCCTTGACCACTGATTGCTGGTGCGGCGAGCTCAGATGATTGTGTTTGTGTATATGCTGATGACAAACTTTGGCGCAGCATAGCGAGTTGCGAGCGATAGAAGGCTATGATGCCGATCTCATCGGCCGCAACTCCAAGGCTAAGGAGTGATACTGTAAGCTGTGTGACGAGGCGGGCTTCGAGCGTGTTGGTGATGCGGGACCCTGACTGTGTTTCCAGGGTAGCGGAAATCAGGTCGGTATTGATAAATACCACGGGCTGGTCTGGGGACAAAGACTGTGTCAGCCAACAGCCTGCGGTATCTGAACCAGAACAAGTTTCCGCTGCACTCGATCGGGACAGGTATCGCTTCTGGTGATAGGTCTTTAAGCCATCTGGCTTCGGCAGTGCGAGCTTGCGGGAGGCTACACTAGCGGTACCGCACTTCAATCTTCCAGAGTATATAAAGGTATTGGACAACAGCATGACATCGGCGCACATACGGTATTGATGCTCTAAGCTGACAACTGCCTGTGGGTGGGCTTCACAGAGCAGCTTGAACAGTGAGACATCTAGGCCACCTTCCATGGCTTCCTTGTTCTGTACCAACGGCGGAAGCTGGTAGTGATCACCTACAAGGATGAACTTCTGGGCCATGCGAATAGGTCCAAGGCAGACTGGTAGCGTGATTTGTGATGCCTCGTCGACGATGCAGTAGTCAAAGACTCGACGGTTGAAGAGGGAATGGTTGATAGTCAAGCAAGTAGTGGCCACGACGGGCGGCTCCATCCAAGATCTCTCAAGCTCCTCCACACTATCCTTTGGCTCTACTCCGAGCGTAGCGAACTCTCGAACCTCTGGGTGGATCTTCTTTACCGTGCCAAGGCGCAGTATGCCAATTTTGTCGTCCCGGATTTTGAGAAGAATATTGTCAACTGCAGTATGTGTGTAGGAAGTGAGCAAGACACTTTTGCCTTTTGCAACGAGGGTCCGGATAATGTGCGCAATTGTCGTTGTTTTTCCGGTCCCGGGCATCCCTAGCACCAGTGCATAGTCTTTCGCAGACATGACTTTAGAGACAGCAGCTCGTTGATCGGAATTCATAGACATTTGTGACGATTGGGGTATTGATAGTGCATCCGTGACAGGCTTGAACACGGGCGCTCGCCCATCCACAATGAGCGCACGAAGGTCGTGAGCTTTGTAGACGCTGTTGTCCATAATTTGGATAAGGTTGTTGCGGGCTGCAGCCATGCCGTTGCTGAACTCGTCTTTATCCAAACGATACAACACTGGCTCCTCATCGGCCTCATGTTTGGAGACTGTATCGCCTTCTTTGGTAACCTCCATGATGCCGGCGAAGGTCTGATTGCTTTGCGAATTGAAGCCCGGGAGCTTGATACGAGCATTGTGCAGCCGTCTATCAACAGCAACAGTGATCCGGCGCTTCTTGACGTTGGTCACATACCCATTTGCCAGCGCGAAATGGCCTTGTTCATCTGATACCACGATGGGCTCACCGACGATGAGTTGGGATTCGGTGAAGGAGAAGCCTGGTACCGGCCGCTGTTTGATGAATGTGTAGCTGTACCGGTTGATCTTCTGGCCGTTCTCCTCTTCGTGTGCAGACCCAGGTTCTAGTATAACGTTGGAGAAGCAGCGGCCCAACTTCTCACGGTCGGTGCTCAGCATGGTCCATAATTCTCGGCGAAACTTCATCATATCCGTCTCTTCCTTGGTTAAGAGGATATCCCATTTCTTCATGAAGTCCTGGTGGGAACGCTGCAGTGGTTGTACGAGCTCGTCGTATCGCTCTTTTGTCTTCTTGTTTAGCATCTCACCTTTCCCATCCTCAACGAGATTGTGATACAAAAAGCATGACTCCTGTGCGTAGCACTTTTGACACTTGAAGTCCTCTTTCAAGATAGGCGGTAGTTCAATGCGATCTCGGACGTAACATGCCAGCTCATTACGCTTGATGATCATGTGCATGATGTCGTTACGAACAGCGGGGACGCGACTGATATCGGAAGTTTCGAGGTAATACAGGATGCCGTATGCAATATCAACATCTGTACTGGTTAGCCATATATGGGCTTACTTTTTAACAATGAATCATACCATAACGATTGGATAACAATAGGTTATACAAAGCAGTTTGCGCGACGTGCGCAGCATTCGAAGAGTTCTTGCCAGTCTTCACTTCAAACGGCACTGTCAGAGTCCGTTCACCCTGATCATCCCGCATTGTGACTTGTACGGTAGCATCTATGTTTCCTTTCAAACCGTACATGGGGGACCAAACATGTTCTTCGACGTCGAGCAATTTATTAATGCTCATGATAGACTGCCGCCCATTAAGCTCTCGAACAACAGCGTCATTTTGAGGTTCTGCGCGAACAAACAACTTTGCCCAAGCCTGCAGCTCGGGTAGCTTGCTGCTCATGTGTTCCTTAATGGCTTCGCACGTCGAGTTGATCTCCAGAATAGTCTCCAAATGGCGCGGTAAAAGGACATCAATTATTTCCGAAAGAAATACGGAGTCCCATTTGTTCACTTTCATGGCTTCTTGAAAGAGCTCGTGGAGCAATGTGCCGTAGAGCATAGGCGCATTAGCCTTGCTCGTCGCCTTGACTCTGTCCTGGAGCACCGCTCGTCGTAAGCAACCAAATGAATCGGCAACGACGGTTGATGAGATAAGATGGTCTGGATGCAAGATGAGCATATTGTGGTGATCGTCAATTATGCACTGGCCAGTGTTTGTGAATTCGCCAATGACGTGAACAAAAGACCCTGTTGTACAAGGCGTATCGAACCAAGCTTGTCGTAGGGTGATAGCTTTGAACAGCTTTGTTTTCTCTTCTTCGACCAATAGCACCTAGGTGTGTTAGCTCCGGCACTGAACTATTGGAAAGGAGACTGACCTTCTCAGGCATTTGATAACCACGGTCGGTGGTGTATGAACCTTCGTCCACTTGTTTGATTAAGTAACGCTGTATGGCCCTATTGTCCTGCTGGCTCTTCGAGAGTTAGTACGGCTTCATCATCATGGGTGATTATGGGTGGTACGTACAGTACTTGCTGGTACCTGTGTCGCCGCGACTTCAGCAGCAGCGAACTCTTCGGCATCAATATCGTCACCAAACTCGTCGTCGTCATCGTCATCCAGGAGATTGATTACAGGCGCTGGTGTGGCATCTTCAGTGGCTGCGAATTCTTCGTTTCCTGTTGCAGCGGCTTGACCTGTTGTTGCCGACTCTACAGATCTCGTATCGTAGAGAGATGCAACTTGCTCCAAGTCCGCAGCAAAATCATCCTCATCGTCTATTCCGAACTCGTCGTCACTTCCGGTCTGTGGGAGGGCTGGCAAAGTTACGTGTTGTTCGGGCGGCGGTGGACTGACCGGTTCTGTAGGAACGGTAACATAGCTTGTCAGATATGTTGGTTGATCGACGTGCTGGGGCACTATATCCAGGGCTTCTACGAGGTCCGTATCAAAATCATCATCCCCAAAGTCATCTGATGATCCTGGAGATGCTTGGGGTTGGTCGGCTACCAGTTCAACATTAGAGTCATCCTCTTCTTGAACAAGCTCATCATCACCATCCAGGCCCACACCAAGAGGCTCTGACCCGGGTTGCATGGTTTCAGACGTGTCCATATCTTGCTCCCGGGCACGTCGCTGTAGAGGGGAACCTGACGAGACACCTTGGCGATCTCCAGCCGCGGGTAACGGAGACGAACTCGAGGGAAGTTGCGAGTATATGCGCGGCTGCGGTTTCGATACGCATTCCCTCATTCGCTGCACCATGCTTGCAATATTGGGCTTCGCAGGTTGTCCCGGCATCGTACCATCGGAACTGGAAGCGCCAGCAAACACATCCTCGGTTGTATCTTTCTCCTGGTGGAAAACACCATGCACTCGCCTCCTCTTCACGTTCGAGGCGGGAAACTCAACGCCACAGCTCGCCCAGCGTCGTAGTCCGTTGACGCTTCCAGCAGCGGCAGCAGATCTCGGTGACGACTCATTGATCAGGTGCGCAAATGCTACATTCTTATTGGCGCCTGGTGTCCCTTTGCTGTTTGTGTACCGCGACCATAGTTCCATGGCCGGATCAGCCTGGGGGGTCGTGATGTCTTTCCGGGCCTGATCGAGTCTACTGTCTTCTTGTGACGGTGCAGGCGACGAACTCCTAGCGCGCTTCTTGTTCTTCCGTGGCAAAGGTGTATTCACTGCTTGCGACCCTCTCCATATCAGCTGCTCTTCTGGTGAAGCGACGGGCGGCGGCGCATGTCGCGAGGAGTCATCAATATTCCCAACGAGATCCGCCAGCGGTAGTCTCTTGGTGGCTGGAGTGGATGGCGGCGGGCAGTCGGTGATGGTTGGTAGCTTTGGCGTCTTGTTGTTGTTGCTAACATCTTTTGCGACTCGGTTCGCCTTTGGCGTGGCCATTGATTTAGATATCTTGGCTAGCGCAGCGGGTAGGTTCTCTTTCTCAGCCTCACACGCCTTCAAAGATTCGGCATTTGACGCACTCTCAACGAATTGGAAAGACTTAAGCTTCGTCCGGGTTTGAGTCGACGGCATGATGGGAGGGCCGCTTACTACTTGCCACGTCGGTGGTGCGGCGTGGTTATTAGGGTGGTGGGGGAAGGCACCGTTGCGCGGGCGGTTCCATTGGCCTCGATATTGCTGCAGGGAAGACGATAAGTATGTTTTCGGTGAATGCTGAGTGTCATCAAAATACCTTCGGCTTCTGGTCCTGGTCAAAGAATGACCTCTGGCGAGTCGACATGGAGGCGATGGACGTCGGAAGTGGACTGAACGCGTGAACGCGTCGCGTGCAGCCAATAAGCTGGGGTGAAGCCAAAGCGGAACATAGAAGCGAAGTCACGTGGGTGGGCGCCGGCTAAGGCTCGGAGCAATGTTTGTCTCGGAGCCGAGTTGGAGAGTGCGGGACCTACGCCGCCAACCGCAATCGGTCATGGAATTGACAGGCACTTGACACACATATCGCAAGTGCCTCCGCGTATCACGTACATTCGAAAGAGACGGGAACTAGGGACGAGTCAGATTCGTGCTTTTGCACCAATTGCAGCTTTGTCACATAACAAGCTGGGGCCACTTGCATCGCCTACTAAGCGGAGTTTAGAGATTCCATCCCACGTTGCTGGGGCTCTTTCTTTCCCCAGATTGCGTGAGCTGCCGCGCGCCGCTCACAGCACACCAGACCTTCTTCTTCACACTTTTTCCTCAGACACTCCCCTTGTAGTACTATCGCCAACATGTCTGCTGCCGATGCGAAGCCATTGCCTTTTGTCTACCAGTTCGCGGCTGGTAAGTCTAACCTTTCTTAACGCCGCTCACCTCCGATGCGACTGTCATGTGTACCTGTCTGGTAGCTTGACAGAAGCCGCAGTGTGACTCTAGCTGCCTTCCAAACTACCATCTGCAGTACAATTCAATTGAGCTCTGTGAACAAACGTTAATCATGTATAGGTGCCGTGGCCGGTGTGTCAGAAGTGAGTGCGCCAACTCTGCCGGAGCTCGCGTGAGGCGACCAATGCTGATTTTATCTTGCGCGTATAGATTCTGATCATGTGCGCACCATTCACTATGTAACCGGACGCAGGAGTTTCAATGCTGACTAAACCCAAAGGTACCCGCTGGACGTCGTCAAGACCAGAGTGTAAGCGACTGCACGTCAAATCATATCGTAACCACCTCTAAATCCACGTAGACAACTCCAGACTGGCAAGGTTGTTGGTGATGAAGGCTACAATGGCATGGTAGACTGCTTCAGGAAGATCATCAAGAATGAGGGGTACGCTGTAGCAACCCTGGGCACTCAGACTCCATGGGCTAACACCTCTCAGTTTTTCAAGACTGTACCGTGGTATTAGCGCTCCCATTCTTATGGAAGCTCCCAAAAGGTATTTACACGTCCAGACTGCGAATCTCCATCTCTGTACTGTTCGCTGACGCCATTTAGGGCCACCAAGTTTGCGGCCAACGACTCATGGGGCACCTTCTATCGTAACCTATTCGGTCAAAACAAGATGAACCAGTCCCTCTCCATCCTCACTGGCGCCACTGCTGGTGCAACCGAATCCTTCGTCGTCGTACCCTTCGAGCTCGTCAAGATTCGGTTGCAAGACAGGGCGCAGGCGCACAAGTACAACGGCATGATGGACTGCGTTATGAAGATTGTCAAGCAGGAAGGCCCTCTTACCTTGTACCAGGGTCTAGAGTCGACCATGTGGAGGCACATTCTCTGGAATGCAGGCTACTTTGGTTGCATCTTCCAGGTCCGCGCTCTCCTGCCTGCGGCCTCTGACAAGAAGGGTCAAATCACAAATGACCTCATTTCTGGTGCTGTCGGTGGCACTGTCGGTACTATTCTCAACACCCCCATGGATGTCGTCAAGTCCCGTATCCAGAACTCGCCCAAGGTTGCCGGCTCAGTACCCAAGTACAACTGGGCATATCCTGCCCTCGGCACCGTCATGAAGGAGGAGGGCTTCGCTGCGCTTTACAAGGGTTTCCTGCCCAAGGTGCTGAGACTGGGTCCCGGAGGTGGTATCCTTCTCGTCGTCTTCACCGGTGTCATGGATTTCTTCCGCACTATGCGCGACGGTAAGTAGACGACGCCAAGCTGCAGTGTATGGCCTCTCATCGTAGACTCCTAAACGCGAAACCGGACAATAGACTGTGCATCCCGTATCCGCTTCTGCTACATCAGCAAAGCAGGGTCAAATAGCATTACTCAAACACTTCATGATGATCGTGCTATCTCTTCGACATGTGACACTAGCCCTCTATCCGTTGCGTAGATCACCGCCCACACCGTTATCTCCCCAAACTCAGTATCTTCATACCTTGGAATTGCTTCACGCGACATGATTGCTTATTCGTCTAGACTCAAAGAACACTGGTCTGGATTGCTACTGCCCACCGTTGCCCCCGCGCTCAGTATGACCCCACCACACGCGCAACGCGGGCGGCTAGACGCGGATGACGTCACCCCTCCAGCCAACCAACGCAGCCACCACCCATTGTTGCAGCCTGACCACACCCCTCCTAGGTAACTACCAACTGCCCAAACAACCAAGATTCCTTTTGCAATCATAAGAGCCAGGGTCCAACAACACACATAAGTACGCCGCCCCTCTTCTTCTATCAGTTTTACAAAAGCTGATCACCACACACAGTCTACGAATCTAGTTCATTCAACAAACCTAATACACCACCTCTTCTTCCACAGCAAACAAGCAGCGCTACATCAAGATGCCTCTCGTAGTTCCCGGCCTACAGTCCACAGACGGAAAGGAAGACTGGATGACCAAGCTCATGGGCAAGAAACTTGGTGATCAGCATGATGAGATGGTTAGTTCAATCTTGCCTCCTTTCCCTTATCATATCCCCCCTATCTCCCTTATAGCGAAGTCAAATAGGCAGTTATAGCAAAGCTAATACATACGCCGAAAAGACATTCGCAAAGACCGATCTCCCCAAGGAACACCGCATCGTCAAGCCCGATTCGATGAGCACCATGGATCACAAGCCTGAGAGGCTGAATGTCCATGTTGATGAGGATGGTACGGTTAAGAAGGTCACCCATGGTTAGGCGCGAGTGGTTGCTGTTACATGGCGCAGGGCTACAGACGATATAACAATCTGATGGAGTTAGGGTAGTGGTGCGGTATGAGGTATGAATATTGAAGGTCATCTTAACAGAACTCAACAAGGAAATAAGTCACGGTTTCTTGAACACCTCTGCTTGCTGATGCTGATGCTGATGCTGATGCTGCTTCTGCTCATCGCTGTGATATGAAATATGTCCATGTCGTTCATACACGCGAACGTCTGAAAAAGAGTGGTGTTCTCGCCACTGATCTAGAAAAGGTACCGTATCCCGAAGAACGTTTCGCCAATGCCGAATAACAACGAAAAATCAACTACCCGAACCCAGAGAACAGCAGCGCCTGGTAGAAACAATAAACGTGGTATCATACAGTAGGGGAAAAATAAGCGCCATCGTACAAACATTTCACGGTCCCTGGCTGCCTCAGTCATCATTTTCATCTCAGTAAGCCATGCCCCTCCCTTGCAGCCCTACAGCCCTACCATTGCGCACGGATACTCGGCTTCGCCGAAGAGCAAGTACCTTTTGTATACCGCCACAGTGGAGAACACAAAGCTTATTGCAATGTTCCCAAAAATGAATGTGGTGGACGAAACTACGCCCTCGGGCGTTTCCTCTTCGCGCTCTCACAATCACCCGTGGTATCCGCAACCGCAAACTGCGCATCATCAGTACCACTTTGACCCAGCGCCTTGACGACCTCGCTCATCCTCAGCATGATAGCATGCATACCCTCGGGATGCTCAAAGCACAACATGATACAGGTGCGCATTGTTGTGGCAGAGAAGTAACGGCGCAGGACCTTGTTATCGTGCTTGTTGCTCGCGGCGCCCATGACAAGACCGATCCAGAGGAGAACGCCGGCCATATCCGACCAGCACTCGGAGAGGTTTGATCTTTCAAGAGCTTCTTTGAGGTCGTTGAGGATGTTGGTGGCGGGTCGAGTGCTAGGTTGTGCGATTGTGGTGGTGGGTCGGGGGAAGAGGAAGACGTCGGAGGAGCCTGAATGGAGGGAGGAGACGGAAGGGCGTTGGGAGAACGTTGAAGAGGTGGAGAGGCGGTGCGAGTATGTTGATGAGGCTGAGGGGCGGTAGTGGTGAAATGGGAAGCCGGGTTGTGAAGCTGTCGTGTTTGCAGTGCTGTAGGTGCTGTAGGATGGGCTGACTGAGTAGTCTGTTAATGGTGTTGAGTAGTGGGGATCAAAGGTCGAAAAGAGAGATTCGTTGGACTGAGAGGCTGCTGATGTCCTGTAGAGTGTGGATGGCATTCCTGACGATTGCAAATTGGTGAGTGCGGAGGACAGGGTTATCCGATGGAAAATGGCATTTGCTTGGACAACAGCCGTAATTCGAATGGCCTCGTACTTCCAGTCCTCGGATTTTAAGACTTGGTTCTTGCGAAGTTCTTGTACAGGTGGGCAAAATGCTATTCGATCGTATAGACTCGTAAGCCTCTCCACGTTCCGCCGACTTTGCCTTGACTCGTGGATGAATTCATCAATCATCGTTCTTATTTCATTCAGAAGCTTTTGTGCGTCCGAGTTGCATTCTGTTGACCTCTCTAGTGTCACGTACTTGCCGTGGGGATAATAGAGTGGCGACTCCGGTATGGCAACGTTGAGCGGGTATTTTTTGGACGACCTGCTGGCGCAGTACCTGACATACATGGGATTTGGCCTCATTTCCCGCAGGACAGAGGTCGCCAGATGTGCCCACGAGACTGCGGAGGCTATCATACCGTCCATGCCCAGGTACTCTAGGCCACCGCGCTGTTTGATCATAGTTTCAATGCCGCCTTGGTGGTACGACAAGGAACCTTCGTTGCGGCCAATCACTTCACCCAGTATGAGCTGGCTGACCGCAATGATATTGTGATCAGCCACGCTCTCCGCGCCATTAGTCAAATTCCCACTCACGAGAATAATGACATCGTTCCGCAATGCTGCAGTCTCTATGCTCTCCACTTCACTTCGTTGGATCACGTCGTGGTGTGCGGAAGCCATATACAAAGTGCTGAGGAATGTGTGCGGGTGTTCAAGGCATGCGGGGATCCAGTGTTTGCCTAAACCCTCAGTACCGAAATATCTGCTGCAGTGGTGCTTCAGTACTGTGACTGATACGTTGGGATGGGCGGACTGGAACATGGTTCGGAAGGGATCAATGTTCTCGCCAATCGATACTAAAGGAGGCATTGGAAAGATGTCGAATGGGTATACTTGGTCTGTCCTAACAGGAACGACGATAGGTCCTTGCGGCAGAGTAGACTGGCGAGGTCCTGCCCGCACTACCTGGGTATCAGGACGCGGAGCCTCTTGGGTGCTTTTGATTGGCTTCGGAGATTTGGTGTGCGAGTTTTGCTTATTCCCGCTGCTGCTTTTTCTTTTGGACGTTGCACCGGAACGCGATTTGGAGGCACCTCGACCTTCAAAACTCGACCTGTCCGAAACTTCACTGCCTGCCCTAGAAGCGTCGTCCGATGTCTTCTCTTTCTTTAAGAAACTGAGCATGGCTCCTTGGCGAACCTCATGCATGACCTCTTTCTTTTTGAATCCATCAGGAGTGTTGGCGGTAATCCAACGGAAATCTTCATTGCGTGATGACGGTTCCGTTGGTGAAAGACTCTTGGTTGAGGTTCGTGGATGTGCGACTTTGCTCGGGTGTTAGTATACATATCCGAAAGCATGAAACCGTAAGATGGGTGACGTTGGTGTTCGTAATGTGGTTGCACACCATGTAGGTGCAGCGGGCATGGGCAATGAACCTCGGCGCGACATCTCTGGAAGCGATGTACGCAAATCGGATACATATCGTGTAACGAAAGAGGCCCACTAACCAATGGGTTCATGATGAGGCGACATGGAGCTCCAGGGCAAGCTCGTATCGGAAGCTACAGTTGAGGCTGGCGAAGGATAGGCAAATGGCGTGTGATGGGCGGCGAGAAACAGAGGTCGTTCGGCTGGAGGGGCTGTCATTGTGTCGACTAGCTCGATAGTCAAGCACTGGCAAGTTTGGCAGGTGAACGCAGCATCCAAATGATATCGCGGATATAGAGATCTTTTCTTGTTCAGGTTGCAGAAAGTCAGACAGAAGGGGCGAAGGATGAATTGGTATTAGTAGGGCTGAAGGCCAAGGGGCCAGAAGTTTATATATACGGCCGGCAGCTGGGTGCCTTGCCGTTTGTGCTTTGTGCCAGAATGCGAGATGCCGGCCATGCGTCGCAGCGTGAGGCGACAAGTAGGCAATTGTGCGTCATGCAGGGACGGTTGGGTATGTTGGTGATGCGCAGCAGTAATGTTGCGGGGAGACACACACATACGGTGAAGCAATCGGTGGCTGTGCCATGATGCTGGCTCGAGCGATGGAACGAGGGGCCTGCACGGGCGGGGATAGAGGCATTGCTGGCCCGAAGCCCAGCCCACTTTCCTGGTGGCGTCATGATGGGTTAGAACATTCTTGGATTGCATACCTGGACAGCACGCCATATGCTCAAGTCGGGATTGATATGGGACGAGCGTGGTCATTGCGAGGGCAGAGACGCCAAACGTCTGCGCCCTCTTTGTCACCAATTCTTTTCTTTGAGCCACCGAACACCCCGCTCGTCATCCCCAGAGAGCACCGTATATATCATTGGACACTAGTTTACACGTGCGGGTGCTGACACCAATCCCACCCATGCAGGTGCTGAACGCCTCAAGCGAACTCACCGCCGCCGTACCATCACACAGCACTGCAAACGAGCTATGCACATCCTGACCTCTTATCTGTACGCAATCTTGCCCAGTGCAGGCGTGTGATGTAGAAGCGCCTTGGCTCAGCTGTTCATGTACATACTTTTGCGCGACACGGAATACGAATTGTCATGCGATTCCACGCCAGACACATTACACAGATGCGAGCACAGTCTAAAAACCTTCGCTTACTTGGTTTACCAGCGACGCGGGCCCGCCATGTCTGGGGGTTCTGTCAAAGATGCGGTCGGGACAAGTGGGTCAACTGTCTTCACCCAATCGTTGGGCATTCCCTCCTCGACCTACATCCGCGTCAGCAGCCCTGTGGGGTCGATACGAGCCTGTGCCGCTCGATAATTCCAACGGTAGAGCCCTACCATGACTTTGGATGTGTCGGGCAAGTAGATCGGGAGGCTGGTCAGCTCCAAGTCGCCTCGCCAGGCCAATGTAAGCATAGCAGCTTCGAACGAATTGGTACACTTGCAGTACTTTATAACTGTGTACCAAATATACATATCTATAAAGCTCCAGCTACCACACCTACTGGTGCAAGTTGCTCATTCCAAGGCCAAAATAATCCACAGGTGTCTGCGGGCCTGTGCCGCTCCCAGGACTGATGTCGGTCCCCCCGACGCTAGCATCACCACTATCTCCCGACGTTCTACTATTCCCGCCGGGCCCAATTTCAGTCTTCGGGCCGCCTGGTGTGAGGTGTCCATTGGTGCGTCCTCTTGAGGGTATGCCCAGTCGAGTGGCATGAAATGTGAAGTGGGACTGGCCCGATTCTGCTGACGGGCTCTTCAGCTCTACAAGCTCCAGTGTACTTCGAAGCGTTGCACCAGACTCATCCAGCGCCATGAGAAATCGCGCTAACTCTTTGCACAACTCCCAGTCCTGCTCGTCTTTGGCTCGTTGGAGTAAGCGCACGACTTGATCCCCTGTCGGACGCAGTTCTTCAAATGTGTGGAGAACAAGAAGATAGCCACCCGCTGTCTTCAAGTTGCCTTTCTGCAGCGATTCCTCGAACAACTCTTCTGGTGGTGGCAAATTGGCGAACAAAGTCCTCCATGATCGCACCTCAGTCTTGCGGGTGCACTGTACTACAATTTCAAGATATTGAGGAAACGAGCTCAGAAACGATAGTACGCTTGGTAAAAGAGCTTGTTCTGGGGGTGGCTGAGTGTCGACTTCCTCGTCTAGAACTTCATGCAGTAAGATTTCCAATGCATGGGGAAAATATAAGAGGTGTTGATAATGATGGCTTAGGTGCAAGGCTGCAGGGTGGTTGAACTGCGCCAGATGGGAGCGTAGTAATGCGGGAAGGAATAGGTGCGTCTGTGAAATACGTCAGCAATCGATCAATACGTAGCCAATAGTGCGTTGTACGACGCGCATCAGCTTACCCTGGTTCCAAAACGCAAGAAGGCGAAGCTTGTGTCTCTGCGTTGGATCAATTCGGACTCTACGCCAAACACGATGGCTTTGTTGATCAATGCTGAGAGTGGATAGAAGTCGACAGGAATCTTGACCGGCGTAGATAGCTCCCTGCCCACTTCGGCAGATGCAGACGACAGTACGTCTTGCATATCAATCCAAACACGCATGTCATGGCCGTCAAAGAACCACAGCGAATCGCGCAGATCGTGACCATGCACATCGTTCATCGTCAGCCCTACCGAAGGACTAGGCGGTAAAGAGTCGACTTGCTTGTCTAGCGCAAATGCAGGGTGGTCGCGCATGAGAGCATATGTCTCCACGTTCTGCGCAATAATGCGCATTTCGTACTTGAGTTCACCGCCTTCCGTAGTTGTCGGCTGGAGTAACACCAGTTTTCCGTCAACAAGGAACAGGATTGTCGCAACTGCCACATCTTGGGAAGGGTCCCCATTGTCTGAGCCTTGTTAGCAGGTGCAAAGATACGGTCTGCGGAAGACTCACTAATTTGGTCTTCGGGTAATATCCAGCTTAGTGCTCGCACTCGTGGAGGCGCGCGGATAATGCCATGCAGCGCAATCTGACCGACCTGAACCAACTTTACGGTCGCATCTGTGACACTAATCACGTAGTGGTACAAGATATTTTCGTAAGTATAGACCAAAAGAGAATCCTCTCCGGACGGAGCGATCAGCACTATTGGTGCGGGTAGCTTCTGGGTATGCATGATATGACCGTTGTCGAGAGCTGCTTCGCGTGAATACACTCGGACCTTGAGCTCATGTCAGTATGAACAGAGGAGTGGATGAAGTGCCAATCATACCTCGTGAGATTCGTGGCACTCAACTGCCGCAATCAAAACATGCTGGAACCAACACATACCACCTCGCACAGCAAACTCGTTTTCTATAAAGGGATCGTCAAACATTTTCCAACGTCCACTATTCACGCTGTAATGAGCAAGTCCTCTCTTGCCCGCTATTGCAACGTATCGTCCATCATTCGATATGACCGCACTTCTGATTGGCCATTGGTCCACCAGGTAGGCGGATGGAACTTGAACGTGATGCCAAAGCGAGACTTCAGCGGAAATGGTTGTCAGGTCTGGCAAGTCGTACCCGCGATATATCATGAAGCCGGTACTTGTCTGCATCAGCGAACGTGATATATTGGCAGACGAAAAGCACCCCGTGACCGCGCTTCGAGCCATCTCTATAATGAAGAGACGGTTGTCGTTGTTGCCTAGCATCAAAAGTTCCGCACCGCCCCCAATCCAGAATGCTTCCTTAACACTAAGAAGCCATCCCTCTTTGTTCGTCTCGGAAAGCGTCCTGTCTGAGGTAAAGCTAGTAGCGCCAGGCTTTCCATATACACTCCACATCGCCCAGCCATTCTCGTAACCAGCGAATAAACAATATCCATCAGGTGAGTAAGCCAAAACAGTCAACTTCCCTGGTGATGTGACATTGGGTTGTAGTTTGTGCGAAAGAGGGATGTTGCCGGTGTAATCTTTTGCAGTATATACGTATATCTCACCCCTGGCGCATCCGACAGCAAGTAAAGAGAATCTTGCGTTGATTGCAGCTTTGACTCCGTGGTCATTGTTGGTCTGGGGAGTATGGAAGCCATAACCGCGGAAAATCCCCGGTATAGCGCTGTCTCGATTCGCCGTCTTTTGCACAGCAAACGCTTGTCCATCCCCAGTGATCCAACATGCCAGGTTCATAGGTCTGTCATGGACCAAGTCAAGCAGGGTAGCCTTCCCTATCCATGTCATCTTGGATAGTAATTCAGTGCTTGTTTGACTCCCAGCGTTGTCCGGCGCCCAGCGGATACACTGTACAGCTGCAGGCTTCTCGGTTGCAACAACCAATTCGTCATCGAGGGCCAAGGCTCTTATAATACCAGCATCAACGCGTATGACCATGCGAAAGCGTAGACTGAGCTCTTTCAATCCGCTACCCTCTCCAGGTCCCGCATTGGTGTCATGCTGACGTTGTATCTTGAAGCCCGTAATTGCGCTGCTTCTCCTCGAATGCGCTCCATGTGTGTTCGTAAACTGGGCCTTGTATATGCGCGATGAATGGTCGCGAGCGAGCGAGTATGTGATCAGGAAGCCGAGCGTAGTCTGTACGACGAAGATTTGCGAGTCGGGTCGAAGTAATACATCTGTATTTGGACCGTATGTTTTGACAGACTGCTCTGAACGCAGTACAGAGGCCAGAACGACCGTAGGCTTGGGAAGATATCAGTGACTGAGCGAATAGACGACCGGATAAACAATACCTTTGTCTGCCACACTGTGAGAGTCGTCCTGGTAAGAGTTGCAAACATGTGACCGCTCCTAGTCACTCTAATTGCAATTATAATGCCATGTATGTCGTCCTCAACCGGCTGGTTCGCTGCGGCTACTTGCGGCAATTGCGTGTCTTTCGTCTCTTTCGTCGTACTTTTCTTCTCCGTGAATGTCTCATTATTTGCCTGAGTTGTCGTGGCGGCGCCCGATCCGTCATGTTTCTCGTCTGATTGCTTGTGCTCCACGCCATCGTGAGAGATGTGCGTGCGCCCTGGCTCCGTACGTTTGGTGGCCGCAAAGACGGAGGGCGACGAGATGGGCCAATACGTCATGGCGCTTTACCGCAAGCGATGGCTGCATTTGCGCGCGCCCATCTCACTGCGGGGATGTGTACTTCATGGAGTTCATGCTAGCTGGCTTGGTTCGGGTGGAGTGGCTGTGGAGTTTGGCGGTCAACCTGTTGACCCGCACGAGGCGCAGCACTTTGTGGCTGCAGGTCCGTGCACAGTTGACCGACTCCCGTATTTTGGTAGGTACCGGTAGATATTAGTAATGATCTACTATACACGAGCTGTTATCACGATGCATCTACCTGCTGGAGCTAATGCATACTTCCAACCTGGTTGTGCAAAGTGGCGTGGACTTTGGATAAGCGTGATCATGATTACCCAATCAGGAAGGAAACCGGAAGCCATCGACTGCGGTGGTTCCACCAACATGAGTTTCGGGGGTCGTGCTTATGTCGCCAACTGCTTGGTTTCGTGCCAGCTGGTGATCGCCATATAGATAAAATGATTGACACGGAGGTTTTCGATAACATTGAACTAATACCGCAAACTCAAGAGCTGTCGTTCTTGAAAACTGTCGAATCGGCGGAAGATGGATTACAAACATCTAAGTAGACGATCAGGAAGAGTAATGAAAATTATAGGTCTCTCATACACAAGGATGATCTCTCGTTGTATGGGTTTGCGTATAACCCCGCATCTAAGCCGTGTATTGATTGCGCTGGTTCCTGACTACAGTACTTGCTGAAGTGCATAATATACCATCTATCAGTTTAACTAGAACTCTTCCTATAACTACATCTTATTATTAATAATACCAAAGTGTGTGTCGCATCTGATATTGCCTTGGGTAGGGTGATTCTGCTAGTGAATCATTGGTTTCGGAAGGCTTACTAGATCGCTACCGCTACCCGACACAGAATTTTCACATGCATGGTACTAACAAGAACATGAGATTACCAACAATCTGACAGCGTCTAGTCGTACACGTGTATGTTTATTGTATGTGGTTATATTTTCACTATTACTCATTTTTTTCATCAATCACATACGGTGAGATGGCCGAGTTGGTTATGGCGCCAGGTTAAGGTTATCTTAACACATATTCCTGGTCACGAAAGTGGCGTGGGTTCGAGTCCCACTCTCATCAGCATTCGTCTGGCTTCAGTCAGATACCCCAGGTTCTTTTTTTGGTTGTTGTGAAGGAGAGATACATCACACCCACCTTTTTTTGGCACCTGCCATGAACACGCTACAAACTCTACCCCTCTACATCTAAGCGACCAACAGCATTATATACATCTGCATACATGATAACTGGATACCCTGCGGGATTTCCTTTTTGTGGTGAAGATCAAGGAACAAACTCTCATGCACCCTTTTTTGCACCTGGCACGAGCACGCTGCGAACTCCATGTCCCCCTACATTTGCACGACAACAATGGCATTATATACATCTTTATATAGGATAATTCAATACTTGGGAATCATGTGGAGTCACTATGTCTTTGGTTCGTTTGAGTAAAGCTTGGGTATGGCATAACACCACGTCGTGACTACATATGCAGACATGGACAAAAACATCCGCATTAGCAAAGCAGATAAGCTTAGATTAGTCACAATTGTATCATGAAGTTTGTTAACATTGTAAGTAACGACAGTGTGTTTAGTTAGAAACAATGCTACGGAACTGATCCTTCACAACTCCAACTACATTAACGATAACTACTGCAAACTTCGTCGCATAATCCGGCTACACTCTACTGCGACTCATCGTCCTCAGTATTGGGCGTAGGGGAAGGTCGTTCTGGAACGGGCAGTGCACTACGTGTAGGTCTCGGTAGTGGGACAGGAGTCGGACGAACAGAGGTGGCAAAGGTGCGGCTCCTTGAGGGGCGGCTAATTGCTAGTCAGCACAACCAAGCAAATCGTCTGTTAAGTATGTACGTACGGCACGGGCGAAAAACTGGGAACGGGTCCACGGCTGACCGATGGGCGGGGGAAACCTCCAGTGGGAGCTGGGAAACTGGGGAAGGGACCGCTGGGGAAGCCGGGAAAGCCTCCAGTAGGGGCTGGTGCTCCTCCACCGGGGAATCCAGGAAAGCCGCCTGTGGGTGCTGGGAAGCTGGGGAAAGGTCCGCTGGGGAAACCAGGGAAGCCTCCAGTAGGGGTTGGTGCTCCTCCACCAGGGAATCCAGGAAAGCCGCCTGTAGGTGCTGGGAAGCTGGGGAAGGGCCCGCTGGGGAAGCCCCCAGGGAAGCTAGGCACGGGAGGAGGAGAGCCGCTTGGGGGTGCTGGAACTTGAGGGGCGGCAGCAACTAGGCTGTTGAAGAGTCAGTAAGGTTCAGTGTTGTTAACAGTAAGTTGCATACCTGGTCAAACCCAGGGTGTAGCAAGCGGAAGAGATCTTCATGGTGATTTTTTCTTGCGTTTTCTAGTCGGAGGATGTTTGCTTGTTGAACAAGTCGAGGTAACGCGAAGATACCAGTGCTTTATATGCTCTTGAAGGCATACTAAAAGGCTAAAGTTTCTCCATAGTCCTGCAAGTCGTAGATTGACAGCGAGTCCAGTGCCATCTGCTTGGGTGTCAACATCATGTTATGCAGATGAGATATTGCGGACGCGCAATCTGTGTGGAGTCTACACCACTTCACTCGCCTTGAACCAGGCAAAGCACCATGTACCTGTATGCTACGGTAAAATTCAATATGATGCAGATGAGTTGTCGACTAAATGATAAAGACTGATGTCTCTATCACGTCACTGCCCATCGATTTTGCACGGGTTACAGAGCGGAAGCGTCCAGAATCCTCAGGACCTGATGATCAATTGCCAAAATCAGCATGCTAGGAATCACACCCCGGCTTGCTTGGTAGCACGCGTGCTAAGCATTGGAGCAGCTTGATTGAGCACCCTAGTCGTTGGGAGTTGACGACAATCTTCCTAGCTATGGGACCATGCGGAGGTTGATCCAGAACTCGGGTATGGTCCGAGCAGTGTGCGGGATACGACAAAAGATAGAGTAAACCTGGATGTTTGAACATCCAATTGCATGCAGTTGTAGTACTCATTCCACAATCGCCGATGCACTCTCGTCTGGAACTGAAGAGAGATGCTTTGCTTGAAACAGATTGATTATTTCTCCTTTCAGTGGCTTTCGAGTAACATATAACTGGGCTAGAATGTGGTACCAGGGACTTCTTTCGGAAAGACTATTTGAGATGCTGTTTATAGATACGTTTCCGTAACAGTCATGATAACAGGACCACCGGCGTTTACTGTCGGCAATGTCGATTGTCCTAGAATCAGTGTACCTGACGAGGTAGATTTAAACATCCTTCCATTACCCGCAGGCCGGTCGGCAGGAATTATCCGGTAGTAATTATCATTGCGGGGAACGATCGCAGCTGCTTTTCTGGGGTAGCTCGTACTTGCATGATGGTATTCCTTAATCAATGCGTTGCAGAAATCCGCGCCTCCTGTTATTGCGTAACCTATAGACGTCCTCGGAGGTCAGGAACCATTCGGAGAGGCTCAAATTGATATGCAATATAACTGGAAGATGATCATTCGCTGCATAGCGCGATGCCGCAATAGGTTCTGGATTGAGACGGGGATTTAAGTGAGGCAATCTGAATGTTCATACCCCAGTCAAGGCTAAAAGGATGTATTTGCTGCGGTTCGACAGAAAAGCCTAACAGGCCTTTGCAGCCCTACAAAAGTCGCATGGTAGGAAATCACGCCAGAGATGCAATGTAGGAGCGGGGACACCAAGCAGCTGGCCGTAGCTGGGTCCTAGGTAAGAGGCAGGGTCGTTGTATAACAGTGAAGGCTTTTGAAATTGCCATGCTTAGATTGGGAACATGATATGGGCCTTGACTGTTCATGAAGCACGGAAGTCCGACAAAGATGGAGTTGGGAGTGATGCCCTGGTGATGGCCCGGTACGTCGCATTTTAGACGCCCAGGGCGCTTGTCTCATTTGGGTTAGTGGTGCAGAACCTCGACCCGCTTCTCAGAAAAAGTTCGGGAAGTCGCGACATGTTGCGACTGAACTGAGAGACGGCAACACCACGAACAAGTCTCAATATGGCCGGCATTAAAAGAAAATCCGCGGGCGCAACTGCGCCCGAAATCAAGACCAAGAGCAAAAAGGTCAAAGTCGATAAGCCTACCTCGAAGCACGAGTCGAAACACGAAGTCAAGCCTGCGAAGAAACCATCCAAATCCAAAAGGAAGAGAGCCCTGGTGGATCCGAAGAGTCGGACACTAGCGAGCAGGAAACCGGCTTTTATGGGTTCTCCGCTGCCGAGGGCGCAGATGTAGACATGAGCGATGCAGAAAGCAGCGAAGTAGATTGAGGAACAGGATGCAAGTCAAACGGCAAGACACGCAAGTCCAAGATGACCCAGAATCATCGAGAAGCCCAAAGGCGATTGATCTGAGTCAAATTGGCGGGTCTAAACTGTAAGGTCTTGAGAGGATTACGTTCGAAGCACCAGGCTAATTGTGTCTCCAGCGAACAACTCACGAGAAGCGCATGCGAAGCAAAAGGCCCTCGCCAAAGAACGAAAAGCTGCCAAGCCAAACGCTGACATAATTGAGCGCTCGAAGAAGCTTTGGGAGAAGCTTAGGTTGAAGTCGCACGTTGACAAGGACGAACGAAAGGAGCTCGTTAAGGAGCTATTCGAAATCATCACAGGCAGAGTCAAGGACTTCGTCTTCAAGCATGACTCTGTACGTGTCATTCAGACGGCGATAAAGTACTCGACTATGGAGCAAAGGCGAATGATCGCAAGGGAGCTGAAGGGCGAGTTCAAGGTCCTGGCCGAGGGCAAGTACTCCAAGTTCTTGATCGCCAAGTTGGTGGAGAAAGGGTAAGCAGACCAGCCACACAATCCACTCCAGAACTAATGGGAACAGAGACCCCGAAATTCGCGATCTTGTCATTACTGAATTCTACGGCCACGTCAAGCGCATGATCAACCATCCCGAAGCCGCATGGATACTGGACGATATATACCGGGCTGTTGCAACTCCGGAGCAGAAGAGCCGCCTACTGCGTGAGTGGTACGGGCCCGAATTCTCCATCAAGGGCCTTGACACGAAGGGCACCGATAGCGCAGAGTTGTCAGTCATCATAAAAGAATCGCCCGAGAAGAGGAAACCCATCATGGACTATCTGGAGAACCAGACCAATGCACTCATTCAGAAGAAACTCACGGGTTTCACGATGCTGCACGATGCTATGTTGCAATATTTCCTCGTTTGCGAGCCCGGGACTGAACAAGCGAACGACTTCCTCGAACACCTCAAGCCCGACCCAACAATCAAGGAAGGCGAAGAGGCCGACAACGTGGATTTGTTGAAGAATCTTGCCTTCACAAAGTCGGGTTCGCGGCTAATGTCACTGTGCTTCGCCTATGGCACAGCCAAGGACCGCAAGCTCTTTTTGCGGCCGTACAAGGACACAATCGAAACCATGGCTTTCGATCAACATGCTCATCACGTCCTCCTTGCCGCAATGGCAGTCACTGATGACACCAAGCTATCAGCCAAATCCATCTTTAGCGAACTTCTACCAAACAATGACAGTCTCGCCGAAAAGGTGTTGAACCTTGTTAACGACACTCGCGCACGTACAGTTCTGTTGTACCCATTTGTTGCAGATGCCAAGTGGCTATTGGATGACAACACACGGGAGCGATTGTCCGAGTTGTACACTATTCGCCAGAAAACATCCAAGAAGGACCCGAATACCCGTCTACAAGAGATTGCAAAGAACATCGAACCGCAGTTACTAACGGCAGTCACTGCCCGAGCTGCCGAATTTGCTTCTTTTGCGTTCGGATTGCAATTCATGGGTGAAGTTCTCGTTGGAGCACCAGAGGTTGAGCCAGCTAAGCGCAAGGATGCCTTGACAGAGATTGCACGTCTGTCGCAGTCAGTCTTGGACTCTGCGCTGCCTGCATCAGCAGGAGACAATAAAGCCGGAAGCCACGGCAAGAACATGCTGAAGACGCTGGTTCAAGGCGGCAAGTTTGACCCTACGACCAAAAAGGTCGTCCCGGTTGAGCCTTCCCTTGGTTTCGCCGATTTGCTCTGGCCTCAGATCAAGGGCAACATTAAGGAGTGGGCTACGGGGCAGGGCTCTTTTGTTGTAGTTGCCTTGACTGAAGCCGAAGGCTTCTCAAAGAAGGACGAGGTCCTGAAAGCTTTGAACAAGGAGAAGAAGGCTCTGGAGGCTGCTGCCAACCCCTCGGGTGCTCAAAATGGCGAGTCAAAGAACAAGAAGCAGAAAAAGGGCGACAAGTCGGACACCACCCCTAGAGGGAATGCAGGTGCAAGGATCCTTCTTGAAAAGTTGTAGACAGTCATTTAGCAGCGTATGTATCATTTGAACAAGTAGTATGATACCCATCTGGGCATTCCACATTTGTCTTCTCCACTCAACTTGCATTGTTGTGATATGATGGTTATGTCAGTATGTATTTGTTACATATCGCATAGTTATGTAACCAACTCGATTTAGTAATGCTTCCGCTGAAATATGCATATGCAGATTCCACGCGAATCGCTGGTCGCTCTTATCACAAAAAATGAGTTGCTCCTTCCCTGATGCTCACCTCCCTACGTCGCTTCCAAAACATAGCAAATAGATGGCCTCAAACACCAGAATCTAGACGTCGCATTCGAGGACCCAGCGAATTCCCACCGCGCTCAGTTTTCTAGCCCACAACACGCGACTTCCCCATCCCAACAGCCTTGAACTCAATCACACTCATACTCCCGCCAAAATGCCCCAACTCCCCACTCTAGACGAATCCTCCCTTCCGTCCATCTTCCAAGCCGAATGGCGTTCAAATCCTGACCCAACGGCTCTCCCCTTCCCGCGCTCTAACCCCCCATTCGCCCTCACCGCAATAGACTGGCATCAACTCTCGCTCTCGGACTCGGATTTCACACCGCATACCTGGCCAAACCTCCAGTATCTAATTTCCACCAACCGCCTCGAAGAGCTCAAACGCTGGCCCAGCTCCCTCAAAGCGTATCTAGCGTGGACTGCGCACGTTAAGCAGAAGTACGGGAGCGTGATGACATATCTACTGCACCAGCGCTTGTACTGGGAACCCTTAGCAGAAGATGAGAGTGGGGGAACGGGTGCATTGCGCTTTGCGGTGAGAAATGACACTCCGTTTGCGGATCCGGACGACTACAAGATTCTAAGGAATGATTGGACGTATGCGCTGGAGGGGATTTCGCATATTGTGGTGTGGCTGAAGCAGCGGCTGCCGGTTGATGAGAAAGGTGCGTTGAATGAGGAGGGAAAGGCATTGGTGGATGCATTTGTGAAGAGAGAGTTTAGGGAGAAGGGCCGGGAGGGGGAGGTGGGGAGTAGGGTTATTTGGTTCAAGAATACTACTGATTTGCAGAGTGTGAGGAGTTTGGAGCATGTGCATGTTTTGGTCAGGGGGGTGGATGAGGGGGTGCTGGAGGGGTGGTTGGTTTAGGGTGGAAGGTAAGGTGGATGGGGGGTTGAGTATTGGGGAGCTTGGAGGATGGGCATCGCGGGTCTGGTGAGCTCTATCATCTCATCGTGTATGTCATTATGATCCACAGATATCGTTTGCGTGTTGGCTTCTTCAACGCTTATCACGTGCATTCGAAAGAAGTTATAATAGATGTGGTATGGTCTATCCAGGACGCCTTCCTATGCTGAACAGCTGTTTGCAGTATTTGACACTCATTTTGTCAACTACATTATATTTACAGAGTGTCACAAAGAGACAATATTTGAAATTAGTCATGCTGCTAGTACCCACCAGCACGCACGAGTCAGATCCGTAATCTTCCTATCCGCACACTCCTCACCTTTCATGAACGTCATCACTTGTCAGCCCTTGAGCCCAGAACATGACACTTTACATGTAGCAAACTTTCTTTTTTTCCTAACACCTCATTCGACAGCGAATTGTCTTTTCACCTTTCACACACGCTACAAGCGGCCCTCACCGGATACTATGGCAATCGCGATAGATCTTCACGGGGCGATCTGACATAGATGGCGCCGATCGTTGCCGACGTGCATCGTCATGGATTTGTCGATAGTTTCTTTGAGCCCTCGACCCGCGCAAACATCGTGTCAGACTAAGCTCTCGGAGCCGCATTTCGCTTGTATGCCGATCGGTCATGGGCATTCTCGGCATTCGCGTTGTTCCTCTTGCGGGTCAACAATCTTTCGGCTGCCCCTGGTGTCTGGTGTCGGTGATGATGTCACACATGGAATTCGACTTAAGGATCTGACGCCGGAGCTTATGAAACTGGTGCTACCACTCCAGTTGTTGCTTTTTTGTCTACGCTTTCTTGTAGTTCGCGACTGAAGTAGGATGCTCGACCTAATTCGCGATTCGGCTTTTGGCCATTGCGTTCGACTGGTAACACGCGGAAAGTACCTCCAGTATCCTGAAGAGAGGGACCACGATATTTGGAAGAAGTACGTCAGTCATGAAAAGTCGGGATATGCAGCCTACCATGGAAAAACTCATCCGCCGGAGGACAATGCTGAAGAGGCATTGAGGGAGCTCACCCAGGCGTATGATGTAAGGAGTCGCGAAAGACACGACTCAAATACTACCGCAGTAGGGGAGGGGGTCAATGAAGCAAGTGGTGTCAGGGTCGATCCTGAGAAGGGAAAGGACCTTCACGTCATCGATTGGTATGGGCCGGATGATCCACAGGTATGTCTGTTTGAGATGGTGGGTTGCGAATTATGCTGATATGCTCTTAGAATCCCCGCAACTGGTCACGAGGGAAGAGATATTTTGTCACGTTTGAGATTTGCTTCCTCACCTTTTCTGTGTATATTGGTTCAGCGATATACACACCTGGTCTTATGGGCGTCATGCAAGAGTTTGGCGTTGCTCAGGTCCCTGCGACCTTGGGGTTGACGCTATATGTCGCCGGGTACGGTCTCGGGCCTCTCCTCTGGTCTCCGATGAGTGAGATTCCGCAAATTGGACGGCTATGGGTGTATATTGGCACTCTCCGTAAGTCAGGCTACCTTTTCACGTCGAGGTATAACGCTAACGTTGTTTTTCGTAGTGGTGTTTGTTCTCTTCCAGTTGCCGACCGTCTACTCGGTCAACTTTGGCATGCTTCTTGCTTTCCGGTTCCTCACTGGCTTCTTCGGCTCTCCTGCTCTTGCTACAGGCGGTGCTTCCATCGCCGACATGTATCGACCCAAGAAACAAGTCTATGGCATGGCTGTCTGGGGTGTAGGAGCAGTTTGTGGGCCTGTGCTCGGTCCCTTAGTAGGAGGATTTGCCGTCATGGCGGAAGGTTGGAAGTGGACCATTTGGGAACTGATGTGGCTATCCGGCATCTGCTGGGTGTTCCTGTTCTTCTTTCTACCGGAGACAAGTTCGCCCAACATCCTGTACCGCAGGACCAAGCGGCTGAGGAAGTTGACTGGCGATGATCGGTTTACTTGCGAGCCGGAAATGACAGCGGCTGAGATGACACCCAAGGATGTGTGTACAAGCCCATCGAAACGTTGAGAACACGAAGCTAATATGGTACCAGGTTATCCTAATGAGTCTGGTGAAACCCATCACCTTGAACTTCACCGAGCCAATGGTGTTTCTGCTCAACCTGTACATTGCACTCATCTACGGTCTTCTGTACATTTGGTTTGAGTCGTTCCCCCTTGTCTTTGAGGGGATATATGGCTTCAACCTTGGCCTCGAGGGGGTGGCCTTCCTTGGCATCCTTGTTGGCACATTTCTTGCCGCCGGGGTACTGTTCGCATGGAACTACTGGTATCTAGAACCGCAGTTCGACGACAATGGCAACATTCAACCAGAGAAGCGTCTTATCCCCGCCATGGTCGGCTGCTTTGCGGTGCCCATCTGTCTGTTCTGGTTCGGATGGGCTTCGCGATCCGATGTTCACTGGATCGTACCAATCATCGGGTCTGGCTTCTTTGGTGTAGCAGCGTTCACGCTATTCCAGGCGGTCCTACCGTACTTGAGCGATGCATACCCAGACTCAGTGGCTAGTGTGCTGGCGGGCAACGACCTGATGAGGTCTTCATTTGGTGCGGGGTTCCCTTTGTTCGCCAATGCCATGTACCAAAGATTGGGTATCAACTGGGCGAGTAGCTTGTTGGCCTTTCTGGGTATCGCCTTCATCCCCATCCCGTTCGCTCTCTACAAGTGGGGCAAGCAGATTAGGCACAAGAGCAAGCTGGCGAGGAAGGATATCTAAGGGGTTTGAGGTGAAAAGCATGCCATGATGAAATTAATTTGTCCATATGACTGTAATGTAATGAATAGTTCGGAAATCCCGACGACAGTGGCTGTTGCACGTGCTGAAGCTGGGTGCTTATCATGGTAGGCTCGATATACGGTCGACGTCATAGCTGGATGGATTTACGGCTAGATTGCGTTTGCATCAGGGTCATACCTGGATGACAGGTCTCGCCGTGGCCGTGAGTGTGGGAAAGGAGGTCCGGATTTCTCTGGACCCTGATCTACCGAGATTTGAAGCCGGAGAGTAGGGCCGCTTTTGGAATGCAGAGGAGGTCGGCCACTGAACATTTAGGCTGGGGAGGCCAGAAGTCACGACAGGCAAGCGCGGGCATGGGTGGTGGGTGGAGAGAGTGTTCCAAGGCCGGTCCCCCGCCTAGCTAGCGCATGTGCATGTCTTGGGCGCATGCAGCGTGGGCAGATTACGCTTGTGGCGACATGAAGGGCAGTAGTCAGTCCAACGCTCGGGGGCGACTTGTCTAGCACGAGGGGAGAGGTTTTGAAGGCGTCGCAGAAGTGGTGCTCAAGCGCTAGGTTCGCGCTTGCTCGTGAAGCTTAATGTTGATAGATAGGCTCGCCGCTGCGCTGTCGAGACGGGCCGCATAATCGCCATACTGAATACCGTACCCCGGGGATTTGCGTTGCTTGTTCAGTCGTGCACCGCCACAGAAATCTCGCGAACAGGTTTGAAGCGCTGATCTTTTCCGCCGCGGGCTACGGTGCCCCGACTGGTCGATTATCATGAGCGGACATGTACGCAGCGTGCGCTTCTCGAGCCCAGCCCACCACAACGCACTGCTGCTAAACAACATGGCCATGGCCGACGCGACCAAGCCCGTCGTCGTCAACGCGCCCGAACCCCCCCAGCGAGTCGAGAGCTCAGGGTCTGGCTCGTCAGGCGATTCCGATGATCATGCTCAGCTTGGCACTGCTGGCATCGAAGACGGCCAGTACAATTTTGCGCCTCCAGTCGAAGCAACGAGTGCCGTCGACCAAGTAGCTCCTCTGCGAGAGCCAACCTACAGCTGGAACAGCAACGCCCCGTCACGCAACCGTGGACCTCAGATCATGACCGACGTGCCACCAGCAGTGCCCCAGATCAACGGCAACGCCAACGCCAACGGCACCACGTCGTCGACCAGAGGGCCCCGTCCGTCCGCCGTGCGCACTCCCAGCAATGCCTACGCACCTGCCCGCCGCCCCCAGCAGTTCTCGCTCAATTCAAACAGCCACCGCCCACGCAACAACTCGGCCACACGGTCGCGGCGTAACAATCCCAATGCCGAGTACCGCGCCCAGGAACAGGCCTATGTGCAGCGCATCCGCCAGGAAGACCAGCAGGACGACTTCTTCGACCCGGCCCTGCGCACTCCCAGCTTGGGCTACAGCACCGACTCCGAGACGGAAGATGAGTCGCCATCGACGGCCGAGTATGTCGAAAACGACCCTTACGACCAGGAAACGCTGCTTTACTATGGCAATGATGACATGCAGCCCTCGATTGAGGAGCTCAAGATCCCCGCCAACCGCGAGCGTCTTGAGTGGCACTCGATGCTGGCCAGCGTGCTCACGGGCGACGTGGTCAAGCAGGAGAAGAAGCGGCTGATTGGCAGCACCGAGCAGCAGGGAGACAGCACCATGAAGGCTGAGATCTGGATGGGCATCCGTGCCAAAGTGTGCGGGCGCTCACTGCAGGCACAACGGCGCATAGTAGACGACACAAGGAGCAAGATCCGCGCCAACCTCGACAGTATCATCTCGTTTGAGGTCGGAGGTGAGGCCGAGGCAGGCCAGACGGCCGCGCAGCAGGTTGAGGACATTGTCAAGAAGATTGAAAAGGTCGAGAGCGCCTACCCCACGCGACAGGCGCTTGAGTTGGCATATCCAAAGGCAGCCTCGCAGCCCTACAAGGACGCCTGCGACGCCGTCATCGCCTGGCACAACACCATTGCCCTCATCAACACGGAAATGTCCATCCTGAAGAAGTGGGTTGGCAACGAGGAACTCGACTTCACAAAGCCCCGGCCACGCTCGTCGCAGGACCATCACCTGACCGACGAGTCTTCGTTTATTGACCGGATACTCAAGGAGGATGGTCTCAAGTCACTCCAGGGAGATACAAACCTACTCGCTCCACTAGAAAAGGTGATCCAAAAGGCCAAGAACACCCTCATCGCCAACGCCGAGGGTTTCGCCGACAGACATCTTCCGCCCTACATCGAAGAATTACTCACCCTCATCAACTTCCCCTCGCGTCTGCTCCAGGAGATCATCCGCGTTAGGTTATCCTACGCTAAGAAGATCAAGGATCCTTCACAACAGGGCGTCATGATGGCGGAACAGATGATCGCCCAGTTCCAGATCCTGCTCGCCATGGCTGGACAGGTCAAGGAGAGCTACATGGCCATCTCGCGGCCAGAACCCGGCTGGGATCTGCCTCCGTGCATCGAGGAGAACTTTGACACCGTCGTCTTGGATGCGCTCAAGTTCTACTTTAAGATGCTGAACTGGAAGTTGGCCGCAAACAAGAACACTTTCAAGGAGGCTGAAATCTTGGAACAAGAATGGGACTTTTGCAACAAGCTCGGCAGGCAACTGCAGGGAGGCGATGTCGAGACCGCAGAGCAGTTTAGTGTCCTCACTTCAAAGTCGCTCACTCGTCTCAGCGCGCACTTCGAACGAGAGTTGCAGCGTCGGCCAGACGAGCTCACCGGATCTGAGATGGAAAAGAGGTACAAGCAAATACTGGATTCCGTCCGTGTTCGACAGCGTAAGCTGTTCCGTTTCTCCAGGATCTTGACACAGCGGTTCGAAAACTGTACAGAGTTCAACATCAACAATATCGACTTGGACGAGGAACAACTGCATGAGCTGTACGAATCCTTGGTCGTGACCGGACACTTCCTCGTCGAGACGACTGGTGGTAACAACAACGGCGTCTACATTGTCGCGTCGCCAACCGCACTTGACCGGCCAAACGACATCCAATCGCTTCTCACCACTTGTTACCACGCCGAAGAGGCCCCAGAGGATCCATCGAACCCATACGTCTTGATCATCAGACCAGAGCAACATCTTTACTGGCCAGGCAAGAAGATGTCCGCCAACATTATTGAACCCCATCTCGATCTCAAGCCTGGCCGCTTGCGCCTCGTTGCCGATGGCTCTCAGCAACGGCTGGCCAACGCAAACATGTCGTTCCTCTCCTCCATAGGTATTGAGCTCAACATCCTAATCGATCAACGCGCCAACCTTCCACGTGTCAATGCAGAACTGCAAAAGATCAAAAAGACGGCATACAAGCTATCGAACACCATCATGGACAGTGTCGAAATCGTTCGTAGACAGACTGTCGGTCTTGACTGCCAGGATCTCATACAGACTTGTTTTGCCTTTGCTACCGAGTTCGGCCAGCGTTCCGTTCTCTACATGGACTACAACCGTCGCGCTATGAACAACATCAAGCTGACCAGATTGGCACTAGACTGGGTCAGTTTCATTTGCGACGACTGCATTGCCTCGGATCGAAAGACGTTCCGATGGGCTGTCGTAGCTTTGGAGTTTGCCATGATGATGACTCGCGGCCAGAATATCCTATCAATTAGTGAAGAGGAATACTCGCAGCTGCGCCTCAAGGTAGCTGGTTGTATGTCGGTCCTTATTTCCCACTTCGATATCATGGGTGCAAGGTCTACTATCGCCGCCCAAGCTGAGCGTCAGCGTCTAAATGCCATTGCTGGAAAGAGTCTGTTGGACCCTAAGAACGCCAAGGACGACGATGAGTCGATTGAGATGACTCAACAGCAATGGATGCAAAGACTTGAAGAGATTGACTCATTCCGCAAGGACAAGGAAGCTGAACGTCAGGCACTTGGCAGGGTACTGGAAGACTCTAATGAAGCTGATCGTGCTCTGACCTACCTTTCTTCCTCGGCGACAAATGTTACCCTCCGATGGCAGCAGGGTCAATTTGTCGGCGGTGGTACATTCGGATCAGTATACGCGGCTATGAACCTCGACTCTAACCACCTCATGGCTGTTAAAGAGATTCGTCTACAAGATCCGCAGCTCATTCCTACCATCGTTGCTCAGATCAGAGATGAGATGGGTGTGCTGCAGGTGCTTGACCATCCGAACATTGTGTCTTACTACGGTATCGAGCCACATCGTGACAAGGTATACATCTTTATGGAATACTGCTCCGGTGGATCACTTGCTGGCCTACTCGAGCATGGACGTATTGAAGACGAGACTGTCATTATGGTTTATGCACTACAAATGTTGGAGGGTCTTGCGTATCTACACGACGCTGGTGTCGTCCACCGTGACATCAAGCCCGAGAGTAAGTTTTGCATAGCCCCTTTGTTATCTTTACCTCGCACTAACACTACTCAGACATTCTCCTCGATCACAACGGAGTGATCAAGTTTGTCGACTTTGGCGCCGCCAAACTCATCGCTCGTCAAGGTAGAACCCTCGCGGCTGAACACAATGCTACACGGCAGGGTCGACAGCGTTCCATGACCGGAACGCCGATGTACATGTCTCCCGAAGTGATTCGTGGAGGCAGCACCGGCCGTCACGGTGCCGTGGACATCTGGTCATTGGGTTGTGTCATCCTTGAGATGGCCACTGGGCGTCGTCCTTGGGCATCTATGGACAACGAGTGGGCCATTATGTACCACATCGCCCAAGGTGACCCGCCGCAACTACCCTCTAAAGAGCAGCTGAGCGACACCGGTATCGACTTTCTGAAGAAGTGCTTTGACCGTGATCCGAACAAACGCGCTAGTGCCGTTGAGCTACTGCAGCACGAATGGATCATGACGCTCCGTGCCCAACTATCGTTGGAGCCAGCAACGCCGACTGATAGTAACTCGAGCAGCGGAACGCCGCAGAGTAGTAGGCACAACTCTACCTACAACTAGACATGTCCCGTGTTTGTTCACAGGGAGAGTTGTAAAGCCGTTGGCTGACTACCATATTCTGTGATAGTGATTCGTCGCTCCTCGCTACAGAAGTACAGTTTTGATACTAGCAGAAACAGTCAACTGAGCCCCGGATCGAGGTCGTCCAGTATTTCTCCATCTAGTCATGGGCCAGTCACTTCAGCGCTCTGCCCCTTCCGCCAATCTCAAATCTCCGAATCTTGATGGGGATCAAACGATCAAACCCGCCGTTTCCACCATAGCTGAGACTGTTGTAATGTCTTCAATCCCGCACTTACTCTGCAACTTCCCGCTAGCGTCTCTTGGGAAGTCTGCACGCTTGTGTTGGTTATCTCCTTTTCTTCGTCTTCACTTTCTTTACGCATTACTGTTATCTCGGGCAGTCGGGCATTTTCTGTATCGGGCGGTGTTTCTGCATTAGCGACGGCGTTTTCTTTGCTGCCTTGGGCCTATCTCTCTCTCGGGTTGGGTTAGTTTCTAATTACTGGACTATCATTAGGGGGGTTATAGAGTACTGGTGGAAGTATTTACCTTCGCTTATGACGAGAGACGCGGCATACATACTAAGCAACGATTGCCCTGCGAGGCCTATACCATGTTCTAAACATTTGCAGTTTTGGTGTTGACTTGTGATTGATGGTTGTCCGTTCGCATCCCGTGTTGTACCGAGGATGAACAATCACTAGGCTGTGGTGTTGATTACTTAGCCGATGATGGAGAGGTGCGGGACAGAGACGCGGGCGCAAACGGAAGGGACCTCGGCGTACCGATCCGCCGCAGCTCGGAGGATTATCATGTCGAAACGTCATGCACTTTTTCTGGAAGCAATCTGAAGTGAAGCGACCAGTCCGGCGTATACCAGCCCCAACGTCTGAGGGCTATTTCCATGATGCGTAGTGCATCTTTCAGATTTACGAAATAGCAATTGAACCTCTGACGGCGCGGCAATGTCAGATGGCGGAAAGTCCTCGTCGTCTTATTGTAAGTGCGGGCAGGAGCTCTGCGCATATTCTCATCTCACAAACATTGCAGTCCACTTCTTCGCAGGCCTGAACTCTGGCATTCTCTCGGCAGTACTCCTCCAACCCGCCGACCTTCTCAAAACGCGCGTTCAACAATCGCGCTCAAGCACCCTCTTTGGCACCATACAATCCATAGCCAGCGGACCAAACCCCGTACGGCAATTCTGGAGGGGAACACTACCAAGCACACTACGTACAGGCTTTGGGTCTGCCATATACTTCTCCAGCCTCAATGCGCTGCGTCACCGAGCGAGTTTAGGAGCCGCGGGGAGGGCAGATGCAGCGGCCAAGGGAGCAGAGCATTCGAGCTCGCTGCCAAAATTAAGCAACACGGCCAATTTGGCGACAGGCGCTTTTGCGCGAACATGGGCAGGCTTCATCATGATGCCGATAACGGTGCTTAAAGTCCGATATGAGAGTAACCTGTACGCCTACAACTCGCTCTTCACGGCATCAAGAGACATATTCCGCACAGAGGGGCTCAAGGGCTTCTTTGCCGGGTTTGGAGCAACCGCAGTTCGCGATGCACCCTATGCGGGGCTATATGTCCTCTTCTACGAGCAGTCGAAGAGAAAGCTTTCTAGCCTTGCAACAAAGATTGAACAGACATCCGGCGCATCCACCAAGCTTTCCACCAGCACGTCTGCAGGTATAAACTTTGTCTCGGGTGTCGCCGCAGCTGGACTAGGAACGACGATTACCAACCCGTTCGATGCCATCAAGACGCGCATCCAGCTCATGCCCGAACGATATGGAAACATGGTACAGGCGACTAAGAAGATGTACATGGAAGAGGGCCTGCGTTGCTTTTTCGACGGCCTAGGTATTCGGATCGCGAGAAAGGCAGTCAGTAGTGCGCTTGCTTGGACACTGTATGAGGAGCTCATTCGCCGAGCGGAAACTCTGAAGGAGGTGGTTGAGGATAAGATCTAAGATGTAATTGTGAAAATGTATAATATTTGCACACACTGACCTTTTATTGGCGTCAACATGGAGGATCTGTGCCGCGGAAACGACCCTCCCCTGAAGACTTTCACTATTTTCTCGAGCCCACGAACACATGCTTTAGTCCGGGTTGTTTTAATAGATGTGCACTACTGAACGGCAATTTACGGCCGACTATCGTGGACAACTCAAGCCGGTATTGCATCATTGGTCCCATGTTGAAGAATTCGGTCCGTATGTACATGCTACGCACGTAAGACTGCATCCGCAAAGGCTGCACAAGAAACGACTCAGTCAAATGAATTCGTTAGTATTACCTCCGTTAATGGCATAAATTGTCCATCACAGCCATATGGCTGCCGGAGTTCATGATTGTTTTCACCTTACAGAGCACTGCAGGACATTTCCGAGCATACATAGTGAAAGGACGAAGCTCGACGCCATCGTTACTGCCGATGACTCGGCGTTAGCCAGAACGCTCGGCTAATGACCGAACGTAGGTTTCCTGGCTCAACTCAAATTACAGTGAACGAAGTGGGAAGAGGCATCTTAGTGATTATCATACGATCGCTCCCCAGTGCTGCGCTTTCTGCCCACGCGATAAGTACCGTGTTGCCTACCAACATATCCATGAGGTTTGCCTTAGATTGCGGATGTTCGGTGTTTTGACATACGCAGTCTCCGACGTCCGCAGTGCGATCATCCGCTTTTCCAGACTATAGGCACGGAGGGACGGAGATTCAACCACTATACACCATGGCACCTGTACAAAGCTGGAGAAGTCTACATCTAGCAAACTTCTGGACCGAGCCTCACCCATAGCCCATCATTTCCAATCCTAATTTCAATCTTTTTGCTATCATGGATGCCCAGGGCCACAGACACACTGACAAGCCGGAACGAGATGCTACTCTCTTGAGGCCGGATCAGGCACACATTGAAGAAGAACAGGACAAGGAGATCCACGGTTGCAGTTCACACACTAAGATTGGCACTATGGATTCATATTCAGATACCTCTGATGTTGAGCGCGATGCCGGCATATCGAGGTTCCCAACACAACAAGACCATTTAGGTAGCGATCTCCAGCCGAACTCTACAGAAATTGAGCGCATACAAACGCAGAAGAGCCAGCACTCCCAGACCGTAGGTTGTAGTACGTTAAAGAGCAGAGCCTCAAGGAAACCATTACCAGCCTTCGGTGCAAACAAACCCTATCCACCCCAACTTATCGACCAGGAGGCGTACGTCGTGGGATTCGATGGCCCTGATGATCCGCTGCACGCCCAAAATTGGCCTTTCGTGGACAAATTGATTATAGCTACCATGCTGGGCTTCACCACCTTTACAGCTTCGTTTGGCAGTGCAATTTTCAGTACGACGATACCCCATCTTCAAGCAAGGTTTCATGTGGGCTCTGTGGTGGCTACTCTGGGTACATCGTTGTACGTGCTTGGGTTTGCCACGGGTCCGATTCTATGGGCACCTTACTCTGAGCTCAAGGGTAGACGGTCTCCGCTTGTGTTTGCATCGTTTGGGTTTGCCATCTTCAACCTTGCGGTTGCCGTGGCCAAGGATGTGCAGACGGTGATGATTTGTCGGTTTTTTGGCGGCTTCTTTGGTGCTTGCCCACTCACTGTGAGTGTTTCTTCTGCCATGGTTCTTTTCTTGGAAGGGCTGCTGATTTCGTGGACCAGTGCGTTGCGGCTGTCTTCTCAGATATGTTCAATAACCGGTCACGCGGAAACGCCATTACTATCTTCGCCATGGCTGTATTTTGCGGTCCACTCTTCGCTCCTTTCATTGGCGGCTTTATTGTAAAGTCGAAGCTTGGCTGGCGATGGACTGAGTACATAACGTACGTGTCACATCATCCCCCTTCACATCTCAATATCCACCTAACATATATCCCCCGCAATAGCGCCATCCTGGGCTTCGTCTGCCTTGGTCTCAACGTCATCTTCCTCCGCGAAACTTACGCGCCCCAAATCCTCGTCGAAAAAGCCGCCACCCTCCGCCGTGCCACCAAAAACTGGGCAATCCATGCAAAACAAGACGAAATCGAAATCGACTTCGGCGAGCTTCTCGAGAAGAATTTCTCACGTCCCCTCCGCATGCTCGTCACCGAACGTATCGTCTTACTTATCACAATTTACATGTCCTTCATCTACGGAATCCTTTACCTCTTCCTCACCGCATACCCCCTAGTCTTCCAGCGCGTCCATGGCATGAATCCCGGCGTGGGTGGACTCCCATACTTTGGCCTAATCTCGGGTCAGCTACTCGCTGGATTGGTCATATTCCTCCGCCAACCTGCGTACGAGCGCAAACTGGCGGCGAACGACAATGTCAATGTTCCCGAGTGGCGACTCCCCGATGTCATTGCTGGCGGCATTTGTTTCGCGGCGGGCATGTTTTGGTTTGGGTGGACAGGGTACAAGGCTGATATTCATTGGATTGTACCTACTCTGAGTGGACTCTTACTGGGTTTTGGGTTGTTGGCGATCTTCTTGCCATTGTTCAATTATTTGATTGATAGTTATTTGATGGTAAGTTACCATTCACTCTCTTCCTTCAAGATCAGAATGGCTAACATTCGATTAGTTTGCCGCATCGGCTATTGCTGCGAACACCTTCTTGCGCAGTCTGGCAGGCGCTGCCTTCCCGCTCTTTGCACGCCAGATGTTCGAGGGCATGGGTATCGAGTGGGCGTCTACACTGTTAGGGTGTTTGGCTGTTGTCATGGTTCCTGTGCCGGTTTGGTTTTACCTCCAGGGCGAGAAGATTAGGAGGAAGAGTGTGTATGCGCAAACGCGGTAGGAAAGGGGCAATGTAAAAGTTCTACGGGCGTTGTGCTGCTGAGTCTTTTGTTTGGTCAAAGCGACAGTTTTTGCTACGAGAAGAACAGTGAATTAGCAAACTTCATAGATTGTTACACGGATGAATCGTAGTCACTCTTTATGACTTAGGCAAGGTCCGAGGTAGAAGAGCTGGAGGAATTAGTGAGGTAATGATGTTAGATGGTAATAGAGATGGTGGGGCAATGTCCCCAACTCCATCGCAATAGAGAAAGACGTCAAGTGGAGTCAGTCTAGAATGAATGATGGCTGTCAACGTGATTTGCAGATTGTCGAATATCCTGAACACGAGTGAATCCAACCAAATACTTCATTGCATTAAAGTGCTTGCGACCATTGCCGAGGGCGTTTGAAAATCCATCATTGTCGTATGAGAGACCTTTGTAACGATGACTTAGGCAATTACTGCGAGTTCGCCCTGCATATGCATAGGGCGTTAGAAGCGCACAATTGGAAGCTATGATTCAGCCAAAGTGGGTTCTTGCGGGGAAGTTGTTGAGGCTCAAGGGGAAGTCGCTACCGGTGCCCGTTATCCCGGAAGCTAACATTGTTTGTTGATCGCACCTTATGCATCCGCCCACCCCTCAAAAAATGACATCCTAAACACCTTAAGATGCAAGTACGTCGATTAACTCTCTAAAGGCAAAGTTCAAGTAGCCGTTGTAACAGAAATCTAATAGTATTTTAGCTATAATTTCCTCGTTGGCTATAATCCACGTGCAAACCTGCATGTCGGGTATACTTACAGCAAGAGGGTATTTCCCAGCGACAGATCTCTCCATATTACTTCGAACTAGGATAGTGGCTCAACCGTGCATACTGAGCATAGCACTGTTACCAATTGTCGCCACGCCAGATGTGTGCTGTTACGCAGCTTCATTAGTCAGAATGTCCTGATGGACCAATACCTGATGCCTTTGCCAAACAAGGCAGGTGGGTAGATGCACGAACGGCCACAGCCGGGTATTGAAGCCGACCGGTGGCGTCTCGCTACAGATTTTGCCAGCTCAGCCATATGGGATAGCCTTGAAATCACCGGATCTAGGTCTTACCTGAAGTCCAATTATGGTAAAAAAAGATAGACACGGTAGGATCATGCTCTTGGCACGCAGGCTCCGGCCCCCAACGCATTATCCGGGTGAATGGGAATTCGACAGCACTCCGGCCTTGTGGCAGACTCTAGTGGCCCATTTTCAACTGGAAGCCGTATAGAGAGATGGATAGACTTGCCCGGTCTAATCTCACTCTCGAATGTGGCGCAAACTCTTCCAGGCACCCTTGGTCTGTACCTTACTCAGCGGCCGGCAAGACCTAGCTAAGGTAGCAATTCAACAGCTGCATTGGTCCAATTTCAAGCCATGATGGAGTGCAGCAGGGCGTACTGCATCTATACCAAAGCCATCTAGGTAGATATGGATTAGGCTGCACACTAGGTATTACTGTGAGTGCGCGAGTCTGTCTGAAGTATTTATATTGGACTGCGGAAGCACGTCGTCGTAAGTTTTTTTCGACTCTATCTTGTGCTCTTCGTCAAAATGGGTCGCTTCTCACTACTCGCTTCTTTGCTTTTGGCAACCAATGGGGTCTTGTGTGCCACATGGCTTGGTGAAGTTAAGAAATTAGACGGCGTTGACTATCAGTGTGAGTGGAATTTGTGTAAATGTCTTTTCATAACATACTGACAGGAATAAAGGCAAGTGCTACTCCGACAACGCGTGTTGGCCTACAAACAAGGATTGGGAAAAGCTCAACCAAACTGTATCTGGTGCCCTGCAGGCTGCAATACCACCTGGTGCCGTTTGCCACAAGAACTTTGAAAATTCTACCAGCGTGTATGATGCAGCAAAGTGTGCAGACTTGCAAGCCAACTGGCAGGTTGAACAAGTCCTGTATGTCTTATCATCTGAACAACAACGTTGAAGACAATGCTAACGTTATCCTAGGGTTGATGACCCAATTGCCGGACTGTGGCCGTTCAAGACCAACAACACCTGCTTACCGACCAACAACCCGTCTGAGCCCTGCTCCAGGGGTTTTTACGGGCGCTATGTAATCGTGGCGACCACGAAGGAACAAATCAGGGCAGGCGTGAACTTTTCACGAGAGCGCAACCTTCGTCTGATTATCCGTAATACCGGCCATGACTTCATGTGAGAATTATATCTGGTTATCCTTCCATGTAGGGAAGAAGACTAATGTAGCATAAGGGGCCGTTCGACCGGTTACGGGTCCCTCATTATCAATACTCACCACTTCAAGGAGGTCAAGTTTCTCAAGAAGTACACTGGACCTGGCGACTGGACAGGTAGTGCGGCTATCGTTGGTGCTGGCGTTCAGGGTCGTGAGCTCTTCCGTCAATGCTTTGCTCAGAGCCCCAAAGTCGTCATTGTTGGTGGGGAGTGCCCGGTATGTTGATAAGCTGGATACCATTATTCCAATCGCTAAACCCTCATAGACTGTCGGTTGGGGCGGTGGCTATATTCAAGGCGGTGGTCACGGTCCGCTTTCTGGCATATACGGTATGGGAGCTGACAATGTGCTTTCCTTTGACGCCATCACTGCCGAAGGAAAATACGTTACTGCCAACGCGAAGGAAAACTCTGATCTCTTCTGGGCTCTCAAGGGCGGCGGTCCCAGTTCTTTTGCGGTTGTCGTCGCCATCACGGTGAAGACGTTCCCCGAGGTTCCCACGGCTGGCACGATCCTCAATATTAACTCGACGCACACCAACGACACGGAACTGTTTGCCAAGGGCGTTCATATCTTCCACAACCTGGCGAATCACTACGCTGACCATGGAATGTTCGTGTATTTTGAACTTGGCCCAGGCCCTCAGGTCCTTCACATTGCTCCATTCGTCGGCCCCAACATGACCGGAAGCCAGCTTGCCGCTGTTCTCGCACCACTATACGAACAACTAGACGCAGCCAAGGTGCCTTATGATGCGCACACAAAGGCCTTCCCCACCTTCTTCGAAATGTACATTGACCTGTTCGAAGACGAGCCAGCAAACCGTCAATCCATTGTAGGGGGTCGTCTCTTCACACAGGCTGATATTACCAGCCATGGGGATGAGATTGCAGATGTCCTCATCTATGCAGCAATGCCAGAGCCCACCCAACTCGGGTTTAACGTCGGCCATATTGTTAATCCCGGGCGTGCATACCCCAAAGTAGACAACGCCATCAATCCTGCCTGGCGCAACGCCAGCAGTTTCGTCATTACGAATATCGTCATGGAGGGCACTGAACCATGGACGGTCAAGAAGGAGCGCGAGAAGTTCAACACCAATGTTGTGGGCAAGAGGCTGAGAGACGCCTCACCCAATGGAGCGAGCTACGTCAATGAAGGTGATCTCAATGAGCCCAACTGGCAAGAGGCGTACTGGGGCAGCAATTACGCGAGGCTGTTGAAGATTCGCCAGAAGTGGGATCCTAATGGTGTCTTCTTTACTGAGACTACGCCAGGGACGGAGAACTGGAGTGTGCTTGACTATGGTACGAAGCTGTGCAAAAAAACCAGTGCGTAGGCGGGGAAGTGGTATTGATTGTGGTGCATGTCATACGGGAGCGAACCTTGTTGAAGCGTATGCATATTGATTGCCTCAGGTATGACGCGACGACTGATACGCGTGTATATGGCGTGATGACTGCGTATCTGCATGTTCTGCGCCCAAGATTGTCAACGTAACCCGAGATGAATGTGATGCGGTTGAAATGGTGAGAGTTCAAGCACTTCTGTGTTCTATACCTAGGTGGAGCAGTGAGACCAAAAGCTGGGCAAGCAGCCCGGGGGAGAGCGGGAGCGATGACGAAAGAGTCGCGTTTTTCGCTAATCGGTAACGGGCTTAGCAGCAAGTTCACCTTCACAAGCCAATGTATCCTAACTACCAACAACCATCCCAATTCCTTGCAACCCCTCAGCTGTGTAGTCCCCCGCTTAAGACGCCAACTATTCCGCTTCGATTACGCAGATCCATTAGCGACACCATCGGATACAAAACCGTCTACGGTCCTACGGTCCGACGATCCGAAGAATCATCGCATTCCGAAGAATCCCATCAGGCTCCTATTCACCATCGCGAAGACCCGATTAGACGTTTGCCACCATTGCGCAGCCCACATCTCGCCCGAGAACACATGCCACGCGCATGCCGAACCTCTCTCCGAGTCCCGTTAATGTCGATTGAATGCCTCCCGTCCTGAATCCCTTCTTACGGGCTTTCTTCCGTAGCGCACTCCCCAGCCAGTGCCAGCCGGCGCAGCATCACGTAGGGTGCCTGGATAAGCCACGGGCAAGAGCGCAGTTGCTGACGTTGTATGCTATAGGTACTTCTTGTCCCGACGACCGAAGTTCTCCTCACATCGCGCGACAAGGAATCGAATACCTCGTACGTTGACCTCAGCGGCTCTGAAGACTTCCTCGCAAGCCATGTGTTACGTGTGCCAGGGGGCGTGGGACCGAACAACCATGTCAAGGATGCAGGCACTTTTAGGGAGACAAGAGGCAAGGCCAAGCAGTTCACAACGGCCAATGGTCGGACGGTGATTGTCAAGGACGCCTTCATCTACAGCAATAAAGGCTTCAAGACACTCAACCAAGCGCAGCTCCTTAGCGACACCATCTTCTACCCTGATTCCTTCGATGCGCAGCCTTGGCTGGTATACTTCATTTCCCGGCCACTCATAGGCACCTTTGACCCAAACCCGATAATACCGGCTACACTACACGTCAAGAAGGATGCCGCGCCAGCACCTCCACCTGCGGGGAGCTCAGCCATGGCTGTCAGCTCGTCAATGCCGCGGAAGAAGGACGTCAAGTCGTTCAGCGACCTCTTGAACCACTTTCCCATGATCGCCCGCCAGATGCAGCCAGGCCTGGAGAGGCTGTTCAAGGAGTTTGGCAAGGAATTAGAGAAGCCGCTACCAGTTACACCTACACAACGATCAAGACGTTCGTCCATGAGCTCGCGAGCCAGCCAGCGGAGACGAGGCTCGGCATCATCAGCGGAGACGGCACCACTGTCCATTCATAGCAGCATGTCGCAGGGCCCGAATGGCTTCATATCGAACCTAGAGATCAGCGACGAAGAAGACCAGATGCGAAGATCGCTCGAGACTGCTGTAACGGCAGCGATTGATCTGTTTCAAATGGTCGATAAGCAGCAGTTGTCACTTTTGGGCGCGACTACAGACTTGACGGGCCCTATCGTCGAGCGCATGATTGAGCGATACATTGCCGAGCAAGTGCACAATACCATCCTGTTCCCGCGAATCCAACAAATACGCATGCTGGAGGATGCCGAACTCGAGCGCCGAACGCGACAAATGATGGACATCGACATATCGCAGGTTGGCATTGATATTGGACACGGTCGCAAGGGCAAACAAGAGCTGGCTATACGGTTGTCGAAAGCCGTGGACAAGTTCAAGAGAATGGGCGTTGCAGGCAGTCCTCAAGAAATGCTGGAAATACTCCTCACAGTGCAGAAGCATATCACGATGCCGGATGAGCAACAGGAAAAGACCATGGCGAACGGAGAGCAACTCTCCGAGAAGCAAGATCACTTGCTCACTATCAATGCAGATACACTCGTCTCACTATTGCTCATAGTAGTCATTCGAGCGCCGGTACGGCATCTGCAGGCACGACTGTCCTACATGCGCCATTTCATCTTCATTGACGATGTCGAAAGCGGCGAAATGGGCTACGCCCTCAGCACATTTGAAGCTGTTTTGTCGTATCTGACAACAGACTCTGGAGGCTTACGAAGAGCAAGTCGACGTAACAGGGCACTGTGGCATGCCACCAAGACGGGTGATCTTGCGACCATGCAAGGCATCCTTGAACCTGACAGGTCTTTCCATGCAGACATGGACAGCTTCTCTTCAGATGAGAGCGACACTCCACCAAGACATCGCCCAGTCAGATTCGCAGCAAGTCTATCAGAGCTACGCTCTCCGGGAGGAACCATCACGAACGGGGATCATGAGCCACGGTCAAGATCAAGTCGTTCACATTCATCTCGCGAGAACGGGGTCATTGAGGACGGACCACTAGCACACATCTTTCCCTTCCAGCGAGCTCAGACACCGCCGCTACCCGACAGACCAAAGATGAAGAAGCGGGTATCAATGGACACGAGAAGTATGTCGAGTGGCTCGGCGCGCTCATTCCGATCTCGTACAACACTCGATTCGCGTGTTAGCGCTATTGAAGGCGATGTCTCGATAGAGAAGCTCACTATGACACAAGGGCCTGATGGCGAGTCACTGCTCATGATGGCTATTGAGAACAAGCAAGATAGGGCACTACAATACCTGCTCAGCCTTACAGAGTTCTATACTCCTTCACTCATCTTTGAAGACTACAACAATGAAGGTACCAACCTTTTGAGCGCAGCAATACAGCTCGGCCATGCCAAGACGACAGACACAATTCTCAATTACATACTGGAGAATAGTCCAAGTCCTGATGTATTGAGAGACTACCTAGCAAGGCCAGATGCAAAGGGTAGGTGTGTGGCGCACTATCTGTTCAATCAGCCACGTCTCATCGATCGTATCGGGCATCTCCTGCCTTGGCGGTTAAAGGATAAGAATGGGCAGACGCCAGTCTTTGCTCTCTGCAGATCTTACGATCACGATCAGTACCACGACATGGTAGACAAGGCGTTACTAGCCGCGACGCATGATCAAGATGACGGGCAGCCGCTGCATCTCGATGAGCACGTCGATAATAAGGGCAACAGCCTACTGCACATCATCACTGATCCGCAGCTAGCAGCAAGATTGCTTTACCGCTGCGATTCAGATGCTAATGCGACCAACGACCGTCAATTTACCCCGCTCATGGTAGCCAGCAAATATGGACGCACAGACATGGTGCGTGTGTTCTTCCAAGACCCGAGAGTAGACTTGTCTTACAGAGACGCGCGTGGCCTTACGGCTGTCGAGCTTGCCAAAGACGACGAGGTTCGCAATCGTATTGATGATCTTGTTCTCTTGTCCAATGAAGCCGGACCTGACGGGCGAACTACGACTGTCGTTCGCTCATTTTTCGTGGAAGATGGAACTGTACGCCTTGTATTGAAGTCTGGAGCACCCAATGACAACAACACAATCACGGTCACGACATGCCGTCGGTCATCGCAGGATTTTGAGAACCTTGGAAAGTGGCTTGCACAGGAGCATCCTGCGTCGTGGCTACCCGTCATACACAACCTAGCGTCACCCTACCTCATACCGTCAAGACCTTCAAGATCAATACTGCGCGATGTGCAGCTTCGGCTCGACGCATTTCTCAAAATCCTACTCAAGCACCCCACCTTTTCGACACACGAGTTGGTATGGGAGTTCTTCCTCGTCCCTGACATTGACTCGTCCATGCTCGCAGAACGCTCAGCACGCAAGGCTGAGTTGCGTGTCGAGCGCCTCCGCGAAGAATACGCTCCGATATACGATGTCCGTGAAGTGGAACTCTTCGTCCAGCACATGCGTGAAAATATCCGTGCTTTACATCATGCCTCAAGGTCTGTCCTCCGGCGCGCAAACAAGGTTCGGTCTGCGGCATCAGATCTCAATGATGCAGCCAAGATTGCCAATACCGCTCTGCATTCTGTCACTTTCCTGCCAGAGAAGCATCTGAGAGCGCTCGAACGCTACACAAAGACGCTGAACCAAAGCGAAGCAAGTCCGATGGCAGGCTTCTACTACTCGATGCATGCCATCTCCAGCACAATTAACGCCATCTTGACCTCACTGGCCCGTCCTTCGACCCTCATAACCGCCATGTCGACGGCACAGAAAGCCATCGATCGTCATAACCTTTCTGTCCGCCGCTCTGATCGATGGCCACTCGGTCTTCTCGATGACGCCCGATCTAGAGTCCAGAGAGATGCCCAAGAGAAGATGGATAAAAGTAAACTTGAGCTTGAAGACCTTGGCAGGGAGCTGAGGTACACGCAGCAGGTTGTTGCGCAAGAACTTGCGAGTTGGCAGGAGAATAGAGTGGAGACGGGGAGGTCAGCACTCAAGGAGTTGGCTAGGAAGATGTGCGTTGTCGAGAAGGCTCGGCTGGAGAGTATGAAGAGAGCAGTTAGAGAACTGGGCATCGGGATCCCAAGGGCGAAATTAGGTAATGGGCATATCAACGGTGTCCAGACAAATGGCGTTCATAAGCCGGTGAATATCAATATGGGCTTGTCAGAGGCAGTGCTTGAACAAAGCAAACTCGACAACATTGCGCCTGGACTAGGCGCCGTCGAGGATCCAGAATGCGAGGGCATGATCTTATCCAACGGAAAAGCTCCCGCGGAGGACGCACCTCCTGCCGATGAGCTCGCGCAAGAAGCCCTGGAGCCACCACCGAGCACCGCAAACGGCTCGGCTTGATTCATCTACCCTTTTTCTTATAATTCTCAATGTATAACTCCTTCACTTGAAACTTCTTATTTCGATTTTTTTCATCGGATAGATGGCGTACACAGATGTAATGTGTGGGAATCAGGAAGGGTATTGGAGGTATATATATCAGCGACGGCGTTCGATCTGAATGTTTGTGGGTGTGGGATAGTAGTCAAGTATTCTTTAATCAATTTCTGTGCGAAAAACAATAAACTTCACCGCTTCTAGTTTGTCTTAACAGCTATGGAAAGACCAAGATAGCTAGGTAGAAAGACTTCCAGTCTAGAGTGAAGCATCGCGCTAACATTGCAGCGCCACCTGTGGTCCCTTCTTTTGGCGCCCGACCCGCACCGCACCGCACACCTGCCGGCCCACCCCCCTGCGCAAGCGCCCTTGTCTCTCCCTCCCCGTGATCCAACGATCAACCATCCATCTTCCCTGAAATATCCATGACCCCGCGGTGTTTCGCCTTGTCGCAACTTGAGCGCTTGCGCCACAGAGGCGAAGACGCAAACAGGGGTTTATTGGCTGGGGGTGGCTGCCATCAATGCTCGCCAAAAGACCTTGAATTAGGCGTGAGTGGTGAGGACCCTGAATTTATGACGACATTGGCGCGAGGCTGTGCCTGACTGGTCTCCCTTTGGTGGTTGTCTATTCTGCGGCATTGTACGACGGTTGTTTCATCCACACACTCTCTCTTTTCCTGTTTCTTATGTGGTCAAAGGGAAAGAGAAGGGAACTGCTGACTTTTCTTTACTTTTCACTCTCTTTATTGCTTTGCGTCGCGCGTTGAAAGAGATTTCTGTGACTTCGTTGCGCGTTGCGCGTGTATACTTGCGACAACGACATCAAACCCCCGACGAACCCTGCTATACAGATATTCCGAGCTACCAGGGAGAAAGAGACGGAAATCA